ACTTGCGCTCGCCAGGCTGCAGCCCAGCTGTCACGGAGCCGCCGGAGACCTGGCCCATCACGGATAAAGGCTCCCACCCCACATTCCCTCCGGGCTCGCGCCCTCCCGTCTGTCACACTCCAGGGGCCGAGACAGGAGCCGGCCGGCACCCACCGGCTCCCCCAAACCTCCAGCCCGTGCCCGTCCCACCCCCGCCCCTGCACCTCTGGACCGTGAACAGCCACGATGCGGTGGTGAAAGTGTGACGGGGTGACAGGGGTCCCCAGGAAGGGGCTCCCTGTGCCCGCTCCCTGCCCCACCCAGGAAGGGGGAGGCAGCAGGACAACGGGAGGCTGAGCGGGGCTGGAGGAGGGAGGGAGAAGGTGGGGAGCAGGGAGACCTGGGGGAGGACTCCCCGCACAGGGAGCCAGGACTCGCTCAGGAAAAGGAAACGGAGTGCGGAGGACCCTGGCTGAAGTCGTGGCAGAGGAGGCGGCAGCGGGGCCGGGTGTGTGCAGAGGGCAGCGGGGCGGCGGGCCGGGAGGGATCCGCTCGGCAAATAAAGCCCTTCCTGCTTCCTGCTCAAGAGTCACAGGCCGCGCAGCACGTAAGGCAGAGAAAGTGTCAACAACACGCTGGCCTCCTTAGCGAGCCTATCTACACGCGGTTACTTTTTTTTTACAGATTTATTTATTTATACGAGAACCGGGGTACAGGCCAGAGGTGCGGGAGGCTGAGATTCACCAGAGGCAGAGCGGGGGGCAGAGCAGGCAGACGGACGAGAGCAGTGCTGCGGGGAGCAGCGGGGAGAGAGGGGCGGTCTGCGGCGCCGTGTGGGGCTCTCCCTGGCCGGCCGGGAATCACCCGCGCTGCAGAGGCTGCGGCCGGCCCGCTGCGCTCCACCCGCTGCGCCACGGGGAGGCCCGCCACGAGGTTACCTTCTGACAAGGTCTGACGCCGGCCGGGCGGTTGCTCTCCCAGGCCATCCCCCTTGGCAGCATCTTTCCCCTCTGGTCAAGAGTGTCTGTGCTCACGGACCGTGCGATGGACGCGAGACGGTTGCGCGTGAAGAAGCCCTTGGGCTCGAGCGGGCGCTCAGCCCTCCCGGGGCCGCCCAGGTCTGGGACCTCGTGCTGAGCGATAAAGTCCCGACCCCACCGCCCCTGGAGCCCCGCTTGCTCTTCCCCGGCCTGGGGAAAAGGCCAGAGTTTCTTTCTGCAACAGGGCGCGGCTCCGCACAGGGGAGGGGGGCGGGGGGGGGGACCGGAGGGAGGGGCCGCTTGCTTTTCAGCCACGGCTGGTTAACCCCTTTTCCCTTGGCACGCGAGGAGACAAACCTGTCAAACAAGGAGAAATGGCAAGAAATACGGGAAAGCAAACTCGTGAATGCTCATCGGACTGAACTTCTTGCTCCCCAAGCCCAGCCAGGCAGGGGGAGGCGCAGGCGGGAGCCGGGGAGGACCAGAGCAGCCGCGGGGTATCCGGGACAGCCGCCGGGGGGCGACACAGCACAGGTCCTGAGCCTGACGTTGCCCCTCTGCCCCCTCCACGGGCCCTCCAGGAGGGGCCCTGGACGGGGGCAGCTCTCGGGCCTCGGTGGCCCTGCTGTGGGCCGTCCCTGTCTGGCTGGACATTTCCCCATGAGGGGACGGGCACTCTGGGCGCCTGATTTGGAGACTGTCACGCGCGGGCGGCACCACACGCCTTCCCGCCACGCTCGCGCACCAGAGCAGGCTTTGCCTTGAGGTGGTGGAGGCAGAGCCTTTCTGGAGTGGACAGGCCTGGGGGTCCGGTGCCCCCTCCCTGCCCTGGAGCAGGGCCAGCGGCCACCCTCGCAGCTCGGCCAGGGCCGTGGGGCCCCTGGAGCCCTCTCTGGGGTGGCGCGGGAGGCCCCTTCCATCCTTCCAGGTCGCACAGCCTCCAGGAAGATGGGCGGGGTCGGGGCAGGACTGGCCAGCTGAGGCGGGGGTGGGGGGGCAGGCCCAGAGTGGCGTGGCCCTGGCCAGGGGGGCGTGGCCCTTCAGTTGTCAGTCAAGCAGGCCCTGCCCCCCCGCCCCCCCCTCCAGGAGGTGTCTGTCTAGGGCACAGCCCCAAGCACCTCCCCAGTGTGGGGCTGGGGGAGCCAGAGGTGCAGCCTGGGAACCAGGACTCAGCTCCCCGGGGTGTGAGGGCTGAAGGTCCAGGAAGGGCAGCGCCCAGCCATGACGGAGCGGCACTCCACGCAGGCCGGTGAGTGGGGACCCCGTGGTCCCGAGCAGGAAGCACCCAAGGGCAGGTGGCCCTGAGCCCAAAGCCAGGGCCAAGGCTGGGGGGAGCGCCTGAGACCCCAGAGCTCAGCCTCACAGGCGGGCAGCGGGGCGGGGCACACCGCGGCCATCTCCAGGGGTCTCGCGGGGCCTCTCCCTGAGCTGGGCTTCCCGGTGCTGAGCGCCTGGGCCCAGAGCCAGGCCCCCTCCCCAGAGGGGCGCCCCGGGGCAGCTCCCGGCCCCCTGCCCCGCCCAGCCCCGGGCTGGTCTACTGGCCGCTGGGAGAGAGGCCCCCAGCAAAAGCGGGAGCCTGCCCGCCCAGGCCCTGGTGTGCCGGGGACCCGGCACCCCCACGGGAGGATGGGGGCTCAGGGCCCCGAGCCGAGGGTGCACCTACGGTGGAGGCTGGGCCGGGTGGGAGGGGATCAAACCGCCGCGGATTCACCGGGCTGGGGGGGCAGCCCCCTGACCCCCCTGTGGCCAGGTCAGCCCTCCTTGCTCACGACCCCCACCTGCCAGTGGTGCCCTGGGGCCCCGCAGAGGCCACGACCTTGCCCTCTCCTTTCCCCCGGGGAAAACCGGTCGAGTGGCATCTGGGACCGCCCGGACACTCCCGGGAAGCAACGGGGAGGGCCAGGTGCGGCCACAGAGGCCCAGCCGGCCCCAGGCCCTCCCCTGTCCCTCGCTTTCCCTGCCTCTTGCCCTCTCCTAACGCAGCCGCCCCCAGCGGCCCCGCGGAGGGCGCCGGCCGCGCGCAGGGCCTGGTCTGGGGAAGGGCCGGGCGGGCAGGGGACGCCGTTCCGACACGGCCGCGGTCACGTCTGGCCTGAGCGTGAAGCCGCCCCTCGCGGCCGCGGGGCCCGACGGGAGAGAGTCCAGGGCTGGCTTCCCGGCCGCCCCGGGCAGGGGGCGGGGGCGTCTCCAGGGCCCTCGGTGGCGAGGCACACCCCGAGCGGGGGCCCCGGGACCCCAGCGTGCCCTTCAGTGCCCTTCGGTGCCTCAGGGACGGGCGGTCGGGGCCCGGGGTGAGGGAGGAGAACAGTCTCGGCGGCGGGGCGCCCCGGGCGGGAGACGGCGGCCTGGGGGGACAGGGACAGACCGCGCTGTGTTCCAGGGAAACCGGGATGCGGCTGGCCTCGGCCCCCGACCTCTCTGCTCATGCCCGGGGTCTTCCTGGTCTGCTTCGGGTAAGAAACGCGGTAGCCGGGGCCACCCGCCAGGCTGGGAGGCCCCACGGCCAGCAGCCCATCTAGGTTGGGGGCTCCCCAGCCGCCCCCTCCCCGGTCACCACGGACCATGGGGCCAGGCGTGCGGTCTGGCTCCCGCCACGCACCCCCCACCCCCAGCCTCACGTGGCGGGGGCTTGTGCCGCCTTCACTAATGGGCGGGCCCAGGCCGAGGGGCCGCGTGTGAGGCCGGGGAGGCCCAGGCCGAGGGCCCGGCTGTGGGCACTCCCGGGGGAGAAGGCACTGGCCCTGGGCTCGGGCCCCTGGCTGCTCCCGGGGCTCAGATCCCCGCAGGAATGTCCCCGGCAGCCTCAGGCTGAGCAGCCTGTCCCCGGGACCTCCACTGCTGCCCTGCCTGGCCCGGGGCTCCGGGGTGGGGCCTTTGTTGGGGTGCACCCAGCAGAGTCTGGGCCCTGCGCTTTCAAATTGCCCATCTCACCCCGGCTGATGTCCAGGCCTGGGCGTCAGGTTCTGTGCCCCCACCACCCGCAGGAGCCCCCTCCTCTTCCGGAGGCCCCTCCCCTCCCCGGCCCCCCATCTCCTCCCCTCGGCCTCCCTGCCCCAGAGACCGCCCGTCGCCTCTTCTTGGGACCTTTGCTCCTGCCCCTCTGGGGCCTTGGCGAGAATTGGTCCCCGCCCTGCCAGGGACCTGGTGGCCTCCTGGGAAAACTGGGGCTCCAGGCTGCTCTCAGGGGTGAGCACAGGCCACCCATGCCCCTCTCAATCCGCCCTCGCCGCTCTCCCTCAGGGCTGGTTTCCTGAGCCGGACCAGCTGGCCGCCAGGGCACAGGTGAGTGGGCAGGTGGGGCTGGGCGGGCCCCAGGGAGCTGGCCGGGCTGGCCCCCCTGGACAGACCCCATGTGGGTCTGGGCCTCCTCCTGGCCCCTCTCTGCTCTGTCCACAGCAGCTCGTCCCAGCCCGAGGCCTGGAAGGAATACCCGAGTGGGAGTGAGCCCCACAGGTCTGGTACCGACCCAACCTCCCACCTGCCCTCCAGCCCCGACTCTGGGGTCCCCTGGAGGGCCCGAGTACCCTGCCCCCCTGCCCCTGATCCCCAGGTAGCCCATGGCCCAGCCGTCCCCCCAACCCCCGAGGTAGAGACCACGGTGGGCCTGACCCCCCCAGCCTCACCCCACACCTGCCGCTGCCTCCCAGGTTCAAGGGCTCTCCCTGCCCGAGAGGGCTCCGGCCTGGCCGTTCTGTCCTCGGCCCACGTGGAGCCTCCCCGGGGCCCAGAGGATCTTTCCAGAACCACACAGCAGCCCAGCCTGCGTGCGCCAGGTCCCCCTGCCCCTGCCGGCTCCTCCCGTGCTGAGGTCCCTGGTGGGGCGCGGCCGCCCAGGGGGCTCAGAGGACCTGCCGGCTCTGGAGACTCCCCGCATGACCCACCCGGAACGGCCGGGAGGGGCTCCCCAGGGAGTCGGCCGTCACGGCCCTGGGCAGTGCCAGGCCGTCCCTCCACAGCCCCCGCTGGACGGCGAGCTCCTCCCTGAACTTTGGTCCCCCCCCACCACCCGTTGTCGTCTGCAGTGAAAATGGCAACCAGAGAGGTGGCTGGCAGGTGGTGAAACTGCCCCGGTGAGTGTCCACACCGGCGCTGCCCCCACACCCCCCGCGGCCAGAGCGTCGGGGAGCAGGCGGAGAGGCCCCTCCAGCAGGGTGCTGGGGAGATGCCTCATCCAGTGCCTCCAGGGAGCCCAGCAGTTACCCAAGAGCCAGGATCCCCGGCTCAGTATGCACGTGTCGCCCAGCCAGTGACACGCCGGGGCGGGTGGGCGGGCAGCGCTCTGTGGCCCTGCCACTCCCTTGGCCCCCGGGTCCCTTCAGTGCCTCCCCTCTCGCCCCAGGAAAGCGCTGCACCCCGAGGCTCAGACCCGCCTCCGGGGCTGGGGACAGGACACGCCTGGAGCAGGTGCCCTGGTGGGGATGCGGGTGCTTGGCCACTGTCTCAGCTGCTGCAGGGCCCCCCCAGCCTGCACAGTGCAGGGCGTCCTGCTCCCTGCAGACACCCCCCATACCCTCCCCAGCAGACACCCCCCTGCATGGTGTTTTTCAGGATGCTCTACCCGCAGCCCCAGGTGCTGACACCCACGTGAGTACCTGGCCCCTCATCTGCCCTCCCTGCCCTCCCAGTACCTGGCCCCTCGCCTGCCCTCCCTGCCCCCTGCCGCGGCTTCGCAGCCTCTCTGCTCCGGCTCAGATCAGGACGGGCCCAGGAGCCCTGTCCTCTCGCCCTCTGTGGCCGCGTGCCTGCCTCTGTCCTTGGGCCGTGGGGGCGGGGGGGGGTGGTTGTCCTCCCTCCTGGGGAGGGGACCTTGCTGGGCACCCAGCTCCCACTCTGGCGTCCAGTGGGGTAAGAGCTGGCCGCGATTGACACGACCTCGTGTCTGGATTTGTGTCTGGCGGGCCCTGTGGAGGCTCAGAGCGCTGGAAGGGGGCAGCCCTGGAGCCAAGGAAGCCAGCGGGGTCCCGGAGGGCGCTCGCCCGCCCTGCCCAGCTCCCGGTCCCTGAGGCTCTGCCCCGCAGGAGGACGGATGTCCTGGTCCTGACCCCCTGGCTGGCCCCCATCGTCTGGGAGGGGACATTCAACATCCACATTCTCAACGAGGAGTTCCGGCTCCGGAACGCCACCGTCGGACTGACCGTGTTCGCCCTCAAAAAGTAAGGGTGCCTGGGGCTCGTCTGCGCGGGACAGGGCCGGGAGGGGGCCCCGCAGGGTCCCTGCAGCTCAGCACAGGGGAGCCACCGTGCCAGCTCTGCGGCCTTGGGCTGGGCAGGCACCAGCCTCCGAAGCCCCAGGCTCCCCTCTGTAAGGCGGGTGCGGGCCCTCCCGGAGCAGGGCATTAGCGCGGCACGCTCGGGCCTGCAGAGGCAGAGGGGCCTACACGCGGCCCAGGGCGGCCAGCGTCCCGGTGACCCGCCCGCCCGCGCAGGTACGTGGCCTTCCTGAAGCTGTTCCTGGAGACGGCGGAGCAGCACTTCATGGCGGGGCACCGCGTCACCTACTACGTGTTCACCGACCGGCCGGCCGACGTGCCCCACGTGCCGCTCGCACCCGGCCGGCGCCTGGAGGTGCTGGAGGTCCCCGCCTCAAAGCGCTGGCAGGACGTGTCCATGCGGCGCATGGAGATGATCGGCCGCGCGTGCGAGCAGCGCTTCCGGCGCGAGGTGGACTACCTGGTGTGCGCGGACGTGGACATGCGCTTCGCTGACCACGTGGGCGTGGAGATCCTGGCCCCGCTCTTCGGCACCCTGCACCCCGGCTTCTACGGGGCAGCCCGCAGGTCCTTCACCTACGAGCGCCGGCCAAAGTCGCGGGCCTACATCCCCTGGGACCAGGGCGACTTCTACTACATGGGCGCCTTCTTCGGGGGGTCGGTGGCCGAGGTGCAGCGGCTCACCACGGCCTGCCACCGCGCCATGGGGGAGGACAAGGCCAACGGCATCGAGGCCGTGTGGCACGACGAGAGCCACCTGAACAGGTACCTGCTGGACCACAAGCCCACCAAGGTGCTGTCCCCGGAGTACATGTGGGACGAGCAGCTGCTGGGCCGGCCGGCCGTCATGAAGAAGCTGAGGTACGTGGCCGTGCCCAAGAACCACCAGGAGATCCGGGGCCCTTGAGGGGACCCGCCCACGAGCAGGTGCCCCTGCCCTATCAGCCCCGGTGCCGCACGTCTGCGCTCCCGCTGGCCAGAGGGTCCAGGGCCACGTGAGGCTGCAGCGGCGCCCCAAGTGTCCGTCACGGCGAGGGTGTGGCTGCGAGGCGCCGAGAGACCGCGCACCCAGAAGGCTGCTTCGCCGGGTCTCTCCCTCCTGCAGCGGCGGCAGCCCGGCCCGCCCCGCACCCCAGGCGGCCTCTGCCCGGCCTCTGCCCGCCACGGCTGCAGGTCCCCTTGTGACCTAGTGTCTGACCCCCCAGCCCCCTTCCCAGGAGGATCTGGTGCTGAGCGCCCCGCGCCTGGGCTGCGGCCTCGGCTCATGATTAAATGTCCTCTCCCCGGCCTTGTGTCCTGTTACCAGGCCAGCGGAGGAGCAGCAGGGTGAGGGGGCCCGCGTGGCCCGGGCACCTGCGTCTGCGGCGGACGGCGAGTCCGTGGCCGGGGAGGTCCTGGCCTGGCCCGGCCTGCGATCCCGGCTTCCTCGGGCTCGGGCTGGGACTGAGTCCCCCGAGCTCACTGGCCGGCTTCCGCGTCTCTCTGTGCCCACCCGGGTTTCCTTTCCCAAGAACAAAAGGGCTGTTTCCCGCAGAGGCTGCCCCGTAGAGAGGTCCTCCGGGAGCGCTGGGGTGGGGGGTGCTGCTTCTGCGGAGGCCCACGGGGACCGGGCGGTGAGCCGGGAGGGGCAGGCCCCCGGGGACACCGGCAGCCCCAGCCCCGGGAGGCGGGTGCGGCAGGGCCCACTGGGCACAGGTCGCTGGGGGCAGCCCGGCCCCTCCTTCCTCGGGTGACACCCGCACGGCGACTTCCCTACCAAGTGTGTCTCGGGGACCAAAAAGACCATTTCCCCCCGACAGCCCCGCGACCCCAGCCCCTGCGTGTCGCCTCCACCCGCGTGTCCTGAGGCTCCCGGCTCGGCCCTCCCTGCTCTCGGGCCTCTGCTGTCCTGAGCCGCCTTTCTCGCCTGCTCTCCCAGGCCCTCCTGGTGCCCTTCCAGAGGCCCCGGAGGCTTCTTGCCACCTCCTCCTTATGGGGTCTCCGAGTGCGTGTCCCCCTCCGAAGCGCCCTGCCCCTCAGCCCCACCAGAGCTCACTAACCAAGTTGAATGCCGCTTCCTCCAGGAGGCCCTCCCTGACCGTCCTCCCAGCCAGGAGTCAGACCCACTGCTGACCCCACACATGCCCCTAGACCGGGCTGCCCTGGGCACCCGCACTCCCGGCGCCTGCCAGCGCCCGCAGCCGGCCTCCCATTTGGCCTCCGTCTTCCCCAGGGGCCAGCTGAGGCCTGACTGGGCGGGTGCTGTCGGTGTGTGGTAAATGCGCAAACGACCTCCTGAGCAATGATGAGCAGTGCGGGGCGGCGCGGGGAGGCACAGCTTCATTGCAGAGGTCCGCGAGGGCTGCCCCGGGCAGCAGGGCTGGGCATGGCAGATGGCGCCATAGTGCCCCCGCCAGGCCGTGGGCCCTGCTCCACGCACCCACATGGTCCCTCTGGGCCAGAGCCGTGGCCGGGGGGTCAGAGCGCCGATGGCCGAGGACGCCGGTCTCCCCTCGCAGCTAAGACGCGCCGCTGCGGTGCGCCCGGGCCAGAGGGTGCAGCCGAGCTGGTGTCAGTCTCGGGGCCGGATGGTGTGTGCGCAGGAGGCTGCGGAGAGGAGAGGCGCTCTGAGGGGCCCCGTCTGCCTGGGCCTCCTGCTTTCCGACGGGCCAGCCTGGCTCCCCAGAGGGTGCTGTGCCACCCTGGTGCCCGCCACAGCCCGCGCCCGTGCTGCTCTGCCCCACTGGGCTGGGAGCCGGCGGCGGGCAGGGCCCCGGGCCGGGTGAGTTGGCCGCCCTCATGGTTGCTCCAGATCTTTCCAAAGATGGCCTGGGCACCCCCCGCCCTCCCTGCCCACGGGGCCAGCGCCTCACAGGGCCCCAGGAGCCCCCGGGCACGGTGCCTACCGTCTTTGGGGAGAACAGTCGCTCCATTTCCAATCTCCAAAATCTCACAAATGTCCACGAATTTTTTCATATTTGGGAAGCTGGACACGTTCTGCCTGCCTGCGGGTGGGAGGCTTCACATCAGAGCCCGCCTTTCTGCCGTTTGGGCCCGCACCCCCCTTGGCCCCCAGCGCCCTCTGAGCTAGCAGGAGGCGAGACGGACCACAGGAGCCGCCGCTCGGCCTTGTCCCCCCCAGAGGAGGACATACCTGGGGGAGGCCCCCTGACCTCCCGGTCGGACCTCTCTGCTCACGCAGCCCCCCGGCCAGTCTGGGCCCAGCCCCCGGCCCGCCCCACCGCACCCCCCCACCCCGGCGGGCCCTGGGACTCACTGAAGAGCAGCAGGCTCTTGGCGACGCGGCCTGCCCGGCCCAGGCTCAGCAGCACCACAGCGTAGCTGTAGTCAGTGGCCAGCACGCGGAAGCCCTGCACGCCCCGCACTGCAGGGGAGAGGGCAGCCCGCCGCCCCTGCACCCCCGCCCCTGTGCCCCTGCAGCCCCGCCCCTGCACCATCCCCGGCACCCTCCACCCCAGAGGGGCACCTGGAGGCGCCGCCACACCTCCCCTCGACCTCTCCTGGCCCAGGCCCCGGGCACAGTGCCCAGTGGGCCCTCGGAAGGCCAGGCGCTGACCAGAGCCAGCCCGATCACCCCACGGGGGTGTCCACCCCTGCCCGCCCAGATCCTCAGGACGGGTTGGGGTGCGGCTGCCCGCGCCTCCTCCCCTCAGCCCACGGCTACGCACAGGTGTTCCTGAACACGGCCCTCTTGCTGTCCTTCCGCAGGGTCACCGCGTGCGCCTGGCACCCCTGCCGCCTGGGGGAGGTGGGCGGGAGTGGCGTCCCACAGGAACCCCCCCACTCCTGGGGCCTGGGCTGGGGGGGACTCCAGGGAGCTCCTCTCCCAACCCAGGTGAGGCCTGCGGCCCGGGCGGCCCCAGCGCTGGGGGGAGTGTCCCAAGTGGCCCCGGCCTGTTCGCCCCTCGGACGGCCCCAGGCTCCCCAAGCCAGCCCCCCGAGCCTCGGGTGACGGCCGCGCTGCCACGCACCGGTTGAAGACGAGGACCACCTTCAGCTGGCCAGGCTGCTGCACCCTCACCTCGGACGCCCCCAGCTTCCTCCTGTCCCGGCCCGGCAGGAAGCCCCGGGTGTCCGTGGCGATGGCAAGAATGTACCAGAACCCTGAAAACTGCAGGCGGCTTGGGGGAGCAGGGCAGCAGGGGCTGCCCCACAGCCGCCAGCCAGGCCCGCCGGACAGTGACCACAGGCTCAGGGGCCGAGGCCCCTGGGCTGGGCCTGCGCACAGAGCTCCTGCTGCGCCCCACCGCCAGGCGTGCCGGGTCCTCTCCCCACGACTGCCCCTCCGGGCCTCCTCCCAGCCAGCCGCCCCTTGTTCAGGACGTGCCTCTCCTGCCTCCAGGTGACCCTGGCGGCACCAGCCCCGCGGGGCATGCAGCTGCCTGTGCTTGTGGTTGAGGCCTCTCTGGGCAGAGGCTGGGGCCCCGGGTCCTCCCTGGAGGGGATTCTCAGGGCAATCGTCCAGCTGCGCCCCGGGTCCCCCGCCAGGGCCTGCCCCAGACCCGGACAGTGGGCTCCACTACCTTGTTCCAGTTGACAGTGTGGGCCTCCCTGGGGGGCTGCTCCTGCAGCCGGGACCCCACGGCCAGCATCAGCGTCACGGCCAGAGCCAGCGGCAGCTGCCCCAGCCCCATCCTCACCCTCCTCCGCAGTGCCCGAGGCCCGGAAACCACCTTTAAACCTCCCTGCCCGCGCCTGGACCGCCCTCCCTGAGCCTCTGGCCAGCCTCGGGGCGGGGCAGCGGCTTTGGGCCCACTGGGGATGCAGGGGCTGGCGCTGGCCCCTCGGCCAGTGGGCGAGGCCTCCCCGGCCCTGAGGCAGAGGCCACACCCGGCCTGACACCCCAAGTGTGCACTGGGGCAGCTTCACCTGCAGTGAGGCCCGCGCACCCCCTGTCCGGACCTGGGAGAGAGGCCGGCGCCAGCCGAGTCTTCACAGGAGGTCAGGAAAGCAGCGGGGAGCCGGGTGGGACGGGGTGCTGCGCGCCGGTGCGCACCTGTGGTATGTGTGCGGGTGGGGGCACGCGTGTGCAGCCCGGCCTCGCTGCCCAACGGGCACCCCGGCTCCCAGGCTCTTGGGCCTGGCTCTCCCAAGACTTGCTCCCCCCAGCTCCCAGAGGCCCGAGGCCGTCCCCGTGGCTGTGTGCCCGCCGCCTGCTGCCCACGTCTGTGTGCCCACCACCCGCTGCCCACCGAGGCTGTGGCTTTGTGGAGTCGCTTTATTTGGGTCTGTGGCGAGAGCCGCGGGGCAGCAGGCCTGAGGCCCAGGCTGGGGCAGCCGAGTGAGGGGGCAGTGTCCGGCCAGTCTCCACCAGGACACGGGGGTACGGGCCCTGCAGCTGCAGTGTTCACTGGAAACCAAGAAGGGGGGCTTGGATCACCCCAGGAGGTGGGCGTCTCCCAGCCTTTCAAGGCTTCAAGCCCTTGGCCCCGCCGCCGCTGGCCCAGGCCGCGCTCAGGGGCGGCTCACCTGGAGGACCTTGTGTGCGCAGGTGACTGAGGGGGAAACACAGCATGAGGACAGGCGGCTGCTTGGGACACTGCGCCCCCCGGCACCCTGCGCAGAGCCCAGAAGAAGCCAGAGCCTGCCCCAGCCTGCCCCAGCCTGCCCCAGCCTGCCCCAGCCAGCCCCTGCCAGCCCCCCACCAGCCCCAGCCAGCCCACACCAGCCCCAGCCAGCCCACACCAGCCCCAGCCAGCCCACACCAGCCCCAGCCAGCCCACACCAGCCCCAGCCAGCCCACACCAGCCCGCACTCACAGTCCGGCTGCAGCTGGGCCTGCTGCTGTGCGAGGAAGCCCAAGCCCTGGCTCCATTTGGCAAAGAGGCGCATGGCCTCCGGGCTGGCCAGCTCTGTGCGGCCTGGGGACAGGGCGCCTGAGACCCACCTGGGCCCAAGGGGCAGGTTCTGCAGCAGCCCCACACGCTGCCCCTGAGGCTGGCCCAAGGGGAGCCCCAGAAGCCCACCGTCCTCCCTCAGCGCAGGATGGGGCCTTCGGCAGAGCCAGTGAGGGAGCAAGGGGCCTGCTTGAGGCCAGGCAGGGCTTGGCCCGCGGGAAGCGAGGGGCAGGGGGAAGCACCACCTGGGGGATCAAGCCACAAGGCCCGCCCGCCACCCCTCCCAGCCGGCGTCACCTCCCAGAGCCCCGGAGACCCCACCCGGCCCCACTCCCAGGCCCCTGCTGGCTGGCCCCGAGGTCACCCCACAGCCAGCGCCCCTCACTGTAGAGCTCCAGGGTGTTGAAGGCCTCGTCCCCGGACTCCAGCTGCGTGAGGACCACGGCGAAGTCCCGGAAGTTGGTGCCCAGCACGCGGTACTGCATCACGCCCAGGGCTGGAATAATGGGGCCTTTCACCCCCTGGCGGGGTGCCCTCCCCCACCCCCGCGGGCACGGGTCCTCTGGCAGGGGCTGGGGCTCAGGCCTGTCTTCGTACAGGGGTTCTCAAACACCCAGCTGGACTTCTGCTTCAGCAGCTCCACAACGCTCAGCTCGCACCTCTCCAGCCTGGAGGAGAAAGGCGCCAGGCCCTCAGGCCTGCGGGGGCACCCAGACAGACGGGGCCCAGCCAACCGGCACGGCCCCCCCGACACCCCATCACCCAGACCTCCCGCCCGGGCCGTTGGCCAGGCCGTGCGCTGGGACGGAGAGGCCTGCGGCACCGGAGGGCACAGAGAGCAGCCCCAGAGGGGCCGGGCACCCCATTTGCCCATCCGTGAACAAGGCCCGTGCAGGCGCCTCAGGAGGAGCTGATGCGGAAGCTCAAGGGGAGAAGCAGAAGAACTAGGGGCGTGTGTGCGAGGGGCACTGGCCAGCCCCCGGGCGGCGGGGGCAGCGCCAGAGCCGGAGGCCTGGGGCACGGGTGGGGGGGGGCGGGGTGCAGAGAAGCCCGGGAGGAACTCCTGGAGGCTGAAGGAAGCAAACCAGGAAGCGTGTCTTCCTCCCTCTGGTCCCGGGCAGGTGGCTACAGCCCTTGTGGTCAAGGCTCCCCCAAATCAGCAAGGAACACCCCAGAGAAAAACGTGCAAGGCAGGACTCAGCAGCGCCCAGAAGGACACCAGGGCTGGGGAACGGCGGGGCCACAGGGGCCGCTTCTGCGTGGCAAACGCAGGCCTGGGGGCTGCGGGCCGCCCCGCCCCCACCCGGCCGGGAGCACGCCCCTCTCTGGAGGGAACCCCCAGGCCAGCGCTCACGCCAGAGCGGCTTCCAGGGCAAAAGGTGGGGCAGGGCTCTTCTGCATGGGCAGAGCGGAAGGAGGACCACGTGCCTGGGGGACGGGAGCCTACTAGGGAGCAGACACAGGCACCCCAAGAAATGTGGCCGTCACCCCTGGGTCCAGCACTGCCGCCTCCGCACAGACCTGCAGGACCCGCAGGGGTGGGGGCTGGCCCGAGCCCAGGGGAGGGCAGGGCCTCCCGCGCCGAGGACCGGCCACCCTGGGCGGTCACCACAGAGCAGTGGGCAGGCGGGGCAGCCGGGAGGGTCTCGGCCTTGTGCGGGGCGGCTGCGCCCTGGGACCTGGCCAGGGGGCCAATCTTGTGTGCTTTTCTAATAGCAATTTAAAAACCCATGTTCTGGGCCTCCCTGGTGGTGCAGCGGGTTGAGTGCAGCGTGTGGAGCTGTCCGCAGCCTCTGCAGGGCGGGTTCCATTCCCGGCCGGCCAGGGAGGGTCCCACATGGCGCGCAGACCCCTCCCGTCTCCCCGCTGCTCCCCTCAGCAGTGCACTTAGGTCCGTCTGCCTGCTCTGCTCCCTGCTCTGTCTCTGGTGAGTCCTCTCACCCCCACCCCCGCACATCTGGCCTGTACCCCAGCTCTTGTATAAATAAATAAATCTTTCAAAAAAAAAATAAAATTCATGTCCCATACAGGCAAAATAAATTTGTAGAGAGAAGAACAAACTTTGCTTGCTTACAGAGGGCAGAGCCCCGGAGCGCCTGGGCACGCAGGCCTGCGGCCAGGTGTGCTGGGGGGGCGGAGCCACGGCCACAACGGACACCCCCACTGGACACCAGGGGCGCTTTGATTCTTGAACCATGTGAATGGGTCTCCTGGTCCAGGCACAAACATGCGGGAGCGTCGCCTGGGGCCTAAGTGCCCCAGATAACCAGGGAGGGCGGCTGCGACCCATGGCCCAGGCCTTGGGCTTTGCACCACAGCTGCCCAGCCCTACCCTGCAGGGGGTGCTCCCCAGCCTCATTGGGACCCCCACCACGTGCCTTTGGGGGTTCACACCTGGAGCCCAGGGGCCCTGTGTTCACCCCTGGGGCCACCACCCTAACCAGGACCTCCTCCGTCCACCCTGCCCAGCCAGGCGGGTGGAGGGGCCCCCAACTCTAGAGGGGAACCAGGGAGAACGTCTCCCTGGACCTGGTCTGCCCCAGGTCCAGGGCTCAAGTGACCCCTCTGCCTGTTCCAGGTGGAAGGGGCCCCCCCACGTGCAGGGCCTCCTCCCAAAACCCACCACTCCTAGGGCCCCCAACAGTCAGCCCCTGGCAGCAAGGCCCCCCCTCCCTGCACCCCCCACGACCATGCTGCGCACCCCACTGCGAGGCTCAGCCCCACTGCCCAAGTCCAGCGCAGGCCTCAGGGGCCACGTCCCCGGGAACTGCCCTCCAGTGGCGCCGGCAGCCTGCGGCCTGGGTGCACGCACCCCTTTAAGTCGAGGGGTTACAGGGGCTGTGCACAGAGAACTCGGGTGCTGGCCAAGCTGGCAGAGCTGCCCCAAGGGCAGAAGCGTGAGTGGACACCCAGGGCCACCTGCGGGGCAGGCTCACCTGTGCCGTGAGGAGCGCACCTGCAGCCGGTTCCCAGGCGTCAGCGTCACCACCACCCCCTCGACGCTCTTGGTGGCTCTCTCCAGCACAAAGCCCCGTTCCCCGGAGGCCACGGCCAGGATGTACCAGGAGCCCAGAAGCTGAGTGAGGGAGCTGCTGAGAAGCCAGCCCGGGCCTCCGAGGCAGCTTCCTTACCTGGGCCCCGGGGCCCCTGATCAGGCCCAGCCCACCCCCACGGCCACGCCTGTCAGGGGAGCCAGGGCAGCGAGCCCCAGCAGGCCCGGTCCCCAGCCCGTGGCACCCCACGGTCTGTGCAGACCCCACAGGGGCGTTACCTGGTTGGGGCTCAGCCTTCCCAGCCACAGCCCCTGGGCCCCGGGCCCGGAGACCACGGCCAGGAGCGTGGCCAGCAGCACGCCCCTCATCCTGCGTCTGCAGGCCGGGACTTGGGCACAGGGGCCAGGAGGCGCGCTCCCTCCGGCCCCGAGACCGCTTATATGGCTCGGAATAGGCGTCGTGGGCGGCCAGGACCCGCCGGCCTGTCCTCCAGGGCGGCGAATGCAGGAGGAGGGCGTGCGGCATCTTCAGGGAGGCCTCAGCAGAGAGGCGGCCGGAGGAGCGGCCCCCAGCGCCCACCCTAACTGAGCGTGAGCCCTGCCCCCCGGCTCCCTCCTGGGAGTTTCCAGAGCAAACAGCCTAGTCTGGCCACAGCACCTGCTCTCCCCTCCCCAGGGCTGTTCCCTGCCCAGGCCAGGAGGCTCGCCGTCCAGCCCGGTGGGCAGCAGGCCAAGGTCGCGCTGGAGGAGAGGAGCCAGCCGCCCTCCAGAGGCTGTGGTTTGGGGTGTCTTTGCTTCCGATCATTAAAAATACCATGAAAATGACTCTCAAGCTTTCAGCGCCTCCTGGCCCACCCCCACCCCACCCCCCGCTCTGCGGTGCGGCCTGGCGCCCCCACACAGCCACCCCCAGCCCAGCATGTTCTGTTCCTTCCGGCCCCACCTGCCAGCCTCGCCCTGCCGCCTCCACCTCGGGCCTGGCTGGGCAGAGCTCAGCAGGCCCTGCCTGAGCCAAAACCTGGAGGGGCCGGGGGCCGGGAGGCTCTGGAAACGCATGCACTGCAGGGGATGGGTGCAGGGGGCTGGACAGGCACATGATGGTCCCCAGCCCCGATTGCTGGTTCACTTCGGGGGTCCTGTGGGCACAAGACAGGCGAGGCTGGAAGGCGCAGGAGCCCCTCCAGGGCCTGGGGGCTCTGAGGCCCACACTCCAGCCCCCACCCTGGCGAGGCCTCCAGGCAAAGGGAGTGAAAGTGAGGCAGCCCTGGGCCAGCCGGAGCAGGCCCGCCCAGGGGCCCAGAGCCCCCGAATGCCAGCCCCCAGACACCCGCCGAGTGAAGTGAGGACCTTGGAAAGAGGACACTGCCTGCTCCCCAGCCCCCGTTTTCCCTGGAGCTCCGCTTCCCGCAGGCACACCCGAGGGGAGGGTGAGGAGGACAGGGGAGCAGACCCTGGGGGCCCCAAGCCCCAGGGTGCATGGCCACCCCCTCAGTGCAGCCTTCCCGCGGACCAGCGCCCAGGCCCCGGGGGCCGCCCCACCCTCGCTGTCCGCCACGGAGGGTCCTCCGCGCCAGGCCCACGGCTCGGCCTCACCCCGACGCTTCCCCGAAGCACCGCCAGCCGCTCAGGTTCAGTGCGGAGCAGGGACCTCTGGGCTCCCCCGAGACCCCTGACCTGGCAGCGACCCTGCTGGCAGAGGGGGCTGCCCCTGGGGTGCGCTGGGGCCCACAGCAGGAACAGAGAGAGCAGCAGCTGCCCTGCAGGGCCTCGGCGCACAGGGGCAGCCTGGTCCCCGGGGTGTCTGACGAGAGGGCAGCCGAGGCTGCGTCCTCGCCCCTGGGGTGGGTGCCGCCTGTGGCAGACGGCGTCAGGCCCCGGGGACGCAGCTGGTGTGGCCCAGAGCTGCGGGCTCGGCCCGTGTGCGGTGGGCGTCGTGTGAGAGGAAGCAGAGAGCAGCTCTGTCCGGCACTGGCGGCGGGGAGCGAGGGGCGGGGAGCCTGCGAGTGGACTGGGGCAGAATCCAGCAGAGCGGTTCTCTTTGGGTCTGGAGAGCCCAGAGCCCCCTGCATGAAGCAGCGGGGGGTGCCTTCAGGGACCATGTGCCGTTGAGAGGTGGGGGCACCGCCTGCCTGGCCAGGACAGATGCAGGCTCGACCCCCAGAGGCAGTGGAGGCCCGGGGTGTGCGTGGACCGGGATCAGGTGGGCCGTCGGGTAAAGCAAGTGCGGAGGAGAGCGGCTGAGCCCTTCTGGTGAGAGCAGGAAGCGGGGTGCTCAGCTCTGGGTCACCCCTTGTCCGTGGGGGCGTGGGGAGGAGCTGCCAGGGCTCCATCTTATTCAGGGTGCAGTGACAAATTGGCCTCGTCAACAAGTCCTGGAAATAGGGCTCTCTGTGAACAAATCATGGGGCCATGAAAGGTGGGGGTCCACCCGGGAGGTGCAGTCAGCATTTTTATCTGTAAAATCTCAGGCTCTAGTCTGGGGGTGTTTGCAGCCGGCGGGAGAGCCCCAGCAGGTGGGGGTGGCGAAAGCCCCGATGTCGCAGCCGGGCCGTGTGTCCTGGGTAGAGAGCAGCTGCTCTGTCACGGCCCCGGGGGACCCCCAGGGGGCCCAGGGGGGGCCTCCTCTCACTCTGCTGCTTGGGGCTCCCAAGCCCCTTGGTCCCCCAGCTGGCCTCCGCCTCACCTAGCAGCTGGGTGTGCCAACGGACACCTCCCCAGGCGGCCGGGCGCCTTCCCTGCCAGGCCTGCAGACAGAATGCCCCTCCCGCTAGTGCCCCCTCTGCCCTCCTGGCTGTCGCCCGCCTCTGTGGCCCGGGCTGCTCTCCCTGCTGCCTCGCCTCACCCCTGCGGGCTCACACTGCCCCCTTGTGCCGTGGACAGGACGGCCGATGATGTTCTCCGCCATTAACCGAGACGCAGAGTCTAAAGGAATTTGCAGTGGGGGAGGCTGGGGAGGGCCATCGCGGCAGCTCTGTCTTCACTCCCCAGCCCAAGCATTTATTGAAGATACGAACAAAGGGAAAGAAAACAGCACGCAGTTGTGGTTTTGCTTGTACAGATCAGTAAGTTCCTGCTGGAAACAAGTTATCCTGGTTAGTGGGGAGCACGCGCAGAAGCCAGCTCGTCCTCAGAGAACAGCAGGCAGTTCTGGGGAGCAGTTCTGCTTGCAGAACTTCCAGCGTCCTGGAGCTCCGACTGCAGAGTCAACAGCTGTTCTCCACAAGTCCAGCCTGCAGGGTGGCAGCTCCCACACCCTTGTCCTCTGATCCACTTGCAGAAGCTGCTTGGCCTTGGGTCAGCACGTCCAGCACGGCATCACCGAGGGTCCCCTCCAGGAAGGCCCCTGGGAGCCAGGTGTGTCTGCGCGTTGGGGTGCTGCATGGGGCGCCTGTGGCGCCCGACCCGCTCACCCCCTCTGGGTGGCCTCACCTCCTCTGGGCTGACCGGGCCCCCAGCTCCCCGCAGGCCCTTCAGGAGGTGGCCGGTGAGTGTGGCCCTGCCAGGGGCCTGGGGCCCTGAAGGCAGAGCAGCTGGCCAGGCAGGCGCTCAAGCTACAGGGAGGGTGGCCCCGGGGTGGGGTGCAGGGGGTGGGGAGGTTTGGGACCTCACGCAGTGCTGGGCTCCGCAGCCTCCTGTGGCCCCGGGGCGCTCAGCGCGCTGGGTCTGGGCCTCTGACCTGGCCCTGCGGCTGTCTGGGCCCTGCTGGTCTCCCGGCAGGTGCCCTCCCGCCCGCGCCTGTGCGGGGACCTGCTCAGCCGCCCCGCCCTGTTTTGGAGGGGCTTGCCCGGGGGCTTCGGCCTTCGCTGGCAGCCTCTGACGGGAGCCCGTCTTGAGCCCTCGCTCCCCTCTCACCGAGGCCCCCACGCACGCGGGTCACCTTGCCCCCCGCGAGCAGGCGGCGCCGGCCCCTGGGACAGCAACGCGGGTTTCCCTCCTGGCAGTTTGGGGTCCCGGGCACCCCTCCGCGCTGCCTGGGATCAGTCTGTCCCCCTGACTGGGAACGAGCCTCCTGGGAACCTCACGTAAAGTGGGGGCTCCAGGGCTGTGGACTAGCACGGAGGGCGCTCACGGCTCCGGGGTGGGGGGGCAGCCACAGCCCGCGGGCCCCGCCCCCCCTGCCCGCGGCCCACCCAGGCCCCGCCCCCTCCTGCCCACTGCCCGCCCAGGCCCCGCCCCTGCGCGCCTAGGCCCCTCCCTCCCGCCTGTCCAGGCCCCACCCCTGTCCACCCGGGCCCGCCCCTTCCGCCCAGGCCCCGCCCCTCCCGCCCAGGCCCCGCCCCCAGCCCTCCTGGGCTCCCCCAGCTGCAGTCGGGACTCCAAGACCCCCGCCCCCCTTGGGCGCCGTGGGTCCCCGCCGCGAGTCCAGCCGCAGCGGACAGCAGCTGCTTCCATCAGGGCATGAATTGTGGGCACAGCTGCTGGACCCCAGGGCCCCACCTCTAAATTATGAGAACTCAGCCTCACACGCCCTCCTCTGCGCCCGGGCGGCTGCTCTGGGGCCCGGCTGACTCCTGCAGCAGCCCCCCTCTGCCGGGCTGGTCCCCAAGTCCCAGCACCTTCTGGGCCAAGAGTCCTCTCTGGCCTCAGAAGTGGGGTGGCTGCTCCCCAGCGGCCCTGGCACACAGGAGGGGCGTGGGGCCCCTTGCCCTGGCCTGCCCGCCACCCCCTCCCTCTCTAGCCCCAGGCTCGGCCCCCAGCTGATGGGGGGAATTGGGGCGACCGGGCGTCACATTGCAGGTGACGGGCTGAGAGCAGAGTGGGGACCAGGCATGGCGGGCCCGGCAGGGCAGTGAGTGTCCACCAGAGACTCGCGGGGGACTGTGGGGCTTGCACGCTGGGGTAGGAGGCAAGGGAGGCTGTGGGGACCCCCTGCTAGAGACTGCACATGGAGCTGCACGCAGGGGTGCGGCCAGCGGCTCCCGCAGGGCACGGACCTCTGAGTGAGGGGGCCTTGGGCCCACGGGGGCAGCAGGGCTGGGGGCAGGGGCGGCCTCTGTCCTCCCAGGAGGGCGCAGGGCACAGGGCCGGGCCCCCTCGTCCCGCAGAGCCCAGCAGGGGCAGCCACCGGCCACCTCCACAGGGGCTCACAGCCACGCGAGCACTGCAAGTTGCTCTGGCCCCTGCGCAGGGGGTCGGGAAACGCACCCCAGCCTCCCCCGTCCCCTCGACCCCAGGAAAGACGCAGGGTGGGCTTGGGCAAAGACAGTGGCATTTATTGGGGGGTGGGGCTGGGGCGGGCCGGGGCTTCTCCAGACGTTCCTGCGCGCAGAGGCGCTGGGAGGCCACCCCGCCTGCACCAGGGTGCCAGGGTCAAACGCTGATCCCTGTCCAGTGTCCCAGGCAGCCTGGGGTGACCACCGCAGGCCCAGGGCCTGGAGCTGCCGGGGGCCACTCGGGGGCCACTCAGGGGCCGCCTGGACGAGGGCTCGCCTCCTTCAGGAGCGCGGCGCACCTCCCTGCTGGGGGGGTTGTGTGAGGCGCGGGGCAGCGCCGGACCCCAGGGTGGGCCCAGCCCGCACCTGCCCCAGAGGCCTGCGACTCACCGCGCCGGGCCCCCAGGTAGAGCCCCGTGTCTGCCGTCAGCTCCCGAAACCTCCAGAAGCCGCGCTCATACTCGCTGTCCAGGCTCCGAGCTGCGGAGGTGGGGGCTGCGCGGGGCGCTCTGGGGGAAGGCAGGCGCAGCCCCCACCCCACCCCAGGGACCCCCCGGGCCCCCCAACCCCTTCCCGGGGACCCCTGACCCCATCCCCCACCCCCCGACACTCCCCACTTACTGAAGTACTTGAACACGTGCAGCTCCCTGCCCCGCCAGCGGAGCGCCACCCTCAGGACGGCGTAGCGCTCGTAGTCGGTGTCCACCACGTGCACCTCCCGGGAGCCTGCCCGAGCGGGGAGCCCGGCCGGCCCTGGGACGGCAGCCCCGAGGCCCTGCTCCCTCCTCCCCGCCCAGGCCCGACTGACCGGTGATGGGAGGACTGGAGCAGCCCTTGGAGGGTGGCCCAGAGTGTGCTGGGGGGTGGGAGACTTGGGACAGGAGGGGTGCGCAGGGAACAGGGCGCAGTGCGGGGGGGCCCCGCAGGGAGCAGCGAGGCTGAGAGTAGCCGGAGCGCAGCCCAGGGTTGTCAGTGCACCCACAGGGCAACGGCTCTTACCGGGAAAAACAAACTTCCCCGCGACGTCTCTCTCCGAGCTCTGCATTACTTCCGTCTCGCAGCCCCCGGAGCTGAAAGGCAGCCACGGGCTCGTGAGGACCCCCAGCCGGCACGCTCCCTCCGGCAGCCCGGAGCTGGGGAGAAGCGCTTCAGCCGGGTGCACCCTCAGGAGAGCCTGGAGCAGGAGGAGGGAGGGGTGGGGAGGAGCAGGACGCGCCACGGCGGCCTCTCCCCCGGGCCTGCAGCTGTAAACCCCGATCCTTTCTGGCCCCTAGTGGGGCTTCAGCGAAACCCTCCGCTCGTGTCAGGAAGATGCCGACCCGGAAGCAGGCCTGTGTCTGGCAGCTCCGGGAGCCCGCAGTCAGGTCTGGGGGTTCACAGCCTTGGTGGGGCACACAGGCCGCTGGCCCAGCGGGCAACATGCCGACCCCAGGGCTGCAGCGGGGACGCGGCCCGGCCCAGCACCTCCCCCGGGCCGCCCGCCCGCCCGCCCGCCTGCCGAGGCCCCGCGGCCGGCCTACCTCTCGTACGCGGCCTTCACGGTCAGCTTGTCCTCGCTCACGCTCAGAAACAAGGCCTCCAGCTTCACCGGGGTCTTCAGAGCCAGGGTTTGGTTGGAGGCCACGCCAACTTCCCGCCAGAAACCTGCAATCTAGACGGAGATGTGGGGCCCAGCCAGCGGGCAGGCGGGGAGGCCTGTCGGGCTCCGGGGCAGCCCCCACGCTCCAGCAGGGAGCCGCCAGCGCCGAAGTCAGCGGCGTGTCCTCGGCCTCCGCGGTGCCCGGTCCTGGGACGGTGACGCCCTCCCCGGTGCCCCAGGAGCGCCTGGCAGGGCAGGCAGGCCGGGGTGGGCGTGGGGGTGGCTGGAGCCAGGAGCAGCTGGGGAGGGCCTGGGAGGTGAAAAGGGCCAGAGGGCCTTGAACTTCCACCCGCAGCTTTGGGAAACCTGTCATTTTTGCCACAGCAAAGAATCCGTCTCGTCTGACCCGCAGCAGACATGGGCCCAGGGAAGCCGGAAGCAGGCCAAGGGAGCTGCTGGGTGGGGACCAGCATGCCCCCCTCGCTCTCCACACCAGAAGGGCCCTCCTGGCTCCAAAGGCCGGGTATAAAGGGACCCCACTGGAGCAAGAGGTGTTCGTTCTGAGCCCCGACCCCGGAGACCCACAGGGTCTCGCCAGCGTGTCTGAGCGCAGGATCTGTCCAGGAGGCCCTGGGGGAATCCTGCCCTGCGGGGGCGCAGGACCCTCTGCGCCTGTCCTGAGGCCTGCCCTGGGTGGGTCCTGGAGCCCCAGGTGACTGCTCTGGCCCCGGTGGGGGGAGGAGAGGGGCTGAGTGGCTGCCCCACCCCCAGGCTCGCCGGGGAGGCCACCTTCTGCAGGTCCAGGTCCTGCCTGGCCGCTCCTGCCTGCACCAGGATGATGCCCAGGATGGCGCTCAGCAGCCCGGCCCCCATGGCTACTCACTTGGTGCCTGCGCCCCAGCACTGGCCTTTATCCAGAGGGGCAGCCAACCGGCCAGTGGTGCCACCCCCAGAGAATGTCCCTGGCAAACCGCAGCTGCTCCTGCCCCGGACACCCACAGCCACCCCCACCCCAGCCGGGCCGGATGGAGCTGCCTGCGGCTTTCCGCTGGATCCCCAGAGCTGGAGAGGTACCTCAGGGCCGCGCCGAGCCCAGGGCCCGGCTCTGGCTAGTGCACCCCGCACTTCCTCACAGGGCTCTTCCTACCCAGGCTTGGGAGGCTGGCATGGTGCCCACGCAGCAGCAGAGCCAGGGGGCCCGCCCTGGGGAGGAATGTGGGCCTGGCCCCTGGGAGGTCTCCCCAGGAGTGGAGGCGGGGCGGGCGGGTGGGTGAGGATGTCCTGGCAGAGGAGAGAGCAGGCAAGGGCGCGGGCTGGCGCGCACAGGCCCACGGCCATGGGGAGGCCCCCGCGGGAAGGGGTCACCCTCCATCCTCCGTCTTTTCTGAGAGAGTAACCAGCCCTGGCCCGCCTCTGCGAAGCACCCCCCAACAGTTTCCTCAGGCCCCCAGTGCACAGGAGGGGGCCCGCAGGCCAGAGGGCCGCCAGAGAGCCCTGTCTGTGCCCCAGGCCGTGGGGTGCCAGGTCCAGCCTCCTCCCCCAGCTGGCCCAGACCCATGGCAAGAACAGCAGGGTGAGGTGGAAGCCAGTTTCCTGGGCACTGGCCCTGACCCCCGCAGGGTGACCCAGGCCGGCTGCTCTGCCTCAGTTTGCCTGTCTGCGATGATGCGGAAGTGAGCAGGTACCAGAAGAGAGGTTTGGGGGAGCGGGGTCACCCCGCCCTGGTGGTCACGAGGGCCCCGGGCCATCTTGGATCCTGGAGAGGGCGCTGCCCCAACAAAGCCTGCTGGGCTGGGTCACGCCGGTGCGGGGGCCAGAGCCGGCCAGCGTCTTGGAGACCAGGGGGAGCTTCCCATGAGCGCGGCTGAAGACTGGCCGACCCCAGCCCGGGTGGAAGGGCCGGGCCCCAGGGCCAGGCATGGCCAGGCAGGGGTGGCCAACAGGACAGGGCCCCTGAGCCCCAGCCAGCAGGGCGGGGTGAGCACGGAGGCCGGTCAGGGCTGATCGCTCTGGCCCTGGGCCTCGAGGCAGCCGGACGCCTTGGAGCAATGGAGCGAGGCCTCCAGCACCTTCCGGCCCTCGGCCTCGGGTGGGTGTGCTCACAGCCTCACGCCCCCTGGCCTGGGCAGTCCCACCTACCTGTGCCTCCGTTTCCTTATTTGTGGAGCCAGGGTCTCGGGGTGATGTGTGTGTCGGGGTCCCTGGGGAAGGCGCTGCCCCCCAGGGTGGTGCTGGCAGCAGCATAGCAGTTCTGGGCCTCACAGGCAGCCTGGGGAGGGCAGAGCCCCCGGCCAACCCCACCCCCACCCGGCAGCGGGCCGCGCGCTCCCAGGGCCCTCCTGGTCCCGTCTGGGCCTCCCAGGCACCCCCGCTGCCCCACAGGTGCGTGGGCCGGGCCCCTGGGCACCAGATGCTGCCTGAGGGGCAGGCCCCTGGGGGCACCCAGCATGGTGCTCCCACCCCTCAGGCAGAAGGAGCCAGCACCAGAGTGCCCTTCACGTCCTCCTCCCTGACTCAGTTTCCCCAGGAGTCCAGGATCAAGATGGGGTCCACTGTGCCCTCCCCGAGGGCCTCTTCAAAGAGGCAAGGAGACTGGAGGCTGCAGAATCTGTTTATTGAAGGGAGGGGGGCACCCAGGGAGAGACCCCAGGGGTGGAGGCGGGGCGGCCAGGGAGAGGCCCGGGGTGGGGGGGGGCATGTGGGCCCAAGGCTCAGGGGGCCGGCGAGGGCTGTGGGTCTCCGGGGCTGGGGGTGCCGAGACCTGCTGCTCCGGGCGGGCCCTGCGGACAGGAGAGCCTTGGTTACCCCCACACTCGGGACAGCGGCCCCGCAGGCTCCCGCCCCTGCTCACACCCCCAAGACCAGCGCAAGCTGACTCTGCCGCGGAGCTCCGGCCCCCGCGCCCGGCCTCAGGCGGGGGCAGCCGCACCCCCGCAGCCTCCTCCTGACCTGAGTGCAGCCTCTGCCCCAGTGGACAGGCCAGCGGGGCAAGAAAGTCCCAGAATCCACGGCAAAACCGCAGCCCCGGCGGCCACCTGAGGGCCACGCAGCACCCTTGACTCTGCGGGCTTGATCTGGAGGTAACGCGTCAGAGCAGGAAGACGGGCACCCACGGGGCAGCAGCCCGTCCTAAGGGTGGCCCGGTGGCTCCCGCGCCCCCTCCTCCCTGCCGCCTCCTGCCCAGCGCGGGGAGCTGCCCGCCTCGCACCGGCGCCCGGGGCGAGTGAGGACCGAGGCCCCCAGCTGGGCACTGGCCAGGGCGGCCGGGGCGAGGGGCGCTGTGAAGGAGCTGGAACCTCGCAGTCAGCCTGCACCAGCCCTGACCCCCAAGGGGCGCTGGGTGCACCGTGTCCATCCTCTGTGGTCTTATGCAAGTCCCCACATTCTTGGGGGTGAACGTGGGCAGCGGGCCTGAGGGCTCTCTGGCGCCCAGCACAGGAGGGTTCCTGAGAGCCTGCCTGTTCCCAGGCTCCGGGGAGCGCCTGGGTGGGCCGGGAAGGCGGCCCCGTGTGGGCCCTCGGTGGGCAGACAGGCCCCAGGAGTCCTGAGGCAGCACCAGGTGCTCCCGGGGTGTTGGGGACACAGCGTACTAGGTTGCAGTGTCCCCCTAGAGTCGAGTCCCTCTGGAACCCTCAGAGGTGCCCTTCTTTGGAAATCAGGTCCCTGCAGGTGCGGCCTAAGGGCCCGCGAGGAGCCCTGGGTGGAGGGTGTCCTCCGAGAAGACACGCGGCGGGAGGGGCAGAGGCCGGCGCAGCCGGGAGCCCGCAGGATAGAGAGCAGGAGCTCTGCCCCACCTGGGAAGGGCCAGGGCGGGCGTCCGGAGGAGCTGGGGTGTCCTCTCGTCCGGCGGAGGAGCACGTGTCTGTGGGACAGAAGCTGAGCTGGCCGCTGCCCACCACCTCTTGCAGCTCCCGAGCCCTGGCAGCCGGGGCAGGGAATGCCACACGCCCTCCTCTCTCGTCACGGAGTGGGGCGGAGGGGGGGGGCGGGGCGGGGCGGGGCCTGGCGGGGTCACCTGACTTGGGCAGCATCACCATGGTGTCCTCCGAGAGCCCCACGGTGGGGTAGAAGTCCCGGAAGGCTGTCAAGGCCTGCGAGCTGGGGTCCTGGGTGCGGCCTGGACAGAGCAGGGCCTCGTCAACACCGTGTCTCTGCGGTGAGGGTGCAGGGAGGGCACGCTGCCCCCCCAGGTTGGGGAGGCTGTATGTACCCCAGGGGTAGCCCTTTCCTTTTCCCACCGGGGAGGCCCACAGGGTGGGGCTTCCCGGCGGTCCAGGCCGGGTTCTCCTGGCCCCACCCGGAGGCATCTCTCCCTGCAGCTCCCCAGGCCAGCCCTGGCCAGCCTTCGTGGCCTCCCCACCTTGGGGCGCCCCCCCCACCCCCAGCAGACGGGCAGCGGACCCCAGGCAGGGTCTCGGGAGGCGGGCAAGAGAGGGAGGGCCCGTCCCGCCTGGGGGGCCGTGCAGGGAGGGAGGGCGTGGGGCCTCACTGTAGAGCTGCGCCACGGTGCTGAGCGCCCCCCGCAGCTCCTTGTGGATGTAGAGCACCGCGAAGGAGATGTAGTCCGTGTCCACCACGCGCACGTCCAGGTAGCCCAGAGCTGCAGAGCAGCCGTCAGGGGGGCACCTTAGGGCAGGCACCCCCACGCTAGCGGCCTCTGCGGTGGACGGTGAGCCCGGCGGGGGCGGGGCGGGAGGGGCTGCGCGAGGGGAGGGCCCCGTCCCGGCACCCTGGGGAGGCGCGGCCGACCTACCCGGGACTCGGAAGTGTCCCTGGGAGCCCACCCGCAGGTACTCGGCCTCCGACTGGTCGCAGCTGCCGGGCCTGCGGGAGCACAGCGCGTCACCCCCGGCCCGCGCCCCGGCCGCCCTCCCCGCCGCGCTCACCGGGGCGACGCCGAGCGGACGCTGAGGTCGCCGTCCGCGCTGGCCGTCACGGCGCGGGTGGACATCAGCAGGCGGTCCTTCTCGCCCAGGAAGACCTTGCAGTCGGAGGCCATGGAGACCACGAACCAGAGGCCTGAGAACTGCAGGGCTCCGTGAGGGTCACCCCCCCACCCCCCGCCCAGCAGGGGCGCAGCCAGGCCCCCGAGCCCAGACGGGACTGAAGCCACCGCGCCCCCAGGGGCCCCACATCCTGAGTCTGAGCCCTGTGGCCCCTTGGGGCCGGCGGCGCCAGCACTGCGGGCCGCAGCTCCCGCCTGCCATGCGCGTCGGTGATCACCATGCAGCGGGCTGTTTCCGCCCAAAGGGGCACAGGCCGGAAGGGCCATTCCTGCCTGGGGTGCCTGGCGCGGTTCAGCCCATCCCTGCTGGCCGGCCACGGGGCAGGGCCCGCAGTACCTTCGTGGCATTAAAATCTGGCTGCAGCAGGACCTCGGCACACGCCTGGGTGGCCCAGAGCAGCACCAGGACGCAGCCCAGGACAGACTTCATCCCTGCACTGCCACACGCTGTGCCCGGTCTGCTCCCCGGCTTTATACCCTGCCCACAGCGGCTCCTGCGAGCAGGTCCAGCAGGAGGCCCCAGCCCTTTGTTCATTGTTTGGCACAATCGCTGGAGTGTCCCCACCAGCCCCAGGGGTCACTTCCTGGAGGCTCCAGGGTGCCAGCTCTGGCTGCCTCGCTCACCTGGGATTAGCCCCCCATGCCTGCCACGCAGTCCCAGGGGCCCAGCAGAGAGCCTGGGTGGCCGGCTGGCCCGGACTATACCCTGGCCCTCCCGCACCCCAGCCTGGTCACGACACCCAGAGCCCTCGGGGGGCAGGCAACCCGGGAACTGCTCTTGCCATCTGGGCCCCCACTAGGTCTGGGGCCTCAGGGTCCTCACTCCTATCCCCTTACACAGGCGGGGTTGCCATCCGGCCTGGGACAGCTGTGCCAGAGAGCCGAGGTGTCCGTGCCCAGCGCCCCGCAGCCCCGCCGGCCTCCAGCAAGCGCGAGGGCACAGCACAGGGCTGGGCCTCCACGTGGTGGATTATGGGATCGCAGCCACCTTATCACAGGTTGCATAAGCGCTCGCCCGGGAGGCGCCGGGGCCGTGGGGGCCGAGGGCACTGGATCTGGCCAGGCCTCTCCAGGGGCCCAGGGTACCTTGGGAGCAGCGCCAGCCCTAGGACCCGCCGCCCTGTGACCAGGGGTAGGAGGGGTGGAGGGACACGGCGGGTGGGAGAAAGACCCTCATCCCCCAATGGGGAGGAAGGGGAACTGGGCTGCTGCGGCCGTGGGAGAGCTGGGGTGCTGCGGCCGTGGGGATCCAGAGGCACCGGCTCCCAGCCAGGTCCTGGGCACTGGGGAGACAGAGGAAAAGCCTTTCCGTGAAAATATTTACAAAGCACACCTCCGATAAAGGACTTACGGTATAAAGGACAAAAACCAAAAACCTTAAAAAAAACACACAAAGGATTTGAAAAGACATTTCACCAAAGACGCCCAGGTGGGAAGTGGACATAGGAGGCTGCGCATCCGGACAGGGGGCGCGTCCAGATGGGGGGCGCCCACACCTGCCAGGTGGCAAACACACTGAGTAGGTGCTGCAACGCCAAGAGCTGGTGAGGACCTGGAGCAGCCAGTGTGTCCCTCACCTGCACCTGCAGCTACATCTGCGCCTGACTGGCACCTGCGCCTGACCCGCACCTGTGCCTGCACCTGACCTGCACCTGTGCCCTGGACCTGCACCTGACTTGTGCCTATGCCTGACCTGCACCTGTGCCTGCTGGGGGCAGGGGCACAGCTGTGTGGCAGGACGCACAGGAAGACAGCGGCCAATTCTCACAGACACTTACCACCCTGGACGGCGCTCCTGGGCATCGCTTGAGAGAAGTGGAAACTCCTCCACGCGCGCCTGCCTGAGCTTCAGGACTTTATGCTCCGTCACCCGGAGGTAAATACGATCGAGGGCCTCCCCGGTGGCGCAGCGGTTGAGCGCCGGGTTGCGAAGCTGCCCGCAGCCTCTGCTGCACCGGTTCGATCCCCAGCTGCTCCCCAGCCACCGGAGGAGGGTCCCACATGGCGCGGCAGACCTCTCCTGCCGCCCGCTGCTCCCCTCAGCAGTGTACTTCGGTCCTTCTGCCTGCTCTGCTCCCCGCTCTGGCTCTGGTGAATTCTCTTGCCCTCCCGTGCTTCTGACTGTTCCCGGTGCTTGTATAAATAAATAAATAAAAATAAATCTTTTAAAAAAAAAAAATACGATCGAATGCCCCTGGGTGGGGAGGGTGGCCAACCGCAGTCCTCCACCCAAGAGACCTGCTCATGAGTGAAAACAACAGACCAGTGCGTGAAACGTGGTGAACCCCACATGCTTCATCACCCCAAGAGCAGCCAGTCTGAGAGCGCTACTGTCTGGGTCCCCTTTCTAGCACATTCTGGAACAGGCAACCCCGTGATTGCAGGGGCTAGGGAGGGGCGGCTGACTGCACAGGGCGGGTGGAGACTTGGGGCGCTGCATGTGGGGTCACACGCCTGCTCACCCTTGTCTGAGCTTGCAGAGTTGCAGGCGGGAGACTGCTGTGTGTGCACTACAGCTCGGGGTTAGTGGCGGACATGAGCCACAGCAGACAATCTCCCCGATGCCTCCTGGGGGCCCCGGCAGGGCGACCCCAAGGAGCCCAAAGCCCCAGGGTATGGATGAGATCCCGGCTCCCCTCTCCTGGCCAGCAAGCGCCACCCACATTTTCTCCTGTTTACGTTGTCGGCTGAGACAAACACGAGGCTAACTAAAGCAGTATCCGTCTGGAGCCTGCGACAGGCCCACGCAAGAATCAGTGCTGACTGTCATGGGGCTCGGCCTCAGGCCTCAGGGCGCGAGGGCGAGCTCCGCCTCCACTGCGTGTGAGTGTGCGCACGGATGAGCCAGTGCATGTGTGAGTGAGTGTGAAAGTGACTGAGGGAGTGAGAGCAAGTAGTTAGTGTGAGTGAGGGTCAGTGAGTTCCACCCAAGTTTCCTCTCCCCAGAACGAGGCCTGGGGGAAGATCGTGAAAATATTTACAAAGCCACCTCCGCTAGAGGACTTACGGTGCAAAGTCCCCATGGGCCCCGCAGTGGGGGGTCCTTCCCGCACGAGCCCCAGCTGAGGGGTGGCGGCAGCCTGGGGAGGCCCACAATGATCTCCAGGACCGGCTCCTGGTCCTGAGGCTGGACCTCAGGGGCAGAAGAACTCGCAGCAGCTGAAGGGCTTCCAGAAAGTTCCCCTCCAACTCTTCAGCCCAAGGGTAGGCGCTGTGGGGGGCAGCACGCCCCTGCTGGGACAGGTGGCCACAGAAGGGCCCCCAATGCGCGCTCAAAGGTAGGTGGCTACCCACACCTGCGAGCCCCAGGGCGGGACTAGGCCTCTGACTTCGTCCTGCTCAAAGTGCAGTTATGGCGGCCGCAGACCCCAGCCTAGTGGACCCCGGGTCCCGCAGGCGCTCAGGGCCGGTTCTCTGGGAGGCCGTCCACGCCGCCTGGCCCTGGGGCTCAGCCCACCGCCGTCCCTCCCTGGCTTGGGGGCTGCTGAGCCAAACCCATTTGCCGGACCAGGACCAGCCCGTGGGGTGTTTCAGGTGTGGGGGTGAGGGCGAACCCCGCTCGGCAGGGGCTGGGAGGTGTGTGTGCGTGCACGTGTGCGTGTGTGGCAGGGCCGGGCCGGGCCGGGCCTGTGTTTTCCTTCTGTCACGCTGCCGGTTGCTGGATCTCGAGCCTGTTTCTCCTCTGGGAGGTGGCGCGTGAGGCTCTGGCCGGCTGCCCCTCCTGGGGACGTGCCCCAGGGGCTGTGACGGGCTTTGGCTGCCGTGCATTCCTTGGCACTGCCAGGCGGGCCACTCTCCGAGCCGTGGGGTCTAGACCGCTCTCCACGCGCCTCTGCGGGAGCCAGAGCCACTCTGCGCCCCCTGCGGGGTGCAGGCCCACACCGTGCCCGGTCCAGAGCAGAGGGGCCGCTGGGGCGCCCCTGGGGTTCAGTAGAGGGTGCCCTGTGGCTCGCCCGGGTCGGCGGCAGGTTCTGCCCACGGGAGGGAGCTGGTGCCGCGACCAACGAAGACCAGCCCCTCCCGACCCCCCGAGCAAAGCCCGGCTCCTGCAGGGCCCAGCCCCTGGGCGAGCACCCACGCAGCCGCCGCCCTCCCCGTGCGGGCACAGTCCAGCCGCCTGTCCCGAGCGCCCGAGGCCACTGCTCGGGAGGGCCGGAGGGCCGGTCTGCTCGCGGGTCTGAAGACCCCGTCCCTCCCCTGCACCCCTCCCCTGCCCGAGCCCCCGCCCCTCCACGAGAGGCCCCGCCCGACAGAGGCCCCGCCCCCCGGCAGGCCCCGCCCCCACCTTATCCTCGCTCTGGCGCTTGTGCTCAGGCCCCGCCCCCTAGGCCAGCCCCCGCCCGGGCCCGCCCCTCCCCGAGGCCCTGCCCCAACTTTACCTTGTTCTGCGCGTGCGCGGCTAGGCCCCGCCCCGCCGCCGCCGCGGAGAGCCCGGGGCGGGCCGGGTGGACGACGCCGGGCCGCCCGGCACCCGGGGAGGCCGGGACGCGGGACCGGGCGCCGGGCCCAGCAGCCGGCCTGAGCGGGCGGGGGCTCGGTGGGGCGCCCCGTCCGCAGAGGGGCGGGGCCGCCTGGGGGCAGGGCGCCCCGAGAGCTCCCCGGGCAGCCGAGCGTCCCGCAGGGGCCGGGCCGCGTGGCAGCCTCAGGCCGGGCCCCGGGGCTGGCCGGGCCCTGCGCAGGCTCGGCCGCAGACGCCGCTCCCAGGGGTGGCCGCCGCCGGTGCTGCGGCTCCCCGCGAGGGGGTCTGAGGCCCAGACACCTGCCTGCTGCAGGGGAGCTTGCGAGCCCGCCGCCCCGGCCCCCGCCCCGCGCAGCCGGAGCCCCGGCCGGGCCCAGCCCCGCCCGCCGCCCCAGCTGCGGACTCCGTGACCAGCTGTCGGGTGACCCAGTGGAGTCGCAGACGTGCAGCGACCTCTGGCTGTCCCTGGAGTCGGGGCGGCTCCCAAGACGGGCACAGGTGAGGGGGGCACGGCCTGGGCCCCGGGCGGGCTGTCCAGCGTGCCCAGGCCCCACTGCAGAGCCGGACCGGCAGGAGGAAGGCCCGGGAGCGGGCGTGGGGCTGGGGCGCCGTGGGTGCAGAGTGAGGCGCGTGGGCACCAGGAGAAGAGCCGCGGGGTGAGCAGCCCTGCACCAGACACGGAGCCGGCTGCCGGCCTGGCCCTCCCTTTGGCCGCCAGCCGGGGGGCTCTGCTGTCTGTGACCCCTTGGTCTTGCAGGCGGGCGCAGCTAGGCAAGCTCCAGGGCGCGGGAGACCTGCAGCAGCCGCCCCAGTGCAGCCCTGCACCGGACGCTCCGCTGCGAATGCCAGGTCTGCACTGCCGACTACCTCTGCCCACCCCGGCTGCGCTGGACGACTGGCCTCCCTGGACAGCTGGCCTCCCGCGGGGCAGGAGTCTTGGAGAGCCTGGCAGATGCACACTGGTGTTGGGGCAGCGGTCCTGGGGCGCATGGTGGACTCTGGTGCTTTCTGGCCTGGCACCCCCAGAGTGGGGCTAATAAACACCTGTTTTGTTCTCTTACCTGAGTCCCAACGCAATTGGGAAACCAAGTGTTAGAAGCTGAGTCACCTTCGTGCCCCAGCCGACGCTGGAGGGCGTGCCTTGGGGCGCCCTGGGCAGGTGCTCCAACCCGGCCCAGGCAGTTCCCCGGGGCAGTTCCCTGGGGCCGTGTCCCTGCACCTTGGTGGAGGAGCGGAGTGGGGACTCGGCCAGTGGGGCCTGGCTCCCAAACCACGGGGCAGGTCTCTGGAAGGAAGCACCTGGGCTGCCACCTCACCCGCTCGGAAGGGAGGGGCCGGGGAGCGGCGGAGTTGAAACCGGGTACCCAGCACCCTCAGCACCGGCTTCTGGGTCAACCTGGAGACACCAACAGGGCCTTGCCGTGCCCTCACCCAATCCCTGCGCGGCCTGGCTCAGCGGTCACACACAAGGATGGTGGCTGAGCAAGCGACCGGCCGCGGGGACCTGTGAGGGAGCTGGAGGCCAGCCAGCCCCAGAGCCCGCCGGGAGCACGTCCACTCCAAGCCCAGTGGAGGGCCAGGCTCCTGGTCGGTTCCCTGCCCCAGGACCTCCAGCCCTGGTTCCCCCACAGGGTCTTCACGGCCCCGGAAGGCTGCACCAGCCCCAGCCCTTGTGTCTTCATCCCAGCGCACAGGAAAGAAGGGAGGAGCAGTTCTCCCACCACCTCTGCTTACCCTGTGACCAGGACCGGGCTCACACCCCGCCCCTTGGAGCCCCAGCAGGGCTGCCCTTGATCTCCGCGGGAGCCTTCCTGGGGGGGGGGCATGTGCCCCCCTAAAATAAGGGGGGTGGATGAGGGAGACCTCATGTGGTAGGACAGGGAGCAGGCTCTGCCTCAGGCCCTGGAGAGCCGGCCTGCCAAAGCAGCAACCCCAGGGGTGGGCTGGGTTCTGAAGGGGGCAGTGATCTTGGAGTCCGAGACAGACTCACCAGGATGGGGGGAGAGTCTGAGAGGCCCAACTGGACGCCAGTGCTGTGACCGTGGGTGTGGGCCGAGGGCAGGGGTGACCCCAGGACCTCCGAGCACGGCCTGCTTGGAGACAGCGCCTTGCGAGAGTGAGCGCTGGAGGTGCTGAGCCGGCCAGGCCAGTGTGCTTATAGGGGGACCTGGACCAGGGCATGGAGGGGTGAGCAGGGCACAGGGGGCCGAGGAGGTCTCCTGCACACCTGGGCCCTGAGGGCCAGCCTCCAGGGCTCAGGGGCAGCTTCCCTGGTCTCCGCCTGGCGCAGGGGTGGGTGTGGCTGGTGTGTGCCCTGAGTCTGAGACTGGCTGGTGCTGGGGACCCGCGGCTCCAGGAAGCCCAGGGTGCGGCGAGGAGGTGGGCCCCTCCCCTCCTGGAGTGAGTGGCCTCTAAAGCAAGACCTGGGAGTTCCCAGAAGGTGGAGGGGGCAGAGCAGGCTGGGCTCCCGGCCAAGGTCGGGGAGAGAGGGCCAGGGCTGGGTCCCACCCACCGGGTCATGCAGGCATGGGCTTGAGCTCGGGGGCGGGGGCGTTGGATGAAGACCCGGCGGCAGTCGGGGCATGGGAGTTTGTAGGAAACTCAGTGAGGAGAGATGGAGGGTGCAGAGGCACTGTCGGGGTGCAGCACCAAGCCACACCCATCACCTCTATGGAAGAAAGGCAGCTTGCCCCGGCTGCTTCCCAGCGGCCCCCCTGAGGCAGCGGGGGTGGGGGGCATCTGGAACTCCGGGCTCCTGGCGTCGAGAACCCTCCCTGTCTCCAAGGGCCGAGGTTCCGGGCACAATGTGCAAGGCAGTTGTCCTGAGCCGAAGGACTCGGGAGGGGTGCCGGACAATGCACAGGGAGGAGGACACGGAGGAGCAGATCCAGGAGCTGAAGACCATCACTCGGCTGCAGGGTGAGCCGCCTGCCGGCCAGGGCCTTGGGCGGCCAGGGCAAACTGTGGGCAACCTGCCCACCCGCCCCCAGGGGACTGGGAGAAGAGGGGCTCTGAGGACTCTGTGAGCTAGTGGGCCCCGGAGGCAGAGGGACGGGAGGGCCGCCAGCCTGCATGGCTGAGGTGGGGAAGGACCATAGCTGGTGCCCATCCTGGCTTCCGCCTCGCGCTCCCCACTGCCCAGCACAGCTGCCCATTGAGAGCGGTCAGGGGGTCCAGACAGGCACTGCCAAGCAGCAAGGCTCACGTCCACCAGAGCAGGCACTTCCCTGAGGCAGGCCCTTGCCACACTTCTGGGCTCCTGGCCACCCGCTGACCTCCCATCCTTGACCTTAGAGCAATGCCGGGCGCTCCAGGTCCAGGCCATAAAGGAGAAGGCCGTCAAGAACAAGGCCACGCTGGCCCTCCTCAACAGCAACATCCGCCGCGCGGCCCAAGACTGGGCCTCGACCAGGAAGGTAGCGGCCCCCGCCAGCCGCCCCGCAGCAGCCCCACCTCTCAGGAGCCGCGGGCCCTGGGGGCAGCCTGGGTGCCGTCCAGCCGGGGACAGGCCCCCGAGCAGGAGCACTGGCCAGCCCAGAGGGAGGGCCGCGGTCTCGCTGGGGTCCTCTCCTGCCAGCCCCGGCACGGCCGCTCTGGCCCCAGCCTGCAGGGAAGACGCGGGCCCCCTCGTGGGCCCGTCACCTGCGTGCGGGGACGGCCTGAATGGGGCCCGGGGTGTCCGCGGCCCCTGGGGCCCCAGGGCCGGGGCCCGCTGCCTGCGCCCCACTCAGCACCCCGCTCCGCAGTCCGACCAGCGGATCATCGCCAGGGCCTGCGGGAAGGACCTGTCCACGCGGCTGGCGCACTGCCCCCACACCATGGAGGTAAGGGGTGGGGCCCTCCGCCCGCCCCACGCAGGGGCGCGCGGCCGTGGGCCCCCTGCGCCCCTCGCGGACCGGCCTCCCCGCAGGTGGCGCGGGACAAGCTGCGCAAGTACGTGCACGACCGCGAGAGGGCGCACAACGCGCTGAGCCACCTGGTGCGGCGGCGCGGGCAGAGGCTGGACAGCCTGCGCCGGGAGCTCGCCCGCCTGCAGGGCCAGCCGGGCGCCACGCGCGAGGAGCGGCGGCAGCTGCAGGTGGCGCGGGCCGGGGCGGGGCCGGGGCGGGGCCGGGGGGGCCGGGGGCGACAGCGCGGTCGGGGCGGGCCGGGGGGGGACAGGGCGGTCGGGGGCGTGGCCCGGAGCGGGGCGGGGCGGGGCCCGGAGCGGGGCGGGGGCGGGGCCGGGACAGGGCGGGCGGGGGCGGGGCCGGGACATGGAGGCCGGGGCCGGGACAGGGCGGTCGGGGGCGGGGCCTGGAGCGGGGCGGGGGCGGGACATGGCGGCCGGGGGCGGGGCCTGGGAACAGGGCGGGGCGGGGCGGCCGGGGGGACATGGCGGGGGGGGCCAGGGCGGGGCCGGGCCAGGGCGGCCGGGGGCGGGCCTGGAGCGGGGCGGGGGCGGGACATGGCGGCCGGGGGCGGGCCTGGGGAACAGGGCGGGGCGGGGCCCAGGGGGGACATGGCGGGGGCGGGGCCAGGCCAGGGCGGCCGGGGCGGGGCCTGGAGCGGGGCGGGGGCGGGCCAGGGCGGCCGGGGGCGGGGCCGGGGGACAGGGCGGGGGCGGGCCGGGCCGGGCCGGGCCGGGCCGGGGCGTGCGTCCCACCTCCCGGGCGCGGCTCCCGGGAGGACCCGGCAGCGCTGTCCGCGCGGAGACCCGCCGCGCAGGCGGCCCCTGCCCTCCTCTCCGCCCCTGCGGGCGGCCGGCCGGCCCGTCTCACCGAGCCCCGGCGCCCCAGGTCATCCGCCAGCTGGAGAACAACATCGAAAAGACGGTGGTCAAGATCAACTCGAGCCGGCACATCCACCTGCTGTACGCGCACCTGCTGGATTACCTGAAGAAAGTGAGGCCCCGCGCACGCCCGGGGCGCCGGGGCGCGGCACCCCCGCCCCTGCGGCTTCCCCCAGGCCGGGCCCGGACGGCCCTCCCTCCTCTGAACCCTCCGCTGTTCCGCAAGGGGCACACCGGGCCCGCGGCCCGCGCGTGTGTGCAGTGCTTGGCGTGGCTCCGCCGCACCCTCCCTGCCCTGGAGGACGCCCCGAGGGCCTGCCAGGAGCCCCCCAGGGGCAGGGCCGCGCCGCGTGCCCCTCCGAGCAGGCCGCGGGGCAGCCACCGCCCACCCTCCCAGCAGCGGCCCCTCCCAGGAGGCCGGGCAGGGCCTGCCATGGAGCTGGACTCCTTGGCGGGACCCCTGCCCGCCCCCAGCGGAGCACAGCAGATGGGGCAAGGGCCACAGAGGGGCTGCGCGAGGGAGGGAGGGGCGGGCAGGAAGGCGCCCAAATGCCTTCACCTGAGGCTGGGGAGGGAGCCCTAGAAGGCCCTGAGTGGGGGGCGGCGGCTGAAAACGTGGCTTGGAGGGTGAGGTGGGGGCACAGCTCCCAGGCCCATCCCCGCCATCCAGCACACGGCCCCGCCAGCAGGCGCACCTGCCTGCCCGCCCCGCCCCCCCCCGCGAGTCCTGGCCTTCCATCACTTCGTGTGCCCGGTGGGCAGCCTCCTTAGATAACAGCACTTTACAAAGTAACTCCTGAGGTCACTTGCGTGTTTTAAGGAACTGAAGGTTCTGCACATGACCACTGCCCACAGACCGCGGAGCCCAGGTGGCACCACGGGGGCTCGGCCCTGAGCCTGGCTGTGCTTCCCGCCAGGCCAGGCCATTGGCTACCCCACCCCCAGGCACCTCCAGGCTGGCAGCTGCCTTAGCCCTCAGTGGGCCCTGCTAGCTGCCCTCTGTGGACTTCCCTTCGGGCACAGTGGGCGCATGTCCTGGGAACTCCACGTCAGGTGCAGGATGGGGTCCCACCTGATGCCCCCTGTGGGACCACAGGACGCCAGAGAGGGGCGGGGAGGGGGTGCTGGCAGGGCCAGGCAGCACTGGACAGCACCTGCCTCTCCCCTCCACACAGGAGCTGGTCGGGTACTCCACACAGCTGGACAAGCTACAGACCCTGGTGGTCAGCTACTGCTCAGAGCTTTCGGACATGACCGTCATGTCCCATGATGCCATGATGATCACGGATGAGGTCAAGGTGAGCCTGGTTCCAGGGCCCTGCGGAGGCCACCTGCACCTGCATGGCAGCAGGGGCCAGCCGGCGCCCCTCCTCCCCGGGGTGCCAGGACCCGCTGCAGGGATGCGACCTGAGGGGTATGAGGAGGTGCAGTGCTCAGGCCCCGAGACCCGGGCCACAGGGCAGGCACGCGGGGCCTGCTGGGGCGGGGTCTGGGCAGGTTCGGGCCAGGCCAGAGGGGCTGGGGGCCTGCAGGAGGGTGGGCAAAGGTCCTGGTACACAGGGTGCCCGCAGGTTGCGGAGGACAGCAGCCTGTGCCGTCAAGGCAGTTCCACTGTGGACACAGGGTGGGGGTGGGCAGCAAGGGTGGGGTGCAGGCCCTGCCCGAGCCAGAGCCCAGGGAGGGGTGGGGGCCGCCAGGCTTGTTACAAAATGGGTGCCCCCTGGCTGGAGACCGGAAGGAGCCAGAGCAGACTAGTCACTAGGGCCAGAGCAGTGGCGGAGGGTGCTGGCCCCAAGCAGACAGACCAAGAGGCCTTTAAGAGGCCACCTGAGGTCTGGCAGCGGGTGGGATGTGGGCGCGGGAGCGGCGTGCAGGGCGCATGGGCTGGCCCGGGCGGACTCGAACTGCAGGGAGGGGTGTGGCCATCAGCCTGGACGGCTCTCGGGGCTCTGGGAGGACGAGGACCGAGAGCGGTCGCTGGTTTAGTGCCGGGGGGTCTCAGGAGTCGGACGCCCACCCCCACCCTGTGTCCCCAGCGGAACATGCGGCAAGGCGAGGCCACCTTCATCCAGGAGCGCCGGGCGCGGGAGAACCGGCTCAACCAACAGAAGAAGCTGATCGACAAGGTCTACAGCAAGGCGGCCAGCGAGAAGTACCGCCGGGTGAGCTGGGCCCCTGCGGGCGGCCGAGGGGGCGCCCCCGGCCCAGGCCACTCACCTGCACCCCTCCCGGCAGGGCCAGCAGGACCTGGACTTCCCCACCAGCCTGATGGGCCTGGAGATGGCGAAAGGTGCGCCGAGGCCTCAGCCCCACCCGCCCCAGCCAGGCCTGAGGCCCCGAGCCAGGTGCCAGCTGTCCCCGCGGGCGTGAGCCCGGCCCTCCCAGCCGCCTCCGCTGAGGCCGAGCCCCGCAGCCACCGGCTCACCTTCCAGGGAGCTCAGTCTGTGGCCGTCCCAGGCGTCCCACCCCACCCCTCGCCCCTCAGAAAGGACACAGCCCCGCTGGCCCTGAGAAGCGCTATGCTGTCCCCACCCCGTGGGCCCCGGGCCGCCCAGGAGGGAGCAGACGCAGGGGTCGAGCCTCAGAGCCTCCCTCTGCTCTGCCCAGTGATGAAAACACGGGCCTCCAAGGCTGAAATCCAGTACCAGAAGGACGTGGCGGCTCCGGTGGAGAAAGTCAAGGCCGCCGTGCGCTGCTCCCACCTTTGGGTATCGCTCCCCACGCCCGCCAATGGGGCCCACGCACCCGAGACCCGACCTGGGGTGTGGCCTCAGCCTCCACTCAGGCCCCACCCCACCGGCAGCGCCGCAGGAAGCCGGGGCTCCCAGTACCCCACGCAACCCGACCGGGATTAGCAGCACACCTCCCGCGCCCGCCGCGTCACCCTGGCCCGCGGTGGCCACCGGGTCTCGGGCCACATCCACATGGCTGCTCTCCTGCGGCCCCAGGACATCGCCGGCCGCTTCCTGGCGCAGAGGCACACGGAGGAGAACCTGGACCTGCAGATGGAGGACTGCGAGGCGCGGCGGGCGCGGCTGCAGGCCCTGATGCAGAAGCTGGAGCTCGAGGAGGCCGTGCTGAGGTTCCAGCAGACGCCCACCTCCACCAGGTACCGCGGCCGCTCCTCCGGGCCGCCACCACCCGCCGCATCCTCGCAGACAGCCCCCCCCATGTGGGGCTGGGGCTGCCGCCGCCAGGAAGCCTAGGAGGAGCCACCGAGTCCCCGCCAGGGACCCCATGGGAGCCTTCCTTGCCCGGGCAGAGCTGCCGCCATGTCTGGGGGCCCTGCCAGCACCCCCGTGGGAGTGGCCCGGCCCCCTGTGGGCCTGGGGTCTGCCACCTCCTTTCCCACCCGCCCTCAGCTTTGAGTCGCTGGAGAGGAGAATGCAGGACATGCTGAGAGAAGAGGAGCAGCGGCTGCAGCTGGCCCTCGTCAACACGAGCAGAGGCCAGCAGCTGCTGCTGACTGTCCAGACGGGTATTGACAACCTCTACGTCCGCCTCATCGGCGTCACCATGCCCGGCACCCAGGCGCCTACAGCCCCCGGCGCCCTGGACATGTACAGCAAGCTGGCCTTCTGCGAGGGCAGGCTTGTGCAGCTGGCCAACAGCGTGCAGGCGCTCGCCGGGACCCAGGAGGTAGCTGGGGCTGGGGGGAGGCGCCCGCCTGGCCGCTGTCCCTCAGAGCCCACAGCCCCGACCTGCAGGTCCACGCCAAGGTGAGGGACGCCCTGGAGTCCTCGACTCTGAGGGAGCAGCAGAACACCAAGATCAGCTTCGAGGACCTGGAGGACGACATGATAGGTACAGGCCGGCTGGGCGGGGCTGGAGGGGGAAGGGGACCAGCAGCAGGTGCTGGCCGCTGGACCGGGCAGCCTGGGGGCACCCGTGCGAGGTGCAGGCACAAGAGGGCGTGTCCGTTGTACCCCGGGATTTCAGTGTATGGAGGTGGCGGGGTGGGGCCCAGACAGGTGCCAGGGGGCAGAGGGGAGGGCGCGGCGCGGGCGCCCCGGTGGGCAGAGGCGAGGGCGCCAGCGCAGCCCCTGCCTTGCAGAGACCTTCCACTTCGCCGACATGGACCACAGCTACGTGCCCACGCGGGCCGAGATCAAGAAGAAGGCGCAGCAGCTGGTGGACGACAAGCTCAAGGTGACCAAGAAGAAGAGGAAGTGACCTCCCGGCCCGCCCCGCTGTTACACAAATAAACATTTTTCTTGGACGGCTGGGCCCGGGACGCAGAGGCGGGGTCTGGCGGGGGAGGCGCGGTGTTCGCCGTGGACCTGGGCCCCGGAGCTTGGGGGCGGGAGCGCGCCAGGGGACAGGGAAGGGGCGGGCGCGGGTCACCGCGGCCCCGAGGCCAGCGGCCGAGCCCGAGCTGCCCGCGCGCCACCGCACTCCCGTGGCCCTCGCGGCGCCCCGTAACGACGCGTCCGCTCCCGCACCGCTCTGCGCATGCGCGTCTGCGTGCCGCCGCACTCCCGTGGCCCTCGCGACGACCCGTAGCCACGCGTCCGCGCCCGCATCGCTCTGCGCTTGCGCACCAGTGCGCCGCCGCACTGCCCTGGCCCTCGCGGCGCCCCGTAGCTGCCCGCCCCGCCCCGCCGCGCCGGCGCCAAGATGGCGGCGCTGACGAGCGGGGAGCGAAGCCGCAGCCGCTGAGGCCCGAGCCTCTCGAGGCGGGCGCCCGGCCGCCGGGACCCCGGCCTGAGGCCGCACCGGGTCCGGGCCGCCGGGATATGGTGCGCGCCGCGCCGCGCCGCTGCCACCTCTGCCGCTGAGCTCGCCGGCCGCGCCGGGCTCGGACGTCGGAGCGGGAAGATGTTTTCCGCGCTCAAGAAGCTGGTGGGGTCGGAGCAGGCTCCGGGCCGCGACAAGAACATCCCCGCCGGCCTGCAGTCCATGAACCAGGCGCTGCAGCGGCGCTTCGCCAAGGGGGTGCAGTACAACAGTAAGTCGGCCGGCCCGCGGCGTGGCGGCAGGCGGGGTCCCGGGGCGCGGGGCGGGGGCCGGTGGGGCCCGCGGGCGGCGCGTCCACTGTCCGCCCCTGGGGTCGGGAGCCGGTGCCGGCCGGGGGCCCGCGCCAGAGCGCCCCGGGCCGGAGGCGGAGTCGGGGCCCGCGGCCCGGGCGGGGAGCTGCCGCTGGAGCCCGTGCGCTGAGCTCCCCGCAGAAGCCGCCCGGGCGGGGCCGGCGCGCCGCGCGGGGCCCTGATTGGCCCAGGTGACCTCGGGGCGCGAGGCTTACGTAACCGAGAGCCGGCGCCCCTGGAGGGGTGCGAGCCCCCCGCTCTGGTGGCTGGAGCTTTGGGGCTTTTGGGTGGACTTGGTGTTCAGTTGGGAGGTGCCATAGCAGCCAGGCCACTTTATTGCCCGCCGCTCTCCCCCCTCTTTTTTTAAAAAAGATTTATTTATGCATACAGGAGCCGGGGTGCAGGCCAGAGGTGCGGGGGGCGAGACGACTCCCCAGAGAGTGGGGAGCAGAACAGGCGGATCCACGGAAACACACTGCTGAGGGGGCAGCGGGGAGACGGGAGAGTCTGCTGCGCCCCGTGGGCAGCTCCCTGGCCGGGCATGGAACTCGCGCTGCAGAGGCTGTGGACGGCTGCAGAGCGCTGCGCTTTTGTGCCGCCAGGGAGTTCCCGCTCTCCCTTTTTGGAGAGCCTTTGTAACGGGTATATTCAGAAAGCTCCAGGGAGCACGGAGACGCCTTCCCCGTGGGGAGAGGCGCTCTGTGCAGAGGCCAGTCTTGGGGTATAAATTTTGTAAACCGCGCAGCCCGCCATCCCACCGTCCTGTTGACCTCTGGCGCCTCTGTCCTGCCGCCTTCCCTGGTGGCATTTACAGGCCTGTCCCTGCTTCCGAGGGTGTCCTCCAGCACTCTCCTGTGTGCCACGGTCTCCCCGCCCCTGGCCACTTCGGGGGAGCCTCTGTGCTCACAGCGACTTACTCTGGCAGGCTGCGGAGACTTGTGCAGGCTTAAAAGAAGTTTCGTGTGGACGTTTACACCCCCGTGCGCGTGGCCCAGCCAGGGCGGGCAGCAAGGGAGAAGACTCACGCTGATTCCCGACTCGGCGTTTGAGCCTCTCGTGCCTACAGTGTTGCTTTACACCCATCCTGGGTCCTTTGAGGGTGAGACGCGGAGGTTGCACTTGCCCGCCTCCGCCACACTCCTGCGAGGGGGGCGCGGGCTTTGCCCCAGAGAAGGAAGCCCCCTCGCCTGGGTCTCCGGAGTGGAGGGGTGGGGTGGGGTGGGGTGGGGAGGGGTGGGGCAGGTGAGTGAGCTGCCGGCGGGAGGCTTTTGAAATTGACTTCCCCGCGGTGGCCGCGGGTGTTTTCCAAACTGGCCAAGCGATAGCCGCGGGCTCGGGAATTTTCTGGGTGACAGTTGATGACTCCCAAGTACACGAGTTGTCTCTTGTTAAACGTCATTCTCCCGGGACCTCGGAGTCATTTTCTATTAAATTTGCCATCGCTGGCCTGGGGGATCCTGCAGGCACAGGGCGCGCCGGGAACGGACCCCCGTGGAGACGCCGGACCACGCGCCCCAGGTCCCTGCGGGCCAGGGGGAGAGAGTGGCCAAGCCCTGCCCCTGCTGCCCGGGGCACCGCTCAGCCCCGCGCTTGGCCGACGGGTTCCCCCCGGGTCCCTCCGCTGACGGGCTGCGTCCCAGCGGTGGAGCCCCCGGCCGTGGGCAGCGCCCTGCCCGTCGGGTCTCAGCGTTAAGGGTAGAAGTGGGTGGACGCCCTTCCTCGCCGAGACTCTGCTTTCTGGGGCAAGAGCGTTTCTGCTGGAAATCTGCGGCCGCGCCGAAGAGCCGCGCGCCCCTGCGGACTCCCGGTCCAGCGTGGGCCGTGTGGCCTGCGTTCCCGATGGGTGCCGGCCCCGGACCCAGCTGCCCAAAGCCAGCCGCGGCGACGGGGGCGCGCGGGCCTCTGGGTGGGTGCTCCAGGCCGCGGGGCTGAGGGGACACCACCACTTTGAGGGAGACCACTTTGAGGGGTTCTGAGCAGAAAAGGCCCTGCCACGTGGGGGAGCGGGAGGGCGGGGGCAGGGTCTTCGGAGACGGCGGCCCTGGCGAAAGGCTGAGGCGCAGTCGCTGGTCACCGGCGTCAGAGGGAAACCACAGGCGCTTCCTGGGCGTGCGAAGGCCGCTTCCCTGCGGGGGCTCAGGGACGGCGCACTGACGCTGCCACCCGGACGCCCGGGCCGGGGCACCCCAGGGCATGTCCCGGCGGCCCCCGAGCTGCTGGCTCCGGGGCCGTTTTCTTTTCATGTCTTCCTCTGCCGGCTTCTCCGCCCCCCCACCCCGCAGTCCCATGGCCCCCCATTGGCGCCGGGCCGAGCGCGGGCTCCCGAAGCCAGCTTGAGCTTTTACTCCAAAGCGGAGACTTTTTTCAAAAAGATGTATTGGTTTTTTGACGCGCACGCGAGCTGGGGCGCGGGCCAGAGGCAGGTGAGAGGATTCCCCAGAGACAGCGGGGAGCAGGGCCGGCGGATCTGCTGAAATCCACTGCTGAGGGGAGCAGCGGGGAGACCGTGAGGTCTGCTGCGCCCCGGGGGGTCACTCCCTGACCCGGGATCGCACTCGAGCTGCAGGAGCCGCGGACAGCCTCACAGCGCTGCGCTCACCCCGCGGCACAGGGAGGCCCCCAGAGCGCAGACTTCTCAACAGGTGAAGCCAGGTCGCTCCTGGTACCCCGGGGCTGCTTTTGCTTCACTTTACGTCTGCGGGGAGCACGATCCGTTCTAGAGAGAAGGCCAGACTTCTCAGTCACGACCACACGAACGAGTCATGCTTTGAGCCCCGTGAAGACACGGGCGGGGCCTCCAGGCCGGGCCACGGGGCGCCGAGGGCGCAGGGTGACGGGCGGCTTCGTGTCTGGAAACTGAGCCGCTTGCCCGTGACCCGGTGGGAGGCAGAGCCCTGGAGAGCAGAAGGACGGCGGCGCCGGGAGGGGGGGCAGCAGGGGCGTGCGCGGCGCCCACACAGCAGATGGGGGGGTCGCCCTCCCCGGGTCAGGCCCAGCCGCAGGCGGCACAGGCCAGGCGGGGCCAGCAAGGCCTGGAGGAGACCAGCCAGGAGGCAGTTGGGGCGTGGCTGCCCGCCAGTGGCCTCGGTGAGGGCGGATCAGCAGCATCGACGGCCAGGGAGAGGGTCCTGCGGCCCCACCGGGCCCCTCGGCCGGACCAGGGACACCAGCAGAGTGTGGCGGGGGCCGGTCAGGCCCGGCGTGCGGAGGCGCCTGCGCCCGGGGCGGCCCTCCTGAGCCGTCCTCCCCTGCGGGTGTCCCCGGGCGCCAGCTGGGGCGGCGGTGGTGGCGGGAAGGAGTCGAGGATCCGTCCCAGAGGAGCGGGGCCAGGCGGCCTCTACGAGTTTCTAAGCGCGAGGTGACCTCCGAGCAGGGCTGCCCCTGGCCAGGGGCTGTGCCCCAGAAACCTCAGTGGAAGAGGTGCTTGGGTGCACCTGGGCCGGTGCAGGAGTCGCCCGCAACCTTTCTGGGGTGTGCGGGCCCCGCCACGGGGCTCTGGGGCCACGGCCTGGGCGCCTAGAACTGCCGTGTGGGGCAGGCGGAGCCGGAGGCTGCGCAGAGCCCGGGTGCTGCCCCTCTGGAGGCGCTGGGACCCCCGCTGCGGGGCAGGACGACCCCTCGAGGGATCTCCAGAGAGTGACCACGAAAGGGACTCGAGGGGCAGAGTCAAGGGAGATTCTTGAGTGGACTCAGCTGACGGAGCAACCTCGAGGGCTGTCTGGGGGCCGTGAGCCAGACCTGGGGGCCAGAGGAGGCTGGCACCACAATGGCTAGGCAGAGCCGCCGGGCAACCCCTAACCTCTTGGTCTTCCCTGGAGGAGGTGGGCAAAGCCTGCCCAGCGCCTGCGGGTGCCCGTCCGCGCACAAGTGGGTCTTTAGCGGATGCCGGGGAAGCGGAGCCCGGTGGCTGCTGTGTCCTGGGGGAAAGAGGGGGGGGGGCAGCACGAGCCCCAACGGAGCGTGTTTGAGAACCCCTCGCTTGCTCCCTCCTGACGCCTGAAGCTGGACGTGGGGGGCACGTTAGGGGTGCGGATCGCGATGGGGGCCATGAGTGGCTCTGAGGCCAGCGGTGTGAGGTGCTGGACGCTCCGGCCTGCGGCCCCCGCAGCTGCCCGCTCCCCCGTCCGCGGGCTGCACGAGGGGTGCTGCCTCCGCGTGTCCTCTCAGGGCAGAACCTCTGTCCCTCCCAACACCGTCGCGCCAGCCCTGCCCGGCAGCCCTCGGCCCTGGCCGCACCGGCCCTGGCCGTGCTGCCCGCTGGGGACGTGCCAGTCGGGCGACAGAGGGCACGTGTGCCGCGAGGGCTGGTGGGGGCCTGGGGCCCGCAGCCTCTAACCGGCGCCCCCTCCGCCAGCCCCGGGAGCCCCGGGGGCCTTCTGCTTGCGGGGAAGGGGCCCCTCGCCTCGCGATGAGGACGGCCCAGCCTCGGCCTGACCCCTTCCTTGCAGTGAAGATCGTGATCCGCGGGGACAGGAACACGGGCAAGACGGCGCTGTGGCACCGGCTGCAGGGCAAGCGCTTCGTGGAGGAGTACATCCCCACGCAGGAGATCCAGGTCACCAGCATCCACTGGAGCTACAAAAGTGAGGCGGGGGCGGGGCGGGGCGGGGCGGGCTCCTCTCCCTGCGTCCGGCTCCCGGGAGACGCCGCCCCCAGCTGGCGTTGTCATGGCGACGGCACACTCTGGCGGGGGTGCTCGTGGAGGCCGCCTCGCCCCACTTCCTGGGCCCCCCGGGGCAGAGGCCTGGGCTGGGGGAGGCCCCGGGAGCCGGGTGGGGGGCAGAGAAGGGCAGCCTGGGGGCGGAGGGGCCCCCGTAGCTCCCCCAGCCACAGGGTCGCGCCCTCCCCTCCGCCCAAGCCTCTCTGTCAGAGCCCCGGCGGAAGCTGCATCCTGGCAGCAGGCGGCCTCGGGCCACTGGCGGTCCCGTCCCTGGCGAGGACCGAGTGGACGGCTGCGGGCTAGCCGGGGCTCACCAGAGCTGGGGTGCGGACGCCCTGCCTGCCCGGCACCCCTCTCTCCACGCCCTCCCCTGCACTGGCCGCCCCGAGGCTTGGCCATTGGCCCGGGCAGCCCGCGGCCCAGCACGCGGGAGCGGGGACCGAGGAGCGTAGGGCCGTCCCGGGGGTGGGAGGGCGGACGCCCGGGCCCTGCCTGCCGCGCTCGGAGGCCTCTGGCAGAAGCCTGACCCGTGACCGGCCAGCGGAGGGGCAGCCTGGCCCCCTCCTCTAGGGGCGGTGACCTCAGGGCCGTCGGGCCGGCCCCACACGTCCGCGGGCGGCCTGCCGGGGCCAGCGGGGGTGGGGAGCGGTGCGGGGCGGCCGTGCAGGGTTTCCGCTGGAGAATGGGCGCCTGGGCGGGCTGGAGTGGCGGGCGGGGCCGCTGCTGACCTTGGTGCCCTCCCGTTCCAGCCACTGATGACGTCGTCAAAGTGGAGGTCTGGGACGTGGTGGACAAAGGTGAATGCTCCGGGGGCTGCTCCCCTCCAGTGGCGGGCCCCGGGTTCCCCAGCCCCCCCCCCAAGCGGGCTCTGTTATCGCCACGGGGGATCCTGCGAGGCAGGTGCCGTGCCCAAGGCCCATGGGGCACCCGCAAGCCTCCAGCCCCCCGGGCGGGTACCCAGTGGCCAGGACCAGCCAGCTGTCAGGGCCCGGGAGGCTGCGGGCGCTTCTCCTCATCCCTTGGGTCCACCGCGGCTGTCCCCAGGGGTAGAGGGAATGAGGGCTGGAAGCCCCGCATCTCGGGGGCGCCCGGCCTGACCACGGGCCTTGGGCACACCCCACCCCGGGAGCCTGCCTGTGCGAGGGCTGGACATGGTGGCTCTCGAGGGAGCTCGGCCGGGCCCCGGGCCTCTCTGGGGCCAGGTCCGGCCTCCCGAGGGTGACTGGGCGCAGGCCCGTGCGGGCGGGGCTACGGGTGGCGAGATGGCCGCAGCCGAGGCCACCTCCGCACCGTCACCCCCACTCCACCCAAGACCTGTGTTTTTCAACCAGGAAAATGCAAAAAGCGAGGCGAGGGCCTGAAGACCGGGCACGACCCCCAGGAGGTGAGCTGCGCCCGCGGCCTCCAGGCACAGGGCACATGCGCCCGTAGCCCTGCCCGGCGGGTGGGCAGCTGCCTACCCTGGACACAGGACGGGGCCTCTGTCCGGGCCCCTCTCCTCGGCCAGGGCCAGAGGGCACGGTCTGTCTGGCCTGGCCTGGGAGGCCCCGAAAGGTCGCCCTGGGCGGCTGCTGTTGCCCGAGAGGGGGCAGAGGCCAGCTGTCCCGAGAGTGAGCGCTGCTCCTGGGACCCGGCCCCGGCCCACCTCAGGCCCTGTCCCCCGCCCCAGGCCGAGTCCGAGATGGCCCTGGACGCCGAGTTCCTGGACGTGTACAAGAACTGTAACGGGGTGGTCATGATGTTCGACATCACCAAGCAGTGGTGAGGGCGCTCCTGGCGATGGCCGGCCTGTGTCCAGCGCGCGGGCCGCCGGGGCTGCTGGGCCGCCTGGGCCTGGAGTTTGGGTGCCTCCCTCCGCCCCTTCCCAAAAGCACTGGGTCAGAGTTGGCGTCACCAGGCAGCCGCCCAGGTGATGCTGCCCCAAGAGCCCCCGATTTATTCCCGGGGCCAGGAGCCGGGTCTCGGGTGGACCCCGCGGGAGGCTGCGGGGGTGGGCGGCCCGCCTCTGTCCTCCTCCTCCAGGCGCACGGCGCGGGGTGGGGGTGGCGGGGACAAGGCCGGGGGCTCCCCGCGGGCAGGCCGCTGTCCCGAGCCTGAGGCAGCCTCCCGCTCCCGAAGGACCTTCAGCTACATCCTGCGGGAGCTGCCCAAGGTGCCCACGCACGTGCCGGTGTGCGTGCTGGGGAACTACCGCGACATGGGCGAGCACCGCGTCATCCTGCCCGACGACGTGCGCCACTTCATCGAGCGCCTGGACCGGTGCGTGGGCGGGCCGGGCCGGGCCGGGCCGGGGGTGGGACCCCGCAGCCCCGCATTGCCTCACGCGCCTCCCCGCAGGCCGCCCGGCTCCTCCTACTTCCGCTACGCCGAGTCCTCCATGAAAAACAGCTTCGGCCTGAAGTACCTGCACAAGTTCTTCAACATCCCGTTCCTGCAGCTGCAGGTGAGGGCTCGGCGCTGGCCGGGGAGGTGTGGGGGCTTGGGGCGTCCCCACTAGGACGGGGCGGGGCGCTTCCCTCCCCCAGGCTGGCTGGCCCCCGACCGGGGTTTCTAAAACCACGACCGCCTGCCTGCCCACCCGGGGCGCCCACGGTCAGCGCCGCGCTCAGCTGCCAGGGCCCAGCAGCCACCCCGTGCCCCGTGACAGGCGCGTGCTGGGGACCAACTTCCTGCAGAAGACCTTAGGCGGGGGCACAGGGGGCCTCTGTGGGACCCTGTTTCCACGCCCCCAGGTGGCGGGCACTCTTCTGGCGCCCACCTGGCTTGGGCTGGCTGGGGTGCTGGCCCTCCAGACAGTGGCCTGGGCAGCCCAGCGGCCATGATGTGACATAGGCCCTGGGGTGGTCGCAGCGCGGGGCCGCCGGAGGCACCTGTGCGTGCAGCGGTGCAGGGGTCACTGTTGGGCTGGCCCAGCGGCTCCTAGGAGGACGACCCTCCAGCCTCAGGCCACAGGGCGGCACCCACGCTCACACCGGGTGGTCGCATGCCTGCAGGGAGGGCAGGATGCTGTGGGCTGGCGTCTCTGTGGGGGCCCACGCCCAGCTCTGCCTCCCCCTCCCCCTTGCAGAGGGAGACGCTGCTGCGGCAGCTGGAGACCAACCAGCTGGACACAGATGCCACGCTGGAGGAGCTCTCGGTGCAGCAGGAGACGGAGGACCAGAACTACGACATGTGGGTGCCGGCGGGGTGGGCCGAGCCCTTGGGGCTCTCCACTGTCAGCAGGTGGGGCCTGGAGAGTGAGGGGCTGGCGGCTACCACACGGAGCTGCCTGGCAGGCGGCCCTGGCCCTCCGGGCCTGCAGGGTCGGTGGCCACTCAGCCGTCCCCAGTGCTGCTCACCCCGCACAGCCAGGCCTCCATCTTGCCGCCCAGGCCCTGGCCACCCTGATGTCTGCTGGGGCCAGCCCTGTTGCGGTCGGCCGCCCCAGCTGCCCCCACCCACCTTGTAGAGCAGGGTCCCCAGAGAGCTCCCTGAGCTCCTTGGGGTGCGGGTGGTTGTGAAGGTAGGGCTAGGAGACGGCTGATCCCTCTGCAGTGTGCACTCAGGTCGGCCCCCCACGTGGCTTCCAGGCCCTGGCAGGCACAGTGGGGGTCACTCTGCCTGAGCAGGGAAGGCAGGCCCTCAACCGCGGTCGGCTGTGGGTCCTGAGGAAGCACCCGGGGGCATGGGGAAGGCCCCAGAAGTCTGTCCCCAGAAGGGTTGCAGAAGGGCAGGTGTGTCCCCTGGAGGACACCGCTGGGCCTGTCCCAAACTGCCCGCCCTGTGGCCTCTGCGGGGCTGTTTCTTCAGCCCAAGAGCAGGGGCACCTCATCCCTGCGGGTGTCTGCTGGAGCAGAGCCTTCCCTTGCTCCCCAAGACCAAACACTTGGCAGGGTGTGCCTGCCACAGGCCCTTAGGTAGGATGGAGTAAGGCGAGGCCGACTACCTGGCCCCTGGCCCTGCCCACCGGCACCCCCTGCTAGCAGGACCCCTCCTGATGGCAGATGCCCTGTCTGGGCGCTGCCCCCGAGGGAGCTCACCACAGGCTGGGGAGCCCTGTCCCCCTCAGGCCGCAGCCCCTGCTTTAGCCCCACGCGGGCTGGGGCGGGCAGTGGGGTGAGGACTGCCTTCCCGGCCCATGCCCACCACACTCCCGTCAGGGCCCCCAGCGCATGCTGTGGCAGCTCCTCGCGGTCAGGCTCTTGCGCCCCGTGAGAAGGCCGGTCACCGTCCTGTGTCCCCAGCTTCCTGGAGATGATGGAGGCGCGCAGCCGCGGCCACGTGTCCCCGCCAGCGGCCAACGGGCAGAGCCCACCCTCGAGCTCCCAGTCTCCGGTGGTGCCACCCAGCCTCGCGTCCACTGGCAGCTCCAGCCCCAGCACGCCCCAGCCCGCCCCCCAGCCGCCGCCTCAGGCCCCGTCCCCTCCAGAGGCCCCGCCGGCCGCCCCGGCCCCTCGGCGGGGCCTCATCTCGCGCCTGTTTGGGACCAGCTCGCCGGCCGCCGAGGCCCTGCCGCCCCCAGGTAGGCCCCGGCCGTCCTGCTATGTCTGGGCCGTGGGGTGGGGGGCAGCCTTGGGGTGGGCACCGAGTGCCTGCCGCCCTCAGAGCTGGCCCCAGCCGGAGTCCAGAACGTGGAGGACTTTGTCCCTGAAGACGGCCTTGACCGCAGCTTCCTGGAGGACGCGGCCCCAGCCAAGGGCGAGAAGTCGGCTGGAGCAGACGTCCCACCAGGCAGCGACAGGTGAGGCCTGGGGCAGCCTCCCGAGCCCCTTGGGCTCTGGTGGAGCAGAGCGGACACTGCCTGGCCGGCTCGGCGCTGTCCTGGCTCAGAACCAGGGTCGAGGTGGCGCTCAGGCGAGGGCGGGCGTGCCCACAGCAGCCTGGCCTGGTGCCACAGCTTCTCTCCAGCCCCCCTCCTCCCTCACCCCCCGCCCGGTGCGCACCATGTGGGGCCCCCAGCTGTCTCCTGCTGTTGGCACCAGGGGTCCCCCAGGGCCCCACCCCCCCAACATGGTGCCCGACACCTTCTGAGTGCCGACCCCCAACAGCGACGGGGAGGCCCTGGGCGCGAACCCCATGGTGGCGGGCTTCCAGGACGATGTGGACCTCGAGGACCAGCACCCCCGCAGGCCCTCGCTGCCCACAGGCCCTGTCCCCAGTGAGGACCAAGCAGAGCGGCTGGTGGGGTACCTCAAGACCACTGGCCCCGCCCCCCAGAAGTGCTCTGAGCCCGAGACCAAGCGGTATGTGGGGTCCGCAGGGGGAGGAGCGGGGAGATGGCCGCGGGCTCTCTGACGCCCTTTCCTTCCAGGTTCCCCTCGAAGGCCTCCAGGCCACAGAGGGGCGCAGCGCCCAGGACAGGGGGCCACCCCAGCAAGGGGGCCTCCCGGCAGGAGCGGGGCGCAGACGCGCAGGCCGTGTCGTCGTCGGAGAGCGACCCCGAGGGGCCCGTCGCTGCCCAGATGCTGTCCTTTGTCATGGACGACCCCGACTTTGAGAGCGACTCGGACGCGCAGCGTGGGGGGGTGAGGGCGGGCGCAGCGAGGGGCCCAGCCTGGTGACCCAGGGAGGGCAGGCCACCCAACCCCTGCCGCGCAGCAGGGGCGGGAGCTGCTCCCAACCCACCCGCTCCTCCAGGGGGAGCTCCCTGTGCGCGAGGACAGCTCCGACGGGTCGGACTCCGGACCCGCCCCGCCACCCCCGCAGGCTCCCGCCCCCGCCTTCAGACGGAAGGACCCGGCCGACCTCTTCGGGCTGGGGCCGGAGGAGGCGGGCCCCAAGGACAGCAGTGAGGAAGGTAGTGGCCGCGGGCCCGGGCTGGGGGAGGGCGTCCCCTGCCTGTGCCTCCGAGGGCCTCGCCCCCAGGTGCCCCTCGGGTCTCCTTGGGTCCGGCCACGTTGTGACCGCGCCCAGCCTGGGACCTGGGGGCAGCGAGCTGTGGGCACGGGCGGCCCCGCCCCCACTGGGGCCTCCGAGCTCTGCTGGCCCCAACGGCGCGGCCCCGGGGACCTGTCCCAGAAGCGCCTGGGCGCCGCCCTCCCGCGCCGCCCTGCGTGGAGAGGCTCCGCGGGCACCTCCTGCTGCGCCCCCCCCACTGCTGGGGGGCCCGCGGCAGGAGCTGACCCTGCCCCCCCCACAGACAAGGAGGGCCAGGCCCCCCGCAAGGAGAAGGAGGAGAAGAAGAAGAAGAAGAAGAAGGGCAGGGAGGTGCGTGGGGCCTGGGCCTGGGGGGCGAGGGGGGCCCAGACCCCGGCCCCGCGGTGACGGCGGGCGCCCCGGCCTTTCACCCCAGGAGGAGGAGAAGGCGGCCAAGAGGAAGAGCAAGCACAAGAAGACCAAGGACAGGGAGGACGGCAGGGGCGGGCGGCGGCCGCGGGGCCCCGGCAAGACGGCGGCGGCCGAGCTGGAGGCCTTTCTGGGCGCGGCCCCGGGCAGCCACCTGCGCGCGGGCGGGGACTACGAGGAGCTGTAGCCCGCTCTTCTCAGGGACGGACGGGGCTGCCGCCCCCAGGCCATTGGCGGGGTGGCCCCTGCCCCCACCGGCACCCCAGCAGCGATGCGGGCGCCCCCCGGCAGCGGCCTTTCGCCGGCCAGCACCCCGCTTCAGGCCCGTGTGCGGGGCCGGCGGCCACAGCCCCGGGAGCGTCACCCCCGCCCCGCCCCGCCCCGCCATAAAGCTCTCCCGTTTCACTGCGCCTCCGCCTGTGCTTCTGCCGCGCCCGCCTCCGGCACCCCGGCCAGCTCGCCCCGCGCCCGCCGCGTGCTGGCCCCCCGGCCCCCCGGCCCCCCTGCCCGGGGCAGCGGACAGCAGCTGCTGGCCACGGAGCCCAGCTAGCACCCCTCAGGGGCCCTCTCCCCCGGCCGGGGAGGCTCTGCGTCCTGGGGCCCCTGGGGCAGGTGCGTGCGCGCTCCGGGGCTTGGTGCCGGCCCGAGGGGCGGCGGGGCAGCCCATCCTGCGGCCCCACAGGCCCTGCCGCCCACCCGCCGGGGCCGGGCGCGGGGCCGGAGGGCGCGGGGCGGGGGCGCGGGCCATCTGGCCCCGGGGCCCGCGGAGAGCTCGCGGCTCCAGCGGCGCCGCGGGTGGCGAGCGGCCCATCTGCTGCTGCCGGCCCGGCCGCGGGCTGCCCTCCGGGGCTCTGGCCGCCGGCCGGACTGGGGCGGGCCTGGGGCTCCGCTGGGGCGGGCCGCACCCTGCAGCCGCCAGCGGCCCCCGGGCAGGTGCCCCTCAGGCGGGGCCGGCAGGTGCTCGCCCCCGGGCCGGGCCGGGCCGGGCCGTCACGCGGGTCCGCGCCCGAGGACGCCGGAGACCGCGCGGCCCCTTTAAGCGCAGCCCCGCCGGCCGCCACCGGGGGCAGCACCGAGCGCGGCCGGCTCGCGCCGCTCCTCGAAGCTTCTGCCGGGGCCGGGCCGGGCCGGGCCGGGGCCGGGGCCGCGGCGGCGCGGGGAGCGGGGCCGGGCCGCGGCGGAGGGCAGCGCCAGGTAAGGGGTCGGCCGCGCGGCCGAGGCGGGTGGGGCGCCGGGGCGCGGGTCCCACGCCGGCGGCACCGGCCGCCCCCGGGCGCGAGGGCTGCGCGGGGGGGGGGGGGAGCCTGCGCGGGCTCGGGGCCCTGCGCCCCGGGAGCGGCTCGCGGCCACCGCTGCCCAAGGCCGGGCTGTCACCTCCCCGGGGCGGAGCCTCCGCCGCCCCGGCCGGCGGCCCGGCCCGGCCCCAGCTCAGCGCGGAGGGGGCGGGAGGGGGATGGTCCTGCGAGGCGGGAGGGCGGGGGGCGCCCCGCCCCGGGAGAGCAGCCCCCGCAGCGAGCCCTTGGGCGCCGGCGGCCCAGCCGGTCCTGCGGGGTGAGGGGCAGCCGCTGGCCCGGCCACCCCGAGGCTGCCCCTGGGTGGTGCCTGGCGCCCCTCCCCCGCCGCCCCGGGGCCGTGGCCCCCCGCCCGGCAGGCACTGCGCCCCGGAGCCGCGGGCGGCCAGCCCAAGCCGAGTGGGGGGCTCGCCCAGCCCGGCGCTCGCGGGGGAGGCGGTCAGGGGCTGGCGCTCGCCCCCACGTGGGTCGGGGCCGGTCCGCTTCCCGCAGCCACAGAGCCCCGGGGCCCAGCTCCGGACCGTCCTGAGCCCCCATCCCTGGGCAGGTCTGCGCCTCCCCGGGCAGCTGGGGCCAGAGGAGGCTTCCGCGGGGAGGGGGCCCTGGCCCAGGCCTGCTCTCTGGGGTCACCGTTCTGGCCTGGGCCACTGGGGACCCGGGCGGAGCAGGGGCGCAGCAGGCTGTCCCCAGGAAAGCGGCCCCCAGCGCGGGGGCTGCCGGCCTGGTCGCCAGGCGCGTGGGAGACGGGGAGACTCTGCAGAGCTGGTCAAGGCGAGGGGCAGGGACCGGCCAGCAGGCTGCGCCACCTCTGGGCAGTGGGTGCCGGGAGGGGCTGCGGTCACCCAGGCTTGCGGGGCCAACACCTGCCGGGAAACCTGCAAACGGCGCTGCAGATGAGCACCCGGTCACCCCAGCGTGGGCGGGAGGGGGGCTGCCCCGAGGCCAGCGGCTGACCTGTCCCGGGGAAGAGCTTGCCCAAGCCTGCCCGCCTGTCACGGGTCAGGGTAGGGCCAGGCGCCCTGGGGACCACAGCGGTGGCGCAGCGCACAGGGCGAGCCCGTCGGGGAGGGCCGGGGTGGGGAGCGGCTGCGGGAGGCTGGACAGCCGGCTCCTCCCGCAGGTGCTTCGGACTCCGGGCATGGAGCAGGTACCCGCCGCCCCCGCCAAGGCCAGCAGCCAGGGCTGCTCCGCCGGCCGCGCCCCAGGTAAGCCAGGCCGGGCGGAGGGGGGCGGGGGAGCCATGGGCAGCGGGGGCGCCCTGACCTGCGTCTCCCCGCAGAGCGAGCGCCCCGCAAGGCCCAGTGAGCTGCCGCCACCAGCCTGGGGCCCTTTTCTAAGATGACCCGCACGGACCCGCCGGACCTGCTGGTGTCGACCGTGTACCAGGACATCAAGGTGGCGGCCCCGGGGCCCGCGTCGGGGCCCGCGCCGAGGCGCCCGCCATGTGAGCGCCCCGCGGCCAGGCCCGCTGCGCCCGCGCCTTTCAACAAGCGCCACTGCCGCAGCTTCGACTTCCTGGAGGCGCTGGACGCGGAGGCCATGGAGGGCGGCCCGGAGCCGCCGCCCCCGGAGCCCGCCGCGCCGCGCTCCCGGCCCAGAGACGGCGAGTCGCGGCGCCGCGCCCGCTCCAAGAGCGCGCCCCGCGCCCCCCCGGGCCTGGCGCCCGCGCCCGCCTCCCCGCCCGTGCTGCCGCGCCGCGGCCGGGAAGCCCAGCGGGCGGCGCGGGCGGAGGCGTCCCCGCGCCGAGAGCCCGCGTACCCCGCGCTGCGCGCGCTCGCCAACGAGCTGCACCCCATCAAGCTGCAGCCTCAGCGCGGCGGCCCCGGCCGCATCGCGCCCCTCTGCGCCGCCGCGGGCCGCTGCGCGCCGCCCGAGCCCCCCGCGGGGCCCGCCCCCCACGTCCGCTGCCGCCTGGACATCAAGCCCGACGACGCGGTGCTGCAGCACGCCGCCCGGGGCCCGCGGCCCGGCGGGACCCCCGACAGCGCGCCCTGGGCGCGCGCCGGCCCGCAGCTCTACGGGCGCACCGTGCCCGGGCCCCGCCACGTGGCCCTGTCGCGCACCCCCACCCCCAGCGACTCGTACTGCGCGGACCCGCGCGCGCTGTACTGCGACGGCTCCCTGCCCGCGCCCCGGGACTTCGCGGAGCGCCGCAGCCTGGCCTTCGCCGCGCCCCCGGGCCCCACCCAGTTCTTCTACACCGAGGAGCCCGAGGGCCCCCCAGGCGGCTACGCCGCCAGCCCCGGGCCCGCCTTCGACGGCTACTACCCCAGGCCCTTCCCGTCGGAGGAGCCTCCGGGGCCCAGCCCCGGGCGCGCGGGCGGCTACTACGCGGGGGAGGCGCGCGCCTTCCCGGTCCAGGAGCCGCCGTCCCGCTCCTACTACGGGGAGGACCCGCGGGCCTACGGCGCGTTCTGGGCGCCCCGCTACGGCCCCGAGGAGCTGCGGGCCCACCCCGCCTCCCGGATCTTCTACACCGAGGACTTCGGGCGGTACCGCGACCGCGAGGCCCTGGCGCGGACCTACCCGCACCCGCGCAGCAGCCAGGCCTGGGGGGACTGGGGCCCGCGGCCCTACCGCACCCTGCAGGTGGCGCCTCCGCCCGACCCCGGCCAGCTGCTCGCCTCCTGGCACGGGGGCGCCGGCACCAGCCCGCCGCGCCTGGTCACCGACAGCCGCCACTACTCCCGCTCCTGGGACAACATCCTGGCGCCGGGGCCCCGCCGGGAGGACCCCCTGGGCCGCGGCCGCAGCTACGAGAACCTGCTGGGCCGGGAGCCGCGCGCCGCGTCCCCCGAGGGCCGGCGCGCCCCGGTCGTGGTGAACCTGTCCACCTCGCCCCGGCGCTACGCGGCGCTGTCGCTGTCCGAGACGTCGCTGTCCGACAAGGGCCGGGGGGGCGAGGGGCCCGGCCGCAACTGGTACGTGACCCCCGAGATCACCATCACCGACAACGACCTGCGCGCCGCCGAGCGCCCCGCCGCCAGGGCCCGGGAGCCGCCGGGGGGCCGCCCGCGGCCGCCCCCGCCCGCCGCCCCCGCGGCGCGCCAGCGCAGCCTGGAGCAGCTGGACGAGCTCATCACCGACCTGGTCATCGACTCCCGGCCCCCGCCGGCCGCGCCCCCGAGGCCGCGGCGGAAGGGCCGGGCCGCGCGCCGCGCCGCCCGCCGGACGCCCGGCCCGCCCGGGCGCCGCGCTCGCCGCCCGCGTCGGCCGGCAGCGCCGAGGAGCCCGCGGGGCGCGCGGCGGACGCGTCCCCGGAGCCCAGCGCCGACGAGGACGACCTGATGACCTGCTCCAACGCGCGCTGCCGGCGCACCGAGACCATGTTCAACGCCTGCCTCTACTTCAAGTCCTGCCACAGCTGCTACACCTACTACTGCTCGCGCCTGTGCCGCCGCGAGGACTGGGACGCGCACAAGGCGCGCTGCGTGTACGGCCGCGTGGGCAGCGTGTGCCGCCACGTGCTGCAGTTCTGCCGCGACAGCGCGCCGGTGCACCGCGCCTTCTCGCGCATCGCGCGCGTGGGCTTCCTGTCGCGCGGCCGCGGCGTGCTCTTCCTGGGCTTCCCGAGCCCCGGCTCCGCCGACAACTTCCTGCGCTTCGGCCTCGAGGGGCTGCTGCTGTCGCCCACCTACCTGTCGCTGCGCGAGCTGGCGGCGCACGCCGCGCCCCTGGGCAGCTACGCGCGCGAGCTGGCGGCCGCGGGGCGCCTCTACGAGCCGGCCGAGTGCTTCCTGCTCAGCGTGTCGGTGGCCGTGGGCCCCGGCGCCGCGCCCCCCGGCGCCCCCGGCCGGCCCGCGCCCGCGCCCGCGCCGCGCAGCGCGGGGCCCACCGTGCGCAAGTTCGCCAAGGTGGCGCTGGCGGCCGGCAGCCCGGCGCGGCCGCCCCCGGCGCGGGGCCGCGAGCCCGACATGGAGACGCTGATCCTGACGCCGCCGCCCGGCACGGCGGGCCTGGACCAGGACGGCGAGGCGGGGCGGCGCGCGCGCGAGGTGGCCTTCATCCACATCCAGCGCGAGCTGCGGCTGCGCGGCGTCTTCCTGCGCCGCGAGTTCCCGCGCGTGTACGAGCAGCTCTGCGAGTTCGTCGAGGCCAACCGGCGCTTCACGCCCACCACCATCTACCCCACGGACCGGCGCACCGGCCGCCCCTTCATGTGCATGATCATGGCCGCCTCCGAGCCGCGCGCCCTCGACTGGGTGGCCAGCGCCAACCTGCTGGACGACATCATGTGAGCGGCGGGGGCGCGCCGAGCCCCGCCCCGCCCCGCCCCGCGGCGGCCCCCCGCCCCCCGCCCCCGGGCCTCCCCGGAGGCCGGTCCTCGCCGCTCGGGACCCCCGCGGGGAGGCGGGGGGCGGGGTCGGAGGCCCGGCCGCCCCGGCCCGCCCGCCCAGGGGTCGCTCCCGCAGCCCGCGCCGCGCACTCGGCCGCGCCCACCCGCCCGGCGACCCCCGTCGAGGAGCCCGAGGGGACCGGAGCTGGTCGCTGAAGCCCGGGGCCGCCGCGGCCAGCCGGGGTGCGTGCCGCTCGGCGCCCCTTCCCCTCGGGGGGCGCCCCGACAAGCCGCGGCGGGCCGCGTCCCGGGGCCCCCGTCCTGGCGCACAGCGCCGGCGGGAGCGGGGCCCGCGGGGCCTCCGGCCGCCCTCGGCCGCCGCCCCGGCCCGCCGCGGCCCGCACAGGGCGGGGAGCGCGCAGCCGCAGGGCCGGGCGCCGGCGGGGGCCCTGGCAGGGCCGGGGCGGGGCGGGGCGGGGCGGGGCGCGGGGCCGGAGGCCGTCCAGGGGCCCCCCGCGGCCGAGGGCGGACCCGAGGGGGAGCCCCGCCGGAAGCGCGGCGCGGAAGGCACGGCCGGGAGGGGCGCCCCCCGCGCTCGGCCGCGCGAGTCGAGCCGCCGTCGCCCCGGCGCGCCCGCCGGCCTCCCCGCCCCGAGGGCCACCCCGGGCCCGGGCTCCCGCGGCGGCGGGCGCGCGCGAAGCCAGTAAAGTCGCTCTGGAACGTGGTCGCTGCTGCCTCATTGGGGCGCGCGGGGCTCGGGGGGAGCGCGGCCGGGGCCCGCCTGCCCGCCCGGACGGGACCGCCCGCGCCGGCTCCTTCCCCTTTAAGTGCGGCCCGCGCGGCCCCCGCTGCAAGGAGCTGGGTTGCGATTGGCCAGGCCGCGCCGCGGGCCGGCGGCACGATTGGCTGGGGCGCCGCGCCCCGGCAGCACGGCCCCGCGGGATTGGCCAGGCGCCCTCGCGGCCCGCCTCCCGCTCTCGGCGCAGCCCGGGCCGCGCGCAGTGGCCGCAGAGCGGCGGAGCGGGCGCGCTCCGGGGAACATGGCGGCGGCCGACCTCGCCCAGATCCCCGATGTGGACATCGACCCCGACGGCGTCTTCAAGTACGTGCTGATTCGAGTCCACGCGGCGCCGCCCTCCGGGGCCCCGGCCGCGGAGAACAAGGAAATTGTGCGCGGCTACAAGTGGGCCGAGTACCACGGTGAGGGCGGGGCCAACCGCGGCTGGGGCGGGGCCTGGAGCACAGGGGCGGGGCCTCCCAGCGCTGGAGGCGGGGCGGGGCCTCCCACCAATGGGGGCGGGGCCTCCCAGCGCTGGAGGCGGGGCGGGGCGGGGCCTCCCACCAGTGGAGGCGGGGAGGGGCGGGGCCGCCGCGCCCGTCGGGGGACAGTGCGCTCTTGTCCCGGGGAGTCTGACCCCGGGCGGGCCGAGAGGAGAGGGGGACCCGGAGGGCAAGGGGCTGCCTCTCCGCCCCCCCCCGTCTGGGCAGTGCGCACCCCTCCCTTCCCGCCCGCCGGGCCTGGCGGGGTTCAGACCCCCCCGCTGGCCAGGCCCCGCTGAGCCCCGTCCCCCCAGCGGACATCTACGACAAGGTCTCCGGCGAGCTGCAGAGGCAGGGCTTCGGCTGCGAGTGCCTGGGCGGGGGGCGCATCTCCCACCAGAGCCAGGACCGGAGGATCCACGTGTACGGCTACTCCATGGTGAGAGCCGCCCGCCCTCAGCCAGGCCCGCCGTCCCCGCCCCGTGGGCGCTCGGCCCGGCTCTCCCGGACGCGCCCGCACGCACCGCCGTCTCCCCCCAGGGCTACGGACGCGCCCAGCACGCGGTCTCCACCGAGAAGATCAAAGCCAAGTACCCCGACTACGAGGTCACTTGGGCGGACGACGGCTACTGAGACCGCGCGGGGCTCCACCGCCAGCCGCTGCCCGCCCCAGCCCCCTGGACATGGACGCCCAGTGCCCGCTCTACCTCGCCCCCAGGAATTAAAGCGCTGTCCCCCGCCGCGGCTGCTGTGTTCCTTGACTTCACCCGGCGGGGCGGGCGTGGGCGGCAGCCCGGGGTGTGGCGCGCACTCGGGGCTTTGGTCACGGGACGGCTGTGCCCTTTTACAGCCTGGTGGCCCCTCCACGTGGCTGCCATCCCCAAGGACGTCGGGGGGAGGCTCGGGGCCCCTTGCTCAGGGCCCAGTGACCCTTGTCCTGGCCAGCAGAATGTCCGTGTCCCCAAGGCCACATGTGAGGCAGCCCCGGCCCTCACCCGCAGTGAGCAGTCAGGTCAGGGCTGGGACCTGGACTGGCGCCCCTGTCCCAGACCTCCCTGTGCAGGGCCGGGTGGGGCCGGCACCCACCTCCCCAGCACATCTGCCCTCGCTGGTGCCCCGTGCTCGCGCGCGGTCCTCGGGTCACCTGCAGGTGTGTCCCAGGGGGAGCAGGCTGGGGCCCAGCCCAGGGCCAGGTCCCTGAGACCACACCGTGGTGCTGCACAGGCAGAGCCCGGCCAGCCCTGCAGAGAGCGCACCATCTGCTTCTTTCCAACCAAGGAGAGAACGGGGACCCTCCCACACAGTGCCCCAGGGTGCCAGGGCACCCCAGGCAGGGAGCCGGGAGCAGGGTGGGTCACACACCCCAGTCCCTGCTCCAGCCACGGGGCAGAGCCTCCCTCACTGGCTGCCCCTGCCTTGTGCCTCCCCCCGCCCCAGCCAAACAACAGCCACCCCGACCTTCGATCCGGGGAGGGGGCAGGGGGAGCCGGCCAGGCCGGGGCCCCTCAACTGGGTGCGTTTACGACCAGATTTCCCTCCCCGTCAGCTCGGGGTGGGGCTGCCTGGGGCCGTGGGTACAGAAGGTCTGCACCCCACTCGGCCTGAGCAGACGCTGTGGGGCCACCACACCGAGGACAGGCCGCTGCGCCCTCAGCCCAACCATGCGTCTACCCGGCCCCCTCCTGCCGGCCCTGGCCCTGCTCCTGGGTGAGTGCCCAGCCCAGCTCTGGAGGCAGGGGTGGCGGGCCAGTGCCAGGGGGCCCTGGGGAGTCCAGGTCTTGGGCCACAGTGATACCTGGCGTCTCTGCTGGCAGCAGGGTGCCCGAGCTGGGCCCGTGTCCCCGACCACTGTCAGGCCCCCCCGGAGGCCGTGTGCAACTTCGTGTGTGACTGCTGGGGCTGCTCGGATGAGGCCCAGTGCGGTGAGCCTGGGCAGGCGGAGGGTGGGCAGGCCTGACCCTCCACGGCCACCCGCTGACCACCCACCTGCTCAGGTTACCATGGGGTCCCAGCCGCCCTGGGCACCCCCTTCTCCTGTGACTTTGAGTCGGACGCCTGCGGCTGGCGGGATGTCAGCACCTCGGGCTACAGCTGGCTCCGTGACCGGGCAGGAGCCGCGCCGGAGGGCCCGGGGCCACACGCGGACCACACGCTGGGCACCGACCTGGGTGAGGCCCCTGGTCAGTTCCTGTGCCAGCCCCTCCCGGCTCTCCTGCCACCCCTGACCTCACGCCCCGCCTCAGGCTGGTACATGGCAGTCGGCACCCACCGGGGAAAGGAGGCGTCCAGGGCAGCCCTGCGCTCGCCTGTCCTGCACCAGGCGGCCCCCGGCTGCGAGCTGCGGCTCTGGTACCACGTGACCTCCAGAGGTGTGCGGGCCTCCCGGCAGGGGTGGCCGGGGAGAGGCCCCCAAAGGTGGGGCCGGCAAGCCGCAGGCCTGAGCTGCCCGCCCCGCAGATGTGGCCGAGCTGCGCTTGGAGCTGACCCACGGCGCCGAGACGCTGACCCTGTGGCAGAGCCCCGGGCCCTGGGGGCCAGGCTGGCGGGAGCTGGTGGTGGCCACAGGCCGCATCCGGGGCAGCTTCCACGTGAGCGGGCGGCGGGGCCGGCGGCGGGGCAGGCGGCGGCGCGAGGCCCCCTCAGGCCCTCAGGCCGCCGCTCTCCGCAGGTGACCTTCTCCGCCACCCGCAACGCCACCCACAGGGGCGCCGTGGCCGTGGACGACCTGGCCTTCCGGAGCTGCGGGCTGCCCGGTGGGCCGGCGGGCGGGGCGGGGCGGGGGCGGGCGGGGGGCGGGCGGGGCGGCTCCGGCTCCGGCTCCGGCTCCCAATCCCGGCGGCTCAGAGGCTCCCCCGCCCCCAGCGCCCCAGGCCCAATGCCCGCCCGGGCACCTGCACTGCGGGAACCGGGCCTGCGCCGCGCCGCGCCAGCTGTGCGACGGGGAGGACGACTGCGGGGACGGCTCGGACGAGGGCGCCGCCGCCTGCCGTGAGCGCGGGGCCGGGCGCGGGGGGCGCGGGGGGCGCGGGGGGCGCGGGGGCGGGGGGGCGCCCGCCTGAGCCCGCCTGAGCCCGCGGCCCCCAGGACACCACGCGGCCGCCGACTTCGAGACGGGCCCCGGCCTGTGGAACCACTCGGAGGGCTGGACTCGGAACCGCAGCGCGGGGGCCCCGCCGCTCCCGGCCTGGCCGCGCCGCGACCACAGCCGCAACAGCGCGCAGGGTGAGGGCCCGCGCCCCCGCGCCCCCCGCATCCCCCGCGCCCCCTGCGCCCCCGCGCCTCGCGTCCCCCGGGCTCCCCGCGCCCCCCGCGCCCCCGCGCCCCCCCGCGCCCCCCCCGCGCCCCCCCGCGCCCCCTGCGCCCCACCCGCGGCCCCGCCAGCCCGTCGCTGTCTCCGCAGGCGCCTTCCTGGTGTCCCGAGCGGGGCCCGGCGCCCCCGCCGTGCTCTCCAGCCCCGAGTTCCAAGCCTCCGACCCGCACAACTGCTCGGTGAGGTGGGCGGCGCGGGGCTGCGGGTCGCCGAGCCGGCGCCGCCCTGACCCTCGGCCCCCCGCAGCTCACCTTCTACCACTACCTGCACGGCTCCGCGGCCGGCCGCCTGCAGCTCCTCCTGCAGACGCGCGGGCCCGGCGCGCCCCCGGACCCCGTCCTGCTGCGCCAGCGCCGCGGGGAGCTGGGCGCCGCCTGGGTCCGAGACCGGGTTGACGTCCAGAGCACGCGCCCCTTCCGAGTGAGGCCGCGGGGGGCGGGGGCGGGCGGGGCGGGGGGCCCTCCGACGGGACGGCGGGGCTGCGGGTCCACGCGGGGCCGCGGCCAGGGGGACGGGCCCTCCCTGCGCTGGGCGGGGGCAGCGCCCAGCCGGCAGGCGGGAGAGGGGAGAGGCTCGGGCGCGGCCCGGACGCCAGGGGCGCGGGCGCCCGCTGAGCCCCCGCCGCCCGCAGCTCCTCCTGGCCGGGCACACGGGCCCCGGGGGCGTCGTGGGCCTGGACGACCTCATCCTGTCGGAGCACTGCCGGCCGGCGGCCGGCGCGCGGCCGGGCCCTTGGCTCCCCTCGAGGGCCCCGACGCCCCCGGCCAGCCCCTGCGAGCCCGGACACCTGGCCTGCGGGGACCTGTGCGTCCCCCGGAGCAGCTGTGCGACTTCCAGCAGCAGTGCGCCCGGGGCGAGGACGAGCGCGCCTGCGGTGAGGCCGCGGCCGCCGGCGGGGGCGGGGCGGGGTGTGGCCGGGGGCGGGGTGTGGCCGGGGGCGGGGCCTGGCTGGGACGGGGCGTGGCCGGGCTGGGGCGGGGCTTAGCCGCGCTGGGGCGGGGCTTGGACGGTGGGCGGGGCTTGGCGGGGGCCAGGTGGGGGGCGGAGCCAGGCGGGGCGCGAGGCGGGGCCGGGGCCGGGGCCGGGGCCGGGGCCGGGGCCGGGGCCGGGCGGGGCGGCGCATCGGCGCATCCTGGCGGCTCTCTGCAGGCTCCACGGACTTCGAGTCCCCCGCGGCCGGGGGCTGGGAGGACGCCAGTGTGGGGCGGCTGCAGTGGGCCCGTGGCCCGGCCCAGGAGCTTGGAGGCCCAGGCGCGGAGGCCAGCGGGGCTGCGGCTGGTGAGGCCCGCGCCCACGGGGCCTCGGGGGTCCTGCTGCTCCCCACGCGGAGGGTCTCTGGCCCGCGGCTCCCTGGAGGGAAACCCTGAGGCCCTGCTCCCCCGCAGGGCACGTCCTGTCCGTGCAGCGGGCCTGGGGGCAGCTGGCCGCTGAGGCGCGGGTCCTCACTCCCGCCCTGGGCCCCTCGGGCCCCAACTGCGAGATCCGCCTGGCCTACCACTTCCACAGCCGCCCCCGAGGTACCGCTGCCCTCGGCTCTGGCCCTGCGCGGGCTGGTCCCCGGGAGGCTGGGGGCCAGACCCCCACCCACAGTTCGACCTCGCCAGGCTTCCTGGCGCTGCTGGTGGAGGAGGGCGGCCGCCGAGAGCTGCTGTGGCAGGCCCGGGACAGCGGCCCCCTGGGCTGGAAGACGGACACTGTCCTCCTCGGGGCGCGCCGCCGGCCCTTCAGGGTGAGGCCCCGGGCGGGGGCAGGGCGGGCACACTGTCCCGGTCTCCAGCGAACGGCTCCCCCCTCGACCCCAGCTGGAGTTCGTGGGCCTGGTGGACCTAGATGGCCCTGGCCAGGAGGGCGCCAGGGTGGACACAGTGACCATGAGGGACTGCAGCCCCACGGCCGCCGCCGACAAAGACACAGGTCCTGCCTGCCCTTTCCTGCCCCCCAGAGGGGCCCCTGGGTGCCCCCGCGGCAGACGGGGTGCCAGCTGCAGGGTGCTGACCCCCACTGCCCCCAGAGGTCTCCTGTAACTTTGAGCGTGACTTGTGCGGCTGGCACGCGGGCCACCTCTCAGATGCCCACTGGCGCCGGGTGGCGAGCCACGGCCCCGACTACGACCACACCACCGGCCAAGGTAGGCCCGGGCAGGCGCCCTGCCCACCCGCTGGGCCCAGGGCCTGGTCTGCAGCTCTGCCCGCCCCGCAGGCTACTTCGTCCTCCTGGACCCCACGGCACCCCTGGCCCGGGCCCAGGCGCCCAGCTGCTCACCCAGCCACAGGCGCCGGCAGCCGCACAGCAGTGCCTGTCTTTCTGGTACCACCTCCACGGCCCCCAAACTGGTGAGCAGCTCAGGGCAAGCGGGCGCAGGGCTCTGGCTGGGCTGGGGAACCCGGGATTGGGGTGAGCCCACTGCAAGCTGGCCCTCCTCCAGGGACGCTGCGCCTGGCCATGAGGCGGGGCAGGGAGGCCGACGAGCTGCTGTGGGCGAGGTCAGGCACCCAGGGCAACCGCTGGCACCAGGCCTGGGTCACTCTCCACCACCGGCCGGAAGAGGCCGCCATGTACCAAGTGAGGCGGGCGCCCACGGCGGTGGGGCGGGCCAGGGTGGGGCACCAGGCCCCTGCATGACGCCCTCTGCCCCTAGCTGCTGTTCGAGGGCCTCCGCGACGGCTACCACGGCACCATGGCGCTGGACGACGTGGCTGTGCGCCCAGGACCTTGCTGGGCCCCCAAGCAGTGCTCCTTTGAGGACTCGACCTGCGGCTTCTCCACGGGGGCCCAGGGGCTCTGGAGACGCCAGAACAACGCCACAGGCCAGGCCTCCTGGGGCCCTCGAGCTGACCACACCACCCAGACCGCTCAGGGTGCAGACCTGGGGCGAGGGGCGGGGCCTGGCGGAGGCCGGCGGGGAGCGGCGAAGGGTGGGGCCAGCAGGCTGACGCTGCGCCCCGCAGGACACTACATGGTGGTGGACTTGAGCCCGCAGACCCTCCCCCGTGGCCACGTGGCCTCTCTGACCTCAGGGGAGCACCGGCCCCTGACCCAGCCCTCCTGCTTGACCTTCTGGTACCACCTAAGCTTCCCTAACCCAGGTGAGGGGCCAAGGCCTCTCGAGTCCCCAGCCTCCTGCCCCCGCGGGTCCCTGGGGAACCTTCTCCCCAAGCAGCTGACCACCCTGGGGTGCAGGCACCCTGCAGGTACACGTGGAGGAGACCGAGCGGCGTCAGGTGCTGAGCATCAGCGCCCAGGGGGGGCTCACCTGGCGCCTGGGCAGCGTGGACGTGCAAGCTGAGCAGGCCTGGAGGGTGAGTGGAGGCGCCCACCCCTAGGGTTCCCCAGACCGTGCTCGAGGCTCCCCTGCCTGTGCCCGCCCAGGTGGTGTTCGAGGCCGTGGCCGCCGGCGTGGACCACTCCTACATGGCGCTGGACGACCTGCTTCTGCAGGAGGGGCCCTGCCCTCGGCCAGGTGGGAGCTGCAGGGCTGGCCCTGTGACCTGCCTCTGGTCAGGGGTGGTGCCACCCCCAAGACGCCTGGCCGGGCCGTGCCTGGCAGTGGGGTACCGCGGGGGGGACAAAGTTCATCGCCGGGTCTCTCGCAGCCTCCTGTGACTTCGAGGCGGGCCTCTGTGGCTGGAGCCACCTGCCCTGGCCCGGCCTGGGCGGCTACAGCTGGGACTGGAGCAGCGGAGATGCACCCTCCCGCTACCCACAGCCCGCGGTGGATCACACCCTGGGCACGGAGGCAGGTGGGTCTGCGTGGGGCAGGGCCTACCCCGCTCCCCACAACCAGCCCAGGCCAGGCCAGCGTGGCTCCCCACGGGCCGCAGGCCACAGGTCGGAGGCCGGCCCACCCAGCCAGCTGCCCACTGTGGTCCCCAGGCCACTTCGTCCTCTTCCAAACCGGTGTGCTGGGCCCCGGGGCGCGGGCGGCCTGGCTGCGCAGCCCACCTCTGCCAGCCACCGCGGCCTCCTGTCTCCGCTTCTGGTACCTCATGGGCTTCCCCGAGCACTTCTGTAAGTCGGCTGGGCGGCGGCCCCGGCGGCGGGGGGCAGGGCCGGGCGGGCCTGACCAGGGCTGCTCTCAGACAAGGGCGAGCTGAAGGTGCTCCTGCTCAGCGCGCGGGGCCAGCTGACCGTGTGGGGCGCCGGCGGGCGCCTGCGGCACCTGTGGCTGGAAGGTCAGGTGGACGTGGCCAGCCCCGAGGAGTTCCAGGTGAGGCCGGAGCGGGGCCCGGGGGCGCAGCCCTCCCCCTGGCCTCGGCTGCAGCGGCCGCTTCTCCCTTCTGGGCAGATCGTGTTTGAAGCCACTCTAGGTGGCCAGCCGGCCCTGGGGCCCATCGCCCTGGACGACGTGGAGTACCTGGCTGGGCAGCCTTGCCAGCTTCCTGCGCCCCACCGGGGTAAGTCCTGCCCCGGGGACCGGCACGCCAGCACCGGCCCTCCTCCTGGCTGGGCGGCTCCGTCCTGCTGCGTGAAACGCCCCCCAGCGTGGGTGGCGGGCAGGAGGTACCTGGTCAGGCAGAGCCCTTGGCCAGCCTTCCCCGAGAGCGACCAGAGGGCCTAGCCGGGGCCCCACGTGTCTGTGGAGGAGCCGGCACCCCAGGGCTCCCCAGCCTGTGCCTGTCCGCCGGCTGCTCCCGGCCTGGGCGTGGGCCGACAGGGAGGCCTCTGTCCGGGCTCACACATCCCGCCCACAGGGAACAGGGCAGAGGCCACTTCAGTGGCAGCCGTGGTCGGAGGCGCCCTCCTCCTCGCGCTTCTGGTGCTGCTTGGCCTCGGGGTGCGGCGCTGGCTGCCGGGGAAGGGCAGCTGCCCGCTCCAGGCGGAGGCGCTTGCGGCCCCTGGCTTCGACAACGTCCTCTTCCAGGCGGTACGAGTCCCGCGGGGGCTGGGCGGTGGCAGGGTGAGGCCTGCAGGGCCCAGGAGGGCAGGGGTGCCCCATCGGCCGCCAGAGCCGCTCTTTCCCCGCAGGACCAGGTCACCCTCGCTGCATCGGTCCCCGACAGCCAGTAGACGGGTTGGAGAGACCCGATCCCCGGTGGACCTCGGGGGAGAAGCCTGCCTTCCCCCAGGCTGCACGCGCCTGCCAGCGTACTCTCACCCCGTAATAAAGCCCCTGCTCGCAGCCGCAGTCCCGGCATCCCACTCTGCCTTCAAGGGGACCCGTGGGGTTCCTGCCCAGGGCCCCTCCCACAGCAGGGCCCCAACACTCGGCCCCTCCCCCGCCACCTCTGCAGCCCACCCCGGCTGCACGCAGACCCCGGGAGGGCAAAGGCTTCTAGGCCTGCGGGCCCCTGATGCGCTCAGAGGTCCTGCTCCCCACCGCCCTGAGCACACCCCGTGTCCACTGCACCCAGCATGGGTCTGGGGGACCCCCAGAACAAGGGGCCTCAGCAGAGGTTACTCAGGGGCCCTATACAGCCCCGCACAGGTCCTGGGAAGGAAGCTGGAGCCCCTGCCTCAGACGGTGAACAGGTGGAAGTGACCCCCCCCCAGGAGTTCCTGGTGCCCACACGCCCCCCTGGTGTTAGAAGGTGGTCAGGTCTCCTGCCCCAGGGAGATCCGGTTCTGGGCACCGCCCTTCGCAGGGCATGGCCCCGTGGGTGGTGAAGGGTGCGACCAGGTACCGTGTGCGCAGACCAGTGGCCACTGCGCCTCCCGCGTCCTGCAGGAGAGGAGGCAGGGGCGCGGCGGGAGGCTGGCCACAGACACACGGGTGGGGAAGACACTCGGGCCGACCGGCTCCCTCTGCTCAGCCTCGCCAGGCCCCTACCATCCCGCCCAGCGAGGCGAGCCCCCAGAGCCCCCCTCATGGGGCAGAGCGCGCAAAGTGAGGGCCCTCTGGGCCCTCGCGGGGCAGAGGGAGGAGGGAAGGAGAAAGAACCACGAGAAGCAAACGCTTTGCAAGGTTTAGTCTTGGCTCGACGAGGGGTGCGGGTGAGGGGTCCCCAGGCGGGGCTTCCGCCCTACGTTCCGCGGGGCCACAAGAACCCAGGCTGGCGCGGGCGGCCAGGGGGAGCCAGCCGGGCGAGATCAGCCGGAACGCACTGATTTCGAGGCTTTGTGTTCATTTCGCCCTCGGCCCCTTCTCGATCGGCTTCCCAATGTCCTTCCCCCGGAGCTTCAGGCCTGCAAGACCACGGCCCGCTGACCCGCGGCCACGCTGCCAGGGCGCCCCCGCGTCCAGCCCCTGCCGGCTCCCAGCAGGACGCCGCCTCCGCACCTGGTTTCAGAAGCGAGCACCCGCCCTCGGCCCCCTCGAGGGGGACGGGCCCGCGTGGCCAGCGGGGGGAGGCCCCTCTGCAGGCGGCGGAGACCCGGAGAGGCGGCGGCGCAGTGCCTCACGCGGGGCCTCCGAGGCTCGGGAAGCCCCGCCCCGCCCGCCCCCCGCAGCAGGCCTGCAGGCCCGGGGCACTCACCGATGGCCCTCTCGATCTTGCCCAGGACCTGGTTGTTGGGGATGGCGCGCCCGCTCTCGTAGTCCGCGATCACCTGCGGCTTCTCGTTGATTTTCTGAAACAAAGACGCGCTTCGCACCCGCGCCGGCCACCGGCCCCCCCCCCCCCGGGGAGCCCCCCGGCCAGGCCCGCCCGAGGCCGGCGCTCACCGTCGCCAGGTCCTTCTGCGTCAGTCCCTTGCTCTGCCGGCCCTGCTGGATGACCTTGCCCACCTCCAGGGTGACCCGGTCGTGGTGCAGCTCCTCGGTCTCGCGGTCCAGCTTGGCCGTGTTCTTGGTGATGGAGTGCTGCTTGTTCTGGCCGGCGGCCCCTGGGGCAGGGGGCGAGAGCACGGCGCTGGGGGGGGACCCCTGGCCCCCTGTCGTCCGCCCCGGCCCGGCCTGGCCCTGGCTCCCAGGGCCCCACCCCCGTCTCCGGGGGCCCCGAGCGCAGACTCCCGAGGGTGGCTGCGCGGGTACCTACATTTCTTGGACGTTTCCACGTCTTCTCCTCGTCTCTGAGCCGCTAAAATGGCCTGAAAGCCAGAAGGTGATTTTTGGCGCAGACGGGCCTCCCTGGGGGCGCGGGGGCGCGAGTCCCTGCTTTACGGCGCGGGCTGCAGGGGAGTGGCCCCCGGGGCGCAGCAGACGCCTCCTTTCTCCCCGCTGCCCCCCTCAGCAAAGCGTCTCTGTGAAGCCACCTGCTCTGCTTCCCACCGTCTGAGAAGCCCCCTCACCCCCACCTCTGGTCTGCGCCCCGGCTCTTGCGCGCACAAGTGAATAAATCTTGAAAAAGGCAACACCAGGCCGCGGCAGCGCCAGGCGCACACCGGCCGGGGCTGCGGTCAGCAGCAGGCTCGAGCCCCCACCCCAGGGGCCCACCCACGAGCGAGGCGTGAGACCCGCACTCGCCGGGCGAAACCCAGGAAGCCAGCCTCGGCCAGGCCGCAGGAGGCCGCCGGCAGGGACGCGCCTCGCCACCGACAGGCACACGCTGGCGCCTCCTGGAAGCCAGCGTGGGAGCAGAAGGGGCCTGGCGGGGTGGCCCGGCCTTCCTCCGGGCATCGGGCACGCAGCCTGCACCCCCCGCCGCTCAACGGCCCCTTCCAGGCGGGCGCAGCGCCACGCTGGCCCGTCCACGCTCCGGAGGAGGGGCTGAGGAGCGGGCAGCCGCGGCCAGAGGTTCTGCCAGGGGCTCTCCCACACCGAGCGCGCAGCCAGCAGGAGGAAAGCAGGGGCAGGTCTGCCCTGCAGGACGGGCCCGGGGCAGGGCCCCAGGGCCCCAGGGCCGGGGGTCCCGGCAGCTCACCCCAGCCCAGGCCGGGCAGACCCTGAAGGGCCCGTCCCTCACGTCAGGCCCCGGCTGGCCCCGCCGCACGCGGAGTCCCTCTCCCGCAGCCCCGCCCACGCTGGCCAGGAGGAGCCGAAGGCGCCTCAGGCATCTCCAGGGCCTCAACTGGGCTGCCCCGCAGCCACCACTGCCCTCCGCGGGCTCCGGGGCAGTCAGGCGCTGGAGGCCAGGCAGACCCCTGGTCCCGGTCCCTGTGGACCCCGTCCTGGCCCCCCGTCCTGCCCAGCTGCCCCTGCCCCCGCAGGCCCATCCCTGCCCACCCTCTCCTGGCGTCCTCTTCATCTACTGCCCCTGGACCTTGTCCAGGCTGCGCCCAGGCCCCGCCCAACGCCACACCCGCCCCACGGGGCCCTTGGCCTGGCCATGACACCTCCCCCGGGGCCCCCAGCCACCCTCGCCTGCTGACCCTCCTGGCCCGATGCTCAAGTCCCTGCACCCCCACCTACCCGACCGTTCTCCTCAGCCTGGGGCCTGGAGCCCCTAGTGCTGCCCCTCGCCCTGGCCCCGGCCAGCCTCTCCCGGTGCCCTGCCAGCAGCTGTCCCCCCTGCTCCCGGGCCCTGCTCCCGCACCCCACCCTGCCCCAGACCCCGCTCCCGCCCAGGCCGTGCTCCCCGCCCCAACCCCTTGCCCCCTGGCCGAGCCCCATGCCCGCCAGGCCCTCACCCCAGCCCCTGCCGTGCCCCCACCCAGCCCCAGCCCCGGTCCCGCGGTCGGCCCCAACCCCGCCCCACGCCCCAACCCCTCCGGGCCAGCGTCCCCCCCCAGCTGCGGCCCCAGCCCCGGCCCCGAGACCACCCCAACCCCGGCCCCGCGCCCCCCACCCCCCGGCCCCGGCTCCCCCCGGCCCCGCCCGGCACGGGCCCCAGCCCCGCGCGCGCCCCGGCCCGCGCCCCCGCCCCGCCCCGGCCCCCGCCCCCCCCCCCCCCCCGTCCCGCCCCCGCGCCCCCCCCCCCGCCCCGGCCCCGCCCCCCCCCACCCCCCCGCCCCGGCCCCCCGCCCCGGCCCCCGCCCGGCCCCGCGCGGGCCCACCTGCTTGGACTTGGCCTGCGCGGCCGTGGGGCCCTTCTTGCGCAGCACCGTCACCGTGTCCCAGTCGCTCTCGGCCATGGCGGGGCGCTCAGTGCGGCGGCGGCTCCAGGCCCGGCGCGCGACGCGACGTCCGTCGTCCCCGCCGCTTCCGGCGCCGCGCCCCGCCCCCCCGCCCGCCCCGGCGTGCCCCGCGCGGCCAATCGGCGCCCGGCTCGCCTGCGGGGGGGGGGGGGGGGGGGGGAGGGGGCGCGGGCGGCGCTCCCGGGGAGGGCGGGGTGGGGCGGCGGGCGCCGCGGTCTGCACCCGCGGGGCGCGCCGGCTCCCCCTGTCCCCCGCGCGGGCTCCCTCGGGGCGGCGGCGGGCCGAGGTCGCGGTGGGGGGGCTGGGCCGAGGTCGGGGGGGGTGGCTGGGCCGAGGTGGGGGTGGCTGGGCCGAGGTGGGGGGGGGTGCTGGGCCGAGGTCGCGGGGGGGGGGCCCCCCGCCGGGCCGAGCGCGGGGGCGGGACCTGCTCTAGCGGCGGGTTTGCTCGAGGGTTTCTTCAGGTAATTCTTATTCACGCACATCGGGGCGCGGCCAGGGGCGCGGGCCCGAGGCAGAGGGGCGCGCCGGTGGCCCCGGGTCGGGGGTGGGGGTGGGGGAGGGTCCCGGGGATCAGGTCAACGCGGGTCCGGGGAGGGGGTCGCGTCAGCGCGGGCCCCAGGGGCGCGGGGCGCGGGGGGCGCGGGTGGGGGCATCGTGCGGGGGTCAGCGCGGGCCCGGGGGGGGGGCCGGGGGGGTCAGCGCGGGCCGGGGGGGAGGTGCGGGGGGTCAGCGCGGCCCCGGGGGGGGGGGTGCGGGGGGTCAGCGCGGGCCGGGGGGGGGGTGCGGGGGTCAGCGCGGGCCCCGGGGGGGGTGCGGGGGTCAGCGCGGGCCCCGGGGTGGGGTGCGGGGGGTCAGCGCGGCCCGGGGGGGTGCGGGGGGGGTCAGCGCGGGCCCCGGGGCGCGGCCGCACCTCAGGTTCTGTGACGTCCTGGCGACCTGGTGATTCTGCGTGAAACGGAATTTAATAAACTTACAAACTTTGAAACCAGCGCGCGGGCGCCCGCGGCCGAACAACAGCCCGCGCGAAACCCGCACCCGCGCCTCGTCCGCTGAGGGGAAACGGGCGCTTCACCCGCGCCGCGGGGCGCTCGCGCGGGCCGGGGTCGCCTTTATAGGCGGAAGGCGGTGAGGGCGGGGCCGCTGAGGGAGCGCTCATTGGCCGAGAGGGAGCGTCTTGGGCGGGCGCAGCCTCTCATTGGCCGGTGGCGGCGGGAGCACTTCTTATTGGCGGCTGCCGGTGACTGAAGCGTGAGGTGGAACCCCCCCCCATGGCCCCCCCGCCTGGAGGGGCACCCCGGCCTGCTGGGGCTCCCCGCGCGGACCCTGCTGGGGTCGGTGGGAGGGAACCCCGGGCCATGCCGACTTCGTTGTTTCTCTGGGTGTTCGTTTGCGCCCTCCTTCCGGGTTATGTCTCCAAATCCGAATTTAAGCAGGTTCCCGCGTTTCCTCGCCGCGGTCTCTTCAACGTCTTCATCGCGTGTTCGCTCGTGTTACTTTTCATCTTAATGTCATGGATTTACGGAATTGTCGGGATTTTTTTTAAAGGTTTCTTTATGCAGGGCTCCCAGGTGGCACAAAGAGGTAGGACACAGCCTATGGAGCTGTTCACAGCCACCACCGCACCAGGCCATCCACCAGCCAGGAGAAACCCGCGCGGCCCGGCAGACCTCGCCTCTCGCCCGCTGCTCCGCTCAGCAGTGCACTTCAATCTCCTGCTCTGCTCCCCGCTCTGTCTCTGGTGAATCCTCTCACCCCCACCCCCCACACATACACCTCTGGCCTAAACCCCAGCTCTTGCATGCATAAATAAATGAATCTTTGGGGGTAAATTTTTTTTATTTATTTGTACAAGAGCTGGGTACAGGCCAGAGGTGCAGGAGGGTGAGAGGATTCCCCAGAGACAGAGCAGGGAGCCGAACAGGCAGACTGACTGAAACCCACTGCTGAGGGGAGCAGCGGGGAGCCAGGAGAGGTCTGCCGCGCCATGTGGGTTTCTCCCCGGCCAGCTGGGATCAAACCTGCGCTGCAGAGGCTGCGGACAGCTTCACAGCGCTGCGCTCAACCACCAGCGCCACCAGGGAGGCCCTGAGAAGTATGTCTTTACTTCAGAGAGCAGCTTCCTGCACTGAGGATGAAAACTGTGAAGATGGCTTTGCTAGATCAGGGGCACTTCCCCCCCCCCCAAATTTTCAATATATTTACAAAACAATTCTTTAAGGGCCCCCCTGGTGGCACAGCAGGTTGAGCACCGCCTGTGAAGCTGTCCACAACCTCTGCAGCAAGGGTTTGATCCCGGTCGGCCGGGGAGATACCCACATGGCGCCACAGACCTCTCCTGTCTCTCCCGCTGCTCCCCTCAGCAGTGTATTTCAGTCCATCTGCCTGCTCTGCTCCCCAATCTGTCTCTGGTGAATCCTCTCACCCTCCCGCACATCTGGCCTGTACCCCAGCTCTTGTATGTGTGAATAAATAAATCTTAAAAAAATTCACTTTATTTATTTAGGCATACAGCTGGGGTGTAGGGCAGAGATGGGGGGTGATGGTGAGAAGATTCACCAGAGACAGACTGGGGACCAGAGCAGCTGTCATGCTACTCACCCTCCAGTCTAAACTGTTCTGAGGTGGCAGGACACAGCCTCAAGGTGGCACAGGGCCTGGTCTAGAGCTCCCTCCTTAGACTCCAGGCTGAGTTGGGAGCAGCCTGCAGGTCAACCTCCTCAACCTCTAGCCTGAGATGGGGCTGGCCTTCTGGTCCACTCCTCAGCCTCCAGGCTGAGCTGGGACTGGGCCGCTGGTTGACCTCCTTAGCTCAGGATGATATTGGGAAGTCCCCTGGCCTACCCACTCAGACTCCAGGTTGAGCAGGGGCTAACCTGCCTGTCGACCTCCTCAGCCTCTATGGTTAGGTGGGGCTGGCCTTGGTACGACCATCACTCTCTGGCTCCAGGACAGCAGTCTCAGGCTTGCGGCGTCACCTCACCCCCATCTGCAGCCGGGTGATGGGAGCCTCCTCCACGCTGCTCCGCCATTGCTGTCTTCAAAGAAAGGTCTGTCCTAAATGCCTCCTGCTCTTGGGTGCCCACCCGTGTGTTCTGGATGTGGCTGTCACCAAGCCCGTGGCCACCCATGTCTGCCCTGAAGCCGCCATGTGTCCTGTGGCCCTGGGTGGCCCCCTCCAGGTGGCCCTGGGCTCTGGTCTTGCTGCGCCGAGCCCGGAGTCAGGGTGCGGAAAGCTGAGCCTGTGATCGCGGCTTTGCCCCGTGTCTTCTCCCAGAGTGTTAGTGTCCCGGGGCCCCCGTCACGCAGGCTGTGGTGCACCTGACAGCGTCCGGCAAGGGTCCACCTCCGCCTGCCCCAATGTGCATGACCAGCTCCCCCCGCAGAGTGCAGGCAGGCCAGGAACGGTGGGACCAGGCAAGACCAGGGCGGTGGCCGCTGTGGATGGACGTGGCAGGGCTGGGGGCACCGGGCTGGGCAGGGTGGAGGGAACCCGGCCACCCAGAGCCTCCTTGGGCACGCGGGCTGGCCGGCTGGCCATGAGGCAGAGGGCGAGTCCCTGCAGAGGGCAGGTGCTGTGCAGAGGGGGGTCAAAGCCCCGCGGGCCCTTGGATGGTGCTCCAGGAACAGGCTGGACATGCCCCAGGCAGCCCCTGGGACCTGACCTCTGCCCACCAATGCCGACCCACTCTTTCCTTCATCCCGCCTGCAAAGGCAAGCAGACGCAGGTCCCAAGGAGACCGGTGCGAGCGGGGACCCAGAATACCGCTCCTTCCCGGCCCTCGCGGCTCTCACCTGGCCTGGCATTTGTGCTCTGAGCGCAGCTGAGGCAGGTGGGTGGTAAATCACTAAGGGAATTTGGCTGAGCTTGTCTCTGGGTGGGGGAATTTGGGGTGATCTTTTGCTTTCTCCCCAGTACTTTTCTGTATCTCACAGTCGCCCTCTGCTGGGGCCTTGAGCTTGTGCCGATGGGTGAGAGCGCCAACGCCGGGCCCCTCCCCAACACGATCCGACTCTTAGTCTGCTCCCCACTCAGCAGGGAATCGGGGTGCACAGGCGTGGGAGCTCAGCTCTCCCCTTGGCTCAAGGAGCACGTGGTGGCTGGGGTCCTTCCCGCTCACCTCACCAGGCGTGGGGGGGCAGGGGCTCCCCTGCAGGGGACCCCAGCTGGGGCCAGGCTTGGCGCCTCCTCCCTGCAGTTCTGCCCCCAGCTTGACTCCTGGCCGGGCCCAGCTCCGAGCCCAGGCAGCTCGGCCTCTGCCGGAGCTGGGGCTGCCGGAGGAGCTGGTGGCTGTGCACAAGAGGGGGCAGGGGTGCAGGGGGAGCCCCTCCTGGCACCCTGGCAGAAGTGGTGGCGGGTCTTTCTGGAAATGCTGGGTGGAAGATGGCAGAGCGGATTGAAACCGGCTTTCTTCAGCGCCTGCGGCCCGGGCTGACCTTCAAATAGCTGAGACGAGGAAGAGGAAGGGGCCGCTCCCGGAGAGACACGGCGTACTAGTGGGGCATCTTGGAGGGCTCCATGGGGCCTCCGGGCTGGGTCCTTCCTGCCTCTGGCCGGTGTGCAGAGGCCCGGCGGGCAGGCGTGCCACCATCAGGCAGGGCAGGGGCTGGGGTGGGCGGGACTGGCCTCTGGGAGCCTCCGGGCAGAGGTGGCCAGCGACAGAGCCTTGGTGTCCGCCAGCCTCTGCCCTCTGGAGGGTCTGGAGGGCTGTGGGGGCTGGGACAGCAGCGGGGCCTGAACTGTCTGTGCCCCCTGCTCCCCTGGGAGCCTGACCCCGGCCCTCTGGGGCTGCCCCCGCCCGTCTGCGCTGAGTTTTGCTTTCTCTTTGACAGGAAGGAACCTGCTAGGGAATCCCCGTTGTGAGTCACCCTCCCCAGGAGACCCCTCTGCCTGCAGGGCGGTGCCACCCTCCCCAGCGGGCAGGGGCAGGCCGGCCACCCCGCGGCCCGCTTGCAGGTGCTCCCTCCCAGGGCCCCGGCCCCAAGGGCGTGCTGGCCCCGCTCCAAGGCTGGACCCTCGCGGAGCCGCCCAGGAGCGCGGGGCTGCGGAGGCCTCTGCCCAGGAACTCGTGTCTGGACAGGGAGGGCGGGAGCCGCCGCGCCCCGGGGCAGGAGGCCGGGCCCTGTCAGGAGGGTCCCTTCCTTCAGCCCCGCCTGGGCAGGAGAGGCCGCCTCCCGCCAGGGCCAGCCTCGGTGGCGCGCTGCAGGGGGGCCCCGGGGTCCACGCTGTGGGGCCGCGGCCGCTGGAGGACGCCTGCGAGCAACGGGGCGGCGGGCGGGGACCGCGGACAGCGCGGGTGGACGCAGCGTGGCCTGCCCCAGGGCGCGGCCCCGCCGGCCGCCCTTCCCGCCCCTTCCCCTTGGACGGCCCGCGGCTTCGGGGCGCGCGGCCTTGGGCGCGGGGAGAGCGGCCCGCGCGGGGCGCAGAGGCCGGCGAGGTGGCCGGGCCGCCGGGGAGGCCGTCCCGCCGAGCGCAGCCCGAAGCGTCCGCGGACACGCGCGGCGGCGGCCGCCTAATCCCGGCGCCGGGCGGGCGTCGCGGCGACCCAGTGCTGGGCGCTGCGGCGCCCGTCTGCGCCCGGCGTGCTTCGGGGCACCCCGCCCCCCCCCAGCGAGGCGCGGCGGAGCCCCCGCACCCGGCCCCGCCGCCGGGTCAGCCGCGTGGGAGCGGCGCGCCCCTCGCAGAGGCGGGAGGAGGCCCACGCCGCGCAGCTCCGGCCAATCGGCGCGCGCTGCGGCTCCCTGCCCGCGTCCGGTAGGCCCGCGCGGCCGTCCGTCAGGAGGGCGGGCCGAGGCGGAGAGACCGCCGGCCAATGGGCGCGCGCTGCGGCTCCCCGCGCGCCTCCGGTAGGCCCGAGCGGCCGTCCGTCGCGAGGGGCGGGGCGGGCCGTGCGGCCGCGGCCGGGCGGGCGCGCAGTTCCGGGCGCGGAGGCCGCGGTGAGCGGGGCGGCGCGGGGCCGGGGGCCGGGGGCGCGGGGCCGGGGGCGGGGCGCCGGGGGCGCCGGGGGCGCGGGCGGGCGGGCAAGGGCCGGGCGGCCGCTGCGGGCGGAGGGGCCTCGCGGGGCGTGAGCCGAACTGAAAGTCGGGGCGGCCGGCGGAAAGTTCGCGAGCGCGGGGCTCGGGCCGGGCCGGGCCGGGCCGGGGCGGCGCAGCCCGGGGGCTCCTCACGGCCGCGGCCCGCGGGCGGGGGTGGCCCCGGGGCGGGGCCGTGGGGGCCCGGGGGCCGGTGTCCTCCCGGCGGGGCCGGCCCTGGGGGCCGCGCTCGGGGCGGGGTTCCTGGGGCGGGGGTGCCGGGGCTGGGCGGCCTTTGGGGGCCCCAGGGACCCTCTGGTCGACCTGACGGCTCCGCCTCCCCTCGGCAGCCCCGGCCGGCCCCCCAGGGCGTTGGAAGCCGGGGTGCCCCTGGCTCCCGCCCCGCCCCGCCCCGCCGGGTGTCCTGCCCGGAGCCCCGCAGGATGGAAAGCGCGGAGGGCGGAGGGCTGCCTCCCCCCGGGGCGCAGCGCAGCGAGGGGGCACCCCGCGCCCGTGTTTGTGTGTCCGGGCGGAGAGGGTCTTTGACACCCAGCCTGGGGCGCCCTGCGGCGGTGGGGAGCCCAGGGCGGTGTGTGCTGGGGCAGCAGCTCTGCCGCCCGAGGGGCGGACCCCGCCCTGCAGACCTGGCTGCAGAAAGGGGGGTCTAGCCTGTGCCCTGCAGGCCGAGGCCCCCACTCTCTGTTAATTTCTTTCTGGGCTCCAGCGTGACCCTCACTCTGCAGAGCTCACCGTGTCCTGAATCTCAGACCCTGGGGGGACACTCCTCCTGCGGCACTCGGGGCAGCTGGACCGCGCCTGGGGCACACCTGCGCAGCTGCTCCCCTGCACCCCTGCCTGGCTCCAGGTGGTGTCCTCAGCAAAGGCCCAGTGCCCGAGAGGCTGACCCCCCAAAGGTTTGCCGACGCCGTGTCCGAGCCAGGTGCAGCCTGGGATAGCCCCTGGTTGGATGACCCGTGCACCGTGTGGCAGGGACACCGGCCCCAGTGCCGGGCATGGGCTGCTCCCCCGAGGGGCTTCGGCGGGGTCTCTTGAGGAGTGTCCAGATGTCCTGGGGCGACCCTGGGCAGTGTGTGCCTCAGGCAGGTTGCCCCACAGCCTGCTGACAGGTGCTCAGCACCCATGTGTGTCCTCCTCTGTGTCTAGAGTGGCGTTGAACCCCATCTCTGGTGTGGGGAGCCTCCCACCTTCCAGCTCGGTCCCTGACCCAGTGCGGCCCCAGGGGCTGCAGGGCGGGCGTTGGCTGCAGGAGCAGCAGGGCCAGGGAGAAGTGGGGCCGTGTCCAGGCCAGAGCCCGCAGTGGGCGCCCTGCTGGGAGCCGGTGTCTCTGGAGCCCTGCATGCCCAAAGAGCGGGCGGTCGCTGCCCCCGAGACAGTGGGCAGAGGAGGCTGACCCAGCGGAAGGGTGCCCGGGTGGGTGCTGAGACGCCCCAGCCCCCAGGAAAGCTTGTGGGCGAGGACACGCTGTGTCAGCAGCTCTTCAGGGTGGTCACCCACTTAGGACAGACTGGGCCCCGTCCCGCCGCTGAACATGCTGCTCACCTGCTCCCCACGGGGCGCAGCGCAGGAGGGAAAACCCCGGGGGCAGCCAGGGCTGGTGGGCCCCACACCAGCTCTGCCCTGGGCACGGGTCTGGGGAGCTGCTGCCTCCGCCTGGCCATCCTGGTTGCTGGGCGCCCTTGGCGGTGCTGGGGAGCGGGGTGCCGGTCTGCCCGGCTCGGGGTGTCTGCAGACACTTGTTGAGTGAAGGGCCCACGTGGCGAGTCCGGTGCTGGGCCTCTCCTGGAGTCCGGGCGGCCTGGGGACGCACGTCTGTCTGTCTGTCTGTCCCAGGACCAACCTGCGTGCCGGCCAGGGAGGCCAGGCAGCCGCAGTGCCCACGCGTGCTGACCTTGGCGTGTCCATCCTTGCAGCCTTGCACTTGCGCCCACCCTGAAAAAGCCTCCAGCTGCCCGTGGGAGCGAAGGGCCTCCCGGGCCCTGGAGGAGGTGGCAGCAGGGCTGATGGCCGTGCCTGGAGCCACCTGCCCGCCCAGCAGTCTGGTGCTGCAGGACCGCGGCGAGGGCTGGGCTGCAGCCTCCGGGCGGTGGGTGGACTGGGCATCCTTGCCCCTCCTCTGCCCCGCCTGCCCCGCCAGGGCTCGTGCCGTGGACCTGCCCGGGCCGAGCAGGGTCTCCGTGGCGGGGCGTCTCGCGGGCCCAGCCCGGGGCAGCGCCGATGGTGGGTGAATCCCACGGCACAGGCCTGTCTGGGCCCCCACGCCCAGCCCCCCCACCCTGTCGGCGCGCAGGCCCGCGGAGGACCTGGGGCCCGAGGCGGCCCGTCCATCCCCTCCGTGGCAGGCGGCCCGCAGCAGAGGCCCGGCCAGGGCCTCTGGGGAGGTTCAGGGGCCAGCCGCCTGCCCGAACCCGGCTCCCCTGCGGGGAGGTCAGCCCCGCCCCGCAGGCTGCCCCGAGCTACGGTGCCCTCGGGCCCATGGCCCCCCGCGGCTTCCGCGCTGAGCTGGGGTGCTGTCTTCCCAGGGCTGGCGGACCCGGGGCCGCGTCCCCATGGCTGCGGCGAGCGCCACCCCTCCCGGCTCCCTGGGCCCGCTGCAGCCCGGCTTCTCCAGGGCGCTGCTGGGGACGCCGCCGGAGGACAAGTACCTGTGCTCCGCCTGCAGGAACGTGCTGCGCCGGCCCGTCCAGGCCCAGTGCGGCCACCGCTACTGCTCGCACTGCCTGAGCAGCATCCTGAGGTGCGGCCCGCGGGCGCGTCAGGGTCCCCGCGCTCCTCCCGCCCCGAGGTTGCCGCGAGGGCGCTGCTGCGGGCTGTTTGGGGAGAGGGGTGCGGGGAGGCAGGGCCCCCACCGGCAGGGCCCCTCGTCTTCAGCTTCCGCCGCGTGGCCCTCTGCGGCCGGCGCCGCCGGGGCTCACGCGCTCGCCCCCCCCAGCTCGGGACCGCAGAACTGCGCGGCGTGCGTGCAGGAGGGCATCTACGAGGACGGCGTGTCCATCCTGGAGAGCGGCTCCGTGAGCGGGGCGCGGGGGTGGGGCGGGGGGTGCTTAGCAGGTGGCCGGGCCGCCTGGCACCCGGGCCGGGGACGCAGGAAGGGGGGACGTTGACTGCGGCCCTCTCCCCGCAGGCCTTCCCGGACAACGCTGCCCGCAGGGAGGTGGAGAGCCTGCCGGCCGCCTGCCCCAGCGAGGGCTGCTCCTGGAAGGGGACCCTGAAGGACTACGAGGTAGGTCCGCGGTGCACCCGGCCTGGAGCCTGCGCCCCTGCGTTGCCGGCCGGCCCTCCGGCCCTCAGACTGCCCAGCGCAGAGCAGGACGGCGCCCCGGGTGCCCACGGGGGCCGGGGCGGGGCGGCCACGTGCGCGCGGTTTCTCCTCGTGTCTGTCTCGCTGTGCAGACGCGGTCACGGCGGACGTGTGAGGCCCCCCCAGCTCTGGAGCCGCCCCAGGCTGCCGCGTGGGCCTGGATGGGGTGTCTGCCCCGGTGCTGGGCCTGATGCTGGCGCCCCCTGGCCGGGGCTGGGGTCTGGCGCTCCCCCCCGCTCCGCCTGACGGTTTCCCTGCCCGAGCTGCGTGTGGGGGCAGCTGGGCCTCGGCTGGGCCCTCTGTCCTCTGGGTGGGGACGTGGGCGGGTGCAGGCGGCCCTGGGCTATGCCGTCGGGGCGCTCCGGCAGGCCTGGCGCGCGAGCCCGTGGGCGCGGGAGGGGCGGTGGGCCTGGGCCCTGTGGGTGCAGAGGCGGGTGGGGTCCCTGCCGCTGCCTGAGGAGCCGCCCGGCGGCCCGAGCCTGGGGCCTGGCTGGGAGCAGGGCCCCTGTCTGGGGCTCACCCACAGGCCCTGCAGACGCTGGGCGGAAAGTCCCTGGCGGGGCGAGGGCTCCGGAAATCCCCGTGAAGGGTTTGGTCACGTGGGGGTGGCCGTTCTGGGACAGGGCCTGGCCTTGGAGGCGCTGCTGAGACCCGAGCTGGCGGGAGGCCGGCCAGCAGGGGGTGCTCCAGGGGGGCTGCCCAGAGGGAGCACCCGGGGCCTATGAGGGGGCCCCTCCCCCACCCCATGCGTCCAGTCCCCAGTTCTCTGTCTGCGTGAACATTTCTTGGGGTTCTGGCTGAGGTGATGATTCCCCCCCAACCTCGAGCTGGTGGAGCTGCTGCTCCTGGGTCTTTTTTCTTTTTGAAGATTTGTTTCTGCGTGTAAGAGCTGGGGTGTAGGCCAGAGGTGAGAGGGCTCCCCAGAGACAGGGTGGGGCGCAGAACAGGCGGATCCACCGAAACACACCGCTGAGGGGAGCAGCGGGGAGACAGGAGAGGTCTGCTGCGCCCTGTGGGTCGCTCCCTGGCTGGGGATGGACTCGGGCCGCAGGGACGGCCGCTAGCTCCAGAATGCTGAGACTTAATCCCTGAGTCCCCAGGGAGACCCCCGTTTCTGGTGCTTGTTTTGCCCCACCGGGGCAACTGTGCAGTGGACTTGGCCCTGCCCGGTGTGTTCCTCTGCCCCATGCAGGCTGGGGTGCAGTCTGAGTTTTCGGGTGAGAAACCCCAGGGTTCGGGCCCCACGTCTGGACGCCGAGCTCGCGGCGGTGCGGGGCTTCTCTCTGGCTTCACTGAGACTGTCCTGGGGCCCAGCGTGCCCAGGCGGGGCCCTGCTGTCCATGTGCAGGCCCAGGTGCCCTGCCCGGGAGTAGGTGGAGGTCACGGAGGGCCGGGATGTGTACCCAGCAGGGTGGGAGGCAGTCGCCAGGCTGCGGTTGGTCAGTGGCCCTTGATGGAGGTGGACGCAGGGTGGACGTCTGGGCGCCAGGTCCCCTTCCCCCCTGCAGTGTTGGCCTGGCAGAGCCCTAGGGCCCCGCCCTGTCCGCCCGCTGGTCTGGGTGCTGTGGCGCTCGGGGACATGTCCCGGCTGCTGTGGGGTCCCAGGAGGTGTGCAGGGCGCGTGTGCGGGCGGCACAGGGTCAGAGGGCGGCAGGGGAGCACTTGCGTCTTAAGTTTGTGCCTGCAGCAGCAGCAGCAGCCGAGGCCCGGGGAAAAGCGGGGAGCAGCGTCGGGAATAGCAGGGAGCAGCTGGGGACACAGCGCGGGGAACGGCGTTGGGAGTCAGCAGAGACTGAGCGGGTGGGATGCCGCCGGGGGCCGAGAGTCTGATGGAAGGAGTTTTGGGGGGACAGCAAGTTCTGCGGGGGGCTGGGGAGGCTGCGCCGGGCTGCTGTGAGCCAGAAGAGCAAACCAACCTTCACCTCGGGGCTGCTCACCCTGCCATGTTCTTCGGCCCCTTCTCGGTGGACTCCCAATGCCCCCTCTGGTTTCTGTCTCCCCAGCCCTGGCCGCGCAGGGCTGTTGGGGTGACTGGTCCCTTTCTGTCTGCTGAAGGGCGGGAGGATGCAGCTCTGTGGCTGCCAGACCATCAGGTCCCGCCCGACGTCCCCGCGGCCCCTCCCGCTCTGAATTCCCCCTGCGCGGCCTCGGGCTGGGGCCAGGGCCCCGTGTGGCTGTGTCAGGCTCCATCGCGGCGAGGCGGGGGGCTGAGGCGTGCCGCGGCGTCCCTGCTGTGTGTTGCCCAGTGCGGGCGCAGGCCGGGGTGGGGTGCTCTGCCCATGGCTCCAGCCTGCCCCCTCTGCTGAGGCCATGCTTCCTGTCACCAGAGTGGCCACGAGGGACACTGCCCATTCGCGCTGACCCCGTGCCCGGCGTGTAAAGGCCTGGTGCGCCTGGGCGACAGGGAGCACCACGAGGAGCACGAGTGCCCGGGGAGGAGCCTCAGCTGCCCACACTGCCACGCGCCCTGCTGCCGAGCCGACCTGGAGGTGAGGCGCGGGGCTGGCGGTGCGCAGAGGCCGCTCCACCTTGGAGGAGGCCCAGAGCCGACACCTGCCCCGCCGAGCCCTGCGCAGCCCAGCGCGGCCTCCCTCTCCCCGCCGACCCTGACAGGAGCCGGGCTCGTGTGGCCTGTCCCCTCAGGTTCTGTCTCCAGCGTCCGCCTCGGCGGCTGCGTCCAGCGCATCCTCATCGCCGTCCTCTGCCCCCTCCTGCAGGCACATTCGGGCGCCAGGCGCTGCAGCACCTCCTTGGGGGGCTCCCGGGGCTCCTCTGTCGGCAGGGGACCGGGTGGCGCCCCACCTGTGTTGCCCAGAGGCTGCGCAGAGCCATGCGCCGCCTGACGCCCGCCTCTCGCCGTAGGCCCACCACCAGGCCTGCCCCCGGAAACCCCTGGCCTGCGACGGCTGTGGCGCCAAGGTCTCCCGCGAGCAGGTGGGCGCTCCTGGGGCGGGGTGCCGTGCTGGGGGGGCGGGGTGGGGGGCGGGACGCGGCACTCCTGGGGGTGGGGCGGGGCGCCCAGCCTTGGGGGCGGGTCCGTGGGCGCCAGCGGAGTGACATGGGTTCTGGGGCTCCTGCCCAGTTCCAGGACCACGTGAGGACGTGCGGCAAGTGCCCTGTCCCCTGCCGCTTCCACGCTGTTGGCTGCCCCGAGATGGTGAGTCCGGGTTCCCGGAGGACATAGCTGAGCCCGGCCAGCCTGACCGCCCTCCCCTACCCCTCGCCTCCCGCCTCCGGGCTCTGTCCCGTCTGCTTGTCCACCTCGTCCTGGTGCCCTCGTGGCGCCTGGCTTCGACCCCCGTCGGTGAACACGTCCCGCACCTCCCGCCCAGCCCAGGCTGCTCCCTCCCGCCCCAGGCCCGTGCGTGGGGGCGGCAAGGTCGGACGAGCGCTCGGTCTCGTCTCTGCGGCGCGTCCGGCTCTGTGCTGCGGGGCCTGGGGCAGAGGCAGCGAAGGGGAGGATGCCACAGCGGCACCCCCAGACCAAGCCTGGGCGGGTGGCAGTTTGGGGTCGGGTGGCTGCAGACGGTGACTGTGGGCTGCCCCCCGTCTGCGGCCAAGCACACCCAGCCCGCCGTCTCCGCAGGTGGAAAGCGAGGCGCGGCCGGAGCATGAGGCCCAGCGGCTGCGGGAGCACCTGGCTATGCTGCTGAGCAGCCTCCTGGAGGCCCAGCGCCTCTCAGGGGGCAGCCCGTGTGAGTCTGGGGGCCGGGAGGCCAGCACGCCGGAGCTGGTGCGCAGGTGTGAGGCCCTGGAGAGGAAGACGGCCACCTTCGAGAACATCGTATGTGTCCTGAACCGCGAGGTGGAGCGGGTGGCCATGACCGCCGAGGCCTGCGGCCGGCAGCACCGGCTGGACCAAGACCGGATCGAAGCCCTGAGTAACAAGGTCTGTGCCGGGCAGGGTGCCCGCGCCCCCCGGGCCGGAGCTTGGGGTCTGAGGTAGTTATGGCCGCCCCCATCCAGCCCGAGTCTGCGCCCTGTCTCCACCGAGGGCCCTTCTGCAGCTACACTCAGCTGGCCAGGCTCCCGGGCGCGGGGCTGCGGCCACCCTTCCCGGCTGGGACTGCGTGGGCCTGCCTGTCCCGGAGGGCTTGGGAGCTGGGGTGGGGCTGCGGCCCGTGGAAGGTGGCTTTTTGGGAGGCTCCTCGGCAGGTGGGTGGCCCCGGGCAGAGCAGGCAGCCGGCCAGCCCCCAGGAGCCCTCTCGTGTGGGCCAGGTGCAGCAGCTGGAGAGGAGCATCGGCCTGAAGGACCTGGCGATGGCCGACCTGGAGCAGAAGGTGCAGGCCGTGGAGGCCTCCAGCTGCGATGGGGTGCTGGTCTGGAAGATCTCTGACTTCGCCAGGAAGCGGCAGGAGGCCATCGCCGGGCGCACGCCTGCTATCTTCTCCCCAGGTGTGGCAGGGGCTGGGCTGCGCCAGGGCGGCTGGGGGGCCCCCCTCACACCCCCGGGCGGGTGTCCGTGCCAGCCCGAACTGAGGCTGCCGGGTCTTCGGGCCTGACTGTGGCGCCACCCCCAGCCCCGCGGGTCCTGCGCAGAGGGAGGGCTCGGAGTAGCCCAGCAGGTGCCCCGGGGCCTGCGCTGGTCGGCTGTGCTGCCCCAAGCGTTCATGCATTTCCCCGGTGGGGGGCCACTGTTGGCCGCTGGATGGGCGGCTCACCCCCGCCCCCGCAGCTTTCTACACCAGCAGGTATGGCTACAAGATGTGTCTGCGCGTCTACCTGAACGGGGACGGCACGGGCCGCGGCACCCACCTGTCCCTCTTCTTCGTGGTGATGAAGGGGCCCCACGATGCCCTCCTGCGCTGGCCCTTCAACCAGAAGGTGCTGGCCAGGGCTCCAGGGGGGGCGTAGGGTGGGGGGTGCTGCCCCGGGTGGACCCGAGTCCCTGCCCTCGGGTGCCCAGGAAGCCCAGGGCCTGTCTGCGGCAGGCGGACGGCGGAAGCTCGGAGACCACCTTCCCCGCCATGCTCCTCCAGGTGACGCTGATGCTGCTGGACCAGAACAACCGGGAGCACGTGATCGACGCCTTCAGGCCCGACGTGACCTCCTCGTCCTTCCAGCGGCCAGTCAGTGACATGAACATCGCCAGCGGCTGCCCCCTCTTCTGCCCCGTCTCCAAGATGGAGGCCAAGAACTCCTACGTGCGGGACGACACTGTCTTCATCAAGGCCATCGTGGACCTGACGGGGCTCTAGGCCTCCCTGGGGGGCCAGTGGCGCTGGGCGCAGGCCTCTGGGGCCTGTGCTGCCCTGAGGGGCCCTGGGAGCCCTGGACGGTGGCAGTGGGGGGCGCCCACGTGCCCACCGCCCCTGAGGGCTGCAGAGAAGTGGTCATTACACCCCGGTGAGGAATGGCGTTGGCCCTGGCCTTGGCGCGACCCTCTGGGGACCCTGCCTGCTGGACCGTGACCCCGGGCTCGCGGGGCCTGGGCACTGGCCGCCTCCATCCTGGGGGACCTGGCCTGAGTGCGCAGGGCCTTCGCCTGTGCTTGGGGGTCTGCTGGGCCCTGACTCCCCGCTTAGTTGGCGGAGGGCTACGGGCGCCTGGGGCTGTGCAGAGAGCTGGGGCGCGTGGGGCGCATGGGGCCCCGGCATGGCTACCCCGTTGAGTGGGCGCAGGAAAGCGGTGCGGGCAGGGTCTGTCCCCCAGGCGCGTCCCGTCTGGAGCCACGTGTCTCGATTAAAGGAAACGCCACAGACGCGCTGGCTGCTCCTGCTCTCAGTGCAGGCCTGGGGGCTGCTCCTGGGGGCGGGGCCTCTGGGCCTGCCCGCAGCTGCCCCCCGCCCCTCCTCCCGCTCTGGGGGCTCTGGCTCAGCCCTCCGGGGCGCTGGGGCTCCTGGCTGCCACTGTGGGGTCCCCTCACTGCCGCGCAGACGCTGCGGGGCTCTGTACGCCCATGGGCCCCGCCGGACTGCTGCGAGGCCAGCGGTGGCCATGGCCTGGCCTTGACCTGCCTGCCCGGCTGGGGGCACTGGCCAAGCAGGCTGTTTCCCTTGCAGCGAGCCGTGGCAGGATGCGTGGACAGCCCTCCATGGGCAGTGGGGCGGGTGGGGGCGCCCCCATCTGGGGAACGTGGCCGCCAGGTCCCGCTCACCCCTGCCCCGGGGACCCCTCCTGTCTCAGGACCTGCCCCGCCGGGCCAGGCGGCGGTGCCCTGAGGCTGGGGCCGCCTCCCTCTCTGGCAGGGGTGGCTGCCAATAGCCCGATAGAGCTGAGACTTCACCCCTGTGCCCCGGGGGCTCCCACTTGTTCTAGATGGACTCGGCCGCCGGGCCTGGCATGTGCGGTTTCCCTACGCGGGTGGTCACCCGAGCTGCTGCCCGGCCCAGCCCGGCCTCCGCCCTGTCAGGCTGAGCGTGCCCTGCCGTGGCCGGTGATGTCCATTGGCACTCTTATGCTCCTAGTGTGCTGGGGTTTTTTTCCCTAAAGATTTTATTTTTAGGGGGCCTCCCTGGTGGCCCAGGGGGTTGAGCGGGTGCTGTGGAGCTGTCCGCAGCCTCTGCAGCGCGGGTTCAATCCCAGCTGGCTGCAGAGAAACCCACATGGCGCGGCAGACCTCTCCTGCTCCCCTCGGCAGTGTCCGTCAGCCAGTCTGCCTGTTGTGCTCCCCGCTGTCTCTGGGGAATCCTCTCCCCCTCCTGCACATCTGGCCTGTACTCAAGTTCTTGTATGAATAAAATGAATCTTTTTAAAATTTCTTTAAATTTTTATTTATGCACACAAGAGCCGGGGGCCAGGCCAGAGGTGTAGGGGGTGACAGGATCCGCCAGAGACGGAACGGGGAGCAGCACAGGCAGACTGACTGAAACACACTGCTGAGGGGAGCAGGAGAGGTCTGCTGCGCCCTGTGGGTCACTCCCAGCCGGCCACAGCCGATAGCCTGATAGTGGTGTCTTCAGCCCCTGTGCCCCCAGGGAGGTGCTGGGCTGGCAATTTTTAAATTGGCTACTTTGCAAAGTGTTTTTCTTGCAACAGGTGACCTGTGAGGAGGGACTTGTGCCTGTTGCCTTGAGGGAGCGGCATCTGCGGCGGCCCCCAGTGGGGACGCTGGGCCTGTCGGGCTGTGCTGTCTCCGGGCCAGGCGCTGGCCTGCCTGTCGTGAGGCTGGTTTGATGGCTCAGAGCAGGGTCTGTCGTGGGGACCGGCCTGCAGCGGGGGTGGCCGTGGAGGTTGGCCTGCTGTGTCCACGCCCGAGGCCCTGGCCCGGCCACTTAGATGTGGCACCAACGGGCACAGGCCTCTCCAGCCACATTCCTCAAGCCAGCCGAGCTGGCCCGTGAAGATGGGGTTGCTGGGTGGCCAACATGGTGTGGCCGTCCTTATAAAGAGGCGTGTGGACGCCGACCGGACAGGCAGGAAGCCCTAGGGGAGAAGGTGAGCAGCGTGGGTTGGGGAGGGCAGGGGCCTCAGCTGCCCACCTCAGCTCAGCGGCAGAGCTCAGCTGTCCGCCTCTGGGCCATCCTGCATGTCCTTGTGGTGCCCATGCTGGCCACACCCTGGAATTTCCACTGCCAGCGCATCGGCCACAGGCCTGGCTCTACTTTACGGTGCGGACTGTCGGGCCAAGGTGGTGCTTTCTGTGGCCACTTATGCTGCTGGGCTTTGTCCTGCTTGCCCAGGTGACGTGGACACCTGCCAGCTCTGTCCCGGCCAGGGTCTCGGCTGCTCTGTGCCCCAGCCTCACCTGGACCCAGCGCCCCCCCTTAGCGCCCCAGACCTAGCAGCTGTTCAGGCCTGACTCTTGCCCCCAGTAGCTGTTCGCTGGGCCCCGCCCGCGTCTTGACCCTGTTCTCAGTCTTTCTTCGTGACTTGAAATACTTCCGAGGCCCTTTTCAGAAGATGGCTGGGCCCCCGCAGCATCCCTGGAGCTTGCGGGTCTGGTTCCAAGGGGTGACCAGCTGCATTCCTCGCGGTCCTCCAGCGTTTATGGGTTTGTGGGGCTCCAGCAGCCGGGCTGCCGCCCGCTCCTCAGGCTGGCCCCAGGGTAACCTGACTGCACCTTCCTGGCCCAACTGTCCTGAGGGGACAGCCCGCCTACCCTGCCGAGCCCTGCGCCCCGCCTCCGCCCGTCCTGTGGCCTTCTGCTGAAGGGGGGGTGCAAGGGCGGCAGAGGACCCCACCAGGTGGGTGCTGGGGGACTACGGCGGCCACACCCCCCTCTGGCGCGTGCACACACCAGCTGTGACTGCTTTGCCGGTGGTTTATTCAAGCCCTGACATCGGATGAGTGACATGCGGCTCACCTGGGCCGCTGTGCACCTGCCCCCCTGCTGGTGTGCGCACAAGTTCCCAGGGCCCCCCAGCAGCTGGGGGCTGGGGCCCAGGGTGGGGGAGGGGCAGGCCCCGTGTTCTGTGGGCCCCAAGCCGGCCAGGAGGCCCCGGGCCGCCATGCTCAGCGCCAGGCTGCGGGAGGCGTGTGCGTGTGCAAGCGAGGTGGGTCCGGCTGTCCCCTCCCTGCAGCCCTGCCGGACCCCCTCCTAGGGCAGACTACGCCAGCGGTGTCCTCTGCCAATCAGCGCTGGCCCAGGGCGGGGCCGTGTCCTCTGCGGGGTCCTCAGGCCCGCAGATCCGGGCGAACAGGCGCTCCTGCGCAGGGTGGCCCAGCTCAGCGCCTCTGGCTGGCGAACCAAGAGAAGAAGGGGCGCAGCCGCGGGCGCGGGGCCTGGTGGATGCGCACAGTGCGTGGCGAGCGCCAGGCTTTGATGGTGGAGTCATCGCTGGCCGTCAGCAGAAGCTCTTGCTCCTGGGGGCTAAAGACCACGGAGTTGACCACATCCTGGTGCCGCAGCTTGGCCAGGCAAATGTTGTAGTGGCGGTCCCAGATGTAGCCGTGCCGGTCCTCGGCCCCGCTGCAGGAGAGGGACAGCTGGTGGCAGGGGGCCCAACCCACGCCAGCCCTGGCCCCGCCCCGCCACGCCCCTACCTGGCCACGAAGTCCCGGCTGACGTCCAGGAAGATGAAGAAGCACTCGTCGTTGGGCGTGTAGGCGCGGTGGGCCCGCAGCGCCCGCTTCACCTCCCGCATGGTCTTGAGGTCGAACACCAGCAGGTCGATCTCCTCGGCAATGGGGGGTGGCTGCATGGGGTCGGCCACCACCGAGCCACGGGGCCAGGCGCGACTGTTCACGTACAGGTACCTGGGCGAGGGGGCACTGCTCGCTCAGGGTTGCCTGCAGGCGCCCCCCACCCCAGGATGCCGTGGGGGCCCACCTGTTGTCGGGGGACAGACCCATGCCGATGATGTGTCCCTGCACGTCGATGACGTGGTCCAGCGCGTCGAAAAAGGCCTCCGAGCCCCGGCCCTCGCCCAGCACAGGCCCCGCGGTGGTCATCTGGTGCGGCAGGATCTGCTTGATGCCTGCCAGAGGGCCGTGTGAGGCAGCCGGCCGGCAGGGAGGGCCCGCGCCCCCAGCCCCAGCGGACAGCCCAGGCCAGGGCTGTGCCCTGGGGCCATCCACAGGCGGACCCTGCAGGCTCATAGGGACAAGGGCCCGCGTCCCGGAGCCTCACCCTCTAGGGACTGAGGGGCCCCCGTTACCGATCTGGTGTGGTGAGTAGGTGAGGCTGCCGGTGGTGAAGATGAGGAGCTTGCTCTGGGCGCTGGCTGTGCTGCGCTCAGGGGGCTTGGTGCGGCCCTGGGCCAGCAGCTCCGCCACCTTGGTCTCCAGGGTGCGCTCGGACAGTGCGGGCTGCGCGCGCCCATCCAGGATGCCGTCCAGCAAGCGCCGCAGGCCCTCCTTGGCGCGTGCAGGGGCCGTGCCCTCTGCCTCATCCTCACTGTCGCTGCCCAGGTCGAAGACCCGGCAGGGGCGCGCAGCAGGGGCACCGGCGTCCAGCAGGAGGTCGGGGCTGTCGAAGCGGCTGCAGTCGGCCACCATCACCGTGCGGATGGTGCTGGCGTTGAGGTTCTGGATCTTGAAGAGCCGCTTCACCACATTCACATTCTCCGACTCCACATCCTGGGGGGGGGGCAGAGGCAGGTGGGCGCCAGGTTGGGGAGGGGTGCCAGCCACCGGACCGCGCCCCACCCCCGCACCTGGAAGGCGTTGTTGAGCCAGAGCACCGAGCAGGAGGTGATGTCTCCGATGCGGTGCAGGTTCCCAGAGATCAGGCTGGTCTCCGTGAGCCAGCAGCCGAACACGTCGTAGGGCTTGTTGCGCACGCGCGACAGCAGCGCAAAGGTGTCTGCGGAGGGGGTGCGTCGGGGATCTGGGGGCAGGCAAGGGGCCTGGGGGCCGGCCAAGGGGGCTGTGGGTGGGCAGAGTGGCAGGCCTAGGGGCAGAGGGGCAGTGGCAGGGCCAGCACCAGGGTCTCACCCAGGCTGATGACGGCGATCTCGCCGGAGGAGGAGTTGTGGGGCCCCAGGAACACCCCCGAGGCCAGCAGCAGTGAGTCATCCTGGTTGAACTGGGAGAACTGGGTGTAGCTCCAATTGTACGGTCGCATGTCTGCGCTGTGCAGCAGCGAGATGGTCAGGTCGTTGCTCCAGATCTGCGCAGGGGACTGGGTCAGTGGACAACAGCGAGCTGGCCATCTGGCTGAGCTGGAGTTCGGACAGCGCCCGGAGATCGGGCGGAGGCTCCTCACCCCTGAATGTCAGCTAGCCCACCCCATGCCCCCAGGGGTGTGTGCTCTGGGCCTGGGCCCCGGCACCCCCAGCTCCATGTGCTGCTGGCCTGGCCTCCCGCCGCCCTCACCTTCACCGTGCAGTCCTTGGAGCAGGACGCAAACTGGTAGCCTGAGTGGGAGAAGCTGAGGTGCAGGACCTGGTCCGTGTGCTCCCGGAGCGTCTGCACCTCCACGCAGGGCACCCTGTCGTACAGCCGCCGGAACTCCTCGTACCAGGACGTGGCCGCTGTGGGGTGGACGCTGCTGGGCGCTGCGGCTCAGGCCTCCGCTGGGGCGCCCCGCACTGGCCTTGGCTCAGCTCCAGGCTCACCAGCCCTCCCGCCCCCTGGCAGCCCGGGGCTTCGGGCCGCCTCAGCACTGACCTGGGTGTCGCGGCACGTCGCGGGCCACCTGGTAGTAGCGGTAGAATTGCTCCCGCCACAGGAATTCGTCGCGGGACACGGCCTGCCATTGCCGGCACACCAGCCCCGCGGCCAGCACGTCCGCGGGGCCCAGGCTCAGGAAGATCTGGTAGACCAGGCTGTCGGGGAGCAGGGGCGTGCCCCCCTCGTCCATCGTGACATTCTGCCCCGGCGGCCCTGAAACCCGAGCGCAGCCCCCTTAGGCGCAGGCCAGGCGGGAGGACACGCCGGGTTCCCCAGTAACCGCCCCTCCTGGGGGTTCCATGGGCCAGGGGCGGGGGGCTCACGGGCCGGCACCGCCCGCCGGCCGGGCCACCGCGGCGACTCGGAGCCGTCGCAGGGCGCTCGCCGGCCCGCGGGTCCCTGCGCTGTCGCCGGCGGCCCAGGCCCCGGGCGTGGGCGGGTCCCGGGAGCCCCGACCCGCCCGCGCCCGAAGGGTCCTGGTCTGGGCCGGACCTCGAGGCCCCGCCGGCGCCCCAGGAGGCATCTGCACCGGGCCGGGGCCAGCAGCGAGGCGGCGAGCCGGGCGCCTGTCGCGCTGACCTTGCGGCCCGGCCGGCCCGCGGGACGGAGGCCCCGGCGCGGGGCGCGGGGCGCGGGGCGCGGGGCGCGGGGCGCGGGGCGCGGGCCGGCCGGGCACTGGCGCGGGGCCTCGGGGCGGGGCGCGGGCCGGGGCTCGGATCGGGGTGTCGGAGTTCGAGTCCGAGTCCGGATCCGCGCCGGGGCCGGGACCGGGGGCCGGGACCGGGGCCGGGCCAGGCGGACGGCGCCGCCCCCGCGGGCGCACTCACCGCGGCCGCCTCCGCCCGGACGCGCTGCCCCGGCGGGCCTCGGCCTCGACCCCAGGCCCCTCTTCCGGCCCCGCCGCCGCTCCGGCCGCCGCTCTCGATGGTGGAGCCGCCAGGCCGGCGCCACGAGCCCCGAGGCATCGATGGCCGCGGAGGGCCGAGCGCCGCAGCCCGAGTCAGCCGCGCCTGCGCCTATCGCGCCGCAGCCCGGGCGGGCTTAGTGCGCCTGCGCGCGCCGGGGCGGGCCCGTAGAGCGCCCCTGGCGGCCGCGAGGGGCAGCGGCGTGCGCCGGGCCCAGGGGCGGGGCTTCGGGCGAGCCTTCTGCTGCTGGGGTTCGAGACCTGGCTCGGGCCTCTCAGGGTTGTTGGTCCCTGAGCAGGAGGCGTCCGGATCCCTCCCGTCAGGAGCTCTCGCCTGCGGGCAGAAGCCCACTTCTGTTTAAAGGGCTAGTGCTGGTTTACCAGTAAAAATGTGCAAAGGCTGAACCCTGGATAGAGTGGAAATCCAGAGTGGGGTTGTGGCCAAGGAGCCAGAGGTCACTTCCAGCTTTGTACACAAGCGGTGGTGCCAGGGCCCTGCAGGAAGTGCAGGGCCAGGCAGGATTCCAGGGCGAGCTCACGGGGGCGGAGGGCGCCCTGGCCCGCGGTGGCAGTTTGGGGAGGCCGGAAGATGGTCACGGACCTCCTGGGTGGCACTGGCCAATGGACTCTGACCCTGGTCGTGGCCACCCTGTCCTGCCCTCTCCCAGCCTCATCACTGCTGCTGCCACCGCCATGCTGTCCCCCAGGACTGCACTCCTCTTGACTCTGCTCCTGGCCCCGGGGTCCTTGGCCCAGAGGGCTCGCCGACCCCCTCGGCCCCCGTCCCCCATCAGCACCATCCAGCCCAAGGCCAACTTCGATGCTCAGCAGGTAGACTTGGGGAAGGGGGTTCTGGCACCCAGCTTTGGTGGAGTCAGGCCCCAGTGGACCACGTGCCCTCACGAGCCCTGGACCCAGTTTGCAGGGACGTGGCACCTCGTGGCCGTGGCCTCCTCGTGCCGCAACCTGCAGGAGCAGGGCCACCGGGCTGAGGCCACCGCGCTGCACGTGGTGCCCCAGCGCTCAGCCATGGCCGTCAGCACCCTCCGGAAGCTGTGAGTCCCACCCCAGCCCCACCTGGCCCCTGCCCCGGCCCCACCTTTCCCCACTCCACTCTGGCTGCGACACCACTCCAGCATGGCCCCGACCAGTGTCCTGCATGGCCCCTGGGGTTGGGGTCCCCAAGACCTCTGTCCCTCTGCCCACACCGCACGTCCAGGGACGGGATCTGCTGGCAAGTGCGGCAGCTCTATGGAGGCACAGGGGTGCCCGGCCGCTTCCTGCTCCAAGGTGAGGCAAGGGCCGGGGGGAGGGCGGCCGGGCGGCCAGCGCGCTGAGCCCCCTCTGCCCAGCCCGAGGTGCCCGTGGGCCGGTGGACGTGGTCGTCGGGGAGACGGACTACGGGGACTTCGCGGTCCTGTACCTGGAGCGCGCCCGGCGGCTGTCGGTGAAGCTGTACGGTGCGGCCCCGGCCGGCGAGCCAGAGGGACACGGAGCCTCTCCCCGTCCCCACCCTCTCCTGCCCAGCAGGGCCCAGGGTGGGGGGCAGGGCAGGGGGACGGCGCTGGGCACGGCACGGGCGCTCAGTCCGGGACCCAGCAGCCCGTCTGCCCACAGTCCGCTCCCTCCCCGCGGGCGACTCCGTCCTGAGCACCTTCGAGCAGCGGGTCCAGGGGGCCAACCTGACGGAGGACCACATCCTGTTCTTCCCCGCCTACGGTGAGAGGCGCCTGCCCGCCCGCCGCCCGGCTGTGGCCGGCCACCCCGAGCCCTGACCCCTGACCCCTGACCCCGCCCACCCCAGGCTTCTGCGAGGCTGCCGACCAGTTCCACGTCCTGGACGGTGAGTGGCCGCGCCGGCGGGCGTGGAGGGGGCGCCCGAGCGCCTGACTGAGCGGCTCTGTGTGCAGAGGTGACTGGCCGCCGGTGAGCCGCAGGCAGACGCGACCAGGAGGGAGACTGGAGGTGGGGGCGCCGCCGCACCCCTGTGAGCCCGGGCCCAGCCCCCCGGACCCTCCCTTGGCCCCAGTGGGGCGCCGCCTCATTAAACACCCGCATCTGGCTGCCGCCTCCTTCCTTCACGGGAGCCCCTCCCCGGCCCCCCAGCCCCAGCCTGTGGGAGGGAGGGGCGGAGCTGAAGCGGGGTCACAGCGTCCCCCGTGCAGCCTGGAGGGGGCTCCAAGGGTGTCAAGTGGGCCGTCCGTGGGGTTCCCTTCTCCCCAGGGCCCGGGCCCACCTGCCTGTCCCTCACGGGGCCCAGGCAGGACGAGGACCACAAAGCAGAGGGCTGGGGGGGCACAGAGGGACCCCAGGAGGCCCAAAGTTCTTGGCCAACATGGATGTCAGCTGAGCTCCCCTCCCTCCCTCCCCCCAGGTCGGCCCGGGCGGAGGGCAGAGGCAGGCACAGGGGTCCCGAGGGGCGCGCGTTCCAGCTGCCCCAGGCTGGGGGGGTGCTGCCCGCCTGGGCGCGTGCGTGGGGTGTCCCTCGTGGCTCGGGGGCCGCCGCGGCGAGTGTGACCTTCCGGGGAAGGCGGCCGGCGGCGGGGCGTCTACGGCGCGAACCCGCTAAACACGGCTGTCGTTTCCTGACTGACCGCCGCGCCTCACCGCGAAGTGTGGGAAATGGGGTGTTCTGCTCACTGTCCGCCGAGGGCCTCTGCCCTCAGCCTGGCCGGCGGCTGCGGCCTCGGTCTCCCCGGTGTGGGGGTGCAGGGTCTCACGGCGGTGGGCGAGGCGGCAGCGCCCACGGGTGGGCCGGGCCGGGGCCTAGAGACGCCGCGGGATCGAGCCCCCACCCCCGAGCGGAGCCCACCCGCGGGGGACTTGATGGGCGCGGGGGGCCCGAGGGAGGGGCGTCGGGGCTCCCCGGCTGGGCGGAGTGGAGGGTCGTGGGGGGCCTGCGGTGAGGACGCTCCGCCCCGCCCCCTGCTCCTGGCGGCTGGAGCTCAGGCCTCTGGGCTCCGCGGCCAAGTACAGTGAGGGCCCGTCCTGCATGGGGGGGCAGCAACCGTGTGGGGCCCCTCTCTGGCCCCCTGCGGGCCCTTCCCGGGAGCTGCTGCTTGCAGGGGGCGGCGGCGGCGAGGCGGGCTCTGGGACATTTGAGGGCGCCCAAGAACTGCCTGTTGGGGGAGGGACCGAGGGACCCTCCCCGCCACCTGCAGTCAGTCCCAGAACCCCACATCCCCCCGCCGTGGCCCCTGGGTGCTCCCTAGTCCCACAGGCAAGAAGGCGGCGCCTTCCGGGGGACACAGGCAGGACAGGTCTGTCCCTTTCCAGCCAACCAGCCTGTCCAGCCCGCTGGTGGCCAAGGGGCTGGGGCGGAAGGCCTGAGGACGGCCAGCTCCTGCACCCCGGGCGCTCTCCGCCCTGCGCCCCGGGCACCGCCCAGAAGCCAGGCCACAGAGGCGCCGCTGCCCTCCCTCGCACCCGCAGCCCCCAAGTCCTGTGGCCCAGCCCAGGAGCTGGAGCGCCCAAGCCTCGCGGCCAGACGCCCCACGCGGTGACCTCGGTGACTCGCCCCGCCCTCCCACATGGACACCGTCCACTCGGGATGCGGGGCGGCCCTGCTGAGGGGCCCCGGGGGCCACTGCCGGGCCGGAATCACCCGCTTCCCCGGCCAGCCCCGGGGGACCGCGGCGGACAGCCCCGCGCCCAGACCCTGGCGGCGCCCCGCGCCCCGGCACCCCTGCTCAGACTCGGGCCGGCCCCGGACGCCGTCTCCACCTGGGGCACATCCTCTGCCCGCCGCGGGCAGGTCCCGGGGCCGAGCCGCGGTCAGGGAGAGCCCCTGGCGCTGCGGGAGGAGAGCCGGGCCCCTCGGGAGGGGCGGCCAGCCCTGACCGGGGCACGGGGGTTGCACCCTGCAGGGGGCCCTCAGGGACCTGCGGCCTGGGGGCTGCGCCCCGGAACCCAGCCACAAGGGTTTAAGCAAAACAAAGTAAGTTACTAACGGAAAGGGGAGATGGTGCCCGAAGGACTCGCCGGAGCCGGGAGGAGCCACAAAGGAGAGGGAGGCCGGGCCTGGCCCGGGGCTGACCACAGGTCCTCCACCCCTCCCGGGGCCGCCCGCTCGGGCCAGGGGGGCTCTGTCCACCCACCGGGAAGGGGAGGCCTGCCGCTGCCCCAAGGGGGATGCGTGGCTCTGCTGCTCTGGGGGCCCCCAGACGCCCCTCCACGGCCTCCCACCCACCCGACTCCCGCCCCTGGTCCTCCTGCCCTGGCTTCTGGAGACCAGCCGGGACCATCTCAGGGCCTCTGGCTCCCTGCCCTGCCCCACAGCCGCGGACTGTGGGCCCCGCGGAGGCGCCTGTGGGGGCCCTGCCCGTAGGGACAGCCCCGCGCAGCTGGGCCCGGCGCCTCCCGCCTGAGCGCCCCGGCTCCAAGGCCCGGCCCGGACCCCGCGCGGCGCCAGGGGCACCCGCTCGCACGCAGGGGCGGCTCATTCAGAGGGTTTATTAGCCGGGGCCTGGCGGTTCCGCAGCCGCACAGCCCCCACCCCCGGCGGCTCGGCGCAGCCTGGTCGCTGTCCCGGCCTCAGGGCTTCTGCTCCGGACAGATGTTCTGCCTCCACCTCAGCGCTGTCGTGGACGAGGCCGCGTGAGCACGTGTGCGCGGCCCCTGACGTGGGGAGGCGGCCTGAGCCAGACCCTGGGGCCCCCCCCGTGGGCCCAGGCCCGGTGGGCAGCCCCGGCCCGCGCCCCTGGTGGACCGACACCCCCGCGCCGGCGGCCCAGGGCGGCCAAGCTGGGGGAGGGCCCGCGGCGTCCACCCACAGGGACCTGGTGGCGGCCGCCGTGGGCGGGCAGGTGGGGGGCGTCCAGGGAGGGGCCGGGCCTGGGGGGGGCGTCCAGGGCGGGAGACCCAGGACGGCCGCGCACCAGCCCGGTGGGTGCTCCGGGGAGCTCTCTGGGTCTCAGGGAGCATCGGGTGGACCCCCGTGGGCTGTGCCTACCCACAGGACTCCCCGGCTTTTGAGGGGCAGGGGCGGGGCGGGGCTGGGCCGCAGCCTGAGACCTGGCAGGCCCGGGAAGACGAGGTTGTCCGGGGAGAGGCCCAGCCTCCGGAGCAGGCAGATGAAGTTGTTCAGCGGCCAGAAGCCCAGCGCCCACCGCCTGCCTGCCCAGCGAGCGCGCCGGTGAGCCGGGAGCGGCCCCGCGCCCCCCGCCCGCCCGCCCGCCCCGGAGGCCGGAGGCCGGGCTCACACAGCAGCTGGGCCCGCAGGATGCTCTGGCCGCCCGCCCGGCGCTGGGAGAACATCATGGCGAAGGTGGCGTAGTCGGTGTGGAAGACCTGGACCTGCTCGGGGTCTGGGCGCCGCCTTGGGTCAGGGCCCTCCCGCGGCGCCTCCCGCCAGCCCCCCTCCCGCCGCCTCACCCCTGCTGCCATTCACGGAGAACCGCCCCGTCTGGGCCTCCGGCGTCAGCACATACGACCAGGTGACACAGTGCTGGCCCCTGTGGGAGGGGTTGGGCAGAGCGGAAGGTTCCGGAAGCGGGTTGGGCCCTGGCCCTCCAGCCTCTCTGGGGTGAGGGGGCTGGCCCCAGGTGTGCCCCGAGAGAATCGAGCTGTTTGTCCAGCGGGATCGTGGTCTGAAGTGTGGGCGGGGCCCAGCCCCTGGACTTGGCGAGCCTCCCGGGGAGCAGGTGCCCCTGCTGCCCTGCCACAGGGCCTCCCCTGCGGCTAGGGGAGGCCCCTGGCCCCCGCCGTGGCTCTCCCAGCGTTGCTGCACCCCCTTCTCCACCAGGGGGCAGATGCTTCTTCCTGGCGGCCGCCAGAGCCCTGCCACCCGGCAGCAGGGGTTGAAGTGGACCACACAGGGCTTGAGCAGGGAGGCCTTTGCCAAGCTGGTCTGCGACCCCACCCTTCTGGAGGGGACCCTGGCGGGGTGATAAGCTCAGGACAGCATCTTGTCCCTGAGAACAGCGACCTACCTGAGAGCTCAGGGACAGGCAGAACTGAGTGGGGGCTGACCAGGCCCTGACCTCTGTGTTTGAAACTGCTGGATCCAGCTGTTCCTGATCTCCATTAGCCCTCAGGCCCTCCCCAGTCGGTGACCCAGTAATGCCTGTCCTCTCTCGTGTGCGCCCCAGAACTGGTGAGGTCACCGGCAGCCCATGCTAGATTTCACATGGGGGTGCTCAGGAGAACGTGGCACCAGGACTGAGGGGGGCTTGTCGGGGGCACCCAGGCACAGGCCCCATGCCCACTCACCGTCTCATGGCATACACCACCTCCAGGCTGCCGTCCTGTTTCCTCTCAAAGGTCGCGGTGAAAGGCCTCAGCACAGACCTGTCCTCCCGCCTGAGGGTGTTGCCCCCCAGGCCCAGCACGTACCATGTCCCCTGGAACTACAGGGCGCTGGGGGTGGGCAGAAACCGGGGTCGCCTGGACACCCTGACCAGGCGTAGCCCCCACTGGCCTGCACACTGAGGCTGCCCTGGTCTGGCAGGGACCGGGTGACCCCGGCTTTCCTGCGCCTGTTTCCCCACCTGTGCAGCGGCTCTGAGGCGGTCCCACCTTGCAGGGACTGCGGGGTTTGCGGGAGGGAACAGCTGAGCCAGGAAGGTGGTCCAGGTCCTTTTCTATAGGGGCTCGGGAGTGTCCATGGGGGGGTGGGGGCACTGAGAGTAGGGCCGGGTCACAGCAGAGCTGGCCAGCCTGCTCTCCCCACCCCTGTGCTTGGACCGGCCCCCCACCCCCCCAGACCTGGGCTCCGTCGAAGCTTGACAAGACCGTGCTGACCGCTGATCCTGGCCTGTGGGGCTGGAGGGGCTGACCCTTCAGGGCTGTCAGCAAGGAGAGTGCCATCCACATGGCCTGGTGAGGCCCCATCCTGGCCAGGGCAGGCAGGACTGCCTGCGGAGGGTGGCCCCAGATGCCCTCTTTATGCGCTGTCCTGGCACGGGGCGGTCTCCGCCTCTGCAGGGACTGGAGGGCTCAGTGGGCCCCACTTTCCTCAGGTCCTGCCACCCAAGATGGGACATCTAGGGGGCAGGAGTGGAGGCGGTGGGCAGTATGCCTGCCTGGCCACCAGCTCCCAGTGGGTTCTGGACGTCACCTCCCGGCTCCCAGCCCCCCAGCCCTGTTGGCACCCCAGGCCAGGGCAGAGGCCAGTGCTGTCGCCTGTGTCCGGTCCCACGCCCGTGTCGCCAGGACAGACTGCTCCGTCCAGGGTGGGAGCGTGACCTCCCGCGGCCGGGGGCCAGGGCCGCGATGTCCTCTGGGCAGGAACACAGAGCACAGGCACTGCCTGCGTTCCCCCCACCCCACCGAAAGCAGCGTGGGCAGGAAGGAGAGAGCAGTGGGGGAGCGGCGCCAGGCGGGAGGGCCGGGAAGGATGCCCGGGCACCCACCTTAGGGCAACCCAGGCTGTGCGGGAGCCTCTGCCAGCGGGGGCAGGGGTGGGGAAGTGGCGGGGGTGGGGCGCGCCATGCTGTGGGCAAGCGAGGGGGGCTCAGCAGGCTCTGGGCTTCCAGCCACCCCTGCAGGGAGGGACAGGGAAGAAACCCCCCCTCCCCCAGAGCAGAGAGTGGGGCGCTGGGCTCGCCAGATGGCCCGGAAGGGCCTGTGCTGCGCCTGGGAAACTAGAAATTTAATTACTCAAAATGAAGACCAAGTGCCCAGTTGAGGTGGCTGTGCCAGGCGGTCCCAGGGCTTCTGACCCCGTCAGCAGCGTTCCGTGGGCGCCTGGCTCAGTGCCACCCTACAGGCGCCCCGCAGCCCCACTGGCTCTGCCTCTGCGCACGCAGGAAACTGCACCGAAACGAGGTGCCTGAGCTGGTGAGCCGGTCAGGCTTCACCACGGTCCCCACAGCACCTGGTGTCCAGAGGCTACACACTGGGGCACGGGACCCGCGGGAGGTAAACAAAATAAGAACATGGCCCTCCCTGGGTCTGGTAACAACCAAGCAGCAGGATTCAGGTCCCAGGTGGTCCAGTGCTGCCACGTGGGGTGAGGGCAGGCGTGTGTGGGGTGTGGGCAGGCGTGTCCAGTGCCCGGGCATGGGCAGGCGTGTGTGGCCGTGGGCAGGCGTGTCCAGGGCCCGGGCGTGGGCAGGCGTGTGTGGCCGTGAGCAGGCGTGACCAGGGCCCGGGCGTGGGCTGGCGTGTGTGGCCGTGGGCAGGCGTGACCAGGGCCCGGGCGTGGGCTGGCGTGTGTGGCCGTGGGCTGGCGTGTCCAGGGCCCGGGTTTGGCAGGCGTGTGTGGCCGTGGGCAGGCGTGTCCAGGGCCCGGGCGTGGGCAGGCGTGTGTGGCCGTGGGCAGGCGTGTCCAGGGCCCGGGCGTGGGCAGGCGTGTGTGGCCGTGGGCAGGCGTGTCCAGTGCCCGGGCGTGGGCTGGCGTGTGTGGCCGTGGGCTGGCGTGACCAGGGCCCGGGCGTGGGCTGGCGTGTGTGGCCGTGGGCTGGCGTGACCAGGGCCCGGGCGTGGGCTGGCGTGTGTGGCCGTGGGCTGGCGTGTCCAGGGCCCGGGTTTGGCAGGCGTGTGTGGCCGTGGGCAGGCATGTCCAGGGCCCGGGCATGGGCAGGCGTGTGTGGCCGTGGGCAGGCGTGTCCAGGGCCCGGGCGTGGGCAGGCGTGTGTGGCCGTGGGCAGGCGTGTCCAGTGCCCGGGCGTGGGCTGGCGTGTGTGGCCGTGGGCTGGCGTGACCAGGCCCAGGCGTGGGCTGGCGTGTGTGGCCGTGGGCTGGCGTGACCAGGGTCCGGGCGTGGGCTGGCGTGTGTGGCCGTGGGCTGGCGTGACCAGGGTCCGGGCGTGGGCTGGCGTGTGTGGCCGTGGGCAGGCGTGTCCAGGGCCCGGGCGTGGGAAGGCATGTGTGCGTTGTGGGCAGGCGTGTCCAGTGCCCGGGCGTGGGCTGGCGTGTGTGGCCGTGGGCTGGCGTGTCCAGGGCCCGGGTTTGGCAGGCGTGTGTGGCCGTGGGCAGGCGTGACCAGGGCCCGGGCGTGGGCTGGCGTGTGTGGCCGTGGGCTGGCGTGTCCAGGGCCCGGGTTTGGCAGGCGTGTGTGGCCGTGGGCAGGGATAAGGCCTTGTCCCACCTGGCCTTGGGAAGGGCCGGTTCCCTTAGCCCCTGCACACACTGCAAGGGCCCAGCTGCCACCCCCTCTCTGCGGCCTCCTGAGACCTGCTGCTCCAGGGGGCCCCGGTGGAGGCTCAGGTGCTCCTCCCTGGGCGCTGTCATCTTTTGTGACCTTGACCGTCTCCTGACCCCAGGCCTGGGTTTACAACTGCCCTGAGACCCCATGCCGCCCGTGGGACCGACCAGGTGTGCCCGAGCACTGGCCGCTGGGCCGCGGGTGTGTCGGGAGAGCCCGGGAGACCGAGGAGCCGACGTGAGCTGGGTGTCCGGACAGGAGTGCAGCGGACGGTGCCGGCCCAGACTGGACCCGGGGAGTGACCGGCAGTCCGTGGCCTCCTGCCCCCTGCCCGGGACTGGGACCAGGCGCGGCTCAGCCGCCTCCCAGCGGGGGTCTCCTCAGGGCTCTTGGCCCAGGAGACACCGAGTCCTCGCATGGGCACAGCCCCTGGGGGGGGGGTGCAGGGTGGGCGGGGGCCGGGGAGATGGGAGCTCAGGCCCAGGCCCTCCTGGGCACAGGTCTGGCAGGCACCCCTCCAGGTGGGACCCGGAAGGGACAGGGCAGGCCGTTGCTGGCCGTGACCAAGAGCCCCCTCCCGGGCCCCAGCCTCCCGCTGCGCCCCCACCCCCCGCCCTGCCAGTGGGGCACCTCAGGCTTCCTGGGCTGGCGTGAAGAGCCTGCACCGGGCAGAGGCTCGGAGAGCATCCCGTGCGGGACCCCACGTAGGGGCAGCCTTGAGCTCCAGAGCCCAGAAGCCCCCGGGGCCAGGTGCAGCCGTGGACTGGCCAGCTCTGTCCCGCCGCCTTCCTCGCAGCTGGCCCTGGGCACACACTGGCCCAATTTCAAGAGGGGCATGGGCCGTCCCCTCCTCCTGGCCAGGTAGGGCTGACCCCGAAGGTGCCCTGGAGGGAAGGTTTCAAAGGGCCCTTCAGGACGCTCCACTGCTCAAGAGCCCCCCCAGCCCAGGGGCCTCGCCTGAGGGAGTCGTGGCACCGCCCTGGCCGAGGGGCGCCAGGGCTGAGCCAGCATCCAGAGCACAGGCCCAACCTCCCCTTGTATTCCTCTCCTGTCCCTGCCACCCTGAAAGGCGCCCAGATCTGCACCTGGGCCACTGGCAACACTCCCAGAGGGCCCAGCTGGGGCAGCGCCCGCGGGGGCTGAGGTCAGGCCCACAGGACCTGTGCGTGGGGCCTGGCCTGCCAGCCCAGGTGGGCGCCAACCCGACCCCACGCCTCTTCCCAGCCATTTGCAGACAGTCCTGGGGCCGTTCCAAACCAGAGGCCAGGCTGCCAAGGGTCCAGCTTCCGGGCAAGTGCCAGGCCCAGACAGCCTAGGCCGCCTGTGGGCTGCGGCCATGCCTGGAGGTGACCAGCCCCCGTCCCCCACTGCAACTCCTCCCAGCTCCATCTCCCTCCAGGATCAGAGCCGCGCCCTCCAGGCCCCCAGCCCAGGTTCACACCCACCCCACTCACCTTGGTCAGAGCTGTTGACCCCCTGACCCCCAGCAGCGGCCTCGGGCAGGAGCAGAGGGCTGGGGAACACGTGCCAGTTGTGGACAAAGCCCAGGACCTCTGAGACGGCCACCAACCCAGGGAGGCTTCTGGAGGGAGGCGGCCCTCCGTGAGGTGGCCGGGGGACCTGTGTCCTCTTCTGGGGAAGATGCTGTGCGTGAGCAGAACCGCACCCGGGCGGCACGGCCAGGGTGGCAGCGGTCACGAGGGAGGGATGGGCCTGTGCCCGGCCTGGAGGCCCGGGCCGACCGGGGGAGGCACCAGCGGGGCCCGGTGGCTGAGGCCCGCTCCCTGTCGGGGCAGATTCGGTTTCTTTACCTTGGCCCAGGCTTCACGCACCCCCGGGGCCACCGGGCCTTTCGGAGCAAGCCGGGCTTTGCGCCCTCCCGGGTCGGGGCCCAGAGAGGAGGCGTGCCGGCCGCAGCCGGGCGCCAACAGAGCCCCCAAGACCTGCCCCCGGCTCCGCGGCGGGCCTCTGGGGCCCTGAGCGCCACCGGCAGGGGCCTCTGCCTGGCCCGCCCGCAGCGCGGTCCGGGGGTCAGCGGCCGGAGCTCTTACATAAGCTCTGCGGGAGGCTGGGCCGAGGCTGGCCGGAGGCGCTGCCGGCGCCAGCATCACGCGCTTCCAGTGGGCTGGCCCCGGCCCTGGTCGGAGGCCAAGGCAGGCCCATAAATAGGGGTCTCCCCGGAGCCTCTGCTCCTCCCGCAGCCTCCCTGGCCCCGGACACACTGCTGGCCCCAGGCCTGGGACAGTCCCGCGCGGGGAGAATGGCTGCTCGGCACAGGCTGTGGCGGGGGCTGGTCCTGCTGGGGGTCCTGCTGGGGGTCCTCCAGACCCAGGCCCAGGTGCCCCTGCAGCCCAACTTCCAGCAGGACAAGGTGAGGGCTCCCCCCACGGGCCCTGAGGCAGGACAGGGCTCTGTCGGGGAGGGGGCTCTCTCCTCGGCCCAGCTGTCTCCCCGGGAAGGGGGAGCGGCCCAGGGCTGAGCCAGGGTGGGCCGGGCACCCGCGGAGGCTGCCCGGAGGGGCCTCGCTGGCACGCCCACGCGCGGGCACAGGCAGACCCGTGGGCGCGCTCGCCCCTCCGGGCACAGAGCGGGGAGCGGACAGCACCCTCCTCCCCGCCCCGGGTCCCGGCACGGCTCCGGCCTGAGCGGGGGGTCGGGGGCGGCGCTCGGGGACCCTGGGGAGAGCACGCCCCACACCGGCCCTCGGGGTGCGCCCGCGGCCCCTCCCGAGCTTCGCTAGACCCCACAGCCGGGAGCCAGGCGGAGCCCGCGGGGCCCACCCCAGGCGGGCCTCGGCGGGGCGGGGGGGCCGGGCCGGGCCGGGCGCCCGCGCAGGTCATCCCGGAGGGTCTCGCCCGGCCCAGGCCCACCCGGGGACTCGTTCGCCACAGTTTCTGGGGCGCTGGTTCACCACGGGCCTCGCCTCCAACTCGAGCTGGCTCCGGGAGAAGAAGGCAAAGCTGTTCGTGTGCAGGTCGGAGGTGACCCCGGCCGAGGACGGCGGCCTCAACGTGACCGTCACCTTCCTCAGGTGGGACGGCGGCCGGGCTCCCGGGGACCAGCTCGCCCCACCCCGGCCGCAGTCCCGGGACCTCCCCAGGTGACCCTGGACCCGGAGGGTGACCCGCGGGTCGACCCCTGACCCGGAGCCTGACCCCCCGCAGGAAGAACCAGTGTGAGACCCGCACGATGCTGCTGCGCCCCTCGGCCGCCGCCGGCCGCTACAGCTACACCAGCCCCTGTGAGTGGCCGCCCGGGGCCACACCCGCGCCCCGCCCGGCTCAGGGGGCGGCCTGGAGGCCCCTGGGGTCCGCGAGTCCGAGCCCGGCCGGGGCCCGCGTCTGCCCCCCCTTCTCCCAGCCCCGGCCCCTCCAGCCCCTGAGGGTGTGTCCCCAGCTCCTCCTGCCCGGGTGTCCCGGCCGCCCGCTCCCCGCTGACCCGGGGGTGGTGCCCTCCGGGAGCCGGCCCGGGAGGTTTGGCTGCACCGGGAACCCCTAATTTTCTGATGGACGTGGTTCTTGACGCCCCAAGACATCTGACACTGGACCCCGAGTGTTCCCTGGCTGTGCAGCCAGGAAGTGGGGGGCGGCTGTCCGCCCTGGGGGGGAGGGGGCCGGCCCCGCCCAGCAGGGCGCCCCTCTCCCAGGCGGGGAGGAGCAGGCGCCCAACCCCGCTGTCCCGCGGCCCCAGACAAGGGCAGCACCCACGAGCTGGGGGTGGCGGAGACGGACTACGGGCGCTACGCGCTGCTCTACACCGAGAGCCCCGGGCTGGACTTCCGCATGGCCACGCTCTACAGTAGGTGCCGCGGCCCGGGGGGGGGCGGGGGGGCGCAGACCCTCTGAGGCCCCCTCCTGCCCAGGCCGCAGCCAGAGCCCCGGGCCCGCCCTGGAGGAGAAGTTCACCGCCTTTGCCAAGGCCCGAGGCTTCACAGAGGAGGCCATTGTCCTGCTGCCGCCGCCGGGTGAGGGCGCTAATCTGGGGCGGGCACCGCTTCCGGGGAGGCGGGCTGGGAGGCGGGCTGGGCTCCGCGGCCCCGGGCCCTGTGTGGGCTTGGCCGTCCCTGTGCTGGGCCTCCCGCCCGCGGCCGCCCCCTGCGCAGAGCCCCGTGCCCTTGGGACTCGGGGGCCCCGGCCTGGTGGGGCCAGCGGCACTGCCCAGGCCCACGGGGCGCTGACCAGACCGGGGCTCTGGGGCAAGGTGGAGGAGCAGGGCCAGGGGGGCTGGGACGGTGGGGTGCAAAGGAGGCTCTGTTTGGGGGTTCACTCCCCAGGGGTGCGGGGAGGGGGCGCAGGCAGCCGACTGGCTCTTTCCTGGCAGATAAGTGCCTGGAGGAGCCCGAGTAGGTGAGTGAGGGGCTTCGCGCGCCCCGCCCGCCCGCGGTGCAGCGGCCCCTCCAGACACGGCCCTCCCTGGGGCTGCGCAGGGCCGGGCACCTGGGGGCGGGTGGGCAAGCGGGCGCGGCTGGTGCAGGGAGCAGGGTGGGCCCAGGCAGACCCCGGTTCCCAGGGCAGGGGGACTCCACCGAGCTGCCCTAAGGCTTCTGGGGCGAGAAGGGGTGGGGTGGGGCTGTGGGGGGCCCGGGGAGCCCACAGGCCGAAGAGACCACGGAGGCTTCTGGAGCAGGGGCGGCCTCAGACTGGACGCTGGACCCGAGAGGAGCTGTGCCCACGACAGGCCCCCCGGCCGGTGCCCTCGGCCCCCAGGACCCGGCTAGCGCTTTTCCTCCAGGCCCCAAGCCCCCCGCCTGCCTCCCCCCACCCCTGCCCGCGGCTTCATCCGGCTGAGAAATAAACTTTGGACGCGGTCGTCCGCCTGCTCTGTCTGTCGGTCTGCGTCCCCCGCACATCAGGGCTCGGGCCCGGCCCCGGCGTGCCTGCTCCCCGGGCCCGGCTGCCCTGGGGTGTCCTGCTGTCGGTGTGGAGTCGGCTCCCCTGCGAGACTGTCAGCGCCGGCGGCCCCTGCACCTGACCGCGGGGCCCAGGCCTGGGCGCCGGGGGGCCGCCCGCGCCGCCACGCTCCCTCGGCCGCAGCCAGGCCGGCTTGGGTCCGGTGCCCGCGCTCCCTCGGCCCCGGTGGGGGGTGGGGGCCTGGCCCGGGGGGCCGTGCGTTGCCGGCTTCTGAAGGCGCAGGATTAGCAGGATCAGGGCCGAGGCAGGGGTTCCTGGGGACAACGAGGAAGTTGGCTGGAGTGATCATCCGCCACGCGGGAAAGGCCAATGGCGTGGCTGCCTGGCGGCCCCCACCCTGCTGGCCAGGGCCATGGATCCCTGTACAGCCCGGGCCTACCTCCTGCCAGCCCGGGCGTCCAGCCCAGTGGCCGTCCCAGGCCTGCCCCGCTCAGCAAGTGGTGTCCACCGTGGCCTGCCCCGGGGCCCCCGGGGCCTCCGCACGGAGGGTGGACGCTCTTGAGGATGCGCTTCCGGGGGAGCTTCCTGGAGGAGGGCGTCTGGGGGCCTGCCCAGGGCGGGCAGGCGGGCGGGGGGCCAGGCCCGCTGCAGGGCACAACCCGATCTGCAGTCTGTCAGCGCTGGCAGCGGGAGCCAGCGCCCCGGGGCAGCACGGGTGCATAAAAGCCTCCTGGGTCTGGCCGCCCCAGCTCTCCTGCCCACCCTCCCCTGCACCATGCAGCAGACCCTGCTGACCGGCTTCTTCCTCGCCCTGCTCGGGCTGTGCCCAGGCCAGGCCGAGATCCCCATCCAGGACAACTTCGACGCCAGCCAGGTGCGCCAGGGGCCCCCAGAGCCCACCCCCTCGCCCCTGGAGGGTGCCCTCCGGGCTTCTCCCAGCCCCAGGGAGGCTGGTGGGGGCCATGCCCCTGAGTCAGGCCGGGCTTGGTCCGCTGGGAGAGCGAGCCCCGCGGCCCCCTGTCCGCAGGAGGGAGGGCTGGCAGGGCAGTCTGCCTGGCGCTGCAGCCGCCCCAGCGCTCCCTGCCGCCCGCAGTTCCAGGGCGTCTGGTACGTGGTGGGGATGGCGTCCGATGACGAGGGCTTCCAGGAGGCCAAGGACGACATGAAGATGCCCGTGGTGTCTATTACCCCCTCGGCCAACGGCGACCTGACCGTCAAGTTCGGGTACCCCACGTGAGTGACCCCACGAGAGCCTGGCAAAGTCACCTTTGTGCCAGCAGGAACCCGAATCTCCCAGCACAGCGGGGGTCGGGCTCGGCCTGACCGGTCCGCAGGGCCGGCCACAGTGTGCCTGCTCCCTGGGGCCGGCTGGCCTTGGGGTGTCCTCCTACGCTGTGAGCTGTGGGCCCGGGGTCCACTCGGCTGTGAGACTGGAGGCGCCTGCGCCCCTGCACCTGGCCCCAGGGACTGGGGCGGCCACTCGCTGGCTCGACTGGACAGCATCCTGGGGTGCTGGGCGGGTGGGTCCTGCTCAGGGCCACGTGCTCCTCCCCAGGCCTGACGGCGGGTGCCAGAAGCTGGATACCACCTACACCAGAGGCGCCGTGGACGGGCAGTTCAGCGACGCGGGTGAGGCTGGGAGGGGGTGCAGGAGGCCCGGCCAAGCGGGCCAGTGGGAGGCGATGGGACCTGGGGGTCTGCGCCGCCATCCTGGGGGGTGCCCTGGTCTGGCCTATGCTGGGGCTGGGGGCCTAGGGCACTGGGGGTACCCTGGGCCAGGTTGTGTGGAGGTAGGGTGGGGGAGAGTGCCCTGAGCCAGGTTGTGGGGGCATCTTACTGGGGTACTGGTGGGTGCCCTGGCCTGGAGTCCTGGGGTGCTCCCCGGGCTGGGTTGTGCTGGGGGGGGTGCCCTGGCTTGGGGTCCTGGGATGCTGGGGGGCTCCCTGGCCTGGCTTGCACGGGGGGTGCCACCCGGGCCGGTGCTGGCCTGAGGGGGTCCTGCGCCCGCAGCCTTGGCCCAGACCGACATCCGGGTGGTCGTCACGGACTACCAGCACTTCGCGGTGCTGTACATGCAGACGCAGAAGGGCGGCGCGAGCAACAACTGGCTGCAGCTCTATGGTGGGTGGCCGCCGCAGGCCGAGCCCCTGGCCCCGACCCTCTCCTCTGGGCTGGATGTGGGCTGGTCTGCGGGTGACCCACATGTGTGCCAGGAAGTCGGGGCTATGGTGGGTGGCAGAACCAGTGTCCCCCAGAGTCTCCTCAGGGACCCCCGTCTGCGGCGTCAGACCCAGAGCCCTCCCCCCGCCACCTTGCTCTCCACCCCTACCCGCAGCCCGGGCTCCTGAGCTGTACCCCGAAGGCGCCCAGAAGATGCAGCAGCTGGCGTCTCAAGTGGGCCTGAACCCCAGCCAGGGCGCCCTGCTGCCCAAGTCAGGTGAGTGCTGGCGACGCCGCTGGGTGGGGGTGCTGGAGACCCCAGACCCAGAGCAAGGGCCAGGCCCTGAGCCCCCACCCAGCTCAGCACTCGATGCAGAGCGCCCCAGGAGGGCGGGGGGGCGGTGGGGCTGGCTCCTCAAGTCCTGTCTCTCCCACAGACCAGTGTGCGTGAGCCGTCGCCAAGGTGAGTAGGAGGGAGCCCGCAGGCCCCCGCCTGCCCCGCCCAGGCCGGGAGACCCTCCCGGCTAGCAGGCAGCGGTGGGGACCAGTGGGACACAGGCTTTGGGGGTCAGGCAGGAGGGGGGCCAGGCAGGGAGGGGGCAGGAGGCCACCCACATCCTCTGTTTGCAGTGAGGTGCCTGTGCAGACGCTGCTACTCCGCGCAACCCCCGGCCACCGCCCCCACCCCCACAATAAACAATCACAGTCAAGCCTAGAGTCGAGCTTCTTGGGCTGCGGGGGGTGGGGGGGGGCTGCGCCTGGGGGCTGGGGCTGGGAGGAGACTGGCCCTGCCCACCCAAGGGCCAGGCAGACCTGCCCGGTGGGGCACCCCCCGAGGGGGCGTCTGGGCCCGCCAGGCCCTGGAGGGACCCTGCGCTGTCCAGTGCTGGGGCCAGAGGAGGGAGGCGGCTGCGGAGCCGTCGATGCGACTGTCCGCCAGCACCCACCTGACCCGGGCTCACCGTCCCGCCTGCTTTCGGTTGGTTAGATGTGCTTTAAAAAAACCCAGCCCTGCCCTACCAGAGTGGCCCCCTGGATTGCAGCCTTCCTGGTGGGGAGGTCTCAGGATAAAGAGCCCGAAGCCCCAGGAGCCCAGCCTCCTTCCCACCCGCACAACACACCTGGCCCGCCCCCCGCCAGCCCTGACACAGGCTGGCCCCACGCCGGGCCGTGCCCTCTGCCGCCTTGCCGTGCCCAGCTCCGGGTGGTCGGCCCCACGGGCCTGGGGCTGTCATAACCTCCCACCGGGGCTGAGTGCAGGGGCCCGGGAGCCGCGGAGCAACAGCGGGGGCCGAGGCCGGTGGCTGCTGTCCTGGTCCCCAGCAGGAAGTCCCCCTGCGGCCTGGCCCTGCCTCCCCACCGACCTGCATGTCCGGGAAGGATCTGATGGAGGACGGGCAGATCCAGACCCAGGGTCTCCCCGCTCGGTGCCTGGCTGGAGGCCCTCCGAGACTCCCATGGCTTCTGAGGCTCCACCGGCCGCGCACCCAGGTGGTGACGTGTGCCCACATCCCACATTAAATAAGAGCTGAGCTGGGAGCCGGTTTCTGTGCCAGTGACTCTCACATCGCAGCGTGTGGTTTTCTTGGTTCACTTGTGGGACTGTAACAAGCGGCCACGACGGGGGCTTGAGGCCCATGTTCATCCTCAGACAGTCCCGGAGGCCAGAAGATCAAGATCAGCCTCCCTGGGCCCAAACCAGGGCGTCGGCAGGGCCGCACCTCCCCGGGCTCTAGGGAGAGCCAGGCCTGCCCTTCCGGCCACCCCGGGGCCGGCTAGACCCTCCTGTGGCAGCCTGGTCTCTCCTGTCCTCCCTCGTGGGTTCCCTGCTCTCTCCTGTGAGGACCCTCGGGAGGGTGTCCAGGCCCGTCTGGACCATCCAGGGCATCCCCGACTCAAGATCTTGAACCGGACCGCGTCTGCAGAGAACCCCTTTCTGCACAGAGACGGTCAGGGTGCTCCGTCCCGAGAGCTGTTGTCCTAGGGGTCAGCATGCAGCTGGCCACATTCCACCCAGAGAACCCCCGGCCCCCGGTCCTCCGCTGGCCACCTCCTCCAGGGCAGGGCCTGCCCGCAGCGGCCGCCGCCTGCCGGTGCCGCAGGGAGCCCTGGACCGGAGGGCCGGAGCCGGCTCCCTGGACCCCGGCCGCCCGCGGAGCGAGCCAGCCAGACCCGGCCCCGGGGAAACGGCGAACCAGGGCCAACCAGAGCGCTGGGCCCTGCCGGGTGGCGAGTGGGCACTGCCACCCCCTCCGCCCGGCGCGGCTCACGCTCCGCAGAGGGGCCGCGTCGCTGCTCGGGCGGGGCTGCCGGGACCTCGGCCTTGGCCGCGGTGTCGGGAGAGATTCGGGGAGAGACGCCCCAGCACCCCCACGCCGCCGGGCCGCGGGACCGCCCCGGGGAGATGCAGCCTGCGGGGAGGGGTGGGCCCAGGGCGGGGCTCGAGCCTGCGGGAGCGCCCCGGGCGGAGCAGAGGCCACCCGCGAAGGTCCCCGCGCCGCGCGGCCGGAGCCGAGACCCGGCTGCGGAGTCCGCCCAGCGCCAGGCCGGCCCCGGAGCTCCGCGCCCGCCCGCGGCCCCGCCCTCCCGCCCGCGGCCCCGCCCTCCCGCCCGCGGCCCCGCCCCCGCCCGCGGCCCCGCCCGCGGCCCCGCCCCCATCCCCGCCCATGGCCGAGCCGCATCCGCCCTCACGGTAGCCCCGCCCACCGGACAGGCCCCGCCCCTCCCGGCCCCGCCCCCGCCCGCCGCGGAAGCCGCCCGCCTGCGCAGGCGCCGTGACAGCTCGCCCGGGGGACATGGATCCGCCGCCGCTGCCGCCTCCGCTCTGCACGCTGCCGCCGGGCCCGGGCCCCCGCGCCTCGTGTGCTACTGCGAGGGGGAGGGCGAGGGCGAGGGCGAGGGCGAGGGCGAGGGCGAGGGGGGCGGGCCCGGAGGCGGCGGCTTCAATCTCTAGTGAGTGGCAGGGGCGGGGCGGGGCGGGCCCGGGGGCGGGCCCGGGGGCGGGGCGGGGGCGGGCCCGGGGGCGGGGCGAGGGCGGGCCCGGGCCCGGGGGCGGGGCGAGGGCGGGCCCGGGGGCGGGGCGAGGGCGGGCCGGGGGCGGGGCGAGGGCGGGCCGGGGGCGGGGGCGGGGCGGGGGGCTGGGGCGGGCTGCGGCCGGGGGCCGAGCCCCGGGGCGCGCGCTGACCCCCTCCCGCCGCAGCGTGACGGACGCCGAGCAGCTCTGGAGCACCTGCTTCACGCCCGACAGCCTGGCGGCCCTCGTGGGTAACGGGACGCGGGGCCGGACCCGGGTGGCCGGGCGGCGCGGGGCCGGGGCAGCTTGGGGTGTCCCCGGGGCCGGCAGCCTCGGCGGCCGCTGACCACGCCCGCGCCCCGCAGAGAGCCCGCACTGGCCTGAGAGCGGCCGCGGACCTGGCCCCCAGTTCAGGTGAGCCCCGCGGAGGGGGTGGCGGGACCGGGGTCCGCGGGCGCTCAGCGGCGGCTTCCCCAGGGCAGCCTGCGAGCGGCAAGCGGTGACCGTCACCCTGCGGGAGGACGGCGCCTCCTTGACCCTGGCCGGGGGCCTCCGGACGCTGGACTTGCCGCTCTCCAAGGTGCCGGCCCCCCAGGCGGCCTGCAGGTTGCGGGCGCTGACGCTGGGCCTGGCCGAGCGCGTGTGCAGCTTGGAGCGGAGGCTGGCAGGTGGGTGGGGGCCGGCGCGGGCGCGGCGGGGCCCAGCGTGGGGGCCGCCCCCTGATGGGCTGTGACTCCCCGCCAGCTGCAGAGGAGGCGGCTGCCAGCCCCCGGAAGAAGCCCCAGCCCCCGGGGCCTCAGCTCTTCCTGCCAGGTGAGACTGGCCTGTGGGCCCGCGCCCCTCCCCCTCGGGCCGTCTCCCCTGTGTCTGGGGGGGGCGGGCGGGGGCGGCCCGGGCTCCTGTGGGGTTCACTCCTCTCCCCACACCACTTCCCCAGACCCAGACCCTCAGAGAGGCGGCCCCGGACCAGGGGTGAGGAGGCGGTGCCCTGGAGAGTCCCTCATCAACCCCGGCTTCAAGAGGTGCCCGCCGCCCCCGCCCCCCAGCCCTGCCTCTGTCCCCTCCACACCCTACCATGTCGCCCCTTGCTTTCCAGCAAGAAACCAGCGGGTGGTGTCGCCTTTGATGACCCCTGAGGCGCCACAAGTAGACCCACCGGAGTCGGCCTGGGAGGGGGTGCCTGAGACCCCACCCCACTTGCCCGTCACTGATTGGGGGGCAGTCTGCTGCGGGGGGGGGGCCCACCCCATCAATAAACAGCATCCTCAGGCGGAGGTCCTGGCCAGGCTCTGGTTCCGGCGCCGCGGGGTGTAAAGGGCCCCGGGCTCTGCTGCCGCAGGAGGCGGGCACTGTCGCGGCCCCCCAGGGCTGGGGTGGGGCGGCCTGACCAGGGCGCAATCGGGGCCTGTTTCCATCCCTACCCCACGGGGGCACAGACTTCAGTCTCGCCGGCCCCCCTACAGGACGCTGACGAGCGTCCCCCGGCCCTGAGCACACCCAGGTCCAGCGTGAGACACGGTGACCTGCTGCCCAGGGAGTGGCCCGACGCCAGAGCTGCCCGGGCTCGAGTCCCCACCCTCCCGGGTCAACCTGCCGCCCCGCCCTGGCCTGACTGGTTTGGGAGCCCCATCCAGCCCGAGTCTGCAGGGCGGGGCGGCCACCCCCGCCCTGGGCGTTCCGGCGACCGCCGGGCTGCACCTCGCGGGGCTCGCGGGCTCGGGGCCCTCGGACTCGGGACACGCTCACGGGCGGAGATGCTTTAATGGGCGGGCGGGGGCCGGGCGGGGGGCTAGCGGGGGTGCACGGCGGGCCGGTAGGCCGCCAGGATCTCGGCGCTGTGCGGACACGTGTACTTGAACTCCCTCTCCCGCAGCGCGCTGTCCAGGTAGCGCCGGACGCCGCGCAGCTCGGCGGGGATGGGCGCCTGGCGGAAGTGGGCGCACACCGTCTGCGGGCGAGGGCGGCCGCGGTCAGGCCCGGCGCCCGCCCCGCCCCGCCCGCCCCGCCAGCCCGCGGCCCCGCGCTCACGTCCACGATGTGCAGCTTGGGCAGCAGCCCGCAGTCGGCCAGGGTGAGCCGGTCGCCGTCCAGGAAGCGGCGGCGCGACTCGCGCAGCTGCGGCTCCCGCGCCAGCTCGTGCTCCAGGGGCGCGCGCAGGTAGCCGTCCAGCTGGGCCAGGGCGCGCAGCAGCAGCTGGTACAGGGCTGGGGGCAGCGGTGGGGTGAGGACCCGGTCGGCCGCCGCCGGCCCGGCCCGGCCCCTCCGCGCCCCCCACCTCACCGGCGTCCTGCGCGGGCGCGGGGTTCTTGATGAACGCGGAGAACTTGTGGAAGACGTCGCTGCCCGCCACGCGGGACTCCCGGTAGCGGGGCGCCAGGCTGGGGAATCTGCGGGCGCGGGGGCTGGTCAGGACCCCGCGCCTTCCCGCTGGGGCTGCGGGTCCCCCGCCCCGGCCGCGCGGCCCCAGCCTCACTCGGGAGGGCCCAGCCTCTCCTCCAGACACTCCTCGATCTGCAGCGTGTCCGTCGTGGCGTCGCCGTCCCAGAGCAGGATGGGCAGCTGCGAGCCGGGCGCGAAGTCCTTCAGCACGTCCGGGGACCTGTGGGCGCAAGGCAGGCGGGGAGGCGGCTGGCGGGTGGGGGTGGCGGCCTAGGGGGGCCGCGCGCGGGGGGCTCACCTGCGGGTGTCCACGGTGGTCAGCGTGAAGGGCACGCCCTTGAGGAGCAGGATCATGAAGAGCCGCTGGCAGGAGGGGCAGTGGCCCACGCTCTCGCCGTCCTCGCTCGCCTGGGGAGGGCGGGGGTCAGGCCCAGGAACGCGCTCCCAGGCTGGCGGGGCCCGGCCTCCGCTGCCCAGCGGCCGGAGCCCGGCCAGCCCTGCTGTCGGGCACAAGTGGCCAGTGAGGGCTCTCGTCTGGGCCCGGGGGCGGGGAGGGGTGCAGATCAGCTGCTGCCCGGCGCTGGGTGAGGACTTGGGGTGCAGGGCGGGGCCCCAGACCTTATCTCAGAGCCCGGCCAGTGGCCACCCTGGCTCGGCCGCAGGTTCCTCTCAGGCCAGGGTGGCCGGGGAGCTGTTTTCTGAGTGATTCACCCTGCCAGCTGGGCACTGCGGCGCTCCCCGAGCCCCTGCGGAAGGGGCCAGGCCAGGCAGCGGCCGCGGGGCCCACACGCGCAGGCACTGGGGAGCACCAGGGCCGTCTGCCCGGGCCTTGGCCACTGCTCCAGCCAGCACCACCCGGCAGGGACGCTCTCCGCAAGGGCGGGGGCCGAGGGAGGGGGCCAGGGCCACCTCCAGGCCCTTGTGAGCTGGCACAGCCCCTTCTCCTCCACGCTGCCCCCTTACCTGCTTCCTGAGGGCCGCTGGGCCCAGCACAGGGAAGGGCCACGCATCAGGAGCCCCAGGCGCGCCCCCTCCCGGGCCCCGGCCCCCCAGACCCTGCCGGCACCTTGACAAACAGCTGCAGCTTGGCTGTCTCGGCCATGGCAGCCTCCGGGCGCCCGCAGATGGGCCGGGGCGGGCGGGGAGCTCTTTAAGGCCCCCTGGGGCCCCGCCCTGCCAGCCAGGCCCCGCCCCGAGAGTCACCTGCGCAGGGGAGGAGGCCGGCGGGCTGAGTCGGCCCAGGAGGGCGTGGCGTGTGGGGCTGCGGCGGCCTTGGTGCAGGAGCAGCTGTCGGGCCGCGCGCCCACCGGTGAGCTGGTGTGGTGGTGGCCCAGGGGGCTGGGGCAGGAAGAGCGAGGTGCCAGCCGGGCCAGGACTGGACCCGCTGACCCGCCTCCTCCCGACGTGACACCCTGTGTCTGCCCGGGCCCTGCCCGGACCGCAGGGAAGGAGCGGGAGGGAGAGGTGGCGGCTAGCCGCCCGGCCCAGCCACCAGGGAGGTCTGGGATGCCCCCCACGGCCCGCCAGGCCAGCCGGAGCAGCCCGGCCGGGGCCGCATTCCAGACGGCCAGAGCTGGGCCCGCAGACCCCACCCCACCCTGCGCCCCAGCCCCGCGCCCCCGCGCAGGGGGATGCCATGCAGGGGTGCCCACCCGCCCGGCCCCGGCACCGGCCTGGCCCAGGGCCCCGGCCCGTCGGGCGGCTGGCTGGATCGCGTGAGCTCCCGACCCTCACGTCGCATCTGCCTCACCTGGGTGAGGTGCCGGCTGGCGGCCCTGACGTGGGCCCCGCGGCCGCGGCGACTCCAGGGACGCCGGCGTGGTCAGCGCTGGCCGGCTGCTGAGCGCAGAGGAGCGCAGGGTCTAGAGCGCCGCCGCGTGGTGCCATAGCCCCGTGGGAGGGTTTGGGGGCTCGGCTGCAACCCCAAATCGCTTGCTCACCAGGCAGGGGCGGGGGACCCGCAGCCCCAGCGGGAAGGCGCGGGGTCCTGACCAGCCCCCGCGCCCGCAGATTCCCCAGCCTGGCGCCCCGCTACCGGGAGTCCCGCGCGGCGGGCAGCGACGTCTTCCACAAGTTCTCCGCGTTCATCAAGAACCCCGCGGGAGGGGCACGGGAAGCCCCCCCCCCCCCCCCGCAGCACAGGAAAGGCTGAGGCCCCGCCCCGCAGCTTTTCTAAAGGCTTAACCGTCCCCAGGGGCAGGGCTGGGGGAGGGCACGTGGCGAGCGCCTGGGGTCTGCCGGGTCACACGCCCTGACAGCTTCTCCCTCAGGCCCAGGCAGCCCTGCCTGCCCCCGCGCTGACCCCCGCACCCACATGGGCTGCAGCGAGGTGGGGCTCCCCCCGGCCCATCAGCTCCCTGCTGGAGCCACCCTCTGGGCCAGCGCCCGTGACCCCAGCCTTGCGGGGAGGCCCGGCCTTTTGGGGACACCAGCGCCTCTCCGCGGCTGCCGTGGGCTCCTTACTCTGAACTCCCCCCAGCCGATGCGGCCCCCCGGCCCCTTCCAGTGCTCCAGGCCCCATACGCGTCTGCCCCCCACCTCCTGCGGGGGCCTCTGAGTCCCTCAAGTCCCCCTAAGTGCTATAAAGTGGGAGTCTGGAGCCTTCTCCAGCCTCGGGCACCCCTAGTTCCTGGGGCCCCTCACACCGCCTGCCACCCCAGAATGTGCTCTGATCTCTGTCCCTTCTCATAACAGTCCTGGGGGGTCAGTGGCCGCCACCCGAGGCCTCTCCTCTTGGAAGCCCCCCCAGACATGATGGGGTGGAGGCAGCCCCACAGGTCACCCCGGACCCTGCACGGCATGGGCCCTGGAGCCCGCACAGGGCAAGGGCGCCCGGCCCTCAGGGGTGTCCCTGGCACAGCGATGGGCACGGACGACCAGCCCAGGAGCTCGCACGTGAGGCCCCGCAGTCCCCTCTCAGGGTGGGACTTGGGCCCTGGGAGGAGGGGCAGGAGCCACCACAGCCCCCCACGCAGCAGCAGCAGGGCTGAGCCCCAGGCCCACCCAGCAGCCACCCCACCTGGCTGGGCCCCAGAGACGGGCCTAACCTGGTGGCACCTGCCCACCCGCACCCCAGCCCGCACCCCAGCCCGCACCCCAGCCCACATCCCACCCGCACCCCGGCCGCACCCCACCTGCACCCACATGGAGGCTTTTCTGTTTTATTGAAAACAAACTTCTGCGCTCTGTACAGGCCCGGCTGGGGCAGGGGCGGCCAAGCTGGGGGAGCAGGGGCAGCTGGAGGGTGGGGAGGCGGCTGCCCCTCACCTGGCCCAGGCCAGCTTCTCCGTCCTGCGGCCTGGCCCCCTCGGGGGCCCCCTAGGGCGGCCGCAAGCCGCTGGGCAAGGAACCTCTTCCCGAAGCAGAATAAATAGGCGCCTGGGGCGGCCTCAGCCAGCCCAGCCACACCCCCGCGCCGCCGTCCAGTCCCCGCAAACAGAAAGTCCGTTCTGGAGGCCCGGCCAGGAGGGGGGTCGGGAGGCGGCCGTGCCACCCCATGACCCGGCTGCGGGGCCGGGCCGGGCAGAGGCGAGGGGCTGGGCAGACGCCAGGGCTTTAAGGCAAAGCAGGGTGAGGGTGCAGCCCAGGGCCGGGCCGGCCTTTGGCACAGTCGGCGGCTGCGGTGGCCGCGGGAGGTGGGCTGCGGGGGTCGCCCTGGGTCCTGGTGAGCGGGCCTGGGGCCTGGGCAGCCTCGGCCGCCGCCTGGCTCCTGTCCCCACAGCCGTGTCCCCGGGCAGCTGCGGCCGTCAGCAGAGCGTGTCCGTGTTGAAGGAGAGCTGGGCCTGGGGACAGCGAGCAGGTCAGGTTCTGCGGCCCACCCAGGCCGCCTCCCCGCCGGAACGGGCCTGGCCACTGGGCGCCGCCACCCCTGCCCCCCAGCTCTCTCGGTGGGCCCTGCTGTGGCCTCACCCTGCCCAGGCTGGGGTGCAGGCCCCAGTTCTCCAGCCGCGGGCCCCGCCCCGCCAGCTTCCAGAGGGGCCTGCAGCTGGCTCCACTCTGGCTGGCCCGGCCTCCCACGGCGGCGCCACCCTGAGCTCGAGGCGGCACCGTCTGTCCCATAAACTCAGGACAGCAGGAGCCCCCGGGCCCCCACCCCGCCCGCCCGAGCTGCCCAGACCCAGGCCGCGCACCCGCTCCTCCTCGAAGCTGATGAGGCCCTCGTCCTCTGTGTCCAGGTCCTCGGGCTCGTCGGCCACCAAGGCCCGCAGCTCGGTGGGGGGGGGCCGGGGCCGGAGCAGGCTGAGCAGGCGGCCCAGGGGCGACTGCAGGGCGGAGGGGGTCTCTGTCTCCTGCTGCTCCAGGTTGTCGCTCTGCTTCTTGGCAAAGTTCACGAACACCTGGGGGGGTGGACGGAAAACAGAGGCGGGTGGGCAGGGCCGGGGGTGCGCGCAGGCAGGGTGGACAGGGTGGGGGTGCCGGAGTTGGGGGTGCCCGGCGGCCAGCGCCGCTCGCCACTCACGTTGTCTAGGGTGGTCTGGCTGACTGAGTAGTCCTCGATGCCCAGCACGCCCACCACCTGCTCCATCTTGCTGAACACCTGCGCCAGCGAGATGTGCTCCGACTTGAGCTGGTACTGCACCTTCGTGTGGTGCCGCTCCTGGGGGTTCACGCGGGTCAGAGGCGGCTGGGCTGGGCAGGGCAGGGCAGGGCAGGGCAGGGCAGGGCAGGGCAGGGCAGGGCACCCACCCCAGGGTGCCACCCACCTTGAGCACGGCCTCGGGAAAGTTCCGGTTGAAGAACCGCGCCACATCCTTCACGCTCTGGCTGCTCTTGGTCCTCACGGTGATCATGTAGCCATCTCCGAACCTGCGGGTGAGGGTCATGGCCCCAGGCCCCGCCCGGGGAGCCCCGCCCTTCCTGTGACCCTGCCCTGTGGCCCCGCCCACGCCCTGCAGCCCACCCGCCGCCCCCTCACCGGTTCTTCAGGTGCTGGATGCTGCCCAGACAGCGCAGGCGCCCGTTCACCATGATGGCCAGCCGCGTGCACAGCGCCTCGCATTCCTCCATGCTGCGGGGAGACGCAGGGCTGGGCGCCAGGCCGGGGAGGGTGGGCCGCAGGGGGCGTGGGGCGCGTGCTAGAGGGCGCGGGCCCCACCTGTGCGAGGTCAGCACCACGGAGCGCCCCGTCTTGATAAGTTCGAGAATGAGGTTCCAGAGGAAGCGCCGGGCCTTGGGGTCCATGCCGGTGGTGGGCTCGTCCTGGAGGCAGTGGGGCTCAGCCGCTGCGCGCCCTCACAGCCCGCCCCCCGCGCCCGCGCCGCGGCTCACCAGGAAGATGAAGGCGGGGTACCCGATGAGGGCGATGGCCGTGGACAGCTTCCGCTTGTTGCCGCCGCTGTAGGTTCCTGCCGGCTTGTCTGCGTACTTGGTCAGCTCCAGCTTCTCCAGGGCCCACTTCACAACCTGGGGGCGCAGGCTTAGCGCCCGCCCGGCCGCCCACCCTCCCCCTCGCCGCCCGTGGGGGTCCTCACCCGGGCCTCGTCCCGCCAGGGGATGCCGCGCAGGCGCGTGTACAGCTGCAGGTGCTCGCGGGCCGTGAGCTCGTCGAACAGGGCGTCGAACTGCGGGCAGTACCCCAGACTCTGCTGCACCTGGAGCAGCTCCTTGAGCACGCTGGGGACACAGGCTGTCAGCACCGGGTGCTGCGCGCTCCCAGGCCCGCGCCCCCCAGGCCCGCGCCCGCACCTGTGCCCGTTGACAAAGGCCTCGCCCCCCGTCGTGCTCTCGTCCCCAGTCAGCATCTTGAAGGTGCTGGTCTTGCCGGCGCCGTTGACACCCAGGAGGCCGAAGCACTCGCCGGGACGCACCCCCAGGCACAGGCGGTCGACAGCCAGGATGCGGCCCAGCTTCCGCGACTTGTACACCTGCCGGGCGGCCTGCTTAGCTGCGCCCGCGCCCGCGGCCTGGACCCAGCCCCCACACAGGACCCCGCGCCCTCTCCCGGACCCAGGCCCACCTTGGTCAAGTTCTCTATCTTGACCATGTCGTTGTCGGCGTCCCCCCGCAGCACCCGCTGCCGCTCGCTGGCCACGTCCACGTCGTCCTCCACGGGCTTGGTAGACACGGGCATGCGCCTGGAGGAGCAGAGTGGGCAGTGCTGGGGCCCTGCCCCACCTCACCTGGAGCCCCCGCCGGCCCGGTGCGCCCCACTCACTGTGGCTGCCGCAGGAAGTTGTACTGGCACATGATGGTCAGGAAGAAGCCCACGAAGCCCTCGACCGTCATGGCCACCAGCCCCCTGGTGACAATGTCCCATTCGAAGGGGGACTTCATCTTGTCAAACTGGCCTGTGGGGCAGCCAGCTGAGACCCCGCGCCTGGCCCAGCAGCCACCCAGCCCCCACCCGGCCCCAGGGTCCCCCCAGCCCCCGGCCGCCGCACCGATCTTGGCGTAGTACTCGTTGAGGTACTCGTTGTAGGCCATCTCCATGAGCCCGTGGCCGAGGTTGTAGTTGGGGAAGACGAGGAAGCAGCTCTTCAGGTAGCCGTTGACGGCCTTCAGGTCCTGGGGGCCACGGGGTCTCAGCGCCGCCCCCCGCCCCGCCCCGCCGCCCCGCCGCGCCGCGCCGCGCCCCCACCTTGTCGTGCTCGAAGAGCTGCAGCAGGAAGGTGGCCACGGTGGCCGTGATGCCGATGAACAGGTTGATGACGATGAGGAACACGTAGGCCGAGCTGGGCACGTCGAACCAGAAGGAGGCCGGGTACATGACGGGCGTGATGGACCACCTGCGGGGGGCGGCGTCACCACCGGGGTTCCCTGCCCCCCCCGACCCCCCTCCCCCCCGCCGCGCCCTACCCGTAGAGCAGGAAGAGGGACAGCACGGCCGGGAAGTTGGTGGGCGACGTGTAGGCCGGCAGGTCGAACACGAACAGGATGAGGACGCAGCAGGTGGCCGGGACCAGGTAGTTGAGCTGCGGGCGCAGGGGCCGGTGAGGGGCGGGGCCTGGGCCCGGGAGGGGCGGGGCCTGGAGCAGGGGCGGGGGCTGAGCCTGGGAGGGGCGGGGCCTGGGGCAGAGGCGGGCGAGGGGCGGGGCCCTCTCCGAGAGCCGCAGTGGGTGGGGCAGGGGCGGGGCCTGGCGCTCCAGGGGAGGGGGCGGAGCAGGGGCGGGGCCTGAGCTCCAGGGGTGGGCGGGGCCTGGAGAGCCAGGGCAGGAGGAGGGGCAAGGCCTGCGCGTTCACGGTGGGATGGCAGGGCGCGGGGCCTGGGGCTCGGGGCTCCCGGGGGCTAGCGGGGGCCCACCATGTCCCACACGTAGTTGGCCAGCCAGTAGATGACAGGGTTGCAGCCGCTGACGAACTGCAGGTGCTTGGCCTTGGTGGACTTCTCTGCCACCAGAAAGACCACAAAGCTGGCCGGCACAAAGGACATGGCCACGATGATGAAGATGGCGATGACGACGTCTGTGCCCTGCAGCCTGGGGGAGGCGGACTCAGCCCTGCGCCCACCCGTGGCACCCGCCCACCCCGCAGCCTGGGGGAGGCGGCCGCCTCCCTGTGCCCGCCTGCACGTACAGGTAATCCAGGGAGAGGCTGGCGCTCGTCTTGTTCATGGGTGGTTGGTGACGGTGATGCCTGTGACACAGGGGAGGTGGCCTCAGGGCCCGCTTGTGCCCACCCACCCGCCCCTGCCTGCGCCCGCCCACCCATGCCCGCACCGTAGGCCGCGGGGTTGCCCTTGCTCTTGGGCAGGTTGGCCCGCAGGATGGCGTTGTTGAGGCTGTTGAGGTAGGTGGGCATGCTGTGGTAGCCCTTGTTGTTGTAGAAGACCTGGGGGCAGAGAGGAGGCCAGAGCCGTGGGTGCCAGGCCCTGGGGACGGGGCCAGCCACGGGCCTGTGGGGGCTCACCTGAGCTGCCCGGCGCACTGCAATCTTCCGCACCATGGCCGGGGCCCGGGTGCCAAACGAGGCAGGGACAGACTTCTGCACGTTGCCGAATGTTATGGCGCCGTACCTGGGAGGGCAGGCTCGGGGGCGTGAGGCCGGCAGGCGCTGGGCTGCCCCACACCACCCCTGCTCCCCACTTGCCTCACCTGTGCAGCCGGAAGCGGTCCGAGGTGAACAGCAGGTACTCAGAGACATTGTGGCCGGTGATGTCGGTCAAGATGTCGCCCGTGACCACCCGCATCTGGGGCGGGCGGCCACCCACGCCCCCCGGGCAGGAGAAGCCGGTGCCCTGGGAGGAGCAGGTACAGCGCAGGGGCTCCCGCACCAGGCGGGGCAGGGAGGGAGCCAAGGTCCAGTTCTCTGTGGGTGCAGCAGCCAGTCAGACAGGGCCCAGCCAGGCCCAGCCCCTCCCCCACGAGCTGGTACCTGGCCCCGAGGTGGGTGGCAAGGGCGCAGTCCAGCTCTGCAACAGGCCCTCCTCTGGGGACAGCGGGGTGTCAGGCGGGGCTGGCGAGGGTGGGGGTGGCACAAAGTTGGACAGCGGCAGGCCCTGCGTGAAGGACTCCAGGCACATGCTGTCAAAGAACCGTGCAGCCAGCAGGCGTGACTGGCCACTGCTCAGGTTCAGCGTGGGCCCCAGTGAGCCATTGGCTGTAGACTTCAGCACACACGTGGCGCCTACCCCAGACGGCAGCCGGAATGTGCCCACCAGCTGCTGGGGGCTGGCATCGGGCGACAGATGCAGCCTGGGGGAGACACAGGGGTAAGTCAGGGGGCTCAGTGCCCCCCCCCCGCTCCCACACCCAGCACCGCCCACGCTACGGCTTGGCGGGCGCCTCACCGGTCCTCCTGGCGCTCCTCGTTGGCATAGGGGATGAAGTTGCCTCGGGGTTGGGTATAGTTGTGGTACTGGGAGGGGGACAGGACCAGAGGAGGCAGGTCGCCTGGAGGGGTGCATGGAGAAGTCTGAGTGGGGCCTGACCACCTTGCCGGCGGCCCCCAAGTCTGGGCCCCCTACCCCAACACACACAGGGGTCAGCACAGGGTTTGGGCCCCAAGGGGAGCCCTGGAGCAGGACCTCCCAGTCACCAGGCTGCACCCAGACCCGGAGCAGCCAGGGTCCCCCAAAAGGCTCCCAGTGGGGTCTCCCCACAGGGATGGACACATGCCCTGTGCCCCTGCCCCACAAGGCGTCGTACCAATCTCGGGCACGGAGAGGGCCACTGTCATGGCCACGCACACGAAGAAGGCGGGCAGCAGGATCTGGGAGGACAGCGCCTTGGAGTTGCGGCGGGCGCAGTGGAAGCGCTTCACCAGCAGCCCGTGGAACTGGCGCGCCTTCAGCCACCAGCCCTCCAGCTTGCGGCTGCCTTGGCCGGCCCGTGCCAGCGCCTCGGCCTGGGCCTCTGTGAGGGGGCAGGGGTGAGCGGCAGCCCGGCTGCCACACCCTCCCTGGCCACCCGGCGCCAGCCGCCCCCCACCTTGCAGACTGATGTTGTCGGGATCCTGGAGGTCGTTGAAGAGCGGGCGGTAGTCGCCGTGGGTGTCGGTGTGGCCGGTGCCCTCGTGACCGCAGCCCGAGCCCATGGAGGACAGAGACTGCAGCGAGGCCTGTGACTGGGCCAGCTCCGAGCACCGGGCCAGGTTGCCCTCGTGAGCCTCCCCGGATGCCAGACTCTCTGCCCCCGGCAGCACATCCTTCCTGGACTCCTTTGTGTCTGCCGCAGCACAAGGCCATGAGGGGCTGGGCCACCTCCACCCTGGCCTGCCCAAGCCCCCGCCCTCGTGCCCATCCACCCACAAGATGCCTGCGCCCTGCAGGCCCTAGGGAGTCCCCCTCACCCCGGCTGGCCCTGGGGAGTCTTGGCCCCTCGTTCCCACCCAGAACCCCAGGCTTCCAGAGACCAGAAGAGCGGGTAGTGCCAGGCCTGTGGGCCAGGGCAGGGTGGGCGGCTGGCTGGCGGCCTGGAGCCTCTCACCCGCCTCGCTGTTCTCCAGTGACTGGTCCTCCTCGGACACCTTGAGGAAGACCTCCTCCAGCGTCGTGTCCATCAGCCCAAAGCTGCTCAGGTGCAGCGCGTCCAGACTGCACTCCAAATGCTGAGAACGGCCCGGGTGAGCCCCCTGCACTGCAGGTACAGGACAGGGAGACCCCCCCCCCCAAGCCCCTGCCCAGCCCGCCGCACCCGGGGCAGAGCCCTGCCCTCTGCTGGCCACGCCTGCCTCCTCCACGGCTCTGCACCAGCCACCCATACCTGAAAGAGGCGCTCAAAGGCTCCCTTCTTGGCAGCCTCGCTGGGCAGGATGTAGGAGAGTTCAGTGCTGGTGTCCGAGACCAGCAGGCAGGAGGCCACATGCTTGCGGATGAACTGGGAGACCTGGGGCTCCGAGCAGCTGCTCAGCTGGGCCCGTCCGGACGGGCTGGATGCCAGCCCTGGCTCTGGAGAGCAGGGCAAGGAGGGCCTTCACTTGGGGCCGGGGCCCCGCTGGGCCAGGTGGGGCCAGGAGAGGGGTGAGTCAGGTCCCACTGGGCCCCGCCCCAGCAGCCCTGGGTATAGGGGCCCCCGGCGCAGACCTTGGGGGCCGCCGGGCTCAGCAGGCCGCTTGACCAGCGTGAGGCGGTAGCCGTCGCCGTAGGCGCCCTTGAGGAAGAGCGGGGAGCCGCAGCACTTGAGCTTCCCGTGGGAGATGATGGCTATGCGGTCTCCCAGCAGGTCGGCCTCGTCCATGTGGTGTGTGGACAGAAGGATGGTGCGGCCTGAGGGAGGCCGGGGTCAGGAGGCAGGCCGGTGGGGCCGAGTGGGCCCCGCACGCTGCCCAAGCCCCGCTCACCCGGCTTGTACTTCAGGATGAGGTCCCAGATGGCGCGGCGGGCGTAGGGGTCCACGCCCGCGGTCGGCTCGTCCAGGATGATGGCCCTGGAGCCGCCCACAAAGGCAATGGCCACGGAGAGCTTGCGCTTCATGCCTCCCGACAGCGTCTGCACCAGCGAGTGCCGCTTGTTGGACAGCTCCAGGTCCTCGATCATCCTGAGGGGCAGGGGGCGTGACCAAGGCGCGGCCCCGCCCCCGCCCCACCGGGCCCCGCCCCCGCCCGGCCCCGCCCCCGCCCGGCCCCGCCCCCGCCCGGCCCCGCCCACTTGTCCATCTCCTTGCGGATCTCCGCCTGCGCCATGCTCTTGAGCCGCGAGTAGAACCAGAGATGCTCCTCCACCGTGAGGCGGTCGAAGAGCACGTTGTGCTGCGGGCACATGCCCAGGTTTTTGCGGATCTCGTCCATCTCGGTGCGGATGTCGTGCCCGTAGATGGTGGCTGAGCCCGACGTCGGCGGGAACAGGCCCGTCAGGATAGACCTGGGTGGGTGGCGAGGCATGACCCCAGCTCCGGGTGCCCCGCCCTGTGCAGGCCCTTGCAGGCCCCCACGCCCGGCCCCCACACTCACATGGTGGTGGTCTTGCCCGCCCCGTTGTGGCCCAGGAAGGAGACCACCTGGTTCTCGTAGAGGTTCAGGCTCAGCTTGTTCAAGGCCAGCTTCTTGTCGTTCTTATAGACTTTGGTCAGCTTGTCCACGCAGACCACCAGGGGCAGGTGGGTGGGCTCCTCCTCCATGCCACGCATCTCCTCTGCACCCAGGCCGCAGGTCAGCCCAAGGCTGCCCCAGGCCCCCGAGCCCCGCACCGCCCCCCAGCCACCCTGGTGCCAGCCTCACCCAAGCGCCGGCTCTCCATGGCACAGGCCTGGCCCTCCTCCATGATGCTGAGGCGGGGGGCGTGAGCCCACGGCCAGCTCCACTCCCAGGCCTCTGTCCGCCCACTGCCCAGCCAGTAGGACTTCTGCAGCGGGAAGTACCAGGGCCGCGGCAGGCCATACATTCCTGGCGGGGAGGGAGCCCAGGGCTGGGGTCACCATCCACCCAGACCACATGCCCCCAGAGCCGCCCGCCCCACCCCTGCCCCCCAGGGGTCAGCTGGTACCTGGGTGGACGGCCTCGATGTACCACGTGAGCACACCGTACACAGCCGCATCCACCACCAGCATGGTGACGGCCAGTAGCAGGTTGAAGTCGTCACCCTCCACAGGGGACTGGCTGAAGGTGTGCCACTGGATGCCCACGCCGGCCACCTCGTACAGGGCGAAGTACTTGGAGCCCAGGCCGAAGGCTGTTGTGGACATCAGGGACTGAGGGAACCTTGGAGTCAGTGGGGGTGGGCGCCGCCCCCCCAGCCCCTCCCCGCGGGCAGGGCGCTCACCGCGATGCACTTCTCGAAAGCAGTGATCTTGTCGTGCGCCACCTCCTCGCGGATGGCCACGTACATGTAGGGCACGTAGCTCAGGAAGTAGATGATGCCGCCGCAGGCCGAGGCCAGCTTGGCCTTGGAGTACAGCACGGACACCAGGAAGCTGGGGCGGGCACAGCCGTCAGCCGCGCGGCCCCGGCAGGCCCCAGCCCTCCGCCCGGGGCGCCCCAGCTCGCCGCCGCGCACGTGCTCACCAGAACATGATGGTGGCCACGGCGTACACGGCCAGGAAGAGCCAGATGATCAGCACGTGGCTGTGCATGAGGACCTGGCCGTACTTGAGAATGGCGGTGAGCGCGGTCACCGAGATGGACAGCTGCACGAAGCCGGTGATGAACCAGGCCACCCAGTGCACCGCGTTGTTCAGGCCCATCGTCTTCATCACCTGCAGGCAGGGGCACGGGTGGCGCCGGGTGCGGGCCCAGGGCCTCCCTCCGCGCCCGCCCCGGCCGCGCTCCCCGCCTCCCTCGCCCCCACCCGCCCCCACCTCCTTGAGCCGGTGCTCCTTCTCCGCCACGATGTGCTGGATGGTCATGGCCACCGAGTAGACCCAGGAGATCACCATGCAGAGCGGCATCATGTGCTCGATGACAAACAGAAAGCTGGGGGGCAGGGGTGTGAGGGGGCTGCCCGCCCCACCCCACCCCTGCCCCCCGCCCACTCACTCGTCACGCGTGTAGCAGGGGTAGGGGAACATCTGCACGTAGTTGCCCGGCTCCACCACGTCGTGGCCCACAAAGGTGTTGATGATGGCTCGCTCCATCATGTCTGCGGGCGGCCGCAGCGGTCAGGGCTGCCGGACCCGCCCGCCGCTGCGGCCGCCCTCCCGGCCCCCGGCCTTACCCTGGATCCAGACGAAGCCATAGAGGAAGTAGAAGCGGCCGCCGGTGTTGGGCCCCGGCCGCCAGTAGGCGCGGCGGATCTCGTTGGTCTTCTCGGTGAAGCTGGAGTTCTGGCGGATCTTGTAGTGGACGTGCGGCGGCAGGGAGCCGTCCTTCCGCGTCTGGAAGATCACGCCTGCGGGCGGGACGAGCAGCGGGCCGGGCACCGAGTCAGGGCCAGGGCGGGGCTGGAGGGGCAGGGGTGTGGGGAGAGGCTGGAGGGGGACAGTGGGGCGGGGCAAGGCTGGGGGGCCGGGAGGGGCGCGGCGGCGGGTGGACGTGGACGGCTCACTGGCGAACACCGTGACGTTGTCCTGATAGGCCTGGTTGAGCGTGTAGTTGACGATGCTCTCCTCGTCGGGAAAACCCTTGAAGATGTCCACGCTGACCTGGGGGAGGGGTGCCGTCAGAGGGGCCCGGCCCCCCACGGGGCCCCGGGGGCACCCGCCCCACCTTGGACATGAACTGGATCCAGCCGCAGGCCGCGTTGTCAATGGTGTCCAGCTGCTGCAGGAGGGCCGAGCCGTTGGGCAGCGAGAAGTTGTCCCGGCGCAGGGCGGGCGGCAGCTCCTCCAGTGACAGGTTCAGGGCTTCGGGGTGCAGGCGCAGCTCAGCCACGTACTGCGGGGAAAGGCCGGCTCAGAAGGGCCTGGCGCCTGCACAGAGTGGGGCCCCCACCCACACCCCGGCTCGCAGCCAGCACCTGCTGCAGCCAGTGCAGATGCCGCTGTAGCCGGCCCTGGGCCAGGAAGCCGCGGATGTCGGCAGAGATGTTGAGCCACACCCGCGCGTAGTGGGTCACGTTGCCTACAAAGGCAAAGGTCTCGTTGGCCTGCAGAGGGTGAGGGCACCGGGCATGGGGCTCACGGAAGGACCCCGGCCAGAGGGGGCTCTCCACGCCCTCACCTCCCCCCACTGGCCAGCCCCCCACTGCGCCTTCCGGTTCCTGCTTGCAGAGCAGCCCCGACTCTCCACCCCACCCCGCCTGCTCCCAGGGACCCCACCACAGGCGGTGCCCGCTGGGCCATGCCCAGGCCTGGCTTCTGCTTCCTGCCAGCCCCTCTGCTGTGGGTCACCCCAAACCACCCAGGGCCCTGCCCAAACCCTGCGCCCCACATCAAGTGGGAGCCTGAGCCAGTTTGCACGCCGACCCCGCAATGGCCCCGGCGACCCCGCACCTTGAGGATGACCAGGTCGGCCTCCGAGCCCACCGGCGCGTAGAGGATCTTGGGGTTGCTGGTCATGAGGTGCACCAGCAGGCCCAGGTTGCGCTGCTCCTTGCTCGTGAAGCCCAGCGAGCTCATGTTGCCGCGTCGCAAGGCCTCGGGCTCGATGGTGCTGGGGGGCAGGGGGCGTGAGAGGCGGGTCCGGGCGGGTCCAGCCCGGGGAGTGGGCCGAGGGGCGGGGCCGGGCAGGTCCAGCCTCGGAGTGGTCAGATACGAGGGCCGGGGGCCGCGCCGGGCTTCAGAGCTGGGGCAGTGCGGGGGTGGCCGTGTTGTCGTGGAAGCACCCGCGGGGTTTGGCTGTCCCCCCCCCCACCCACGGCCACCTACCGGTTGTTGCCGCACAGGATGGGCTGCAGGCCGGCCCAGAGCTGCACGAAGGCGGAGCACTGGCCCGGCAGCGCCTCGGGAGAGACCGGGGCGGCCAGCGGCGGCGCCCCCTCCTCCACAGTGGCGTTGGCGCCCGCGCCCGCCCCGGTGCCATTGGCCGTTCGGCCGGAGCCGCTGGCGGGGGCCCCGGGAGCCCGCCCAGCGCAGGCACCCTGGGGCAGCAGCAGGGCCAGGGCCGAGAGAACGTCCACATCCTGCAGAAACTTCTGGGCGTCCAGCAGGTCTTCCAGCAGGGCCTGCAGCTGCCGAGCGGAAGGTGGCTGCCGCTGGGGGGCTGAGCCGTTGGGGGCTGCGTCCAGGCCCAGCTGTGGGGGGCACGAGGGGCCAAGCAGGTTTGGCGAGGAGAGCATCGTCAACTAGACGCTCAACCAGGCCTATCAGGACAACGTCCCGGTGGGGCCGGGAGGGACTGCCGCCGGGGGTACCGGAGCCCGGCCCAGGGTGGGGGAGCAGCTGGGTGGGGGAGGGGGCAGTAGGCATGGTGTCTTTGGGGGTGGCACACCTCTGCCCAGGCCCAGGAGTACCCTCCGATACAGGGAGCCCCAGTCCCCCCAGCGAGGCCAGCGGACCTGTGCGCCATCTGGCAGGCAGGACCTCACCTGCTGGGCAATCTTGGCCATGTCCAGCTGGCTCCGGAGCTCAGTGGCCAGCTCAGAGAAGCGCTGGGCCCGGGCTGCAGCCTGCCCACCGCAGACCACAGCCCGGAACCCCTGCAGTGCCGATGGCTCCCCAGGGGGCGCTGTGAGCACCTGACCAGGCTGCCTGGAGCCCGGGGAGCAAGTGAGCTGCTCCAGGAGGGCGGGGGCCAGCAGCAGCTCCTGGGGCGGGGAGGGGGCGGCTGGGAGAAGCGCAAGGACCAGAAACCAGGGCCGGGCGGCCTCAGGTCTCCCTGCCCCGGGCTGTGCCTGGTCGAGGCGCCCCCAACCCCTCCGGGGACAGACATCACCTGCCTCCCCCCTTCCTGTGCCAGCCACACACTTGGGAACCCTCCCCTGGTGAGGAGGGACCGCAAATCCCCACCCAGGCAGCGCCCAGAGGCAGCTGAAGCACCCCCGCCCCACTCACAGGCACCCTCACCTCCATTTGGAAGAGGGGGTGGCTGCCCAGCCGGCTCCTGGGTGCTTGGCCCCTGCGGAGGCCCGACCCCACATCCAGGGCAGAGGAAGGTCCAGAAAGCAGGTGGTAGACCTGGCCGGGGGCAGGGCTGGGCTCAGGCTCCAGGTCTCCCCGCCTCAAACCCGGGGAGAGTGGAGCAGAGACCAAGCACTGACCCGGGCCCCCCTCACCTGGGGCAGGTCCACCTGGGCCGCTAGGAGGGCCTGGGCCGTGCTGTTAGGCAGTGACAGGTTCTGTGTCAGGAAACGCCGGAGCTCCCGGGGGTCCCGGGCCACCGAGTCCAGAGAGAAGGAGGACACTGGACAGGCAGAGGACAGGTCTGAGGCCAGCACGCCCCAAACAGGGTCGGCAAGCCAGGCGGGAGGGTCAGGCCCCTGCGCTCCGGGGACTTGGCTCTGGGGGCTGGGGCACAGGCTGACAGCAGAGCCAGGCGTAAGCCCACCCCTGCCAGGGTCCTGCCTGTCCCCGGGGGCACCTGCAGGCCTGTCCGCCTGGCTGTCCCTGGTGTCCGGGCCCACGCTGAGGGCCTCCAGGCGTTGGCGCAGGGCCTCGAGTTCCGAGCCTAGGCTGGGCCTCGCAGGGTCGAACAGGTTGCCCTCCTCCACCACGCGGTTGAGGCGCTCCAACAGCTGGGTGACCCTGCAGGGCACGGGCGTCACCCACTGGCCACCCAGTGGGGTGGGGAGCACTCACGTGGAGATGGGGGCTGGGAACACCCACTGCAGTTTGGGGTGGGGAGCATTAGTGGAGTTGGGGCGGGGGGCACGCGTGTGCAGTTGGGGCGGGGGGCACTCTCTGCAGTTGGGGTGGGGAGCACCCTCTGCATTTGGGGCGGGGAGCACCGCTGGAGCTGGGGCCGGGAGCACTCACGTGGAGTTGGCGTACTGCAGGAAGCCAAACTCGTCCCGCTGGCCATCGGGGCACAGCGACTGCATGACGGGCAGGATGCCAGCAGAAGTGAGGGGTGCAGCCGTGTAGAAGGCTGGGGACACGGGGCACACCCCAAGGGCAAAAAGGAAGAGGGGAGAGGAGGGGAGAAGAGTGAAGAACAAGAGGGGGAGGGAGACAGAGGCCCAGAAGAGAAATGAAAAGAAAAGTCAGGACGGAAGGGCAGCTTCAGGCAGACACCCGGGGCAGGGCCCAGAGGCCGGTGCGAAGGAGCAGGTCAGAGGTCGAAGGACAGCTGGTCACCCTCCCCACCACTCCCAGAATACCCTCAGCCGCCGTCAAATGCCCTGACGCTGGCCGCCAAATGCCCTGACCCTCCCCCGAGACCTCAGGTGTGGCCCACAGAGTCCAGGGGGCACATCAGCCCCACTGGGCAGCGACCTCTGACCTCTCTGGCCAGCTGGTTAGCAGAGTGAAAGCAGGAGCCCAAGGGGTGTGAGGGGACAGCCACCAGGCATCCCCGCCCGGGGCCAGGTGGCCACGGTCCCATGCAGGGAGGGGGACAGCCTGGTGACTTGACCTGGGAGCTGCTGGCCAGGCGAGGTGGCCTGGCCCGTCGCTGCCACTCCCCCCCCCACCTCACACGGGGAGCCTGCAGGGCCCAGTCAGGGCTGGGCAGGTGCCCGCTGGCAGCAAGCTGTTAATGCAAGCAGCAGGGTGCTGGAGCAGCACCGGAGGCCAGCAGGAGGAGGTGGCCGCTCACTTACAGACTGCATGCGGGCCGAGGACAAGAGACCATGCGGGGAGGGGCAGAACAGAACAGAGGAGAACAGTGAGGACCCGGCGCCTCGGTTCTTGGAGCCCCACGGCCAGTTCGTCCTCCACAGCCCAGCCAGGAGGCCTGGCCAGGGAGTGGGGGGGGCACGCGCGGCCGGACGCAGCGGTGGCCAACGCTCCCTTGCCCACGCAGCGGGGCCCAGGGCCCTCACCTTCCTTCACGGAGATGGTGGGCTTCTTCTGCCGCAGCCCCAGCAGGATGAAGAAGAGGACGAGCGGGATGAAGATCTCGAAGGCCAGGACCCACTGCAAAGGGCGGGCATGAGGTGCCTGGCCTGCCAGCTGCCGCCCAGGCAGCTCGGCAGCCGAGCCCTTCCCCCTGCCGGACAGACACCCCAGAAGCCAGCCTGCCAGCCCCCGGCACAGGTGACCGGCGCTCCCGGCCGAGGAGGCCTCCGTCCCCTGGCAGGAGCCCCCTGGATGGCCGGGCTGATGCGCCCCCAATTCCGGGGCCCCTGTCGGCCTGCGGTCCGTACTGACCGGCCCATCCTCTCCCCACTGCAGCCCTGCCCGGGCGCCCCTGCAGCGCCACGCGGCCCTGAGCAGGTGGGGTGGTGAGGACCGCCCGGCCCTGGAACCCGCCTCCAAGTGGACCCCGTCTGGGCTCTGACCAACCCCGATCCCGGAGGAGCAGCCACCTCCGTCTGCCCAGGGGGCACAGGTGGGAGTGCCCACCGCAGCCCTGCCCACCCCAGGCTGGCGGGACCTGCTGTGAGTGTGAAGGCAACGCCAGGGCCCAGAGGCCCAGGCCACCCTCAGCCTCCAAGAGGCGCCACCAGTGCCTGCCCTAGTGGCCCTAGCTGGGCCGGGGGGAGCCCCAAAGCCCCTTGGGTCCCCTGCAGACCAGCCCCCAAGGCTGGCCCTGACCCGTCGGCTCTCCTTCACCCCACCCCCACCCCAAACTGACCGCGCAGCCCCCAGCTCAGCGCAGCGTCTGGCCCAGGGCCCAGCCCTGGGCCCGGGGTCACAGCCACCCAGTGTTTGTCCGGCTCGGACAATGGTGCTCTGTGGCCTGGAACACCCGTGTGTGCCCGAGCCCACCCCCCCTGCCCTAGTCCGTGCCAGCCTCCACCCCTCCCCAAGCCCACTCGGCCCGGGGCGAGCTCAGGAAGCCCCATGGGCACCCCAGACGGGACGGGCCAGGCCGCGTGGCTGCGGGAATTGGCGGCCTGGGAGGCAGGGGTCATGGCCAAGGTGCCAGCGTCCCCGACACCCGCCCTGCCACCGGGCACCTCCACTGCCGTCACTGCAGCAACAGGCCACGGCTGCCTCCCCGTTGTTATGGCAACGGTGCGCAGGAGCTGCTGGGAGCAGGAGGAGAGGCCTTCTGGGCGGGCAGGCGGCCAGGGGGCCTCTGGTTACAGGCAGGCAGCACAGGTCACCCACCTGGGGGCCGGCAAGGTGGTTGGACTTTTGTTCTGAGGCCACCCTAGCCCTGTGGGCGCTGAGGCACCTTCTGCTGCTTCCGGGGATCAGGGGACGCCTGAGGGTGGAGCCACCGCCTCCAGCCCGGCTCCCTGCAGCTGAGGCCGCTCCGCCGTCAGGGGCTGCGTGTGGCCGGGGTCACCAGGTCCAGGGGCACGGGGGCGGGGGTGGGACACACTCACAGGCGAGGGAACAGGCCCAGGGAGAGGGAGCAAGCAGGGTGCAGAGGTCCTGGGTACCCCCCTGGCGCCAGACCCCTCTCCACAGGGCCAACTCTCCCTGCAGGGCCCATGCGGCAGCAGGCGTCTGCCCAGCCACGCCAGGGGCCCGGCGCGGAGGCCCACGGCCCTCTGGGGAGGGCACCCGTGGGCCAGGCTGCAGCCACCCCAAGGTCAGAGGCCAGGTCTCTGCTGTGGCCTGAGCAGCCGCTGGGGCGGGGGTGCAGGAGGGAGCCCCCACCTGCTGGCACAGTCCGCCTCAGGGGTGTCCTTCCGGGCCCTGCTCCCAGCCCTGCGCAGGGGCAACAGCTGCCCCCATCCCCATCCCCTGACCCCCGGACCCCAAGCCCGAGGCGGGTGGCCGCACCAGAGGCAGCCTGGGGCTGCAGGCTGAGCCTGGTACCCTGGGCCGGGAACGCACTGACCCTGGCCGCCTGCCAGGCCCCGAGGGGATCCTGCCAGGCCCGGTGCTGACAGCCGCCCTGCTGGTCCCGGGCCGGGCTCCGCGCCCCCCCAGGAGGCCGAGGACGCGCCTCCTCAGGCCCCGCCGGCCCGTGGCCGCGTCGGGAGAGCCCGCGCCCCTCCAGAAGGCCCGGGCCGGCTCCGCTGCGTGGACCCCGCGCGGCCGCGGGAGGCCTCGGAGCTGCGGCCCCAGCCCCTCCCCGCCGGGCGCCGGCCCTGACAGCGGCTGCGCGGGGCGCCCGGGCCGCGGGGGGCGCGGGCCGGGCGGGGAGCCTGGCGGTCGCGGCCGCGCAGGGGACGGGGCGGGCGCGTCGGCGCGGAGGGCAGCGGCGCGGGCGCGGGCGGGCCGGCCGGGGCGAGGAGGTCCGCGCTGGGGACGGGGCGCGGCGCGGGGCGCGGGGCTCCCGCCCAAGGACGGCGGGGCGCGGGGGGCGCGGCGCGGGGCGCGGGGGCGCGGGGCGCGGGGGGCGCGGGGGGCGCGGGGGCGCGGGGGGCGCGGGGGGCGCGGGGGCGCGGACCCCAGGGCGGCGGGCGGGACGGCGGCCGCGGCCCGCCCCTGCCCGGACCCCGCCGGCCCGAACCCCCCGCCGGCCGGGCCTGGGGTCGCCGGCGTGACTCAGCCTCGCCGCGGCGGCGGGCGCGGGGCTCACCGGGCTCCGGCGCTTCAGCGTCACGTTCTTCCAGAGCAGCAGCTGCAGCTGGTGCAGGAAGCCCATGGCGGGGCCGCGCTCCGCCGCCCGGCCCCAGGCCGCTCCCTGCGCCCGCCGCCCGCGCCCGGCCGCCCGCCCGCCCGCCGCTCGGCCAAGCCCGCTCGGGGGCGGGGCCGGGCGCTGACTCCGCCCCCGCGCCCCGCCCCCCCGCCCCGCCCGCCCCGCCCCCGCTTAAAGGCGCCGCGCCCGGCCCGCGCCCGGCCTGTCCGCGGGGCGGCGCGTCGATGGCCCGGTCGGACCCGGCCAGGCGCCGCCGCTGGGGAGCCCCGCGCGGAGGGCCCCGGGGTCGCGCGTGGGCCTGGGGCGGCGCGGCCCCTCGCCCTGGGGCGGTCCCGCCAGGCGGCGCCCCGCTGAGGCCCGAGACCCGGCGCGGGCGCGCTCCCCGCCCCCGGCCCTGGGCTGCCCCTCCCCGAGGCGCGGGCCCGGGCGAGGCGCCCACCGCCGGCGGGCACGAGGGGCCGGGGCGGCTGCCCCAGCCGGGCCCTTCCTCGCCGCCCCAGGCCAGGCCGGCCTCGCCGCGGGGCCGCTGCCCTGGAGCCAGGCAGGTGCTCGCAAGGCTGGACCCGAGCCCGGAGCTGCGACCGGCCCCGGGGCGGCCGCGGAGGTCGGCGCAGGGCCCGCCGCACGGAGGGGCAGAGCCGGCTCCGCCTGTTGGGTTTCCCGTTTGTGAGGCCTGATGCCCCCGTCTGGGCCAGCGCGCCGGGCACCCTCGGCGGAGCGGCCTGGGCCCTGGGGCCCGCGCCTGCCCCCTGGCAGATCCTTATTTGCAGGGGAAGGAGGGCACAGCCGGCCACAGGGCGGCCTCAGCACTCCCCGGGCCACGTGGGCCCTCCCGGAGCAGCTGCCCAGAGCCTCCTGCCGCCCCAGCCCAGCCCACCTGGGGCCGACTGGTGGTGCCCCTGCCCACGCCCGCCGGGCAGTGGGAGGCGCTCGTGGCTCTGAGGCTCTGGGGGAGGTGGCTCAGGCGGAGGAGCCAGACACCGCGCCAAGGGGCAGCCATGCGGACACTGCCCACTCCGGACTCCACACAGCACTCCTGTCCCTCGTTTATTCCTGGGTGCCCCCCCTCCAGTGACCGCAGGCTGCCACGCCCCCTGCCCCCTGCGGGCACCCGGGGCCCTGGAGTCCAGGCGGGGCAGGACGATGTGCAGGACGAGGGGCCTGGCCGGGCTCCACCGGGCTGCGCTCTGGGCATCAGGAGGAAGCGGAGCGCGCGGCTGGACCTAGCCCGCAGGCAGCACAGGCAGGCGCCAGCACGCGGAGGGAGGCTGCCCTCTGAGCGCGGGCCTTTCCTCGCTGCGCCTAGGGCGAGGAGACTGAGGTCACCAGGAGGCTTGGGGCAGCAGCTCCTGCCCCCACAGAGCCGGGTAGCACGTCCCAGCCACAAGCAGGTGCCTCCAGCTCCAGTCCCAGGTCCGGGCGCAGCGGGGACGCAGCCAGAGCCCATAAGGGTGGCCTCTTCTCCTGTACCAGCCAGCAGTGGGTACTGGGTGACCACTCCGTGCTCTGCCCTCCTCCCCACTGTCTGCTACAGCCGCCTCCTCCGGGAGACCTGCTCTGGCCAGCGGCGCCTTGTCTCCTTTGCTTCCTGGCTGGACAGTCTGGACGGAGGGGGCTGGGGCCGGCGCTTGGATTTCCACACTCAGCCTTGCCCCCACCGCTGGCACCCAGCCTGTGTGGCACCCGCCCGCTCAGGCCCGGAACCAGCCTTCCAGGTCCTGGTAGACTTGGCCACGGGGCAGGTGTGGGTAGCGGGTGCAGATGGTGCAGAAGCGCTCCCGCCAGTCGGCGAACAGACGCACGCGGAGCTGGGCGCGCCAGGCCAGGTGGCGCCGGTACTGGCTCTCGTTCATGCCGGCCAGGAAGGCGGCCAGCGCGCGGGGCGAGCTGAAGTCGTCCACGTGCACAAAGGCCTCGGGCGGCGCGAAGGCTTCGTAGGTGGCCCTCGGGGGCCCCAGCACCACGGGCACGGCGCCGGCCAGCAGCGCGTTGCGCCAGAACTTCTCGGTGATGTAGTCCCGGTGCTGGGAGTTCTCGAAGGCCAGGTAGAAGAGGTAGCGGCCCAGCGTGGGCAGCAGGCAGTCGGCGCACAGGGGCCGCCGGCTGGCCCGGCCGAACACGTCCACGCGCAGGTACTGCCGCAGCGCCCGGTACAGCTGCACGCGCCGCTGCCGCTCCTGGAAGTTGCTGACCACCCAGGCGGCCACCCTGCTCTTGGGCGGCAGCGGCGGCGCCGGCCCGGCGCGGGGCTCCAGGCGGCCGTAGGGCACGGGGATGTCGGCGTCACGCCGGTAGCTCAGCACCCAGTTGAAGACACCACGCAGGCGGCCCAGGCCGTGCGTGTGGCTGGGCGACTCCAGGGACGCCCACACCCAGGGCTGCCCCGGGGGCCGCTCGGCCAGGGGCAGGCGGGCCTGCCGCATCTGCAGCTCGCGGTGGTGGAAGACCACGGCGTCGGCGTGGGCCAGCAGGCTGCGGTTGGTGCTCAGGTGGCAGCCGGCCACGCCGAAGCTGGCACAGGTGTTGTGGGGCAGCTCCGGCGGGCGCTCGGCGAAGGGCCAGTGCCAGACCAGGATGGTGAGCATGGGCCGGGGTGCCGGGACCGCCCCAGGGCGCGACTGAAGCAGCCACAGGAACCAGAGGGTGCCGAGCAGGGCCGCCCCCACAGGGCCTCCCAAGGTCCGGAGCCCCCGGGTGGGGCCGCACCCTGCACAGGACGAGGTAGCGTTGGTCTCGTTGGTCTCGGTCTCAGGCAGCGCCTGCCCTCCCCACCCAGGCCCCCCGTGGGCCCTGCACTCACCAGCACTGCTCATCGCGGAGGGAGTCGGTCACCCCAGAAGCCAGCCTTCTCCAATCTCAGCTGCCTGCTCAGCAGAGGCGCGGAAATCACGGCCCCGCCCTGCCCCACCTGGCAACCTCGAGGAGGGAAACCAGGGCATCTTCCCGCCCTGGAGGCCACGGACATCCTCACCACCTCCCCCCGCCTCCCCCAGGCCTGGCTGCTGGGGAGGAGCACAGCCGGGCCGAGCGCCGACCCCCCTGCAGGCCGCGGAGGCCCAAGGATGGCCGGGGGGGCAGGAGGGGTGCAGCTACTTGGCCTCTGGGAAGGGAAGGCGGACCCCCCCCAGAAGGCGCCCCTGGACACCGAAGACCCAGAGGCTGCCCACCACCCCGGTCTGGGGTACCAAGAGCAGGCCAGTCACAGGCCGCAGGAAGTCCAGGCTGCCGGCTGCCCCGGGTGGTCAGCCCCGCGCTCCCGCCTGCCCCTGGGCCCCTGCTCACCGCCGCCAACGGCCACAGCCCCTCCGAGCAGACTCGCCAGCTCTGCCTCGCCCCAGGCCGCGTTCTTCCTCGCTCCTCATTGGGGGCCCCCAGGCCCACCCCTGCCGCCACTGGGACACCTGTCCCCACTCAGATCCCCGAACTCGGGTCCATCCTGGACGCCGTCCACACCAGGCCCCCACGCGGGGCCATCGTGGCAGCCATAGGCACCTTCTTCTCCGGCCAGGACGTGTCCCCCGCGGCCCTGAGCTGGGGGCCGGCGCCGAGCACGAGGCCGGAACCCCTGTGGGGTGGGAGGGCTGTCCTTGGGGGTTCCAGGCTTCTTCCTCCAGACCCCACGGCGGGGGGGGGGGGGGGCTTTCCAGGCTGGAAAGGGAAGGAGTCGCTGAGGCCCTGACGCAGGTGGGCGGGGGGCTGGCACCCGCTTCAGGAAAAGGAAGGCAGAGCCCGGGGGGCCTCCCCGCTGAGGGCCCGGCTAGAGAGCCGTCTCTTCCCCTTCTGCTCTGCTCCTCGGGGCTGGAGCGGGCGCGCCCGAGCGGCCCACCTTCCCGAGCCCGGGCCCACGGCCAGTTCTCAGACAGTGGCTTCCGGCGGCGTCCTCCGCCCGGCGGGACCCTGGCCCGGGCCCGGGCGTGCGTGGCCAGGCGGTCCTCATGCTCAGCGCCCTGCTCAGGGCTTCAGAGGTCGCGGACACCTGGCAAACGCGGGCTTGGCCACCCCGGGGGCCCTCTGCCCCCACCCCTCCGGCCCCTGTTGCTCCGCTGGGCACCAGCCTGCTGCGAGGGCAGGTGCCAGGTGTGGCCGCCGGCCCATGGCGGGGGCCCGGGCAAGGCCAGAACGAGGGCAGCTCGGCCTCTTTGAGGTACCCTCCCCCTGCACAGCCTCTGACCCGCGGGTGCCTGTGCAACCTCTCGGGGGCAGGAGATGTGAGCTGTGCCGAGCCCTCTGGGGGCTCCCCGCTGGCCGGCAGCAGGCCCTGCCACAGGGGTGCCCTCGCAGCTGCCCTAGGCCTGGGTCTCGCTGGCTCCTGACCTGGCTTCCTGGCTTCTCTTCCCCGGGGGACGCCCCAGGAGCCACGCCCTGGCTTGGGCCTCACCCCTGCGGCAGCACCCAGCGGGCACAGGGTGTGCCAGGAGGGTCCTGCCACACCCGCCCAGGCCACCGTGGCCTGCCCTTCCTGTTCGCGCTGCCACAGACCTGGCCACACCCCCAGCCCGCTCCCTTCCTGGGTGGGTGCAGGCCCCACCGCACGGCAGGGTCTGTGCCTGCTGGAGGCCCCAGGGAGGGCGGCTCCCCACCTCCTCTGGGGCTTAGTGGCTGCCCAGCGGGAGCCGGTTGCTGAGAAGTGGGGTGCGGGGCCTGCCTGGAGCGGGAAAGAGGAAGCCGAGCGAGTCAAAGGGAAAGCCGGGGCCTCCTGCTGCTCACCACAGACCCTGCAACCCCTGGCCCCCAACCGCCCAGAGCCCCTGGGACCCAGGGAACGTGGCCCCCCACTTCGCTGCTGAGCCCCGGCCTGCTCCCGTGCCACCTTGCTGGGTGCTGAGGGGAGAAGCCACGGCCACAGGCTCTCCCTGTGCGGAAGGCGGACGCTCCTGCTGACCACAGGCCCTTGCAGAACGGCGCCCGGGGGCGGCGCTATTGGAGGGAGGGACGCCTGGACCTCGGGGGGCCGGTAGCACCTCGGAGACCTCCCTCTGGGACTGGTCCCACTTCCTAGGGCCTTGGCTAGAGGGTCACCCCCTTTCTAGGGGGGCATCCTTGAATGCATGTCACCTCAGGGCCCAGGCTGGAGTATGGGGGTCACCCTGTTGGGAAGCCTGGAGGAGCTGCAGACAGGAGCGCCGGTCACCCAGACACGGCCTTGTCCAGAGGGGACCAGGCGGAGGCCGCCTGGGAGGCCGGGGCTCAGGGCTGGGCAGAGGGCAGAGGGGAGGTCAGCCTTGGCAGCGGAGGGCAGGGGTCCCGGGGCACAGGAAACCGGCTGGACTCTGAGGCTGTGGGGGGGGGCACAGGGGTGGGAACAGCCCTCGTCTGCCTAGGACTGGGGCTCCCGGGCCTCCACCCCGGCGGCAGGCACACACTGGGCCCGGCGAGGGGCGCACGAGGGGCTCGGATGCAGCAGGGAGGGGCTGGCTCTGTCCCAGCCAGCCCGGGCCCAGGGGAGCCACCAACGTGGGGGGACGGGGTGCACAGCCTAGGACCCCGCGCCAGGTGGGTGGGCCAAGGAGGCCCCACTTCCAGGAGGCCCCTGGCTTCTGCCCCCCCGCCCCCAGGCTAGCTCCTTTGTCCTTGCTGAGCTGTGGCCCCAGGGCGGCCCCCTGCCTGACGCTGGGTTGGGCAGCCTTTGCCCCGAGCGAGGCCGGCGTGCCCTGCTGTGGGTTCTCCCCAGGCCCGCTCCCGGGTGGCAGACCCCCACAGCGTCCTCGGGTCAAGCTGCTGGAGGGCACAGGGCTGCCCCCTCCACTGTTCCCACCCTGCCTGCCTCGGGGACGCGGCCCGCCGGCCGTGGGCCCCACACACGGCTCCCCATGGAGGCTCAGCCCGAGCTTCCCCAACACCCCCAGGCCTCGGCCCGACACACGCCCAGCGCTGGAGGCTGCGGCTGCCCCCGGCAGCGCCTGCTCTGGCCCCTGACCCCACACTGGAGGCGGCTTTTGGGGAGCAGCCCACAGGGAGCTGCCCTCCCCCTGCGGGCAGGGGTGGGGTGGGGCGCGACGGGAGCGGCCCTCAGCCTGCGGGAAGCCTCTCCTCCCCTGCATGGCAAGGGGTTCCCCGGGGGGGACAGAAGCGCCCAAGCAGCCACCCCCGAGGCCCCCGGAGCTCTCCAGCACAGCCAGGCCGCAGGGTTGATGTGAACTTTAATCGGCTTGTCTCCAGACCCCCCACCGCCGCCCGGCCGCTGGGGTCTCCTGACCCCTCCTGGGCTCCAAAGTGTGGGGACAGGCCCGAGGCAGGAGCAGAGGCCCCCGGCTGGGCAAGGTCTCCGGGCAGGCACCAGCACACTCTCGGGGGCTCCGCCCCTCCCGGCCGGGCCCGGTCACGCCGGTCACTGCGGTGGGGGCGGGGGCAGGGGTGGCGGGTGGCCGGGCGGGGGCGCTGCCAGCGAGGCCTGGTCGAACAGCGGGTTGCGCACCTCCATCTCGCCCGTCTGCCGAGAGGGGGGCGTCAGGCCGGTGGGGGCGCGCGGGCGGCCGGTGGACCCCAGCAGCGGCAGCCCCGCCGGCGGACACTCACCGGGGCCAGGCCCGGGCACTCGTACACCGTGAAGCCGCCGTCTTCGTCCTCCTCGGAGGAGGCCGAGTCCAGCTCCCTGGGCAGCTCTTTGTGTCTGGGGGCGGGGGCACAGCTGGGTCCTCCCATACCCTCGGGGCGGGGAGGGGGAGCGGGCTCTGGGGGCAGGCCAGAGGGGCCGGGCTAAGGGGGCCTGGGGGGGCTCCGGGGGCTGGGCTGGGGGGCCCGGGGCGCTCACCGCTCCAGGCACAGCATCTGCTGCCTCTGGTGCTGGTAGTGGAACATCTCCGCGCTGTGCGCCAGCCGCTGGTCTCCAGGCTGCGGGTGGGGGGCACCACGGTGGGGAGGGGGCGCGGCTGGAGGGCGCACGAGGGGACGCAAGGGCGTGACGGGGCAGGAGGGGGGCCGGGGTGCTATGTGTGTGGTCGCGGGAGCCAAGGGGGGGCTCAGAGGGGTGTGGCGAGGCGTCAGGGGCACCCACCAGAGTCCTGGGCGTGGCGGGCAAGCTGGGCGCCTGTGGTGCTGCGTAGTCGGCCTTGCGGGCCAGGCGGATCTCGCGCTGCAGCCTGTGGGGATTCAGGCTGAGCCTCGGCGGTGCCGCCCGCCGCCCCCAGCAGGCGACCCGCCGCCTCCCGCCTCCCGCGGCCGCGCTCACCTGCACCAGCAGAGGGCAGCCACGGTCAGGGCGGCCAGGCCGGCCACGGAGCAGGCCGCGATCAGCACTGGGGGAGGGGGACGGGCGGCCGGTGAGGGCCTGCCTCCGAGGGCCGCCCCCACCCCACCGTCCCGCAGACCTACCAAGCATGACGCCCGCACCGTGCCCGCCGCGGGGCCGCAGGGGAGACATGTGCACCGGCCCCGACGACACTGGGGAGCTCGGGGAAGGTTGGGGTGTGGGGGTGCCCCGAGTAGGGGGCGGGCCCCAATCCAGGCCCTGGCCCCGCTCTGAGAGCCCCAGCATGGTGGCTGTGGAAGGAAAGCAGGTGAGAGCTGGGCCGGGGGGTGCGGTGGGGGCGGGGCGGGGCGTGGCAGGGGTCTCACCCGGCACCCCCTGGGGCTGGGGGGGAGTCTCGAGCCTCTGGCGCCCCGTCTCCTGGCGGGCCAGCTCCTGGGCCAGGAAGTCAATCTCATCCTCCAGTCTGGGCTGGGGTGCGCTGTCCCCTGCGGAGGGCGAGGGCCATCAGGCCAGAAGCCCCCGCCCCGCCTGGCACCCCACAGGCCGACCGAGGGCGGGGCTCTCCATGCCCCCTTCCTGGGGCGCTGGGTCTCTTCTCAGGAGCCAGCCCCCCGGTGGCCGGCGACAGCTGAGGGGCCAAAGGCTGAGAGTCCCTCGCCCACTCGCAGCCCAGCAAGGGCTGGCCAGTGCCCCCAGTGCCCCTCGGGGAGAGAAGTGGGGACCAGCCCAGCCGCCTCCCCAGGTCCCCGAGAGGCTGGCGCTGTCCGGGGCTGGGCTGGCGCTGACCCCCTTGTCCCTGCTAAAGGGGCCATTGTCCTGGGGGCATAGGCCCCAGGTAACAGAAAGAATGCCAGCTGACGCTGTGTGACCCCCCACTCGCTGCAGAGTGTCCTCGGGAGGGAGGGCCCTGCCCCTGTCTCCTGGGCGCCTCCTAGATGCCCCCTGGCTATCCCAGACTCTGCAGGAGTAGGAGGGGGGCCCCAGCATGCGGGAGCTACGGGCATGAGCAGTGGGTGCAGTCAGTGCCCGAAGGCCAGGGCAGGCCCTGGGGCCCCAAGGAAGCACCCAGCATTTGTGACCAGATGGCTGAGCACCCACCGCAGCCTGCCGCAGCCACCTGTGGGTGCCAGGGAGCCCTGGCCCAGCACAGCTCGGGACAGGCGTGCACGGGCGGGGTGTCCTGCCTGCGTACCGGGAGGCGCGGATGTCCTGGGCACACATTGCCCCAGCAGGTCCTCCTGGAAGGGCCGCAGGCAGGGCCCACACGCATGGGCACCTGGTGGGCACCGCGCCCGCCTCTTCAGGGCACAGTCCAGGCTCCCAGGACAGCCGGCGACATCTGAGGAGGAAGCAGAGGGGCGTGTCATGGCCCTGGGGCGGCCGCCTCCCCCCCAGAGCTGGGCTGGCTGTGGCCATTGTTCTGGAAAGGCCCTTCCTCCCGCCGGATCGGAACCAGGAAGACAAACAGTTCCACGGCTTATGGGAACATGCTGCCCCACCCGCTCCCCAGAGTCCACTCTCCAGGCCTGGGCCAGCCCTCCTGGCGCACTGTCCCCGCCGACTGCTCATGTCAGCCTGGCTGGCCCTGACTGGAAGCCCAGGGTGGGGCCCGGGTCTCCCTGGGGCTCGGAGGCAGCTAAGGACGTGGTGGCCGCTCTCCCACCACACCAGGGGCCCCGGCCACCAGCCGCCGGCTGCAGCCGAGCTGGGGGAGGCAGGGGCAGCCGCCTGGAGGGAGGACGGTCACTCCACTGCCAGCCCTCCCTGCCCAGGGAACGGGGCGCAGCTGGGAGTCCGTCGGCAGGGGCCTCCGGCGCGGCACCCACACATGGTGCCACCTGGGGCTGGGCGAGGCCCCTCCCGACCCGGGCCTGGCTGGGTGTGCGTGCACATGCCCCCGAGGCTGGGGCTGGAGGCGGTGGCCCTCTCTGCCTCAGTGTCTCCCGGGACCAAGGGAATAGGGGTGAAGAAGACTCTTCCAAGTTAAGGACGGTTGTGAGGCCTGGCCCCGGCCCGGGTCACAAAGCAGCAGAGCCAGGGACCAGCAGCCCTGCCCACGCTGGCGGCTGTGATGCGGCCTTGGAGGACGGTGCTGTCTTGGCCCAGCCCTGCCGCGCGAGGGGTCCGGGCGGCTGGAGGTCGGGGATGCCGGGCGCTGTTCCTCTGCAGAGTGGCTCCAGCCTGGCGTGGTTTCCTTGGTAACCCAACACCCACGGCCTCCTGGCTGTGGGCCTGTCTGCAGGGACCCCGGCCGCCCTGTGGCGGCAGGCAGAGCTCCGGCCCGCCGTGGCACACCGGGCGCAGCAGCCTCTGCGGGCCGGGCCGGGCTTGGGCTGGTTAAACGTTAAGCCTGTGCCAGCAGGTGCATCTGTTCCCCACCCACCGCCAGCTGGGCGCCGGGGAGCAGGGCCGTCCGGCCCATGCCGAAGACCCTGGTGCAGCTGCCCAGCTCAGGACGGGCTGCTGCCCCTGCTGATCCCGAGAAGGCGCCCACTGCAGTTCTGGGGCCGGAGGAGGCACCGGGACAGTGCAGCTGGAAGGTGCCGGCCCCCCTCCCTGCATCGTGGCGGCCAGGGGCACCCCAGGCTCTGGGCGCTCCTCTGGGTGGGTGGGAGCACCGGGCGCCAGGCCGGGTGGGGGGCCAGGCAGGAGGACCCCAGCGCAGCGCGCCCCCGCGCCAGGCCAGGCCCCGCAGGCGGCCTCCCCCTCCCCGGCCAGCTGTGTCCCCGCCTCCTGGTCCAGCTGGCCCCGGCGCCCCGGAGCCCGCCCCGCTGGGCCCCCGCCGCCCGCAGCCGTCACCGAGCCCCGGGCCGTCTCCTCCTCCGCAAGGCGGGCGGGGCGCGGGGCGCGGGCGCGGGCGCGGGGGACGGGCACCGGCCCCGGAGCCGGCCAGGCCGGCGCGGCGAGGGGCGCGCGGGGGAGCCGCGCAGGGCGCGCGGGAGACAAAGGCCGGGCGGCGGCGGGGCGGGGGGCGGCGGCGGGGCGGGCGGGGCGGGCGGGGCGGGCGGGGCGCTCACCCGGGCGGCGGGCGGCGGCTCCGCGCAGGGCCGCGCCGAGGACGAGGCCGGAGAGCAGCAGGCGCAGCAGGCGCAGGTGGCGCGGGGCGGGCGGGGGCACGGGCGTCGCCATCCTTAGCGCCGCCGCCGGGGCAGCATGGCGGGCGCGGCCCGGCGGGGGCGGGGCGCGGGGCGCGGGGCGCGGGGCGCGGGGCGCGGGGCGCGGGGCGCGGGGCGCGGGCGCTGCGGCGGCGGATCCGGCTGCGGGCGCGGGCGCGGGGGGGGGGGCGGCGGCCACTGCGCCTGCGCGCGGCACCTGCGGGGGCGGGACGCGCCGCCGGCCGCCCCTCCCCCGCCCCCCCCCCCCGCCCCGCCCCGCCCCCCGGGCCCGCGCCTCCCCCCGCGCCCCGCTCCGGCGCCGGCCCGGCCGCCGCACCCCGCCCGGCGGAGCCCGGGCCTGGGGGACGCGCTGCCCAGGCCCGGCCGGGCCTCGCGGGGCAGCGGCCCCGGGCGCAGGCTCGCGGGCGCGGGGGGCGCGGGCGGCCGCTCCCCGCGAGGCCACCAGGGGGCACGGAGGGCCGCGCGGCCGGCGCCGCTGGGAGCTGTCCACGGTCCCCGGGACGGCCGGGGCGCGGCCCCTTGGCCCGGCAGCCCCGGCGCGCGCCCCGCCGCAGCCCCCTCGGCGGCCCCCGACGGGCGCCCCTGGCCCGGCCTCCGCACTCCCGGACAGGCCGGTGGCCGCGGCTCGGACCCACTGAGTGGGGGGGAGCGGAAGAGGGGCCTGGTCCCCCCGCAGGGCGCTGACCGGACAGAAATGGCGGCCGAGCTCACTCCCCGGGGGGCGGCGGCGGCCGGTTCCCGCCTTCCCGAGGCAGAGAACAGGCGGGGCGGGGGCCCGGGGGGCCTGGGACGCGGCACCCCCACCCGGGCACCCCCACCCGCGGGGCTCTGGCGCCGCCGCTGCAAGTCTCCCCCCCAGCAGGGGCGAGCGCCCCCCCCCCCGTGGAGGGCTCCCCAGCCCGTCTCCCCGGCAGCGAGGGGACCCCCGCCTCGGCTCCCCGCGCAGGCACCCCAAGGCCCTCCCTCTGGGCCCGGGTCTCCCCCGCGGGGATGCGTGGGGGCTGCAGCGCCGCTGGTCAGAGGGGCTCAGGGCTCAGGACTTTCTCCTCAGCCAGTTCTGGGCCAGTTCTGGGCCAGGTCCGCCGCCCGGGCCGGGGCCCAGACAGGAAGGAAGGAGGAGGAGCGGCTCCCCGGGGACGGAGCCGGCCAGTGTGACCCGGCGGTGGGGAGGGCGCGCGCAGCGGGGGGGCCGCCCTGGGTCCACGCCCGGCCGGTGCTCCAGCAAGACCTTTTATTACAAAACTTTGCACTGGGCTGGTTCCCCGCCCGCGGCCCCGGCACTCCGCAGGGGCGCCCCCGACCACGATGACAGAAAAAAGGCTCCACGTCCTGGAGACGCAGCCCCGCAGGCAGAGGCTGGGGTCGGGGCGTCTGAACCCCCACCCAGGAAGAGGAGGCACAGGGGGCCTTGAGGCCAGGCCAAAGCCGGAGGAGCCGGGCTGCACCAGGCAGAGGTGGGGGGCGTGGGGGGCGAAGGGGGCCCTGGGATGGCGGGGGGAGGGGCTGGGCAGCCCCTAGATGACGCTCGGCGACTTGGCGGCGCGCGCCTGGCGCAGCAGCAGCACAATGGCGGCCAGGACCAAGGCGACGAAGATCAGGAGGAGGGCGACCCAGGAGCCGAGGTCTAAGCCCTTGCGCAGCCGGGGCGGGTCGGCGGGGATCATGTTGGTCAGGTTCAGCATGTAGCCGAGCGCCCAGCCCACCGCGGTGTCCCCGGCCTGCGGGTGACCAGCGCAGCCTCAGCCTCCAGCAGCGCGGGCGGCCCCGCCCCGCCCCGGCCCCGCTCCACCCGCGCACCCGCGGCCCGCACCTTTTTCTGGAAGGTCACGCCCGCGAAGGTGTGCTGGTCGAAGCCGTAGCCGCGGCTCAGCAGCTCGTGCACAAACACGGCCATGGCGCAGTACTGCAGCAGGCGAGCGTCCGGCTCCTCCTGCGCCTGAGCCTGCAGCTGGGAGCAGGTGGGAGCCGGCAGCAGGGTCACCACGTGGCGGGGTGGAGGGCGGTGGCAGGCTGCACCCCTCGACACACACCCACAGCGCAAAGCCACAGGCCCCGCGTGTCAGGCCCCAGGCAGGCCGAGCCCTGAGGCACCGGGGGGCTGTTCTTGGGTCAGAACGGTGACCGCTGCCGGGCTGACCTCGAGGGACAGCGGGGCCGCCCAGCGCCAGGGGGCGCGGTGACCGTGCAAGCGGCCAGGGGAACAGGCAAAGCCTGGGGCCCTGGGTTTGCCTCCTGCTCTCCACCTCCCAACCCCAGGCAGCCCCACCAGACAGCACAGAGCCCAGCGAGGCCACGCCTGAGCCCGGGGGGCCTCCCCGCTGCAGGTGCCTCTCACTCCCACGCCCACCTGTCGCCCAGGTGCCGCCCAGTGGGGTCTGGCCAGTGCGGCGGCCAGACACCTGGGCTGGCTTGCAGCCCTTCACACCGCCACCTGAGGCCCTCCGGCGGCCCTGCTGAGTCTCCCCCGAACCCTGCCGTGTCTCTACCCTGTCCCGCCCGCCCTCCGGTGGCCATGGCCCCTGCCCCACGCCTTGGGCTTCTGCGGGGCAGCCCTCCGTCCTGTGGGCCTTGGTCCTGGGCTGGCATCGGGAGGCTGCTGTTGCCTCTCACCCGCTCCCAGGCCGGGCTGCAGCCTGCCACCTTCCCAGGCTGTCAGCGGCGCCCCCCGCAGTGGGTACCGAGCGGCCCCAAGCACAGATGCCGAGTGGCCGCCGGGCGGAGCGGCCGAGCGGAGGCCTCACCTCTTCCCACCCCTTACTGCAGAGGGTCTGCGCCGCATCCTCCAGCTGCGGGAGGGTGGACACAGACAGCCCCATCGTGCTCCTCAGGAAGTTCACGGTGTAGAAGAAGGCAGAGAAGGCCTGCGGGGGTGGGGGGGCAGCGTCACGGCCAGGCCAGCCCAGCCATGGCACTTGGGGTGCGCGCCCAGCCCCTGGACTCACAATGAACTTCCTGGCCACAGGGGGTTGGAAGACGCCGTTGAAGGAGCAGCGGGAGAACGTGCAGGAGGAGCGGTTGAAGAGCCCGGCCACCAGCTTGCGGCAGAGCGTGGCGTTGCTGCTGCCCTCCAGGGTGACCGGGGCGCTGCCGTTGAAGGCGGGGGGCCACTGGGTGGCGGTGCAGGGCGACGGGTGTACGGCCTGCCGCCGCACTTGGTCGGGGGAGCCCCTCGGCCAGCAGGGGTGGAAGCGGCCGTGGGTCTGGGGGATGAGCAGCTGTGGTGGCAGGCCCTGGCGCCCGGGGCACCTCCCCAGAGCCTGCCCGAACCACCAGGCCCGCCAGGGCTCCTCCCTGTGGTGCTCCCGCAGCCGGCCTGACCGAAGCCCCCGGCCCGGCCCTCCTGCTCTCCCTGCGCCCCAGTCGGCCCTCAGCAGGTCCGCCCCAGCCCCCGGGCCTTTCCACACAGCTCTCTCCCGCCCTCCCCCCGCTTGTGCAAGCCCCCCTGGGTGCCTGCCGCCCACCTGGGGCCACCCCAGCCCTGTGGCGGCCGCCCAGGAGGGCAGGGCGGGCGGGCACCTGGAGGGCTCTGGCGTGCAGCTGCTGCAGGACCTGGTCCCGGCCGTAGCAGAGGAAGCTGTGGGTGTAGACGCGGTAGCAGTGGCCATAGAGCCGCAGTCGGACCTCGGCGGCGGGGTCCTCGGCCGGGCTGTCTGTCTCGAAGGTGATCTGTGTGGAGGCGCCCCCCAGGTCCAGGGCCCCCTGCGTCCCCTTCCTCGGCCGGGTCCACAGGCCCTCCCAGTTGTACTGTGGGGAGGGAGGCTGGTCAGCGGACGGAGGGTGCTGGTGCCCCCAGCGCCGGGCCAGCCCCCCGCACCTTGATGAAGTTCTCCAGCAGGTAGTTGGCGGTCACCCAGCCGAACACCCCCTCGTCCTGGCCCGACAGGATGCGGGCGCCGCGGAAGTCGAAGGGGTACTGGGCCAGCGTCCTCTCCACCGCCGCCAGCACCTTGTTCGAGGCCTCCGGATTGCTCAGCCTGAGACAGAGGGGGACTCTGAGGCCTCCCCGGCGGCCATGGGCCTGTTCCGGGCACGCAGCCTGCCCGCCGGGGGGGCCGGCATACTCACTCGAGCAGGCGCATGCCCGCGGTGGCGCCCAGGTAGAGCGGTGTGCCCGCGTGCTGGGCCCGAGGCACGTCCTGCAGCGCCCTGTCCAGGCACGGCACGAGGCTCTCGCCGGCCCCAGCGGGTCTGTGTTCGTAGCTGGAGATGCCCCCGCCTGGAGGGAGGCGGCGAGGTGAGCCCGGCCTGGCGGGTGGCCCCGGTGGGCCCTGGGCTGCGCTGGCCCTGGGCTCCCCACCAGGGGGCTGCTCGGGTGCTGCCTCCCTGCCTCACCCCAGGAGGGCCGGGCTCAGAGAGGGACAAAGGAAGGAGGGAGCCGTTGCCTGTGAGGCTGCGCCCGCCAGGGCTGTGGGCCCAGGTGCGAGGCGAGCAGAGGCCAGCCTGGGAGGGCCCCGGCTCCCCAGCAACGTCCAACCAGGCCCAGCCCACACCCCCCAGCCCTCCTGGGGCGTCCAGGACAGAGCTGCCCTCGGCCCTTCTCTGCCCAGCCCAGCCCCTCTTCTCGGGGCTGCTCCTGGCGGGGCCGGCGTGCGTCAGGCCTGAGGCTGGGCCTGGCAGGGCGGGGTATCCAGCAGGCGCGGGGCCCTCACCCTCCACGTCGCAGGTGCTGTGCTGGCTCACGACGCCTGTGTCGTTCTCCTTGTCCGCTGGCCACTTGTACACAAACATGGATGTGTGGGAGGAGCCGGCGTCCAGCACAATGCCGTACTGTGGGGGGTCAGGCTCGGAGTGGCGGGGGGCGCCCCACTCCACCCCGCCCCACCCGTCCGTGCATGTGGTGGCTTCAGAGTGAAGCTGAGACCAGAGAAAGCCACAAGCAGCCACAGATGCAGCCCCGCTGAGGCGGATGGGGAGGCGATGGGCTGCCGGGGGGCCCCTGTGTCCCCAAGACAAGGAGGCGGCCCCGGAGGCTGGCTGAGGCCGAGGGGCCCTGGGGCCTGCCTTGCACTTGGGGGTGTCAGCACCCAGCTTGGGGTCCCTCCCCCCAGAGCCCGGACTCCAGCAGGGGGAGCACTGGGAACCTGCCCGGCCCCGGCCCCGCCGCCCTCCGCGGGTCCTGGCCACCAGCGCCGGCCTCTGCTCCCTCCCGCGCTGGCCTGCGCCTGCCTGGAGGCCCCCACGCCGCCCCCGGGGAAGGGTTCCCGGGTTCTGGGCCCCTGGAGCCCCGCGCCCCGCCTGCCCCTCAGGCCCCCCAGGCTGCGGCGGCCCCGCAGGGCCAGCAGGGCCCGCGCCCGCGGATGCGCCCCTGGGTCGAGCCGCGGGTCTGGCCGCCACCTGGGGGCGCCGGAACGACTCGGCCCGCGGGGCGCAGCCCCTCCCGGGGCGCGGGCGTCAGGGGTGGCGGAGACCTCAGCCTCCTGCCCCCGCCCCCCGCCCCCCGCCGTGGACCCGCGCCCGGAGCGGCCGGGACTCCCCGCCGCCGCGGGCCCCGAGCCGAGCGCGGGCCTGGACTCCGCCCGCGGGGCAGGGAGCGGGGCAGGGAGCGGGGCGCGGGGCGCGGGCGGGCGGGGGGCGGGGGTCCCGGCTGCCCCGCGGCGCACCCCGGCCCTGCGGGCTCAGCCCCCGCGCCCCGGGACGGCGCGGGTGCCGGGCGCCCAGCGCGCACCTTGAGGGCGGGCGGCTCCGGGACGCGGCGGGCGGGCACGCTCAGCAGCAGGAGGCCGGCGAGCCCCGCCGCGGCCAGCAGCAGGGGCGGCAGCAGCGGCAGCAGCTTCCCGGCCATGGGCGCGCGCGGGCGGACCGGGCGGGACGCAGGGCGGCGGGGAACCGGCGCCGAAGTCCGCGCCGCGGGGTGGGAGCCCGGGGCGGGCGGGCGGGGCGGGCGGGCGGGGCGGGCCCGCGAGGTCCAGGCTGGCCACGCCCGGGGCCGCCCGCCCGCCCTCCCGCCCGCGGGTGCCGGCGCGCAGGTGAGTCGCGGTGAGTCACGGGCCCTCCCGGCGCCCGGCCCGCGGCACAGCCCCCGCCCGCCCCGGAGCCCGCCCCGGAGCCCGCCCCGGAGCCCGCCCCGGTGCCCGCCCCGGTGCCCGGGGGCGCGCGGAGGCCGGACCCCGCGGGAGCGAGGGAAACCCGCCCCGCAGGGCAGTCGGGCACCCCTGGGCGCGGGCGTCCTGGCCGCCTGCCCGGGCGCTGTGGGGCTGGAGCGCCCGCCGGGCTCGGGCGTGGAAGGAAGGGCCAGCCGGGCGCCACCCCGGGCCCTGCGGGAGGCCACCTCGCCGCCCCCAGTCTGGGCGGCTGATACCCGACGGATGGCGAGAGAGAGAAACCTAATTAGGTGGGCGCGCAGACCCCGGGCCTGGGGCGAGCCCTGTGCTGACCCCGGAGGCCGGGCGCTTGGGGGCGGCTGAGGCAAGGGCACCTGCAGCTGAACAGGCCCCGCGGGGCCATTTACATCTGAACACGCTCCTGCAGGGTAGGGCTGGCTCCCGCCCGGGGTGCTTTGTTTCCCGCCTTCCAGGGTCTAGACAACCAGCTGCCTGGGATGGAGACAAGGCCCCGCTCCTCGGGCCCTCCCGGGCAGCCTGTCCTGGCCCTGGGTGCTGGGTGCTGGTCGCACGTGGCCCTGGCGCTGGCGGGCGGGCGAGGCTGCCCCGGTCCCGGGCCCTGACCGTGGCGGCCTGCAGGCTCGGAGCCCCCGCGCCCCGCTGCGGGCCTCCCCGTCTCCCTCTTCACGCGATGAGCAAAACGGACCCCCAGCCCCCCAGCCCCACAGCAGCAGGGAGCCCGCGGCGGGCCGGGTGCCAGAGGGCGCGGAGTGCGGACAGCGGGGCCTGGGGGTGGGTCTTGGCAGTTGGGCTGGGATCGCTGCCTGGACGGAGGGTCTGGGTCAGGCCAGCAAAGGAGCCTTTCTTCCAGCTCAGGACCCCGCGGGGAGGGTGGGAGCTGGAGGCCTCTGGGCTTCTCAAAGGCTGGCGGGGGCCCAGCAGAAAACCCTGGGTGCGGCCAGCGCGGGCTCCGGCCCACTTCCCGCCAGCACACCCCTAGAAGCCCAGAGGGGGTCAGGCCTGAAGAGCCGGGGACAAAGGAGCCCAGCGAGGGGGCAGCAGCCCCTCCAGCCACCTCTGATGGGAACTGCCAGGCCGGCGGGGGGTGGGCCGGGCACAGGCGTGGGGCCTGGACCCTGCCAGGAGGCTGCTCAGGCCAGCCTAGGAGAAGGGGAGGGGGCAGGAGCCCACTGAGGCCGAGGCCGAGGCCCCCGCTGGCAGGGCGGCGGCCAGCTGGGGTCTGAGAGGGCAGAAGCCCACGCCCAGCCAGGCAGGCAGGGTGGCGCAGCCCTGCGCCTGGGGGGCCGCCGGGAGGGCCTCCAGATGTGCTGCGCATGGCTTGGCCCCAGATCCAAGAGGAGGAACATGTTGTTCAGCGGAGCGGGGAGAGGCGTCCTCAGAGCCTCTCTCTCACAGGGTCCAGACTCCCAGGGAGGGGCCGCGGGGTGCGGCCTGCCCAAGACTCCCCGTCGGTAGCCATTATGTCCTGTGGCTAAAATATCTGAAAGGGTGAAGGCTCTTTGCTCGCACCTCCCTTTTCATGTACTCACTCAGTCATTCAACAAACACTGGCTGAAAGAAGGCCATGGTGAGGCTCCCCCAGGCTGTCTAAGGCTGTGCATGGGAGGAAGCCTGCTGCCTGGCCAGCCTCAGAGAACCACAGCAGAAGCTGGCACCCTGCAGTGGCGTGGGCGCCCCGGACGCCGGGGCCCTGGGTGGCCCTGCAGGAGGTGTGCTGGCAGGCAGGTGTGTTCATACTTGCTTTCCTCATTGGGCCCGGGCCCTGGCGTTTCTCGGGCTTGGCCCCAGCTCGCCCTGCTCACGGCGTGATTCTGAGCTTCGCCCCAGCCGTCCGCCAGGCGGGGTACGTTTCTGGGAACGGTGGGCACCTGGCCTCACGGTTGCAGGGTGCTGGGGCTGCCTCCCGCACCCTGGAGCTGGTTGGGGCTTCCCAGCAGAGCTCTCCCAGCGCTGGTGCCGCAGGCCTGGGGAGAGTGGGCGGGGCTGGCGGCACCACATCCTCCCCAATGCATCTCGCTTGCAAGCTTTCGATTTTGAGCTGCTGGGAGGGAGTGTGCTTTCTCTCTAGACTTTAATGGGTCTGCCTGGGCCGCTGCAGAGATGGCACCTTCCCGCCTCCCGTGAAGCAGAGGTGAGGCCTGGAGTCCCTTTGCCAGGGCTCTGCGGCTCCTGGTGGCCTGCGGGCCTCGGGCCGGGCACCGGGCCAGCCCACATGGCTGCAGCCTTCGCCATGGGGAGTTTGGGATGAGTCACCTCCATGAGGTCAGGTAGTCCTGCAAGAGCCACGAGGTCATGTGTGGCTCAGCGGAGACTGCACCGGCTCGGACTCCCCGGTCGGTGCCATCCAGGAAGGAGGGGTCTTGGGGCCCCAGCCAGGTCCCCACTTGCCAGGGGGCTTTGCTGTTATGGGGAGGCTACGCAGCTCGGGGCAGAAGCCCTGGGGCCAGGCTCTCTCCTCTTTTCAGAGACAGCCGGGGGTTTGCCAGCAGGCTGCTCGCTCCCTGCTCCGCGCAGGTCATGTGGGGGGAGTTTCATGTCAAGACAGAGCTCTGCGGGGTGGGGCGTGGGGGCTCAAAGGGGCTTGTGGGCGGCAGGAGGCAGGCGCCCCAGCTGCAGGACTTGCGCTGCGCCGCACTGCGCTGGCGGGGATGCCCGGCAACCCAGGGCACAGAGGGTGCCCGTCCCAAGGGTGGAGGGGACTGCTCATCCCCCCTTCTACTCGGAGGGGGCTCCACCCTCTGCCCCTCCCCCAAGGGTCTGTCCTGTGCTGCTCGCAGGCGGCCACCCCACAAGCGCGTTTGCTCTGGACGGGCCAGCGCCCGTGCTCGGCCGTCCGGCCCGGCATGGCATGGGGTGGGCTTTCGCACCCAAAAGCAAGGCTTAGTTCTCTATTTGTAACCGGCGGCTGAAGCCAAAGACCATCGCAGGCGGCGGCCCCGGCGGGGTGCTGGCGAGGATGGAGCCCCTGGGAAAATATTAAGTATCGCATTTTGGGGTGGAGACTCTGATAAGAAATACAAGGGATGGCAGAAGCAGCCCCCCAAGATTCGGTGTCCAGGATTCTGGGTTTTCGGACCTTCAGCGATTCTGGGGTCAGCGATTCCGGCCCCACCGCACCCATCTGCCGGAGGCTGGTGCGGCCTCTGCTGAGCGTGGGGAGGCGCCCAGCTGCCAGCCTCGGAGAGGGGCAGTTCGGAGGCTTTGTGAGCAGCGGAGCCACTGACACCGTTCCCGGTTTTGCCGCTGTCGTAGCCGGAGGGGAAGGTGGATCCCGGGCGGGGCCGTGCTGAGCTGCGCGTGTGGCCTGTTGGGTCCTGGCCGCGGCTGCTGTCATGCGTGTCCTTGTCCGGTGCTGCGCGGGGCGTCTCGGTGGCTCCGGGAGCATCTCCAGCTGCGTCGCCATCTTAGCGGCTCTTGTGTAGCTCTTGAAAACACTGGACACAGCTTCGGGGGAGGTAAAGGCCATTTTTGGCCTCAGTCACTCTTTGTTGTCCTTGGTTTGGTAAATAAATCCCACTGCAGTTGCTCCCTGAGCCCGCGTGGCCTTGCCATGGTGCGTGCGGGTGAGGAGCTCAGACAATGACCGGTGAACTGCTTGGGCATGTCCTGGGCCGGTTTTCGCGACCCTTGCAGCCCGGGATCAGCTGGCGAGCCAGCCAGAGGAGCCACCGTGGCTGACCCCCCCCCCCAAGGGGCCTCTCCTTGCATCGGTCACCTTAAGGGCAGAGCCATTGCGAGACACCGGACGGTAATTGGTTTGGAAAAGATGTTTTTCTTGTGTACTAGTCACGGGTTCAACCGTCAGTTTCGGTGGTTCTGCTTCTCCACCCCCTGACGCTTCTACTTTTCAATCGTAAGTTTTGAGTTGAGAAATATTGTAAAGTCTGGTAGTGACAAGTTAAAGTCCTTATTGTTGGGGGTTCTGGGGGCACATAGTGGCTGTCTGTACACAGATCTTGGGTCTGTGCTTACAGGAGTCCTCTTGGTTATGTTGCTGTGCGTACCGTTTGCTTAAAAAGGAAGTGCTCTGGTGAATCCTCTCACCCCCTCTGGCCTGCACCCAGCTCTTGTATGCATAAATAAATAACTCTGTTTTTTAAAGATTTATTTATTTATACAAGAACCAGAGTACAGGCCAGATGCATGGGAGGGTGAGAGAATTCACCAGAGACAGAGCGGGGAGCGGAACAGGCAGACTGGCGAAGGACACTGCTGAGGGGAGCGGCGGGCGGCAGGAGAGGTCTGCGCGCCCTGTGGGATTCTCACCGGGCGGTGGGGATCGAACCTGCCCTGCAGAGGCTGCGGACAGCTTCACAGCGCTGCGCTCAACCCCCTGTGCCTCCAGGGAGACCCCAATAAATAACTTTTTTTTTTTAAGATTTATTTATTTATTTATTTACACAAGCACTGGGCACAGTCAGAAGCGCGGGAGGGTGAGAGGATTCACCAGAGCCAGAGCGGGGAGCAGAGCAGGCAGAAGGACCGAAGCACACTGCTGAGGGGAGCAATCCCCGCCGGCAGCCGGGGATTAAACCGGCGCCGCAGAGGCTGCGGGCAGCTTCGCAGCCCAGCGCTCAACCGCTGCGCCACCAGGGAGGCCCAAGAACTCTTTTTTTTTTTTTTTTTTTTTAAAGGGAAGTAAAAAGTCTATGAGAAAACTGCAAGGGCAGATCCAGAAACTGGAGGAGAGGGTAGAAGTAACTCTTCAGAAATCAGATTCAGAAGAGGAAGAAGCCCATTGGGTGGCACAGAGCAGTGACTGGCCCTCTCCCTCCCTGCCAGCGCCGACACAGAGCCACTGGGAGGGAAGGACAGAGCGCCTCACGGTGGCCCTCAACCTGCTGGCGCAAAATCCCTTCCGTGTGGCCAGGGCCCCTCCTGAGGAGACAGCAAGGCAACCCCCCCGCCCCAGCAAGCATCGCTGCCCTCCCGCAGTAACACTGACGGGATCGCTCCTTCCCACGCCAGAACAGGCGCCCAGTGTGGTCAAGGGAACAGCTTTGGGGCAGGACAGCGCCCCCTCTGCCAGTTCCCAGTGGGGGGATTGCGGAACGGCCGGCCTGCTGGGTGCTCCTGGTCTCACAGCGCCTTTGCCCCTGCAGGTCTCGCGGGCTGGGAAAATTCTGTCCCTTCGGCAAAACCCTAAAAAGCTGGTAGACTTGTGCGCGTCTGCTTTTGCCTCCCTTCGGCCCGCTCGGGCAGACTCGCGTAGGGTCGAGCTCGCTGCTCGTGCGGGGTGGCGGACGCTGGTCGTGGGAAGGCCCGGGCAGGAGCGGGCAGGCAGCCCCGAAGTGGAGGCGGCGGCCCTCGGGCGGACCCCACCTGGGGCTCCAGGATGGAGGACGAGAGCGCGACCGGGAGCGCTGGCGGCAGGACCAGGCAGGGGAGCCCGACGCAGAGGAGTCTCGGGACGGTCGTGGCGGTTCGGCAAAGGCCACGGGGAGACCCTCCAGAGCTTCTGGAAAGAGCAACACAGCGCAGCCCGCCCATGCAGGGCCAGAGCCCGAGCCCCGGGGCCGCGCAGGCTGGTTCCTCTGGTCTTCACGTCCCGCCGTGCCCCCGAGGGGAGGGAAACCGAGGGTGCTGGGAACTGGCTACTTCCCTGTGAGTGGACTCGGCCCTCCGAGGCCGATGCCCGGGAGGAGAGGGGCCCAGCAGTCTTCATCCCGCGGGAGGCCGGGGCGCAAATGGGAAGAGAAGCGACAAGAGAACCTTTAAGAGGAGACCAGCGTGCCCGCGGCCGTGAGGACGCCCCCGGACGTCCAGATGTCCCTGGAAAAAATGGAAGGGGGGCCTCCCTGGGGGCGCGGGGGTCAGAGACAGTGCTATCAAGTTATCGCAGAGTTCGATTCCCCGAGCCCCGGCCAGGGGGCTACCCACAGGGCGCGGCAGACCCTCCCGTCTCGCCGCTGCCCCTCAGCAGTGTCTCAGTGGATCTGCCTGTTGCGCCCCCCGCTGTCTCTGGGGAGTCCCCCCACCCCCCCACCCCCCATACCTCCGTCTACACCCCAGGTCTTGTATGCATAAATAAATCATAAAAAAAGAATGTTGCTGGTATTGGCCTTTCCCCATCCCTGGGCATCTGACGGTCTAAAGAGCGGGGTGACCGTGTCCCTGTGGGGTGACCGTGTCCCTGCGGGGTGACCGTGTCCCTGCGGGGCAGGCTGCGTGGAGCTGGGCCAGCGGAGGGGGGCGGCGGGCGCTCACCCCCGCATGGCGATAAACTCTGAAAGTGGGAATGGAGCCAGCGGCTGAGGGCAAAGGCTGTTCGGGGGGTGCCCCAGAGCAGTGCGGGTGAGGGTGGAGCCCCAGGAAAATGCTAAGAAGTATCGGGCTTTGAGGGGAGACTGATGAGAAACATCAGGGACGGCAGCAGCAGCCCCCGCATTCGGTGTCCAGGATTCAGGGTTCTCGGACGGTCAGCGAGTCCAGCCCCACCGCGGGCCCTCCCAGAGGCTGGCGGCGGCCTCGGGTGCGGACCTCCCTGCCGCGGCGCCGGCGGGAGGGCGGACAGCGGCCTGCGGGGGTTCGCGCCGCCACCACCCCGAGGCCCTGCCCGCCGTGTGGCGTCCCGGCCGCCTGGTGAGGGGCACGGCCGCCTGGCTGCCCGCTCGGCCCCGCGTCTGCGTTGGGCTTTCCGCGGGGACAGGCCCGGGGAAGCGGCCCAGGCCCAGTGACTCTTGGGCTTCTTCCCTGTTCCTTTTTGGGGTGTGCGCTCTGCCTGGCCTCGCCCGGCCTGTCCCCTGTGCAGGAGCCGATTTTGGGGTGCGCGTGGCCTGGAGCGCAGCCCGCGAGGTCACCCAGGCCCAGGCGCCAGGAGGGCGGCCCGCCTGGCCCCCGCTAGCCTCGGCCGCGTCCTGCAGGCCCCACAGAGGCGTCGACGCCCCCCGCGGCACGGACGGGCAGCTTTCACAAACACGGGGACCCTTTTCGTGACGGTGCGCGTCCACTTCGGTTCATTCGCCTTCTCCCCCCTTCTTGCCTCCAAACAGTCCCAGCCTCGCAGGCGGCTGCGGGGAGCCGGCGGAGGCCTCGGCGGGTGCCGCCCCTCGGGGGCCGGGGGCGCCTCCTGCCCGGGAGGAGCCCGGCTCTCGCGTGCGCCCCCACCCCGCCGGGTCTGGGCCTCGCGGAGGCGCGCCTGGAGACGGACGCTGGGCTCCTCCCGCCGCGGCTCGGCCCGGCCCGTCCAGTGGCAGCGAGCACCGGCGAGGGCCCGGCCACTGCGCCCTGGCCCGGCGCAGGCGGCGTCTCCTGGAGCCACACGGCTACACTCGCTGACCGCTCCCGCTCCCGCTGCCCAGAACAGTGGGTCTTCGTGCTCCTCAGGTGAACGCCCAGGAGTGCCGCTGCCGGGGCTCCCCAAGAAGCGGTGGAGGATGGCGGGGGGCGGGTGGGGGATAAAGGATGCGCGAGGGCGCCTGGTGGAGGGCGGCTGGGTGGCAGACGGACGGCGCGAAGGCCGGTCGGCGGCAGGTGGAGTGGCGGCTTGCTAAGGGGCACGGACGCGGAGCGCTGGGCACAGGCAGAGGGCAGCGGCTGCAGGCAGCAGGGGAGCGGGACGGGAGGGAGAGGGTGTGTGTCAAGGATTGCTGCGGGGTGGGTGGGTTTGTCTCTCCTTAGGGGTGAGACTGTCCTGGGGGGGTGCTCCTGGGGCCTGCGCTGCTGGCCCCCGGGGTGCCGACAGGCTTCCCCTGCTCCGTTCCCCACCGGCGCCACCGCTGGCTCAGTCCTGGGTGTGGCCACCATGTCTGCTCAGTCCGCCTGCTTACTGGGCACCTTGGCCAGTGCTAAGATGCTCACAGGCTATTTGGTGCCCCTCCCTTGAGCCCAGCCCCTCCCCCCTCCAGAAAGGACTGGAGTCAGGTCAGAGGCCCAGTGAGGCCAGGACGGGCCGTCGTGCAGACACGCTCCCTGCCGAGGCTCCCTCAGGGCCACAGGGCCCTTAAGTAGCGGAGCCAGGCCTGGGGCCAGGAGGAGAGCAGCGTCTGCACAGCAGCCTCAGGAGCCAGGCCAGGCCCAGGGAAGCAGGCCCCACCCACGCTGGTTCTCTGGGGGAGCCCCACACCCCCCAGCTCCAGCCTCGTGGGAGAAAGGGGACCGGGCTGGGGCCCTGGATCTGAGAAGCGATGCCGAGACTGTCCTGGGAAGCGTGAGCTGGTTCAAGCGCGCAGCCCCTGGGAAGCCCGCAGGTGCCCCCAGCTCCGGCCCCCTCCCACCTGCTGGTCCCCCGCCGCCAGTCCGGGTCCACGGGGCGGGTTCCGCCCAGTCATGTTTACTGTGGGTTCTCTCTTCTCCACTCGGCCTCCTCCATAAACCCCTCTTACAAAGTCAGAGCCCACGAAGACCTTCCCTGTCCACCGTCAACGCCTTTTATTGCCGTAGACAACAAATAGGTGAGGTGCATCCACCTGCAGGCTCCTGGGGGGCGGCCCCCCAGCACTGGCCCTGCAGGCGTGGGCATCTCTGCAGGCGGGAGGGGCTGAGGAATAGGGGACAGAGCTCAGGGCCCAGAAGTGGGGGGTGGCACGGCCAGTGGGGTGGCAGGACCGTGCCCAGTGGTCTGTGTGGCCACCAGATAGGAGGGCAGGCCCAGGAGCCGCAGCAGAGGTCGAATGGGGAGCTCCCCATGGGGAGGCCAGGCTGGGTCTGGGGGCACACTTACCCCCCCATACCCGAAGCATGAGGCCTGCCCAGGACCCCCGGGCCTGCAGTGGCCTAGGACCCTGGTGGGCCTCCCTGGGAGGGTAGCTGGCTGGGCAGGTTGACTGGGCACTGACCAGCATGCCCACGCCCCGAGGGGCCTGCGCCCAGAAGCTCCAGGCTGATGCAAGTGGGCAAGCAAAACTGGGCGCAGCAGGGAGGGGCGCCCTGGGCCCAGGACCCCGCATAAGGCCGAGCACCCAGCACTGTGGCGCGGCCGTGCCCTGCACACACCACACCCATGTGCCGCTGCCCTGGCTTGGGGCATCCCGCTGGGGCTGACAGAGCCCAGGGCCCTCCTGCCGGGGGCTCCAGGAGCAGGCCTGCCGAGCGGGGCCAGAGCAGTGCTGAGGTGTGATCTTGGGGGGCCCCCTCTTCCTGAGTCCTGTGGTTCCCCTTTTCTGTGGCGAAGCCAGCCCGGTGCGGCCAGCCGAGTGGGGGTGGGGCAGCAGGTCCACAGGCTGGGGGAGGGGGCTTCAGGGTGGGCCCCGGGAGGCACCTTGGGCATGTCTGGGAGGCCAGGCTGCCCCCCGGGAGGCAGGGTCCTTCCCTGGGGAGGGCAGCTGCGCCCCCAGGCCCTGAGTCTGGGTCACAGGGTCCTGCTGTGCGGGATGGTCCTGGCTGAGCCCTGACTGGGGAGGGGGGCAGCTGGCCCAAGCGGGGACAGGGTCTGGCAGGCCAGCCTCCTGCCCCCAGCACAGCTCCCGGGGGCCCCTGAGCTGGACACAGGCTGGCCCCTCCAGGAGGCCCAACCTCCCCGGAGCCCGTGTGGACAGGGAAGGAGGCTCCCGGCTGCCCCGGCCCTCAGGCAATGCCGCCCTCTGCTAGCTGCAGACGGGAGTGCAGCCTGTGGCCGCTGGCCCCTCTCGCTGGACACGCCCTGCAGGGCCAGCGGCGAGGGCAGGGCCGCGGGTCTGTACGCAGAACAAGGACTCCCAGTGTCCCCCGACAAGGGCAGCGGCAGCTCCAAGCTGTGCCGGCACAAAGGAGGCAGTCCCTCCGGAGTCGCCCGGGCAGCCCTGCTGGCTCCTTGGCTTGGGCAGGGCCCAGGGAGGCCCGGAGGAGGCGCGGGAGAGCCGTGTCCAGGCAGCGGTCCTCCGTCGGAGCTGGGGCGCGAGGAGCCGCCTAGATGAAGGTGGAGTCCAGAGGCCCAGCATCCTGCTGGCTGAGAGCTCGGGCCTCGAACAGCTGCTTGATGAGGGCCGACTTCTCCTGCTCCAGCTGCGTGATGCGGTCACTCTTTTCCGTCACCTCCTGGGCGGGCAGGTGGGGTCAGCTGCGGGGCTCCAGGTGCCCCCACCCCCGGCCCCGGGCCCCCGCCCCACCTGGGTGAGGAGCCGGTTCTGCTCCTTGAGCATGAGGATGGTCTGCTGCTGCCCACAGGGAGCTGGGGGTGAGGCGGGGGCCAGGGGCAGAGCCTGCGGGAGGGAGGGCGTGGTCAGGCATCTCCGGTGCAGCCTCAGGGCCAAGCCGGGGGTACCCTGAGCCGGGCCTGGATCCCAGGGGCCACTCACCCTGCTAGCACAGGCCGCGGCCAGCAGCTCGCCCAGGCACCGGGCCACCTCCTGTATCTTGGGCAGCAGGCGCCCCAGGAGGCGGGGACTCCCCTCAGATCCGAAGTCCTGGGAGGAAAGCAGAGGAGGGAATGGTCAAGAGCTGTCGACCCCGCATCTCCAGGGGCCCCACAGGCCACTGCTCCGAGCCACAGGGAGCCAGGGTGGTTGCTGGTGGGGTGTGGGCCCCATGCACCTGGGGTCACCGTGGGGGTGCCCGCCCCAGGGTGGGGGGATAGCCATGGGCCCTGGAATCGGGCGGTGCAACGCCTGCCCAGGGCGGCCTGGCGGTGGGTGGTCCGGGGTGGTCACTCACGGTGCTGGCCTGGCGCTGGCCCAGGTGGCGCTGCCGCTCCTGCACGCGCTGCAGCTGCTGCTGGTACCAGTCCCGGCCCCGCGCCATCATCTCCAGCCCCTGCAGCAGCACTGCCTCCTCCTGCTCCAGCTCCTGCGCCTGCTTCAGCTGCACACGGGAAGGCCTTCATGAGGGGTTCCGGGGTTCCTGCGCTGCCCCGCGGCCCGCAGGGAGCCCCGCGCCCTCCTCCTGGGGACCAGGCCTCCCCTAGCCACTCCCCGCTCAGCACACCCCCTCGGAGGGCCAGCCCACGGCACGCCTGGCTGTCTTCTCCCCCAAGGACTTCTTGAGCTGACCCCGGCCAGCCCTCAGGTGGACTCAGCCGGGATGGGGAGAGGCCCACGGCCGGGCCTGCTGCTCCCTCCCAGCATGCGACGCCCGAGCCCGCCTCACCAGGTCACAGTCCACTCCGCTGGTGATGGTGTGTCTCCGCCGCTCCCCTCGGGCCCGGGGGCCCCGCCGGGCACCCCCCAAGCCCAGCTCCCAGGCCCTGCAGGCCGCGGCACCTGTGGCAGAGTCAAGGGTCTGGCTTCCAGGTCGCCAGGAACACCCCTATGGTGGCGCCCAGGGGACTCCCCAAGCAGCACGCTCCCAGGGAGGCCAGCAGAGCCCTGTGGCTGCACCAACCACGGCCCCAGGGCTGGAGCTCTGGCCGGTGGCACGTAGGCCTTCGGGCTCAGGGCTGCAGTGTTGGGCGAGCGCTCCCTCCTCCCCCGCGCGCACAGGTCATGCAGGTAAGGTGCAGGGTGTGGGTGCACGAGTATGAACCTCCCAGAGAGTGCCGCCAGGCCCAGGCACGCCTGCACGGTACACCCGCGCGGAGCCCCACCTCGCCCAGGCCGCCCGCAGCCAGGTCTGCGAGACCGGGACCGAGGCCGGGGCCTTCCCTGCACCGGCCCATCCGGCCAGCCTGCTCCCTGGGCCAGGGGCGCAGGGCTGCCCAGGTGGGGAGGGGTGGGGTGCAGGTGTGGTGGAGGGTGCACTCCCTTGGCTGCCGAGCCCAACCCGCCACCAGGCTCGTCCTGGAGGCCCACACCAAGCGGCACCAGGAGACCAGGACCGAGCAAAAAGCCGGCTGGGGCGCCTAGTCGGCCCTGGAAACCTGGCTCCACCTGCCCAAGTCCACTTTCCAGCCTGTCGCGGGTGGCGGGTGCTCCAGGGTGGGCAGTGAGGGTGGGGGACAGGCTTCTGCTCCCGGAGGTGGGGCAGGAAGGGCTGGCCAGAGGGCTGAGGGCACACCCGGAACCCCTGGCCACCCCAAGTCTGACGACAGCGCAGAATCCCCGGGGCAGGGGTGAGGGCCATTGTGGCCTGAGGCTGAGGGGGGCTGGGGCACCTGGAGCACGCCACCCCCCATCGGGGTCCCTGCCTGTGAAAGGAACAGTGATACTGGGCCTGGGGCTCAGAGGGACCCAAGTGAACGCCACAGGGAGGGCTGGCCACGGAGGGGATGGAGGGGCCGGCAGGCTGGACCGCAGGTCTCAGCTCACCGCCTGCTGTGTGCAGCCACACGGGTACCAGGAAGGCCCTGCCCACACCGGGTCGGGCAGTGAGGGGCAGGGGAGCCACCGGCCTGGGGGGGCTGCTGGATCAGTCCCCCAGGGAGGCCACCATGGGTGGGGGCTCACGGCTGGCAGTTGCCCCGCAGCCAGGCCGCACTGGCGGGCACCCTGCACAGGCTGGGCGGGTGAGAGGGTCTGGGCTGCTGGGCCTCCCCGTGAGCCTGGCCCTGGCCAGCCACAACGCAGGTCCTGCTCCCCAGGGAGGCACGGGGGCTGCCGACAGGCGGCCATTCAGCGATGGCCCGTCCCTGCCAGCTGGCCCGGGAGCCAGGCGAGGGGCTGTGGCTTGTTCCCCTCCCTGGCTCGGGCAGAAGTCAGGTGCAGGGGCTCGGCTGGGGGCCCACCCAGCCCCCGGCCCTTCCTGCCCACGCCAGCCGGCCCTGGTCTGATGGGGGGCAGTGGCCAGCAGAGTGGCAGGTGCAAATGGCCCTGTGAAGGCAGCAAGGGTCACTAGGCATCTGGGGACCCTGTATTGCCCTGGAGGGGGAGGCCCCTGCCGACGCCGTCACCAGAGGGTGCCCGGGCCCGGGGGGCCCGCGTTGGGGTGGAGAGCCAGTGGGTCCTCAGTGCGCTGCTCACATTCGGTATGGCGGGGGTGGCTGCGGGGTCTGGGGAGCCCCCCCCCAGCCCCAGGCCCTGGTGGGCCTCGCACAGATGGGGGGCTGGGGGGCTGGCCTGCCTCCTGGACCCTGAGCGCCCCGGAGGGTCACCGGGCTCTCCCCGCAGGCCCGCGAGGCGCGTTCCAGGCCCAGGAGCCCACGAGCGAGACCCGCCCGCCCCGCGGGGCCCCGCACTCACCCGCGTCCGCGCTCGGGCCGCGCTCCAGCGCCGCGCCCTGGGGCCGCTCGGGCTCCGCGGGGCCGGGCGCCGCCCCCGCCGCGCCGCACAGCTGGTCCAGGGCCCGGGCCGCGCCGCCGGGGCCGGCGGGCGGGGGGCGCGCGCCCGGGGGCGGCGCCTTCCCGTCCTGCGCGGCCCGCGGGTCTCCGGGCCGCGCCGCGCCGCCCGCCCGGGCCGGGCCGCGCGCCGGGGCCCGCGCGCCGCCGTCGGCGCTCAGCAGCGCGGCGCGCAGCCCCGCCACGAAGCGCTCGAAGGTCAGGTAGCCGCTGGCCGGGGCCGCGCGCCGCAGGCCGTCCAGCACGCCGCGGGGCAGCTCGCGCGCGTCGGCGCCCTGCCAGCGGGACTCGATCTCGCGCAGGTGCACGAAGCCGCGCCGCCGGTCGTCCAGGATGTCGAAGAGCGGCCGCAGGCTCTGCAGGAAGGCGCGCGGCAGCCCCTCGGTGCCCGGCTCGGCCATCGCCCCGCCCCCCGGCCCCGCCGGCCGGGCTGCGTCCCGGGCGCCCCGGGCCCGACCCGCGCGTGCCGGGCTCCCCCCGCGGCCCGACGGCGCCCGGCCGGCGCGCCCCCCGCGCCCCAACCGCCGCGGCGTTTCGAACCGGCTCCGCGCGGCGTCCGCGGCCGGGGCGTGCGCGCCGGCCATTGGCCGAGGCCGGGCCTGCGCCCCGCGATTGGCTGAGGGGCCGCCGGCCCGGTTTGATTTTCCGGCCGGGGCGGGGCGCGGGGCGGGGCGGGGCGGGGCGGGGCGGGGCGGGTCCCCAGCTCCTTGGCCGGCGCCGCCCGCCCCGCCGGCTCGCCGCTGCCCCCCCCGCCCCCCCGCCCCCCGCCCCCCGCGGCGCCGAGTCCTTTCTCCGGCGCCCGGCAGGAAACCTGCCCCGGGGGCCTCGCGGGGCGCGGAGGGTCCCTCGCCACTCTGGGGCCCCAGGAGGTTTGTGGGCTCCGGCTGGGCGCTTCCCCTCACAGAGGCCGCTCTGTCCCCTCCGCGGCTAGCTCCTCCCCTGGCCCCTCGGGACGGCCTGGCCTCTCCTGCCCGCTGCTGGACAAAAGCACCTTTTCCTGTGTCCTCAGATCCCCATCTAGGTGGCCAGCTCCCTGCAGCTCGCCTGTGACAGGCCCCTTCCTCTGGCTGGACACCCTCAGCGGCTCTCCTGGCCTCCCCCCACCCCCACCAGGCAGCCCTGTGGTCCGCCCCCCTCCCGTCTCTGCTTGGTGTCCAGCCTGAGTCTGGTCACTCCGGCTGCTCTGTCCAGGAGGGGCGCCTCTGGGAGCCCATCTCAGGACTGCCCAGTGGGACCTCCCGAGGCTGTGCCCGGAGCCTCCATCTCCTGGTGGCCTGTCTTCAGGTGCATCCGGCTCCCCATGGCCTTCCCAGAAGTCCCTGCCTGGGCACCTGTCACAGGGCACCGCTCTCTGCTGCTCTGTTTCTAGGCAGGCTGTCCATCTTCAGGGCTAAAGCAGCCCCTCCAGACCGGCGGCCGGCAAGAGGTCACTTGGCCCTCCACAGCCTCCCTTGAGGCCCTCTTGGGTGGCCTGCCTACCTGGGCCTCTGTGTCCTCGGGCCCCAGGGAAGGGGTGCCTGTGTCTCGAGCTGTGAGGTCAGCTGCCCTGGCCGGGGCATGTGCTGGGCCCACTTCTTCCCTGGGGTTTCCCTCCACCTGTGTGGTGAGGAGTTTACGGGGGACCTGGTCTATCCCTGCCTTCGCTTTTGCTGGCTGGGCTGGCCAGAGCCCCAGGACAGCATGCCAGTTGCTTGCTCTGCAGTTCTGGTCCTCTCCTCCGCACCTGGCCCCCCATCCTTCGGGCACCCCGCATTCTCTCCCCTCCGGGCCTTCAAGCAGCCACCCTTCCGCCAGGCAGGCCCTTGCCCGCCCGATGCAGCAGGCGCTGGCCCAGCCCCGGAGTCTGTTCAGACACCCGAACGTCCAAGGCTGCGTGGCTTTCTCCTAAGAAAAGTGCTGTCTCAGCCCAGGGCCCTTGGGGACAGGGCCACACCAAGGCCTGTTGGCCTGGCCCACAGGGGGTGCCCGGTGGGTGGCGGGCCCACAGGAAGCCTTAGCCTGCAGGTGGCTCACCCCCACCTTGAGGTGGGATTCGGGGGCCACCCTGAACGTTGATGCTCTGACACCCACTTTCGAGGCACATGAGCAGGGCGAGGAGCCCACGGACTCTGGCCTGGGGTGTGGAGCCGGCTCTGCTCTGGGATCCCCGCCTCCCCTGTGCCCTCTGCCCTCAGCAGCGCAGGTGGCTGGAGCGGGCGCTCGCCACTCCCTTCCCTCCAGCACCCCCCGCAGGCCTGGGCCTGGCTGCTGTGCTGGGCTTAGACCCCTGCACCTGGGTCAGTCAGAAGGCACAAACTGCCTACTGTGTGCTGGGTGTGGATCTAAGGTGACTGTGGTGGGGCAGAGCAAGGGGCCCCATCGCTCCCTGCTCCTGAGGAGTTCGCTTTTCATGGGGAGACAAGGGGGGGGGTGTCAGGTGTGCAGGACACGGAAGCAGGAGGAAGAGGAGGACCTGCTCTCTGAGCTCACAGGAACCTGGGGGGTCTCCCTGGGAACTGATGTGGGCGCAGAGACCTAGCTCAGTGGCCAGGAAGGCACAGGACTTTCCAGGGAGGAGAATTCCAGGCAGGGGGACAGTAAGTGCAAAGGCCATGGGGCAGGCCCGAGTCCATCTTTGAAGATAACTCCCTTTGTTAGGGGGAACAGGATGGCCTAAAGCTAATTCCATGCAGGCTTCGTGGACTCCACCCCCACCCCAGGCCAAAGCCAAAGACACTGGGAACTCCACATCCCATCCCCACCCAAGGGAAGGGGGCTGGGACCTGAGGGTGGGGTTCAGCAGCCAGGTGGATATAAAAGGCAGACACGTGGGCTTTGGGGGATCCCCCATTTTGGCTCCCCGCCAGCTCGCAGCGTCCGGCCAGCTCTGAGAGCGCCTTTGGGTTTCCAGGTCGTCGGATCGGGTAGGACACATGAAAGACTTTATTTCCCTATTTTCTCCCTGAGTTGTCCATTTTCCTTATTTCCTTTTCCCTTGTCAATAAACCTTTTATGAAGCTGTTGTGTGTCCTGCAGTGGGGTATTCATAAGTCCCTTGTAAGCGCGCGGGTGAGGACCCCCAGCCAGGAACCCGTTCAATATCGGGGCTGCTCTGTAACACCTTCAGGTCCAAAGCAGCTGCACAGGCTCCCTGGCAGGGTGTGCATGAAAGGAGAGGATCACCTCACAGGGCCAGCTGGGGAAGGCCCGGGGAGGGGTGTGACTTCATTTTAGGTCCTAAGCACCATTTCAGGTTTTCTTTTTAAGATTTATTTATTTATTTATGCATACAGGCCAAAGATGGGGGGGGTGGTGAGAAGATTCACCAGAGACAGAGTGGGGCACACAACAGGCAGACTGACCGAAACACACTGCCGAGGGGAGCAGCGGGCGAGTCAGGCTGCCTCGCCTTGTGGGTTGCTCCCTGGCCGGCCGGAGATCGAACTCGTGCTGCAGAGGGTGTGGATTGCTTCACAGTGCTGTGCTTAGCCCCTTGCGCCACCAGGGAGGCCGTTTCAGTTTGTTTTAACTACGGGCATGTATTACTTTCAGACCTAACAAACTAATTTCTGAAAGTTTTGGGCCTCCCTGGTGGTGCTAGGGGTTCAGACGCAACCTATGAAGCTGTCGCAGCCTCTGCAGCAGGAGTTTGATCCCCAGCCAGGGAGCTACCCCCGCCGCGCGGCAGCCCTCTCCTGCCTCCCCGCTGCTCCCCTCAGCCGTGGGTTTCAGTGGATCCCGCCTGTTCTCTTCTCTGGTGAGTCTTCTCAACCTCTGGCCTGCACCCCAGTTCTTGTGTGCATAAAGAAAGAAAATCTTAAAAATAAATGAAAGAAAGTTTTGCCCCCAAATGGCTGAAGTTACTTATTTATGTTTTCCACAAGGGAGTTTTAGCAGCTTTTTGATAAAGTAACAGGCAGGCTGACGGGTCAGTCCAGGGGTTCTGGCCCCACAGCAGCGGGCAGGAGGCGGCCCCGGGGAGCAGGGGGCTCCTTGGGAGGCTGTGGTGACACGCGGAATTCGGTCCTGCGGGTGATCTGGCCTCTTCGCTGAGCCGGGCCGGCGCGGGGAGACCCCGGGCCGAGGGCAGAGAATGCTGGCCTGGAACCGGTCAGCCCTCACGGGCCGGCCAAGGGGGTGGCAAGGCCTGCGGAGGGCCCCCGCTGTGGGGTGCGACCCCAGAGTTGCACCAGCGCCCCGGGAGCGCCCGCGGCGCAGCAGGGGCCGCGCGGGGCGGGGCCGGGGCCGGAAGGGTCGCCCGGGGGAGGAGCCGGGGCGGGTCCGCGAGGGTCGGGGGGGCGCGGCCAGGGACGGCCGGGGCGGAGACCGGCCCGCCGCGGGCGCGGGGCAGGGCGGGCTCGAGGCGGGGCGCCCGGGGCCCGCCCCGCTGGGGTCGACGCCGCCCGCCGGGTCCCGTGACCGGTGGGAGCGCGCGGGTCACGAGTGCCAGCTCGACCGACGGCGGCGGCGACATGGCCTCGGAGCGGGACGTGCGCGCCCGGCTGCGGCGCGCGGGCCAGGAGCACCTCCTGCGCTTCTGCGCCGAGCTGGCGCCGGGGCCGCGCGCCGCGCTGCTGGCCGAGCTGGGGCCGCTGGAGCCCGACGCGCTGCGCGAGCACTGCCGGCGCGCGGCCGAGGCCTGCGCGCGCCCCCCGGGGCCGCCGCCCGACCTGGCCGCGCGCCTGCGGCCCCTGCCCCCCGAGCGCGTGGGCAGCGCGAGCCGCGGCGACCCCGAGACGCGCCGGCTCTGGGAGGAGGAAGGTAGGCGGGCGGGCGCGGGAAGGGCCTTGCCTCGGAGGGCGGGTGGAGAGGAGCGTGCGCCCCGACGGCCGGGCTGCCTGGCTGCCGCTCCGTGGAGTCTCCTCCTCTCCACGCTCGCCGGGCCGGGCCGGGGCAGCGGGGGGCCGCGCGGCCGCAGCTCAGCGGTGCTTCGTGCAGGCGCACGCCCCTGTCGGCCCGGCGCGTGTCCTCGAGCACCCGGGCGTAGGGCCCGCGCCCCTTTCGCGCGAGCGCGCTCCTCGACGGGCGCTGCCCGGGACCCGCTGCACAGCTCTGGCCGGCCCACCCGCGCTCCCCTAACGGGCCCGGGTTGGGATGAACCCAGGAGGACGCCTTCGGGCCGCCGGAGGCTGCGGCTGCGTTAGACGGGGTGAGGCCCAGACCCAGACGAGACGCGAGTGTTGACCGGAACTCAGCCGCTGGCCGCGCGCCCCCTAGGTTTCCGCCAGATCGCCCTGAACAAGGTGGCCGTGCTGCTGCTGGCTGGCGGGCAGGGCACGCGCCTGGGCGTGCCGTACCCGAAGGGCATGTACCAGGTGGGGCTGCCCAGCCAGAAGACCCTGTATCAGCTGCAGGCGGAGCGCATTCGGCGGGTGGAGCAGCTGGCCGGCCAGCGCCACGGCACGCGCTGCACCATCCCCTGGTGAGCCCCCTGCGCCTCCGGCCCGCCCAGAATGACGCCCCCCGCGACCCCAGCCCTGCCCAAAGCAAGCGGAACCCCAACCCCAGCGCAGCCCTGGAGCGAGCACGCCCCGCCGCGGGCCTCAGCCTGGCCCCCCTCGCAGGTACATCATGACCAGCGAGTTCACCCTGGGGCCCACGGCCCAGTTCTTCAAGGAGCACGACTTCTTCCAGCTGGACCCGGGCAACGTGGTCATGTTTGAGCAGCGCATGCTGCCCGCCGTGACCTTCGATGGCAAGGCCATCCTGGAGCGGAAAGACAAGGTGGCCATGGCCCCAGGTGCGCGCCACCGCGGCTCGGCGCAGGCCCGCGGGCCTGGAATGTGGACCTGGTCTGGGGGGAGGCCACACCGCGGGGCCTGGAGGCGGGGTGGGGCCGGGCCGCCTCCGCCGGCTGGAGTCCGGTCAGCCGCAAGGCCGCGGGGCCTCGGCCGGTCGCGGCGGGAGCTGCCACCCCCCCCAACGTCCAGCTCCCAGGGGCGTGCAAGGGCCAGGCCCGGCCGAGCCCACCACCACCCGTGCCCCGCAGACGGCAACGGGGGCCTGTACTGCGCGCTGGCGGACCACCAGATCCTGGAGGACATGGAGCGCCGCGGCGTGGACTTCGTGCACGTGTACTGCGTGGACAACATCCTCGTGAGGCTGGCCGACCCCGTCTTCATCGGCTTCTGCGTGCTGCGGGGGGCGGACTGCGGCGCCAAGGTGCGCCCGCCCCTCGGGCCCCCGCCCCCTCTTCCTCCGCCCCCGCCCCCCTCCCCCGCCCCCGCCGGCCCCGCCCCGCCGTCAGCGCCCGCCCCGCCCCGCAGGTGGTGGAGAAGGCGCGGCCCGAGGAGCCGGTGGGCGTGCTGTGCCAGGTGGACGGCGCGCCGCAGGTGGTGGAGTACAGCGAGCTCAGCCCCGAGGCGGCGCGGCGCCGGGCCCCCGACGGCGGCCTGCTGTTCCGCGCGGGCAACATCTGCAACCACTTCTTCACGCGGGGCTTCCTGCGGCGGGTCACCCGGTGCGCGGCGGGGTGCTGGGCGGCCGGGGACCCGGGGCGGAGGCTGGGCCGGGCCCTCCGTGACCGCCGCCCGCCGCAGGGAGCTGGAGCCCTCGCTGAGGCCGCACGTGGCCGTGAAGAAGGTCCCGCACGTGGACGAGGAGGGACACCCGGTAAAGCCGCTCACGCCCAACGGGATAAAGATGGAGAAGTTTGTGTTTGATGTGTTCCAGTTTGCCAAGTTAGTGGCAGCGTTTCCTCCTCCTCCTCCTCTGCTACCTCTGCTCCCCGGGGTCCGAGGCCGCCGGGCGAGGAGGTGGCGGCCGGGCATGGTGGGGGCATCTGCGGCTCGGCACCTGCAGGCGGGGCCCGGAGAGCGGAGGGCCTGGGGCACGGGACCCTCGGGACACCCTTGTCCCCTCCCGAGTCTCCCGCTGCGCCTCCCGGGGCTGGGGCTGTCTTCTGGTCGGCGTGCGGGTGGGGAGGCAGGGAGTGCACCTCGCTGGGTGGATGTGGGCCCCGCGGCCCCGCCCGCCCCCGCCCGGGGTCTCGGCCACCAGCTCTCTTTGCCAGGAACTTCGTGGCCTTTGAGGTGCTGAGGGAGGAGGAGTTCTCTCCTCTGAAGAACGCGGACTCCGCCGACAGGGACACGCCCACCACAGCTCGGCGGGCGCTGCTCGCTCAGCACTACCGCTGGGCCCTGCGGGCTGGGGCCCACTTCCTAGACACTCGGGGGACCCGGCTTCCCGAGCTGCCCAGGTGAGTGTGGGCCTCACCAGCTCTGCTGCTGTCGGAGCTGGGGTGCCCTGGGGCACGTGGCAGTGGCTTCAGCTTTGGGCCCCAGCTCTCCAGGTGGCCCTAGCCAGAGACCAGGGTAAGGGCACCCAAGCCCCAGACATGCCATTCTGGGAGGCGCCCCAGTCACAGCCATTGGGACTATCGGCGAAACCTGCCAACGTCCCCCTGGGCAGCCCGTCCGAGGCCCTCCAGTCAGGGCCTGCCAGCAGATGGGACAGTCCGCTCGGGGCTCCAGGTGTCAGGAGAAGAGGTGGTCACGACAAGGGCCAGGCAGTGGAGCAGACCAGGCCCAGATCCTGGGGGGCAGCCAGGGTGCACCCTGACTAGTGCTGACACGTGGCTCCCGCAGCCTGCCCTGCGACTCGGACCCGCCAGCCATCTGTGAGATCTCGCCCTTGGTGTCCTGCTTTGGGGAGGTGAGTTGAGGCCTAGAGGGATGTCTCCAGGTGGCGCTTGTGGGCATTAGAGGAAGCTGCCTGGAGAGGGAGCTGGGGGCAGCTCTGCCTTCTCTGTGAGGGGGGGTGAGTGGCTCCTCAGTACAGGGAATCTTCCGGCTGTGCTGTGGGTGAGTGGCCAGGGGCCCTCACCCATCCTGAGGCTGGGGGTCGGGTCAAATGAGTAGGGCTCTGGCCGGGAGCCTTGGTGGCAGGTGCCCTGGCTTGGGCAGGTGTTCTGGCCCGCAGCTCCCTGGATCCAGGCAGGATTGGGGTCCTACAGAGGGGGCTGAGAGCTGGACCCTGCATGGGGACGTGCTTGTGTCCAGGGTCTGGAGCTGTACCTGCAAGGCCGAGAATTCCAGTCCCCCTTCGTCTTGGACGAGGACCGGGCCAGGGCGCTGCAGACCTGAGCCGCTCCCGGACCAGCCACGCCAGGGCCCGACTCCGCAGGGGAGGAAGCTGCCGGCTCCTGGCCAGCGCACACTGGCCACACGTCTGGGCGGGATTCCCTCATTTCTAGAGCTGCCTCGGCTGCCCCTCCCTCTGCGGGGGCCTCCCCAAGCACTATGGGGACCAACAGCGGGGGTCTCCTGTGGAGGCTGATGAATCCAGGACCGAACCAGTGTGGAGGACGTCTCTGGCCCAGGCTGGGGGAGCTGCTGGCCCTGGTTTCCTGCCCTGGCCCAGCATCCACTTCCTTCTCCTCTGGGAACAGCACAGCAGCTCCCACCTCTCCCAGCCCAGCGGCACCCTGCTGGGAACTCACCGGAGAGCCTATCAGCGCCCCTAAACCCAGGCAGCCTTCCGCCTGTCTCCAACCAGACTTCCACTAAGCAGGCGCCTGGGCGCCCCGCTGTGGGCTGCAGGCTATGCCCAGCTGAGGCCAGAAGTGCGTGCCCGCCCAGGTCCCCTCTGCAGAGTCCTGTGAACGAGGGGCCTTTTCACAGCCACCTCAGGCCCACAGAGGGCCCGGGCAAGCAGGCGAGGTGGGAGGTGCAGCCCACGTGGCCACTGCCCCACGAGACAGCCCCGTGGAGCTGATGGAGTCTTTGCTTTTTAAACCACTTTATTTCCGTGTAATTACACTCTCACGTGAGGTCTCCAGCACAGCGCTGAGTTTGTGTGCCCTCTGGGGCTTCCCTCACACGCCGGCCCCCAACAGTGCCCATGGTCACTCCCCAGGCAGGTCTACCCTCAGGCCGCCGCTGCTGGCCCCCCCTCATCCCCGCCCCAGACTGGAAAGATGGGCCCCATCCCTGCCACTAGGGAAACTGGAAAGATGGGCAAGCCCTGAAATTTAATACATCGGGGGCCAGGTAACTGCTGTGAGCAATATACCCGAAGCAGGTGTGTGCCAACACTGCCCCTGGGCCAGAGCTCAGGGCCCTAGGGAGCCGGATCCTCAGTCTTAGTTCTCTGAGGCAACCTAGAGGGTGCCTAGGGGAGGACCCAGAACCTGCTCCTTGAGCCGGCTCTGGGGTGGGGGGCGCACCCTCACCTATCAACCTGGTGTCAGCCTGCAGTGTCTCCGGGTGCCACCGCCTCCCTGGTGACCGGGGGGCATCTCCTGGGAATACCAGCAGAGCCCTTGGAGGTGACCGTAGAGGGGAAGCGGGAGGCCTCCAGACACCCAGAAATGCCACAGTTGGAGCTGCAGGAAGCACTGGGATTGCCAGTGGGGGAAATGGGAGCGCACCGGGGTGGGTGTGACTTGGGGTTCATGGGGACAGCACGGGGGGGCTTAGCATTCTCAGTGCCACCCCAGAGCATCGAAGTTGTTACAAGGACCAACACAGCTGACCACACAGTGCTGTGAAGAGTCGAGGGGTCACCCCCACCCCCAGCTTTGGATTTTGCACTCCTGGCCACTCAGGCAAGGTTCTGCCTGAAGTTCACCCACTCGCAGCACGTTCGCGGGGGGCAGGCACCTCCCCTGGGGACCGCGCGTCCAGGTGCCCCTGGATGGCACCCCACAGTGCCCGGGACCAAACGCTTCAGGCTGCAGACCAAGTCGGGCCCATGACCCCTCTGCACCCGACTCCGACGCCCTTCCGGGGCCTGACCACCGTGCGAGCAGGTGACCCGCGGCCCAGACCCCACCGCGGCCCGCCCCGTTCCCTGCAGGCCCCACGCGGGTAGAAGAGGAGGGCGTAGGGTGCAAGGGCTCCCCGCTATCACAGCGCGGTACGCTGGGCACCGGCCCGGGCAGCTCCCACGAGGCCAGCACCTCCGCGCGGGAACGACTGGACATCGGGCGAGCGGGCACACGCGCGCCTGCAGCGGACCCCGTCGGAAGCTCCCCCTCCACCCCGTGGAGCGCGAACCGGCTCGCGGGTCAACTGCGCATGCGCGAGGCGACGTCAACGTTCTGGTTGGGCGGTCACGGCGCAGGCGCGGCTGTTCGCCCACCGCGAATTAAACGTAGACGCACACGCAAACGGCCCCCGCCCGCGCAGGCGCGGCGGCGGACCCAGGGAGGCGCGCAGGCGCACTGGGGGTCAAGAGGTCAAGACGCAGGCGCAGTGGCGACGCCGAGAGATGGGCGGGGTGTGGACCGAGCTGCGATGGCTGCCCGCGGCTGTCAGGACGGCGGGGCCCTGGGTACCTCGCGGTGCCCGTCCTCCTGACGCCGACAGCGGGCGGGGTCCCGCGTGCCGCCGCCCCCGCTGCCATGTATCCGCCGGCGGCGCCGGCGCCGCAGCGCGACTTCATCTCGGTGACGCTGAGCCTGGGGCCCGGCTACGAAGGCAGCAAGCGCTGGCGGCGCCGCTCCTGCTGGCGGGTGAGGGCCGCGCCGGGGCCGCCTTCGGCAGCGGCGGGGCGGCCGGACCGCGGGGGCCGCACACGGGCCCCCCACTCCGTGCGCCCACGCGCCGGGCACCCCCAGCTGTCTCCTTGGGGGCCGCCCACCGTCAGAACGACACCGCTCCGGGGCGGAGCCGCGCGGGAAGGACGCGTCTCCGCAGGCGGGCTGGCAGCTGGGGAGCTTTCTCGCGCGTCTCCAGGCTCAGGGCGCACGTCTGTTCTCCCGTAGAAATGGAAGCAGCTGTCCCGGCTGCAGCGGAACGTGATTCTCCTGCTCTCCGTCTTCCTGCTGCTCTGTGGCCTCTTGTCCTACATCCACATGGCTGAGCAGTGGAGAGGTATGGCTGCCCTCCTGCCCTCCCGGCCTGCATGGAGCCTGGGGCCCCAGAAGCCACCTGGCAGCCATACCGTGGCCGTCCACGAAGCACAGGTGCCCCCACACCGGCCAGACGAGGACAGGCCCTGTCCTCACACTTGGCTGCACACGGTGAGAACGTGACGGTGCCACTGTCTTCTGAGCCGTCGTCAGGACGATGTCCCCACCTTGTCCGCCTCATAGGGATCCTGGCAGAGACAGTCTCAGGCACCCTGGGACTCTCCTGACAAGTGTGCTTACAGGGGCCCGCGCAGCTCTGCTGGATGCTTGGGGAGTGCCTTCCAAACCTCTTGAAGGTTTAGTGTGACGAGCAGTGAAGAGCTGCCCCAGAGGGGGCCTGTAGGCCCAACTGCCAAGTCTCCGGGTAGGGCAGGCGTTTAGCAGCAGCACTGTCAACGCAGTTGCACTCTCACCACGTATTACGTATCTTGGGTGTTACCTACTAAAGGATTTCTGTTTTGGGTCTTGTGGTTTGGTTGATATAAAATAAAAAAACAAAACTTTTTTTTCCCAGTCCAGAACGGTAGGTCGGTGCACGAGCAGAAGATGAGAGCAGACGACCCACCTGCCGCACCCAGTCCTCAGAAGGCAGACACTCGCCTGGAACACGAGCCCAGGCTTCGGCCTCAGGTACTTCCCACCGCTGCCCTGCAGCGTGACTGCCCAGCACTAGGCACTGTTGGCCACAGGAGAGGCTCAGGCGCCACTTGAAAGACAGTGGCGTGATTCTCACATTTGTGGGGCATTTGACATCACGCTAACGCTTCCCACTGGCTGTGCACACTTGGGGCAGTGGGGAGTGGGCTGACCCCTGCCTTGCCCTGCCTGGGGAGCCCAGAGAGGGTGGAGGAGGCGGGGCAGGGCCCAGGGCAGGCAGGGGCCCTGTGCACCCTGACAGGGAAGGGGCCGGCCCCTTGCGAGGGGACGCTGGGCGGGCCGAGGAGCCAGGCGGGCGGGCAGAGGTGGGAGAGCAGCTCTCTCCGGGAGACATGAGAACCTGGCTCCGGCCCGGCGCTGCGGGGATGCACCCCGGCGGCGAGAGCACGTGCAGACGTCGGCCAGTTCCACCATCGGGTCTTGTTGTGAGCAGCACCCGCAGAGGCAGCTCCGCCGGGGGCCCCCCAACCTGCAGATCAGAGCCCCGGACCGGGACCCGCAGGGCGGCCGGCGGGGCGAGGCCCGGCGCAGGGAGGAAGTGGCGGGCCGCGCGGGCCAGGACGACGGCGAGCGGAGGACCGTGGTCAGGTACGGAGCCGGGCAGTGGGCGCGTCTGCCGCTGGAGTCGGAGCGGCCTCGGCCCCGGGTTGTCTCCACAGTGGGCTGCGGGGCGGGGTCGCGGGGCGGCCGGCCCCCGGCCCTCGGGGAGGCTGAGGCGGCGGGAGGGCCGCGGCGCTGGCCTCTGCCCTCGTGCCGGCTGACGGTGCCTCCCGTCTCCTGCAGCTGGAGGGGAGCCGTGATTGAGCCAGAGCCGGACACCAGACGGCCCTCGAGCAGAGCAGAGGCCCCCCCAGAGCCGTCCCGGGCGCCCCGGAAGATCCCGAAGCCATCAGGTCTGGAGTCCCCGCTCCCTCTCGGCCCCGCCTGGCCCTCAAGGGCCTTTGTGGCTGCTGCTGCCTCCCCGCCCCAGGGCGGCCCGGGCCCCTGTGCAGAGGCCCTGCCCCTGCGCTCACCTGCCGGGGCTCTGCAGGTGGCTGGGCCCGGCCGGTGCGGTGAGGTTGCCCAGCCGGGGTCCTGTCCCTCACGATGGCCGGCGTCGGGTCACTCAATCCGGGCGGGGGGGCTGGCGAGCATGGCAGAACCTGACCCGGCCGCTTCGCAGCCACCCCGAATGAGCGCCAGCTGGCTGTGGTGGATGCCTTTCGCCACGCCTGGAGCGGCTACCGCAAGTTCGCCTGGGGCCACGATGAGCTGAAACCCGTGTCTAGGTCCTTCAGCGAGTGGTTCGGCCTTGGCCTCACGCTGATTGATGCTTTGGACACCATGTGGATCTTGGGCTTACGAGAAGGTGTTTGCTCGTCCTGGGCTCGGGGCCGCAGGCAGGGTTTGGGGGGGGGGCGCTGGGTCTGCCCAGGATGGCTAAGGCGGCACTGAGTCGGGCTCCCCTGGCCCGGGCGGGTGGAGTCTGAGTGGAGACAGCAGGCGCAGCGGCCCCGCTGAGATGACCCCTTCCTCACTGTCCCATCTGCCGCGGCAGAATTTGAAGAAGCCCGGAGCTGGGTGTTCCAGAAGCTGCAGTTCCAGAAGGATGTGGACGTCAACCTGTTCGAGAGCACCATCCGCATCCTGGGCGGGCTGCTGAGCGCCTACCATCTCTCCGGGGACGCCCTCTTCCTGCAGAAAGCCGTGAGTAGGCCGGGCTCACTGCGTGGGCCGCCGGCCACCAGAGTTGGGCAGTGCATGCGCCTCGGGTCCGCCACATGACGGTGGGTGGGCCGGGCTGTGGGTGGTGGCCAGCTGGCGGGGACAGGGCCAGAGGACGGACGGCTGCTCGTCTGTGTCCGGCGCAGGAGGACTTCGGGAACCGGCTGCTGCCCGCCTTCCAGACACCCTCCAAGATCCCATACTCGGATGTGAACATCGGCACGGGTGTGGCCCACCCGCCCCGCTGGACCTCCGACAGTACAGTGGCCGAGGTGACCAGCATCCAGCTGGAGTTCCGCGAGCTGTCCCGACTCACGGGGCTGAAGAAGTTCCGGGTAGGGCTCCTGGGGACGCGGCTACTCTGGTACCCCCGGGCTTCACGGTCAGCTCTGTGCCGTCCACTCGGGCGTGTCCTCGGCCACCGTCCTGGCCTCACCTGTGGGTGTGCGGCCCTGAGGCGCAGCTGCTGTCCATGGACACCTGAGCAGTGGCTGATCCCAGGCCTAGGGTGGTTCCCCCGGCGAGGACGCTGCCCCCTGCACTTGCTTACGCCGCCCTGGTCCACCCAGGAGGCCGCGGAGGCGGTGACGCAGCACGTGCACGGCCTGCCTGGGAAGAAGGACGGGTTGGTGCCCATGTTCATCAACACGCATAGCGGCCTCTTCACGCACACGGCTGTGTTCACGCTGGGCGCCCGGGCCGACAGCTACTACGAGTACCTGCTCAAGCAGTGGATCCAGGGCGGGAAGAAGGAAACGCAGTGAGGCCTGTTCAGTGACTCTGGGGCCCCCCACCCCCAGATCCCATGAGGGCTGCGCATCCCCTGGACACGGTGTGGCGTGGAGAGACCCGTGTCGCTGAGGCTGGCTGGGGCCAGCAGGGCTGGGATGTGTGTCTGGCCCCCATCCCCTGCCCTGCTTGCATGGCTGAGCCGTTTACCGGGGCGACGGCCACATCCTGCGACCGCTCTTCAGTGGGGCGACAGCGGCGTCTGTCCGCTCCCCGCCTTGCTTTTGGCGCTGTCCCGGGACCCTCAGCCCCTCACCACACCCATAGGGCGGGATGGAGGCGCCTGTGATCAGCCCAAGATAATCGGGTCCCAGAACCCCAGGGCAGTTCCCAGCTGACCCCCCTGGGGGGCACTAGGGCCTTGCCATGTGGGGAGCTCTCCTGTCCCGAGCGTGGGGTCGTGCAGGGAACTAGGGGCCTCTGGGTGCAGGTTCGAGGGCTGGTCGGCAAGTCCTGAGGGCTGGCGAGAGGCGTGGACCCAGCCAGTGTCCCTGGCCAGGGCCAGCCCAGTGCCCGCTCCTGCCCCTCAGGTTGCTGGAGGACTACCTGGAGGCCATCGAGGGCGTCAGGAGGCACCTGCTGCGCAGGTCCGAGCCCAGCAAGCTCACCTTCGTCGGCGAGCTCGCACACGGCCGCTTCAGCAGCAAGATGGTGAGCACGAGGCAGGCCGGCTGGGCTGCTGCTCCAGGCGCTTCGGCTCTGGCTTATGGGGTGTCCAGGTCCCAAGGGTTCACATCCCTTAATGGCGCGGTGGGGGTGCACAGGCCTAGCTTCCCCGGGACCCTGCCCTGCTGCAGTGGCTGCTCCTCCAGCTTTTGGGGTGCGGTGACAGGCCTGCGGGCATGGCCCGGGGAAGGACGTCTGTCCCGAGGTGGGCGGCCCCGCATGCTGAACAGGCTGCCGTGTTTCAGGACCACCTGGTGTGCTTCCTGCCAGGGACGCTGGCCCTGGGCGCCCACCACGGGCTGCCGGCCGACCACATGGAGCTGGCCCGGGCGCTCATGGACACTTGCTACCAGATGAACCGCCAGATGGAGACGGGGTTGAGCCCTGAGATCGTGCACTTCAGCCTGCACCCCCAGAAAGGCGGGAAGGATGTGCAGGTCAAGGTGAGCTGGGGCCGGGGCCGGGGCAGGCGGGGGCGGGGCGGCTGGGCATGGCCTGAACCTGCGTCTCCCCAGCCGGGCGACAGGCACAACCTGCTGCGGCCGGAGACGGTGGAGAGTCTCTTCTACCTGCACCGCTGCACGGGCGACCCCAAGTACCAGGACTGGGGCTGGGAGATTCTGCGCAGCTTCAACGCCCACACACGGGTGAGCCCCTCGGTGTCGCGCCCAGCCCCTGGGAGGGACCCATCTGCGTGGGCAGTTGCTGCGGTGGCCACGCTCACCACACATCATGTCTGGGTCCCACGGGGCCCACCTGCCTTCCCCTGCCCAGGAGGACCTCAGGACCGGGGCTGCCCAGGACAGGGTCCCCGCCCCACGTGCTCGGGCCCCATCGCACCGCACTTGGGAAGGTCCTGTGGGGCCCTGGCTCACCGCCAGCCTTGACCTTTGTGCCGCCTTTCTGTGTGTGTTCTGGGCCCTCGGTGGCCTCGGGCCTCCTCCGTCAGGCCTCCGTCCAGCAGCTTGAGCTGGGGGCTTCCTGGCGGGGCTTCTGACCTCGGGGCCCACGCTCATGGACGCTGGCGCTCTCTGCCCCCGGCCGCGCCTGCGGGTTCTGCCAGCCGTGACGGCGGCCTCGGCTCTCACGCAGGTCCCCTCGGGCGGCTTCTCGTCCATCAGCAACGTGCAGGACCCCCGCAACCCCCAGCCCAGGGACAAGATGGAGAGCTTCTTCTTGGGGGAGACGCTCAAGTACCTGTACCTGCTTTTCTCTGATGACCCGGGCCTGCTCAGCCTGGACACCTACGTGTTCAACACCGAGGCTCACCCCCTGCCCATCTGGACCCCCAGCTAGGGGCACAGTGCCCGTTGGGCACGCCTGGACCCAGCGCACCTGTCCTCAAGCTGCCTGTGCACACTGCCCTGGGCTAGGCCGCCCACCCTTGACTTGGCCATGGCGTCCACCGCTGGGCTGGATGTGCTCCAGGCACCTCGCCATAGGTCGCGGCCCCGCCAGGCTGGGTGGCCGCTGGGCCCCCGGAGCTATGCTCGGGCTTAGCTCTCCCATCTGGGCCGTCGTCGGACGTGTCAGGAACCAGCAGTTGTGAGGTTCAGGGGCTCCCACCCCGGGGACCTTCTTCCGTGAAACTCTAGCCACATTCACATTCCTGAAGCCCACCAGTGTCCTGTGGTGGGTGCGGGGCTCCGTGGGCTGAGCCGCCGGACAGCCGGGAGGCGGCCTGGCCGCGGGGTCTCAGAGCCTGTGAAGGTGCCAGACCCTCGGGTTTCGGGGGCTGCTGGCTGATCGTGGTGTTTACACACTGGACTCAGGGATCCCCTGGCTTTTGGGGGGCTGGGCGGGCACCTTCATTCTCTTCCCAGATGTCCGACACATGTGCTGTCGGGGTAAAGTGGATTTGCTAAATGGGTCCTGTGTTGCTGTGTCCCTGCAGAGCCCTGCAGGAGTGAGCAGTGTGGGGTGCGCCTTACTTGAGCTGCAGGGGCCTCACCAAGATCTGTGGTCCTGCAGGGAGTGGCGGGGCGCCCCGGCCCTTCTCTGGCAGCGGGCTGTGGTCCTGACCGTGGAGTCCACCCCTTCGTAGTGAGAGGACAGCATGCTGGGCCGCAGCAGGACCTTGCAGCCCTGGGTCTAGCAGGCCTCGGGACAGCCTGGCTCTTCCCTCAGCCAAGTGAAGCCTGTTGCCTGTGCTAGAAGATTCCCTGGTCTGGAAGCCTGGTCCTGGCCAGTCCTTGGAGACGCCTTTGGGGCCCGCTGCTGGGGGCAGGACTTGGGCTCTGGGACTGGCTGTCCTGTCCGCACCCACCTCCCGCTGATCCCCGGGCCAGAGCAAGTGTGGCTTCGGCCTGAGCGGTGGGCAGGGCTGTGGCGGGGGTGGCCCAGCCGCCCACCGTGCTCACAGCAGCACCTGGCTGCGTGCGCCCACGGCGCCCTGCTCCCCTGTGGACACCAGGCGGGTGGTTGGGCGTGCGGAAGAGACGCTGACGCGGGGCCGTGGGCTGCCCTTTATTAAGCAGGAGGTGGCGTGGGGTCGTCGTGCAGGGCCAAGCCTCCCTGCGGTGCTGCCCAGCCCAGCCCCGGGGTCCACGAACTCGGCGGCGGCCCGTGGTCCTGAACATAGGCCCCAGTCCCTGCTGGCCGGCGCCCTCACCGGTCCCGCCGCGCTGCCTGCACCCACTCGTGGATGACGGCGGCCTCCAGCCTGCGCGCCTGCACCACGGACACCGGGTCCTGGGGGTGGGACGCCCTGGGGGCGGGCACGGGTGGCGCTCAGCTGGGCAGCTGGGCCCTTGGCCCCCTCCCGGCCGCCGGCTCGAGCCCCCGCGCACCTGAGGTCCAGGTGGTGCGCGCCTCCCGCGATGGTGATGGCCAGCACCGAGGCGCTCAGGTTGCTCTGGATCTGCCCTCAGCAGAAGGAGCCCCGGGGTGAGGGCCTGGGGGAGCCGGCCTGCCCCGTCCGGCCTGCCCTGCGGCCACGGCGCGCCCCGCCCAGGACTGGGGTGAGGGTGGGGGCGGGAGCCGAGCCAAGACCCCAGGGCCCTCTGGGCCCGCTCACCCCGCCGCGCGCCCAGGGGTCCAGGTCGCCGTTGGAGAAGATGATGTTGCTGGCGGCCTTGAGGTCTGCGGGAGGCAGAGCGGGTGTGGGCGCCGCCCCGACGCCCGGCCCGGCCCGGTGGGGTCCCGCCGGCCGCCGGCCTTACCGCCGCCCCCGAAGCTGGTCTGCAGCCAGGCCCGCCGCGGCCACACGCCCCACGTGTCCAGGCAGTAGCGGCGGCGCGCGGCCGCGGGGAAGGCCATCTCGGGGAAGAGGTCCGTCCGGTTGTTGCTGGAGAACTCCAGGTTGATCTCCGTGCAGGCCTGGGGGCGGCCCGGTCAGGCGCGGCCCGGGGCAGCCCGCCGCCCGCGCCCGCCCGCCGCCCGCGCCCGCCCGCGCGCACCTGGTAGTCCCAGGCCCGGGCGTCGGAGCCGGACCCGCAGCCCGTGGGGTCCGCGCAGGCCCGGTACTGCCGGTACACGTCGAAGCAGGGCTCGGCCCCCGAGGCGTTGTAGACCAGCCCTGGGCGGGGCCGCAGCAGCGTCGGCGCGAGGCCGGGGCTGCCCCTCCCGCCCGCCCGCGGCCCGGCGGCGCGAGGGGGCGGGCACGTCCCCGGGCGGGAAGGGCCTGCGCGCCCCCGACGGACGCGGACGCACCTGCCAGCGCGCGGAGCCCCCGGACGCTCTGCCTCTCGCTCAGCAGCCGCTCGCAGCCCACCTGCGGGGCAGCGCCGGTGGGACAGGCCCAGGGCGGGCGCGAGGCCCTGGGGGGAGGGGCCCCCCCCTCCCGGAGCCGCTCCCGCCGCCTGCGGCAGGGGCCCCACCTTGACAGGGTTGGCGGGCAGGTGCCCCAGGAAGTCGGTGGGGTACGGGTAGTCCATCATGGCCAGCACGGTGAAGGCGTTGCGGACAAACCCGAAGAGCTGGGTCAGGTCCTCCGGGCTGGACAGCAGCTGGCAGGTGCCGAAGGCCTGGCTGACCGCTTCGTGGGCTGGGGCGGGGCGCGGGGGCCTTTGGAGGCTGCTGGCCCCGGGCTGGGGCAGGGGCCGGAGCCGGGGCGGGGCGGGCAGGACTGGGCTCGGGCTGGGGGGTGCTGGGGGCCGGGGAGGTCCCCCGGGGGGCGCCTCTCACCTCCCTGTAGAAACCAGTCCTTGATCTGCCGGAAGGCGTCGCGCACGCCCTGCGCACACTCGGGACTGTGGGCCTCAAAGTCCTGGGGGCGGACAGCGGGGGCTGCAGCTGCTGTGGCGCCGGGGCCAGCCCGGGCCCGGACCCCACTCACCGCCGAGACGTCCTGGAAGAACTGGTAGGGGCTCCCGAGGCCTGCGACGGCCAGGACGGGCGCGCTGGCTGCCAGGGCTCCCGCCACGAGGTGGGGGTACTTCATCCTCATGTAGGCGCTCAGCATCCCCCCGTAGCTGGCAGACACGCAGGGTGAGGGCGACGGCGCACCCCGCGGCACCCCAGGGCGGGCGCAGGCGCCAGGTACCCGGGAGGAGCCCCGGAGCTGCGGGCACGCACGGGGCGCGGCACCCACCTTCCGCCGAAGGCGATGGCGGGCGCGCGCAGGGCGCCCAGGTCCCGCCGCAGCGCCTGCAGCAGCGCCGCGAAGTCGGCCAGCGCCTGCTCCACCGTCAGCAGCTCCGTGTGCCCGCGCCGCGTGGACGGCGCCCCGAAGGGCAGCGACCGGCCGTAGTAGCGCTGCGGGGCAGGGGCGCTGAGACCCGGCGGCCCCCCTCACCCCCCAGCCCCCGCCCCCCCGCCCTACCCACGTGCTCCGCGAAGACCACCAGGGCCGCCTGCTGCGCCGCCAGCTCCAGGACGAAGCCCGAGTTGTTGGCGAAGGCCCACACGTCCCCCTCGTTGCCCGTGTAGAAGAAGATGGGCCCCTCGCGCGGCTTCCAGAACTGCTCTGCGGGCGGAGCGGGAGGGTGGGGGGGGTGGCGCCCCGGGGTCCCCGCGGTGCCCCCTCCGCCGCCGGCCCTGCACCCCGGCCCCGCCGGGCGCACCTGACACCAAGAACCGCTGGCGGAACGTCTTATTGCCGAACCTCTCGAAGTTGAAATGGTCCAGAAGCTGCTCAAAGTAGGCCTCCCGGAAGCGGGGCTCCCCGACCCTGGGGGCTGCAGGGGTCGGGCACTCAGGGCCGGCTGGCTGGGGGGACACCCACGCGGCCCGCCCCACTCACCCCCGGCCTCCAGGCCGCTCAGCGCCCACGCCAGCAGCAGGACCGGGGCCCAGGTCCGGGCCGTGGGAGCCCGGGGCTCCGGGGGTGCGTCTCGCATGGCTGGTGGCAGTCAGGCGGGCTGGGCCACGTGACCAGAACCACATGACCTGCGGTGCCGTCACGTGACCTCCGGGCAGGGCGGTGCCGGCTCCGACCGGGCTGGAAGGTTCCTGGCTGCCGCTGTGTCCCCGGGGAGATGGTTGCCATGGGGACGTGGGGGGGTGACCCCTCCTGGCAGGGCAGCCCCAGGCTGCAGCCCCGCTTGGCCCCACCTGGTGGGTGACCATGGGGAGGTTCCCCAATGCGACCTCTTACAGGACCTGCCCCTCCGACCTCGATGCCCAGTGTGGGGGGCAGGAGCCCCGGTGGGCCCAGGCTCCAGCCCCCCGCGGCGAGTCTGTGCCGAGTTCGGCCCTCAGCAGCGCCACTCCCAGACTCACCGCCCCTGGCGGGCCCTGGAGCGCTTCCCTGCAGGGCGCTGCGCCCCTCAGGGGCGGGGGCAGCCGGGAGGATGGGGCGGCAGCTGCCCTGGAGGGGACTCCTCTTGTCCAGTGGCAGCAAAGGGCCCTGGCCCGGGCCAGAGGGCCTCGAGCCGGCGGGAGATGGGGGCTGCTCCTGGGGGTGGGCAGCCGGGCCCGGGCACCAAGGGGCGCAGGGGTCCAGGCCACGACCCGGCGCCCAGGCCCACTCGCCCTGCAGACTGGACAGACGAGGCCCGGGAGGGCCCAGGGCAGGCTCAGGGAGCCTCCGCGCCCGTCCAGCAGGGCCCCAGCAGGTCCGAGCGGCTGAGCCAGCCCGGCCCCTGTGGGCCCAACTGGCCTCGCGCCGGGCACATGGGCATGGCCAGGCCCAGCCAGAGAGCGGGGCCGTCTTGGCCAATGCCCCAGCGCGGGCAGCCCCAGGCCCAGGCCGGGCAGAGCAGGGGCAGCCCCCGATGGGCCCGGTCGCTGCGGCAACCGGCGTGGTGACAATGGCTGCCGTGGCATCACATGGGCGTGGCCAGCCATGGTCCCCCGGCGCCCCCCTGCGCTCTCCCCATTCCTGCCCCGTCCCCCCTGTGTCCCTCCCTGTGTCCCTCCCCGTGTCCCCCCCCGTGTCCCTAACCCTATGTCCTCGTGCTCCCCTTGCTCCCGTGTCCCCATCCAGGTGTCCCTGTCCTCGTGTGCTCGCCCCTGCGTCCCCGTGTCCCCATCCTTGTGTCCCTGTGTCCCCGTCCCCGTGTGCTCCTCCCCCTGCCCCTCCGTGCCCGTGCCCGTGTGCCCACCCCTGTGTCCCCGCCCCTGTGTGCCCGTGTCCCCATGCCCCTCCGTGCCCGTGCCCGTGTGCCCGCCCCTGTGTCCCCGCCCCTGCATCCCCGTGGCCCCCTGCACCTCCGTCCCCATCCCCGTGTGCCCACCCCTGTGTCCCCGTCCATGTGTGCCTGTGTCCCCCTGTCTCTCCGTGCCCGTGCCTGTGTGCCCGCCCCTGTGTCCCCGTCCATGTGTGCCCGTGTCGCCCTGTCTCTCTGTCCCCGTCCCTGTGTGCCCACCCCTGTGTCCCCGTCCCTGTGTACCCATGTCCCCACCATGCCTCTATGTCCCCAAGTTCCCCTGCCCCCGTGTGCCCGTGTCCCTCTTCCTGTGCCCCCGCAACCAGGGCTGCCTGTCCTGTGTTAAATAGAGCGGCCCCGGTCGGGCCTCTGCCCTCGTCCCCTCCTAAGCTTGGCCCCCCACCCCATGCGCCCGCCTCGGAGGCGCCAGACCCCCCTCTGCAGCTCCTGAGCGCCGGGGGTGGCACCAAGATGGCCGGGGAGGCGCGTCAGCCCATGAGGGCCCTGAGCATCTGGGTACGTCTGGGGGCACAGCCCTCCCAGTGCGGGGCCCGCGCCCGTGGGGTGGAGCGGGGCCTGACCACCTCGCGGCACCCAGGCTGGGCCCAGCCCATCCTCCCCCGGCGGCTCTGCCCCTCGGACCTCGATGCCCAGTGTGGAGGGCAGGAGCCCCAGTGGGCCCAGGCTCCAGCCCCGCCGTGGCGTCTGTGTGAGCGCGGGCACTGCAGCGGCGGCCACACACGGGTCCCCCAGGGGCTGGGGCTGGCACTCGCCATGGGGTGCGGGGTCCCCATGGGGTGCAATCCTGGCACGCGGGGCGCCCCAGCAGGGCAGGTGGACGAGGCTCCCCCTCCCGGGCCACGCAGGCCCCCACCCCGTGACCTGCCCCCAGGGCGCTGACAGCCCTTGGGCTCCCTCCGGGTGGCCCTTGGGGGGTCCCGGCGGCCGTGGGTCAGGAGCGACGCGCAGGGCCCAGGGGACCACAAAACGGGCAAATTGGACTCCAAAAGAATGGCGTCTTCGTGCGGTTTAAAGACGTAGCCGGAGCAGCGGCGTGCGGGTGGGAGAAAACACGGGCTGGCCACGCGGCCTGGACGGCCACTCTCGAGAGTGTGCTGGAGAGTCAGAAACTCAACAACAAACCCCAAGAGACTCCCCTGTCAAGGGCCCAATCAGCACACGGAACACGCGCGACGTCACCCGGCGTCAGGGCCGCGGGGTCGGAACCGCAGAGCCAGAGAAGGGGTGGGGAGGACGCAGAGGAGGACCAGGAGGGCCAGGGGGAGGAGGGGGAGGGCCAGAGGGAGGAGGGGGAAGGCCAGGGGGAGGAAGGGGAAGGCCAGGGGGAGGAAGGGGAGGGCCAGGGGGAGGACCAGGAGGAGGACCACAAGGCAGAGGCCCAGGAGGAGGAGGACGGGGGAGGGAGGGGGACATGGACATGCAGGGCCGGGGACAGCGCTGGGGGCACAGGACTCGCCCTGCAGGCCCCGCGCCCTCCGGCCTGGGGGTCAGAGCAGAGGGGCCGGCGGGGCGGCCGGGGTGTCTGCCGGGAGGCGCCGCGGGGCGAGTGCGGGGCAGGGCGTGCTCCCTGGGCGGCGGTGCGTGTGTGACCACAGCGTCGAGGCTGCGTCCACAGAGCGCGACAGACCCAGGCACGGGCCCGACCTCCACACGTGCCGTCAGGGACCCGACGGGCAAGCGTGAGAGCCGGGCGCAGGGACCCCGGGGATCCCCCGTCCGCCCGGGGGCCTGGCCAGCACCCGTCGCCCCTGCCTGCGCGGGCCCTCGCGCCCGGCGTCCGACGAGAGCACGGGGCGGGCCTCCGGGGGCCAGTGGCGGGGCCGGGGCCGGCGGCCTGCCCCCTGCCGGCCCGCGCAGACGCCCCAAAGCAGGCTGGGGTCTGCAGCAGCCGCGGCCTCTCTGCAGCGGGGTCACACCCGGGTCTCGCCCACAGGAGGAAGAGCGGATGGGGCCGGGGTCGTCCCCCAGGCACAGTGGCCAGATGGAGGCCGGGACGTGCTGACGCCGGCCCGGGGAGCCACGGCTGCGCCCAGCCGCAAGGGCCGCTGGACAACGCGGGGCCCATGCTCGGCGCGGCCGGCTCGGAGCTCTCACAGCGGGGAAGCCGCCGTCACCACAGCGGGGGCGCCCGGCAGTGCGGGAGGAGCCGCGCCCCCGGGGCCCTTCCCAGGAGAGCTTCAGCCCCGAGCCCGGGACGGGCAGACACCTTCTCGCCGGCCTGGGGTCCACGTGGCGTCCAGGGCGTCGGCCAGCGTGAGGCCAAGGCCGAACCACTCACCGAAGGGCCTGGACACGGGTGTAGCTCGTGGTAGCCGCTCCGGGCGTGGACAAGGCGTCCACCACGGCCAGCGGGGGCGGCCCAGTCGGGTCCTGGCCACACTCGCCAGCCCCCCCGCCCGGATTGAGTGACCCGACGCCAGCCATCGCGAGGGACAGGACCCCGGCTGGGCAACCTCACCGCACCGGCCGGGCCCGGCCACCTGCAGAGCCCCGGCAGGTGAGCGCAGGGGCAGGGCCTCTGCACAGGGGCCCGGGCCGCCCTGGGGCGGGGAGGCAGCAGCAGCCACAAAGGCCCTTGAGGGCCAGGCGGGGCCGAGAGGGAGCGGGGACTCCAGACCTGGTGGCTTCGGGATCTTCCGGGGCGCCCGGGACGGCTCTGGGGGGGCCTCTGCTCTGCTCGAGGGCCGTCTGGTGTCCGGCTCCGGCTCAATCACGGCTCCCCTCCAGCTGCAGGAGACGGGAGGCGCCGTCAGCCGGCACGAGGGCAGAGGCCAGCGCCGCGGCCCTCCCGCCGCCTCAGCCTCCCCGAGGGCCGGGGGCCGGCCGCCCCGCGACCCCGCCCCGCAGCCCACTGTGGAGACAACCCGGGGCCGAGGCCGCTCCGACTCCAGCGGCAGACGCGCCCACTGCCCGGCTCCGTACCTGACCACGGTCCTCCGCTCGCCGTCGTCCTGGCCCGCGCGGCCCGCCACTTCCTCCCTGCGCCGGGCCTCGCCCCGCCGGCCGCCCTGCGGGTCCCGGTCCGGGGCTCTCATCTGCAGGTTGGGGGGCCCCCCGCGGAGCTGCCTCTGCGGGTGCTGCTCACAACAAGACCCGGTGGTGGAACTGGCCGACGTCTGCGCGTGCTCTCGCCGCCGGGGTGCATCCCCGCAGCGCCGGGCCAGGGCCGGGCCGGAGCCAGGTTCTCACGTCTCCTGGAGGGGCCTCTGGCCCCAACCGCTCTCCCACCTCTGCCCACCCCCCGGGCTCCTTGGCCCACCGACCGCTCCCCAGCTCTGGGGCCTGCCCAGCGTCCCCTCGCAAGGGGCCAGCCCCTTCCCTGTCAGGGTGCACAGGGCCCCCCCGCCTGCCCTGGGCCCCGCCCCGCCTCCTCCACCCTCTCCGGGCTTCCCGGGCAGGGCAAGGCAGGGGCCGGCCCATTCCCCCGCTGCCCCAGGCTGCTCCCAGCTGCGCCCCGGAGGTTTCAGCCACCAGCCGGTGGACTCCGGAGGGTACGGGCCGCAACGAGCCGTCTCACTCTACCCGGAGGCGCCCGTTTGTGCCCTCGGCCTGGGCAGACCCCTGGGTAGGCGGTTCCTGTGAAGCAGTGCCCGAGGGAGGGCTGTCCTGGCTCCTGGCTGCCTGCTGCCCACAGCTGCACCTGCTGGAGCGGGGCCGCTCCTCGGGCCCTTCAGGGTTGTGATGGGCAGGGTCCAGAGGGCGCAGCCAGACCGGATGTTTCTCTTGCGCTGCTATGTCAGAGCTGACCGTGAGCCGGAGGTCTTGGTGGACTGCCCCGTGGGGGGAAGCAGCGCCGGGTGGGCACCTCTGGGCATCGGTGGGCCCATGGGCTTGAAGGTGCCTGAGCCTGGAGGCCAGAGCGTGCCTGTGAGAGCTCGTGGCGACGGAGGCCCACAGACAGCAGGGCCAGCTGGAGGAGTGAGGGCGGGGGCACTGCACCCTGGCATGAGAGTGGGGGCCTGTCCCAGAGCTGGGGCCCCGTGGGGCATTCTCACTGGGGCTCACTCCCCGCATGGGTTCAGGTGGCCTTACCCGTGACCGCTACCAAGCACTTCAAGGGTTAGCAGCCTCTCACTGGTTCTGCGGGAGCTGGAGCAGAGGAGACGCTTCCCAGTCATCTCGGAGGCTGTTACTGGCCTGTAGCCATGGGGCCAGCAGCCATGGGGACCCCAGTGGCCACAGATCCAGTTGCCATGGATGGGGGGCCACAGCAGCCACGGGGACCCCAGCAGCCACAGATCCAACAGCCACGGGGACCCCAGCAGCCACAGACCCAACAGCCACGCCATCACAGCTGCACACTTCCTCTAGAAAATCCGTCTGTGTCATGACCAAAGGGGTGTATTTCAGGGATGTGAGGGTGGTTTGACACTCAAGAATTCATGTCACATGCTACTTGTCGTCATGGAAGAAGATGTTATACAGGAAACACAAAAGCTACTCACTTTAATACATTAGAGATAGACATTTGATGGATCAATGCCCGCCCACAACAAATATTCTAATCAAGTTAGGGACAGAAAGGCCACCTGGTGAGAAGCCACAGCTGTCCATGCCGGCCTCTCCGGCCAGCGGGTAACCCCTATCGCGACGCCTGGTCTTGCCACGGCCGGGGTGCATGGGCTCTGTGAGGCGCGAAGGTGGCCCCAGGGACGGTGGGTTTAGAAATCCAGGAAGGAAGAAGGAAAGAAAGAAATTGGGGCCTCCCTGGGGGCACAGGGGTTAAGTCTCAGCCTCTGCAGCCTGAGCTCGACCCCCAGCCGGGAGTGACCCACAGGGCGCAGCAGACCTCCCCTGGCTCTGCTGCCCCCTCAGCAGCGGCTTTCAGTGGATCCGCCTGTCCTGGGGAGGTGAATCACCTCCCGCACTCTGGCCTGCCCCCCGTTCTTGTATGCATGAACACATGAATCTTAAAAAAAAAACGAGGTAAAATATAAATTTAAAAAATTTTAGAAAGGGTAAAAATGAATATTTTTTTATTTTTAAAGAAAACAATCCCAGGACAGGGCAGGGCAGGGACTTGCGGAGCCGGCCGCCGAGCTGCGGTCAGGTGAGCAGCAGCGACAGCACCCGAGCGCGGCCCGCCCCCGCACCCCCCGCACCCCGCACCCGCACCCCCCGCACCCCGCACCCCGCACCCCGGCGCAGGACACAGCCCCCGCCCACCCGGCCCCGCCCCGCCCTATAGGCCCCGCCCCCGGCCCCGGCCCCGCCCCGCCCCGGCGGGTCCCAGCTCCAGCTCGGCTCAGTTTTGCAAACGCCCACAGGCCGCCTGGCGGGGGGGGGGTGGGGGGGGTGGGGGGGGCGCAGGGGCCGCCGCAGCACCCAAGGGGGCAGGGAGGGGGGTCCACGTCTGCTCCTCGCCCGGGGGCCTGGGCGGCGGCGGGGTGACTGCTGGCCGCGCCCCACGCGGCTGCCGCTCCCCCAGGCGGAGGGGGAGCGTGCGGGGTCCCGAGGGCCCGCGGGGTGGGGCGGCGCGGCGCGTCTCCCCGCGACCCCGGTGCTCGGGTGCGGAGGCGCCGGCTGCAGCAGCGGCGCGGCGGGTCGCCCCAACAGCGGTTCCCGGGCGCCGAGCGCCAAGGGCCGGGGACGCGCCGCCGGGACCGCGGGGGCCAGGCCGGGGGGGGGCGGGCGCGCGGGGCGAGGCGCGCGCGGCGGGTCCGGGCTTTGTCCTGCGGGCGCCGCCGCGGGGGCTGCTCGCCCTCGGTTGCTGCGGGCGACCGCGCGTCACTGGCGGAGGCGGGCACCGCGGGCGCCGGGGGCGGGGGGCCGCGGGGCCGGGCGGAGGCAGAAGAGGACGCGCGCGGTCGGGGGAGTCAGCCTCGCACCCCCGGGGGGCAAGCGCTTCCGCCGCCCGTGGCCGCAGACGGGGCGCCCCGCGTGGCCCCCCTTGCCGGCCGGCGTCCCGACCCTCCGCCTCGCCGGCAGCCCCGCCTCTCCACGGGGTGGCCCCTGGACCCGCCTCGACCCCCGGGGGAGCCCGCCCACGCGGCCAGGCCGAGAGGGCCTCCCCCTCTTCTGGGCCTCCTGGAGGGGGAGCCCCGTCCCTCCCCCAGAGCCGCGAGTTAGGGCTCCTGCAGGCCCCGCGCCCGGGCTCGGACAGGCCCGGACCGCCGGCGCCGCGGAGAGCGCGCCCCGCCAGACAGGAGCCCGCCCCGCCCCGCCCCCCGCCCCCCGCTCGCGCGCGGGCACCCCGCTCCGCCCCGGCCCGCCCCCCGCTCCGCCGCGGGCCCGCCGCCCCGCACCCCGCTCGCGCGCGCCCGGCCCGCCGGTGCCCGCGGAGCGCAGGCGCGCACTCGGCTCGGCGGCGGGAGGCGGGGGCGGCGGGAGGGCGGCGACGTCGGCCCGGCTCGCGGCTCCGCGGCTGCCGCAGACGCCGCCGCGTCGGGACCGGAGCGCGCAGCCCGGAGCAGCGCCGCGTCCCCTGCCCGCGCCGGGCCGGCCCCGCTCAGCACCGCGGACAGCGCCGCCGCCGCGGCCCATGCGCACCATGCGCCTGCTGCCGCTCGCGCTGCTCGTGTCCTGCTCCGTGGCCCGCGCCGCCTGCGACCCCAAGATCGTCAACATCGGCGCGGTGCTGAGCACGCGCAAGCACGAGCAGATGTTCCGCGAGGCCGTGAACCAGGCCAACAAGCGGCACGGCGCCTGGAAGCTGCAGCTCAACGCCACCTCCGTCACGCACAAGCCCAACGCCATCCAGATGGCCCTGTCCGTGTGCGAGGACCTCATCTCCAGCCAGGTGCGCCCGCGCGGCTCTCCCGGGCGGGCGGCGGGCGGGCGGGGCGCGCGGCCCCCCGCGGGGTGACTGCGCCCTGGCGGCCGCGGGGCGCCGGCGGGGGGCGGGGGCCGGGGGGCACGGGAGGGACCCGGACTTGCGCCAGGGCCGGCGGGGCTGTCTTTGTTCCGCTCTGGCTCCGCCGCCCGCGGCCGCCAAGGACGCAGGGGGCACAGCGGCGGGCGGGGCGGCGGCAGGGAGGCGGCGGGGACCGCCTGGAGAGCCGTCTCCCCCAGAGGCAGCGGCGCCCCACGGCTGGGGGGAGCAGAACAGCTTACGTAAGCAGAGCCCCGCCGCCCCCGCGGCGCACACTTGCTCGCTGGCGCGTGCGAGGGACACGTGGGCCGCCGCCCGCACAGTCGTGCACAGCGCCCGGCACACTGCGCCTGCTCACTCCGCCCCCAGGGCACACACGCAAGCACGCGTGCTCACACGGTCACAGGGAGGGGGCGGCGCGAGGTGTCCAGAGAGGACCCCTTCTGGGGAGCCGTCCCTCCAGCTCCCCGTTGTGAGATCTGTGGGTTCTGTCACCTCAGAGCGCAGCCAGCGCCAGGAGCTGGGGGTGGCGCAGCTGCGCCCCACGGGCGGCACGCAGGCCCTCTCTGGCACTGGATGGGGCAAGCGGATGGAGGGGTGCAGGTCCTCCCTCGAGCATGTGCAGGAACACCCCCCGCTCCCACCCTGCCTGGCTGCACACAGGTCGCAGGACCTAGTCCCAAGGCCCCGCTGGGTGTCTCTGCCCCACCTTCCCGTCCCGGGCGCGTGGTCAGAGCTCAGAGCTGGCCCTGGTCGCGCGCCAGCTGGACTGAGACTGGCCCCAGGAGCCACTTGCACAGCGATGGGCATCCAGGGCACCTTCCGGCACCTCCTCCTGTGCCCACCTGCAGCACCCAGTACCTCTGGCGCGCAGGGGGTGGGCCGGGGCCCGAGGCCTCTGTCCACACGAGGCAGGGGCAGTGGCTGCGCTTCTCCTGCAAGGGTCTCAGGCCCCGTCAAGGCTTCTTTCCTGCAGGCAGGAGGGTCCACATGTCCCCCAGCCCAGGACTGGCTCTGCCCCACGCAGGGCTCCTGCGCGCTCCAGCCGTGCGGCGCTCTGGCCCAGCCTGGTGGGTGTGTCCTGGGCCCCAACGGCCACTGCTTCTGGCCATTCGCTCCTGGGCAGCGCTGGCCTGGCCTGCGGAGTCACCTGTGTCTCCTGTCCACAGGTCTATGCCATCCTGGTTAGCCACCCGCCCACCCCGAATGACCACTTCACGCCCACCCCCGTCTCCTACACGGCCGGCTTCTACCGCATCCCCGTGCTTGGGCTGACCACGCGCATGTCCATCTACTCCGACAAGGTGGGTCCTGCTGCCGCCGCGCTGCCACCGGGGCCCCGGGGACACCAAACCCCCCACACCCCACACACTCACCCCACACCCCACACTCACCCACACCCCACACACCCCACACACTCACCCACACCCCACACTCACCCCATACCCCACACTCACCCCACGCACTCACCTCACCCCCCACACTCACCCCCCACCCCACACACCACACACCACACACCCACACGCTCGCCTCACACCCCACACCCTCATCCCACACCCACACACCCCCCCACGTACTCACCCTCATCCCACATACTCACCCCACACCCCCCACACTCACACACTCACCCCGCACCCACCCCACACACTCACCCCACACTCTCACACGCACTCTCACACACACTCACAATTCTCATATTCACACATATTCATGCCCACACACTCACCCCTCACACACACTTACAAACATACCCACACATTCACACCCTCACACACACCCGCACACACACACTCGCAGCCTCACGGACACCCAGTAATGCACACTCACACCCGCAACACACAACTTCACAAACACAGATAAACCTGCAAAGGCGCACGCGTGTGCGGTCACCGTGTGTGCAGTCTGGGGACCCCGCACTGGGGCGCAGGGGGAGGAGGGGCAGCTCCGTGGACTGAGGGAACCTGGGCTGGGCCAAGCTCCTGCCAGCGCCTGGGGAGACCCGTCTGCTGGGGTGCAGGCTGGGAGCCGGAGCACCCCGCGGCCTGCTTCACCCCACTCCGGGCCTGGGATCCCCACAGACAGACCACAAGGGCCACGGGGCAGGAACCCCAGCTCTGGGCCAGAGCCGAGGGCCGGAGAGCCGCCGGGCCGCCCCGGGGCCCCTTTCTCCAGGGGTCTCCACCAGAGCCGGGAGCCCTAGAAAGAGCTGCCCCTGCTCGGCCCGGCGGGGGACCAGCCCCCTCCCCTCGGAGGGAGAACAGGGTGCGCCTGGCCCTCCGGGGCAGGACTGGCCTCCCCCCCCCCCCCCCCCCCCCCCCCCCCCCCCGCTGCCCGCCCTCCCCGCGCCCCCGCCCCCCTCGCTGGCCGGGTCAGCTCCGGCAGGTGCCCGCCCCATCCCCCACCCACCCACCCGGCCCCAAGCCCCACGGAGCCGGGGCCGCCAGCACCCGCAGACAGGGCCGCCCCAAGCCCGGCACGGAGTCGCGGGGGTCTGGGACCAGCCGGAGGGTTCCGAGCGCGGGGCCCCCCGGGTCCGCCCCCGCCCCCAGGCCGCCTCTCTGCCAGGCGGAGCCCGCCCCACGGCCGGGGCGGGAGCAGGGCCAGCGCGAGCGAGAGCGGGCGCGGAGGGGGCGCGGGGCGAGCGGAGGGGGCGCGGAGGGGGCGCGGAGGGGGCGCGGGGGGGGCGCGGAGGGGCATGGGCGCGCGCGGAGGGGCGCGGAGGGGGCGCGGAGAGGCGTGGGCGCGCGCGGAGGGGGCACGGAGGGGCGCGGAGGGGGCGCGGGAGGGGGCGCGGGAGGGGGCGCGGAGGGGGCGCGAAGGGGGCGCGGGAGGGGGCGCGGGAGGGGCGCGGAGGGGGCGCGGAGAGGCGTGGGCGCGCGCGGAGGGGGCGCGGAGGGGGCGCGGGAGGGGGCGCGGAGGGGCGCGGGGAGGGGGCGCGGGAGGGGGCGCGGAGGGGGCGCGGAGGGGGCGCGGGAGGAGGCGCGGGAGGGGGCGCGGAGGGGGCGCGGGAGGGGGCGCGGAGGGGGCGCGGGAGGGGGCGCGGAGGGGGCGCGGGAGGGGGCGCGGAGGGGGGCGCGGGAGGGGGCGCGGAGGGGGCGCGGAGGGGGCGCGGAGGGGCGCGGGAGGGGGCGCGGAGGGGCGCGGAGGGGGCGCGGAGGGGGCGCGGGAGGGGGCGCGGAGGGGGCGCGGGAGGGGGCGCGGAGGGGCGCGGAGGGGGGCGCGGAGGGGCGCGGGTGGCGGGCGGGAGCGCTCACCCCGCGCCGCCCGCCCGCAGAGCATCCACCTGAGCTTCCTGCGCACGGTGCCGCCCTACTCGCACCAGTCGAGCGTGTGGTTCGAGATGATGCGCGTGTACAGCTGGAACCACGTCATCCTGCTGGTCAGCGACGACCACGAGGGCCGCGCGGCGCAGAAGCGCCTGGAGACGCTGCTGGAGGAGCGCGAGTCCAAGGTGCGCGCGCCCCGCGGCCCGGCGTCCGTGCTCGTTGTGCCTCTCTCTCATCCGCATGCGCCCCCGGCCTGTCCTGGTCATCTCACCCGCTTTCGCCATTAGTCGAAATCTCCTTCGTGTCGAACCCTGCGGGGCGAAGGCTGGACCTCCTGGAGCTCCGCAAACACCCTCCGCCCCCCCGCCCCCCCGCCCACAGCCAGCGCCCCGCCCACAGCCAGCGCGCCCCGCCCCCGCCCCGCCCACAGCCAGCGCGCCCCGCCCACAGCCAGCGCCCCGCCCCCGCCCCCGCGAGGAAGCCGTGCCCCCCCCATACGCCCTGCCACGCCCACACCCTTGCCCGCGCCAGAGCCCAGCCCCGCCCCGCCCCCACCGCCCCGCCCCTCCACGACCCACCCACAGCCCACTCCCCGCCCCTCCCGCACCCCCTCCCCGCCTCGCCTCTCCCACGCCCGGTCCGGGCCGCCCCACAGGCCCCACAACCCCAGTCTTAGAGCTCGGGCGCCGCCGCCTGGGGCTCAGCGGCCTGACCGAGGCCCCGCCACGCCGCGTGCCCGCCCAGACACCCACCCACGCCCTCCCCCGGCCTCCTCCTCCCCCACGCACAGCTGCCCATCGCGCCCCCGGGAGCCCATCGCCCCAATGCCACCCCCATCCCAGCCTGGGCCTCGGCCCCCCGCTGGCCAGCTGAGCCCTGCCCCGGGGCGGCCTCCCACTCGCGGGCCACGCGCCTGCCGGGGCGCTGACCAGAGGAGGCGTTCTGGGGTCCCGGCGACCCCGCGCTCTCCCGGGTCACCGCGTGGCAGCCTGAGGAGGAGAGGGCGCCGGACAGGCCACGTCCCTCGGGCACCCAGACCCCCAGCACCCACGATCCCTCCACCCCCCCCTGCCCCGCCCACCCGGCCACGCACAGACCACGCCCGCCAGGGGACCACGCCCACCCGGGCCACGCCCAGACCACGCCCCCGGCCACGCCCAGCCACGCCCAGCCACGCCCACCCGGGCCTCGCATAGACCACACCTGGGGCCGCGCCACGCGGGCCACGGCAGAGAGGGCGGGTCCAGGCTGGGAGGGCCAGGGCGCCCGGCCGGGGGAGCGTGTCCTGCCGCCTGGTCAGGGCTGCCGCCCCCGAGGGCCCCCCAAGGCCCTGAGGCCCCAGAGGGCAGACCCAGAGGGTTGGGAGGGTCCCGCGGGGCTCAAGGGGGAAGGGCTGCGGCCGCCCCCGGTCCGCCCGCCCAGACACCCCGCAGCACCTCGCCGCACGCGCCCGCACACCCGGGCTCGGGGCACCCCTGCGCCCCGACAGCAGGCGCCCGCGCAGGAGCAACGCCCGCACGAGCCCCCACGCCGCACATGCCCCGCACACACCTCCGCACGCCCCACATGCCCCCACACACCCGCACGCGCCCCCCACATGCCCCCCGCACGCGCCCGCACACGCCCGCATACGCGCCCCGCACGCGCGCGCACATGCCCCCACACGTCCCCGCATGCCGCACACGCCCCCGCACGCTCCCGCACACGCCCCCGCACACGCCCTCGCAGGCCCGCACACGCCCCACATGCTCCACATGACCCGCAGGCCCCACACGCCCACACACGTCCCACATGCCCCCAACATGCCCCCACGAGCCCACATGCCCCCTACATGCCCCCACACGCCCCACATGCTCCACATGCCCACACACACCCGCACACACCCCACATGCTCCACATGACCCGCAGGCCCCACACTCCCACACATGTCCCACATGCCCCCAACATGCCCCCAAGAGCCCCACATGCCCCTACATGCCCCCACACGCCCCACATGCTCCACATGCCCACACACACCCGCACACGCCCCACATGCTCCACATGACCCGCAGGCCCCACACGCCCACACACGCCCCACATGCCCCCAACATGCCCCCACACGCCCCACATGCTCCACATGCCCGCACACGACCCCCGCAGTCCCCCACACGACCCCGCATGCCACACACACCCACACACGCCCCCACACGCCCGCACACATCCCTGCATGCCCCGCACACACCTCCTCATGCCCCTGCACACCCCACACACCCGCACACGTCCCTGCACGACCCCACACGCCCACACAAGTCCCCACATGACCCCACATGCCCCCACATGCCCCCGCACGCTCCACATGCCCCGCACACACTTCACAAACGCCTGCACACACACCACATGCCCCACACACCCACACATGTCCCTGCACACCCCGCACTTGCCCGCACAAGTCCCCACATGCTGCCGCCCACCCCACACACGTCCCCACAGGCCCCGCACACACCCCACACAACCAACATGCCTGCACACGTCCCCACATGCCCCCACATGCCCTGCACACACCCACACAGGCCCCACATGCCCTCAAATGCCCCCACACGATGCACACGTCCTGCACATCCCCACATGCCCCACACACGTCCCCACTCTCCCGGCACATGCCCCACACGTCCCCATACTCCCAGCACATGCCCCGCACATGCCACACACGTACCCGCATGCCACACATGCCCCACACATGTCCCCGCATGCCTCACACATGTCCCCACACACCCGCCCATGCCCCACATACCCCACACACATCCATGAATGCCTCACACCCCCACACGCCCTCACATGCCCCCCCACACACACACATGCCCCACACAGGCCTACAAATTCCCGCACACACCTGCACATGCCCCACACACCCACACACACCCCACACACCTGCACATGCCCCACACACGCCCTCAAATCCCTGCACAAGTCCCCGCATGCCCCGTACACGCCCCCACACACCCGCAATGCTCCCACATGCCCACACATGCTCTCACATGACCACACACGTCCCACAGCCCTACACACTCCCCCACAAGTCCTCACATGCCCCCACATGCCCCACACCTGCACATGCCCCCATACACCCACACACATCCCACACACCACATATGCCCCCATGCACCCCGCACACACCCCCATATGGCCGCACATGCCCCCCACACAACCGCACATGCCACATATGCCTGCACATGCTCCACACATGCCTGCACATGCCCCACACATGCCTGCGGACACAGTGCATGGCACACACATGCAAGCACAGGGGAGCACACCCATACATGCACTCAGACACACACACACCATGGGCACAGTGCAAGGGCACACACGTGCGCACACACGAACACACACATCAACGCAGGGCGCACATGCATTACACTGTGTGTTACCTGCCGGTGCACACAAACACGAAAGCAGAAGCACACACACAAACATGTGCATGGTGCGAAGCACACACATGCACACCACCCAGCACAGCACCCACAAACACGTGCACGTGTGCACACAGTGGCACATGTGCGCACATGTGCGTTTGCTTGCACTGGTGTGTTTGTGCTGTGTACACACGTGTGCGTGTGTGCATGCTTACACAGAAGTGTTCAGTGGCACTGGCCATCACGCCTCCCTCTTGGGCTATGTGGGCAAGCACCCCGAGCCGCTACCCAGGGCCCCCCAAGCCGGTACCCAGGTCCCCGCCCTCACCATAGACGCTGCCTGCACCACCTGGTCCCCACGCCCCAGTACATCACGGGGCCAGGGTCACGGAAAGGCAGTGGGAACAGACCCCCAGGCTCCAGAAGGCAGAAAGGAGACTCCCGAGTGGGGATGTAGGGAACAAGGCACAAGGGGGTGCTGTCACCCCATTCAGGCCTGACGCAGGCACCCCATGGCACACAGCACCCCACACTGCAGGGCCACACCGCAGGCGCATGCAGGGTGGGGTGGAGGAGGGACGCCAAGGGGCGCGCCCTGCTCAGGTGGGACAGGGCCGCCCTCCCTCCCGAGCGTGAGCACCTGCCAGAGCGCGGCTCGGGGCGCCGCTGGCCCCGTGCACCCCCCCACCCCCGCCCCACCGCCCCGGGGAGGTGTTTGCGAGCTCCAGGCCTGCAGACCTGCCGAGGAGGTGGTGTGATTGCTTTAGCGCCGTCATTTTCAACCGTTTATAATCTTCTTCTGTGTCTGCATATTTTCTCTGTGCACATTATTCATCAGAGTAAAAACAGGAACTATGAAAACCTCGGCCAACTGTCCTATGACCACAAGCGCGGACCCAAGGTATATATGCATGGACCTGCACGCCACCCACCGACTAGGGCCGGCTCGGCGCTCACCTCGGGCCGCCGTCCAGCCGCGCCGCACGCAGGCTGCGCAGAGCGAGGTCGTGAGGCAGGCAGTGCAGGCAGGACAGGGCCGCTGCGGGCCACCCCTGCGCCCACCGCGGCCTCGGTCGGGGCTGCGCCAGAGGCAGGCCCAGCGCAGGAGGAGCTGCTCTCGGGGAGTGCATGCAAACCTCTGGGGTCCCCGGGGTTTCCTCGTGGAACCCAGGAGGGGCCGCCCGCCCGCCCGCCGAGCTGGCCGCGCCCGCAGGGCCTGCAAACCGGGCCGAGAGGACAGCCCGTTGTGGAAAAGTCGGCCCCGTCTACTCCCGGTTGCGTTCCAAAACTCCTGATTCCTGTCCGCTGCACGCCTCTTCCTGAGACTCGGCCCACGTCAGCTTGCATGCTCAGCGCACAGTGAGAGCAGGAGTGAGCGGAGCGCCGCCCCAGGCGGCGCAGGAGCGCGAGCAGGACGAGCGTGCTGGGCAGGCAGAGTGGAGCGAGCAGGCAGGTGGACAGCGCAGGTGGCAGGTGCAGGCCACGGCAGCCCTAGCTCAGCTGCCTCGGGGTTCCTAGCGGCTGCGGCCACTGCTCGCCCTGGAGGCACCCCGTCCCCGCCAAGGCCACGGCTAACACTGTCGCTCACACCACAGGCGGAGAAGGTGCTGCAGTTTGACCCTGGAACCAAGAACGTGACGGCCCTGCTGATGGAGGCGCGAGAGCTGGAGGCCCGGGTCATCATCCTCTCGGCCAGGTGAGGCAGTGCCGGCTGCCCCGCACCCAGGGCTGCCGTGTCAGCTTCCTAATGTCTTTGGCAAAGAGCATGCATGTACGCACGCACAAGCACACAGTCTGTGTGCACGCACATGTGTGTGCACGTGCGGGCAGGCACACGTGTGAACATGCATGTACACATACACACGTGAACACCTACAGACATTTCCGTGTCGAATGTACCTACATACGTGTATGTGTGTGCACGTATACATACAGACACACGCACACGCACATACATTTCCGTGTAGAATGTACATACATGTGTGTGCACAGACACGTGCGCGCACACACTCACATACACGTACACACACTTCCGTGTAGAACATACATGCATGCACATGTGCACACGTACGCGCATGCATGCAGACACGTGCGCAAGTATGCCCACGTGCGCACTCACACCTGGGCGCCTGGCCACGCTGCGCCCTCGCGTCCAGCCTCCCCGCCTCTTTGGTTCCAGCTGCTCTTGCCGCTGGCCGTGGGCTGGCGCGGGGGCGAGCGGCGGCGGGGTCCTGCCCCGGGGAGTCACAGCTTGGGGTGCGGGGCCAGGGGCCAGTCACCCGAGGGGAGGCGGCATGTGTGCAGGTGAGCCGGGGAGGACCGCGGCAGGCTGAGGAATTAGAGCATCGTCTGGCAGCGCGAGGGGGACCCCAGGGGGAGCCCCGTGAACACCCGCGCCCCTGGACGGCGGCCGCTCCCGGCCCCAGGGACACGCCGGGGAGACGCTCCGTGCGCAAATGGCCACGCGCCCCCGGGAAGGGCAGGGCCAGGCCCCCGGGGCAGGAGCGAGAAGAGGTGGCCCCAGGCACGGCAGGGTCACCCCAGCCCGGGGCACGCCCCGACACTGCGTCCAGCGCTGCGGAGAACGGCAGCGGCCCGCGGGCAGGCAGGGGCGGCAGGGGCTGCCCGCCGCGCCCCGCTTTGAAGGAGGCAAACCGGAGCTCAGGGTCACGGCCCGCTGACGGGTCCTCAGCCCTGGGCAGTGCGGGAGAGGCTGGGGGAAAGGGTGAGCGCGAGCCCAGCGCGGGTGGGACACAGGGCCCCGGGGCACGCTCCGCGGAGCTCGAGCCCACGCAGGGAGAGCCCCGCCCACGGGAGCCCCGCCCCAGCCAAGCCCCGCCCGGGAACCGCCCCCCCAACCAAGCCCCGCCCCAACCAAGCCCCGCCCACGGAAGCCCCGCCCCGGCCAAGCCCCGCCCATGGAAGCCCCGCCTCGGCCAAGCCCCGCCCCAGCCAAGCCCCGCCCACGGGAGCCCCGCCCCAGCCAAGCCCCGCCCGGGAAGCTCCTCCCCAGCCAAGCCCCGCCCATGGGAGCCCCGCCCATGGGAGCCCCGCCCCGAGAGCCAGCCCCGCCCCGCCTCTTCCTTTCTTTCCAGACCCTGGCTCGGCCTCCCGCAGAGGAGCCGCGGGTGGGCTGGAGCCGCGGGGTGGGTGGGCTGGAGCCGCGGGGTGGGTGGGCTGGAGCCGCGGGTGGGCTGGAGCCGCGGGGTGGGCGGGCCGTGGGCAGGCGTCGGGCGAGCGGACGCGGCTCGCTGTGGACGGCCCATGCGCCCAGGACAGAGCAACTCCACGCGCATCACCCCGAACCCGTGCTCAGGTGCCGGGCGCTTTTGCAAAGGGTGAGATCCCACGGGGGGCGGGGGGGGCGGCGAGGGGGCACGGGCTGACGGGCGTGGCCGTTTCACGGCAGCGAGCGCCCAGTGAGGCCGTCCCTGCCCGGCCCGGAGGGGCCTCTGCCCTGCTTTCTCCCCGGTCCGCGAGCGCCCTCCGTGTCCAGGCGAGCCGGTCGCAGGCTGTGGTGAGGACTTGCGGACGGTCAGCTGGGAGGGCCCGGGGCGCTGCGGGCGCCCCCACACCTGCGTGTGAGCACGGCCAGAGCGGGACAGCGGGTGCAGCCCAGAGGTGAGCCCCCGCCCAAGAGCGTGGCAGGACACACGCACACACACAGCCACACACGCGCACATGTCCACACGCACACACACACCTGGCCACACGCACACACCCCTCCACACGCACACCTTCCACACTCATGCACATATGCCGCAACGCACAGATACAGCTTCACATGTGATCATACGTGCGTGCACATGGCCACAACCCACTCACGCCCACATGCATCCATGCACGTTCACACGCACACACGTGTACACATGCACAGGCCCACAACCCTCCACAGACCACACACACGCAACTACTCCCACATATGCATTCATGCAGGGCACACACGCCCACGTCCACACATCTGCACACCCCCACCTCCCCACACGTACACGTATGCCACCCACACAAGTACACACACCACATAACCCTACACGCACGTGCACACATGTCCATACACATGTACAGTTGCACCCACGTGTTCAGATATATACACCCCCTTCCACACACGCACACACATGTCCACACACATAACACATGCATCCACATACTCATCCATGTATGTTCACACAGTACAAACTCGCACATGCCCTCCACGCAGCACACACATGTGCACACATCCATGCACATGCATACACTGCCACAAAGGTACATGCACTCGCACATGTGCACACATCCACACATATTCCCACACACCAGCACATGTGTGCACACACCTACACATATAGGCAAATGCCCTCCCCACACAAATGCACACATAGCCCTCCACATGTGCTTACAACCTGTACACATATCCACAGGAGCCCACACGTCCACACACACCTCCACACACGGACACATACACATGCCGGTCCATATACATTCACATATCCCCACACACCCGCCTATGTGTGTGCACAACTCCACACGCCATCTACAACACAAGCGCCTTGACCGCACACATGTGCACACACGCGAACGCCACACAGGCACGTGGCTCACACGTGCCCCTCGCAGGCCCTCGCACATGTGGCACACACGGCTCCTTCCCAGCATGCGGTCAGGATGGGCGGTGCCAACCGAGCTGAGACAGCTGCAGGGCACCCCCACCCCTAGAGCTGCACAGGCCTGAGGCTGGGGTCAGCCGGTGGCAGTCGAGACTCCACCCAGCACACAGCCTCCCCATGCACACTGCAGACACTCAGGCACACCTATACACCCGTGTGCACGCGTGTCACCTACTCTGCACACCCACCAAGACACGTGCACCCCACTGCCCCCGAGCAGCAGCGTGCATGCCCACTGCATGCCCACGGCGCATGCGCCACACACTGCTGTGCATGCCCAGGCAGGGGCAGGCACTGGCCTCTTGGCCCTGGCGCTGCACCCGGACCCGCATGGCCATCCATCAGGCAGGCGAGAGGCTGTCCCTGCTGGAGCCTGCCGCAGAGCACAGGGCAGGGTGGGGGGCACAGGTCTTGGCAGCTGCAGAGCCTCCAGCAGTGACAGGCAGGCACAGGTGTGCGCCCATGTGAGCTGAGCCGCACACACCTGAGCCCCCGTTGGAGGCGGTGCCCAGTGTGCCTGGCGAGCTCGCTGGATGTGCTCAGCTGGGTAATGGGGTGGCACTGCCGGCACACCCCCACGCTGTGGTGCTTGCAGCTCTTCCCAGACACGCTGTGCCAGGAATAGTCCAATGCTTGGGCCACCTGTGCTGTCTGTGCCCAGTAGCCCATGTTTGGAGATGCAAACACCTCCTGGCATCAGGTGCCAGGTCCAGCCTGGCAGGGTAGGGACGGCGGAAGCAGGGAGAGGGTCCCCTGGGACTAGGTGCGTGGGCTGGCCTGTGAGGACACCCCAAGAGCTCAGGGCCCTGTGTGTGGGTGCCGCAAGGGGCGGCCGCGTCTCCCCCAGGGGCTCGGCCACTGCCTCTCACCAGCCCCGGAGCCTCCAGCCCCTCATCGCAACCGGTTGGGCCGGGCCGCGGGGGTGGCAGGAGCGCGGCTGAGGTGGCCGGGGCAGCACACACCTGGCTCTGCCTCCGCCCGCCGCCCAAGCCCCAGGCACACCCCCCCGCCCGGGAGGACCCAGCAGCACCCCGCCCACGCGGCGCCCCGGGCCGAGCCTGCCAGTGCCCCTGCCCTGGGGGCTGTGCTGCCCAGTGCGGCTGGGGGCCATCACCCGCCTCCAGCCCTCCAGGAGGGGCGCGCGAGGGAGGCGGGCGCCGGCCTGGGCCGGGCGGCCCGCGCGGCTGGAGTCGGCCGTCAGCCCGCTCTGCCCCGCAGCGAGGACGACGCGGCCACCGTGTACCGCGCGGCCGCCATGCTGAACATGACCGGCGCGGGCTACGTGTGGCTGGTGGGCGAGCGCGAGATCTCCGGGAACGCGCTGCGCTACGCCCGGACGGTGGGTGCCGGGCGGCGGGGGGGGGGCGGGGGGGGCCGCGCGGGGCGCGCTCAAGGCCGCGCTCCGCAGGCATCATCGGGCTGCAGCTCATCAACGGGAAGAACGAGTCGGCGCACATCAGCGACGCCGTGGGCGTGGTGGCGCAGGCCGTGCACGAGCTGCTGGAGAAGGAGAACATCACCGACCCGCCGCGGGGCTGCGTGGGCAACACCAACATCTGGAAGACCGGGCCGCTCTTCAAGAGGTGGGCGGCGCCGGGCGGGGCCCTCGGTGGGCGGGGCCTCTCGGGGTGGGCGGGGCCACCCTTCAAGAGGTGGGCGGCGCCCGGGGGCGGGGCCTCTCGGTGGGCGGGGCCTCTCCGGGGTGGGCGGGGCCGCCCTTCAAGAGGTGGGCGGCGCCCGGGGCGGGGCCTCTCGGTGGGCGGGCCTCTCCGGGGTGGGCGGGGCCGCCCTTCAAGAGGTGGGCGGGCCTCTGGGGCGGGGCCTCTCCGGGTGGGCGGGGCCTCTCCGGGTGGCGGGGCCTCTCCGGGTGGGCGGGGCCTCTCCTGGGGGCGGGGCCGCTCTTCAAGAGGTGGGCGGGCTCTCCTGGGTGGGCGGGCCGCTCTTCAAGAGGTGGGCGGTGCCCGGGGCGGGGCCTCTCGGGTGGGCGGGGCCTCACCGGGGTGGGCGGGGCCGCTCTTCAAGAGGTGGGCGGTGACCAGGCGGGGCCTCTCGGGTGGGTGGTGCCTCTCCGGGGTGGGCGGGGCCGCTCTTCAAGAGGTGGGCGGTGCCCGGGCGGGGCCTCTCTCGGTGGGCGGGGCCTCTCCGGGGTGGGCGGGGCCGCTCTTCAAGAGGTGGGCGGCGCCCGGGCGGGGCCTCTTGGTGGGCGGGGCCCTCCGGGGTGGGCGGGGCCGCCTTCAAGAGGTGGGCGGGCACTCTGGGGCGGGGCCTCTCCGGTGGGCGGGGCCTCTCCGGGTGGGCGGGGCCTCTCCTGGGGGCGGGGCCGCTCTTCAAGAGGTGGGCGGGCTCTCCTGGGTGGGCGGGGCCGCTCTTCAAGAGGTGGGCGGTGCCCGGGGCGGGGCCTCTCGGGTGGGCGGGGCCTCACCGGGGTGGGCGGGGCCGCTCTTCAAGAGGTGGGCGGCGCCCGGGGCGGGCCTCTCGGTGGGCGGGGCCTCTCCGGGGTGGGCGGGCCGCCCTTCAAGAGGTGGGCGGCGCCCGGGGCGGGGCCTCTCGGTGGGCGGGGCCTCTCCGGGTGGGCGGGGCCGCCCTCAAGAGGTGGGCGGCGCCCGGGGCTGGGCTCTCGGTGGGCGGGGCCTCTCCGGGGTGGCGGGGCCGCCCTTCAAGAGGTGGGCGGCGCCCGGGGCGGGGCCTCTCGGTGGGCGGGGCCTCTCCGGGGTGGGCGGGGCCGCTCTTCAAGAGGTGGGCGGCGCCCGGGGCGGGCCTCTCGGTGGGCGGGGCCTCTCCGGGGTGGGCGGGCCGCTCTTCAAGAGGTGGGCGGTGCCCGGGGCGGGGCCTCTCGGTGGGGGGGGCCTCTCCGGGGTGGGCGGGGCCGCCCTTCAAGAGGTGGGCGGGCACTCTGGGGCGGGGCCTCTCCGGGTGGGCGGGGCCTCTCCGGGTGGGCGGGGCCTCTCTGGGGGCGGGGCCGCTCTTCAAGAGGTGGGCGGGCTCTCCTGGGTGGGCGGGGCCGCTCTTCAAGAGGTGGGCGGTGCCCGGGGCGGGCCTCTCGGGTGGGCGGGGCCTCACCGGGGTGGGCGGGGCCACTCTTCAAGAGGTGGGCGGTGACCGGGGCGGGCCTCTCGGGTGGGTGGGGCCTCTCCGGGGTGGGCGAGGCCGCTCTTCAAGAGGTGGGTGGTGCTCCGGGGCGGGGCCTCTCTGGGTGGTGGGGCCTCTCTCCGGGGTGGGCGGGGCCTCTCCTGGGGGCGGGGCCTCTCCTGGAGGCGGGGCCGTTCTTCAGAGGTGGTGGGGGGCTCTCCTGGGTGGGGGGGCCTCTCTGAGGGTGGGTGGGTCCTCCTCTAGGGCAGGCGGGGCCTCTCGGGTGGGCGGGGCCGCTCTTCAAGAGGTGGGCGTGGCCTCTCCGAGGGTGGGCGGGGCCTCCTCTAGAGTGGATGAACCTGTTCTGGCGCAAAGATGGGCTGGGCTGCTCCAAGAAGTGGGAGTAGCTGCTCCCACAGCTCACGGGGGGCTCGCCTCCCAGCCCCCCGGCCATCTCCACGCCGACCGCCATCTGCCCTGTTTCCACACCAACACCTGCCACACGCTGAGGTGCTGGCCCAGGGCTCCGGCTCCCCTCCCCTGCCCCACCCCAGGGTGGCTGCCAGCGACTGGGCGGAGGCTCCTGCTGAGATGGGGACTGGGAGCTTCCGGGGACCCAGCAGGCCAGATAATGCGCCCAGGGGTGGCCCCGAGCCCCCAGTGGATGGTCCCGATCAGGCGGAGCTAACTCGGCCCCTCGGATCCCACGCCCGGGTGGTGCGGGCCAGCCCTTCACGAGGCCCCCTGGAGGAGCAGCGAGCGGAGTCGCTGGGCAGAGCCCCTGGTGCCCGCACAGTGGCACCCGGCAGGCGGGGACGGCGGCACCAGACTTGTCCTTAGGCTCTGCCGCGGCTCTGGAGGCCGCCTGGCGCTCGGGCCACGCGGCCGTGCTGTCCTGGGGCCCGGGCACTAGAGCAGGTCACTGCCCTGATGCCCGTTCTTGGGAGGGAGCGGGAGGGGCATGTGCGTTCCAGAGCGGGGCGACCCCGAGGCTCCCGCCTGCCTCCCCAGGGTGCTGATGTCCTCTAAGTACGCCGAGGGCGTGACCGGCCGCGTGGAGTTCAATGAGGACGGGGACCGCAAGTTCGCCAACTACAGCATCATGAACCTGCAGAACCGCAAGCTGGTGCAAGTGGGGGTTTACAACGGCACCCATGTAGGTGGGGGTCATGAGGGGGTGGGGGCTGGGGCCTTAGGGTCCCGGGGCCAAGACCCCTGCGTGGCCACCCTCCATCTCATACTCCCACCCCCAGGTCATCCCCAACGACAGGAAGATCATCTGGCCAGGCGGGGAGACAGAGAGGCCTCGAGGATATCAGATGTCCACCAGGCTGAAGGTGCACCCCCAGACGTGCCAGGCAGCCTGCAGGCCCCACAAGGGGGCAGCCAGGCCAGCGGATGTGGCCAGAGGCGGGGCTGGCGCCTGCCGCATGCACCTGGCTGGGCAGGGCGCAGCGGGTGGGAGAGGAGCGCGGCTGCCGCCCCCCACCCCCCGTGGGGCGTGGCCCACTTAGGTCTGGGGGAGCCAGCTGGGGTGGGGACCCCCTGGGGACATGCCGGTGAGTGATGATCGTAGCCCGCTCCTCAGAGCCCGTCCTGGGTCCCCTCCCTGGGCACGCGCCCCTGCCGTCTGCCCAGGCTGTCTCTGGGAGCCCCCCGAGGGGCGCAGCATGCCAGCAGCTGGCCTGGCACAGGTGGGAGCGGGAGCACACCCCAGCCTCTCGGGGTCCCTAGTCCTCGGTGTCCCTTGACCCGTCTGCCTCCATGGCCCTGCGGCTTCTCCCCGCTCCCGTCGTCAGTGCCACCCGCAGTCACCACCTCTGGGAGGCGCCTGGGCTCTCCCCAAGTCACACAGCCCCTCCGCAGTTCCGCCAGCGCACCCTGAAAAACCCAGCCGGGCTTTGCAACTTATTTTTGGCCTCAGTGGACTTTTAAAAGCACAAATATATTTCGCTTGCACAGGAGAAAAAGCGAGATGAAAGTGTAAAGAGCCCCCAAGCCCCGGGAGACAAGGGCCAAAATGCTGCGGAGGGAGAGGCTCAGCCTGCCCGACCCGCCCGGCCCACCTGCCCCACGCGCCCTCTGCCGGCTCCGCGCCAGCATAGCCCCGGGGCAGCCAGACCTGGGGAGGCTGAGGGCAGGAGGTGGACCCTGTGGGTCCAGGCCCTGAGCCAGCAGAGTGGACACGACAGTCGGTGGGCACGGCACTGTCCCCTGGCGGCAGGCGCTGGGCTGGCGGGGGGGGGTCTCTTCCTGAGAGGTCGGTGCGGGGCGCCGGGCATTCAGGCGGCGGTGGAGGGTGGGGTGCGGGGGCTGGGACCACAAGGAAAGCGCCCCGAGGCAGGGACCCCAGGACCGCAGGGCCCACTGGGGAGGCGCGTGGGATCCGGAAGGGCCGCAGGAAGGGCCGCGCCTGAGAAGGGCCGGCGCGGGCCGCGGCGCAGTGGTGCGAGCTGGTCTCCCGCGCCCCTAGATCGTGACGATCCACCAGGAGCCCTTCGTGTACGTGAAGCCCACGCTGAGCGACGGCACGTGCAAGGAGGAGTTCACGGTCAACGGCGACCCGGTCAAGAAGGTGATCTGCACCGGGCCCAACGACACGTCCCCCGGCAGCCGTGAGTTCGGGGCCGGGTGTGCGGGCGGGGCGGGGGGCGGGGTGCCCGGCCCCCGGGTGACCGCCCCTCCCGCCCGCAGCCCGCCACACCGTGCCCCAGTGCTGCTACGGCTTCTGCGTGGACCTGCTCATCAAGCTGGCGCGCACCATGAACTTCACCTACGAGGTGCACCTGGTGGCCGACGGCAAGTTCGGCACGCAGGAGCGGGTAGGCGCCGGCCCGGGCGGGCCTCGGCGGCGGGCGGGCGCTGGAGCGGGCCGCCCCCAGGGGGCCTCGGGCGGGAGCCCGTCTCGCCGGCGCGGCCGCGACGCCCGGTGCCCGTCGCCCGCAGGTGAACAACAGCAACAAGAAGGAGTGGAACGGGATGATGGGCGAGCTGCTCAGCGGGCAGGCGGACATGATCGTGGCGCCGCTGACCATCAACAACGAGCGAGCGCAGTACATAGAGTTCTCCAAGCCCTTCAAGTACCAGGGCCTGACCATTCTGGTCAAGAAGGTGGGCGCGGCCGGCGGGGCTGGGCGGGCGCGCGGGGAGGGCCCGGAGGGCGCTGACGGCCCGCCCGCCGCAGGAGATCCCGCGGAGCACGCTGGACTCGTTCATGCAGCCCTTCCAGAGCACGCTGTGGCTGCTGGTGGGGCTGTCGGTGCACGTGGTGGCCGTGATGCTCTACCTGCTGGATCGCTTCAGGTGAGCGCGGCCCGGGGGCCGGACCCCTCCACCGGCGGGGCGGGCGGAGCCGGGAGGGCGGGCAGGAGCGCCTCTCCCGCCCTCTCCCGCCCGCCCTCTGCGCCCCGCAGCCCCTTCGGACGGTTCAAGGTGAACAGCGAGGAGGAGGAGGAGGACGCGCTGACCCTGTCTTCGGCCATGTGGTTCTCCTGGGGCGTCCTTCTCAACTCGGGCATCGGCGAAGGTGAGGCCGCAGCCGGCTGCCCCCCCCCCGCGCCCCGCCACCTGGCAGCTGACGCCGCTCTGCCCGCAGGCGCCCCCCGAAGCTTCTCAGCGCGCATCCTGGGCATGGTGTGGGCCGGCTTCGCCATGATCATCGTGGCCTCCTACACCGCCAACCTGGCGGCCTTCCTGGTGCTGGACCGGCCGGAGGAGCGCATCACCGGCATCAACGACCCCCGGGTGAGGCCCGGCCCCACAGGGGCAGGGGTGGCGGGTCAGCGGGCTGGCCTGGAGCGCCGCCTGAGCCCGCGCCCGCCCCGCAGCTGCGGAATCCCTCGGACAAGTTCATCTACGCGACGGTGAAGCAGAGCTCGGTGGACATCTACTTCCGGCGGCAGGTGGAGCTGAGCACCATGTACCGGCACATGGAGAAGCACAACTATGAGAGCGCCGCCGAGGCCATCCAGGCCGTGCGGGACAAGTGAGGGCGGGGCGGGCTGGGGGCCGGGGCGGGGCGGGCCGGCCCGGGGGCGGGGCGGGGCGTGAGGCGAGCTGAGTGGGACCAGAAAGGGGCTTGGGGCTGGAAGGGGGAGCTGCCAGCGTGGGACAGGGGCCGCTCCCCAGTGTGGTCAGGTGGGCGTCCAGGGCGGGCTGGGAGAGCCACGAGGCCGGCAGCGGACGGCGCGCGAGTGGGGGCGCCGGCAGCCGGTCGCCAGGCCCCAGGGACCCTGTGCCCGCAGCAAGCTGCACGCCTTCATCTGGGACTCGGCGGTGCTGGAGTTCGAGGCCTCGCAGAAGTGCGACCTGGTGACCACGGGCGAGCTCTTCTTCCGCTCGGGCTTCGGCATCGGCATGCGCAAGGACAGCCCCTGGAAGCAGAACGTCTCCCTGTCCATCCTCAAGTGAGCCCGCATCCCCCTGGCCGCCCCCTGGCCGCCCCCCTGCCCCGCCCCTCCCCGCAGACCCTGTCCAGGGCTGTGCCCGGCGCCGCCCACAGCCCCCACGCCCCCAGGTCCCATGAGAACGGCTTCATGGAGGACCTGGACAAGACGTGGGTGCGGTACCAGGAGTGCGACTCCCGCAGCAACGCCCCCGCCACCCTCACCTTCGAGAACATGGCAGGTGCGTCCCCGGCCTCCCAGCCTGCACCGGCCCTGGCCTCCCCGGGGCCACGATGCTGAGGCGCCCGCCTGCCCGCAGGGGTCTTCATGCTGGTGGCTGGGGGCATCGTGGCCGGGATCTTCCTGATCTTCATCGAGATCGCCTACAAGCGGCACAAGGACGCGCGCCGGAAGCAGATGCAGCTGGCCTTCGCCGCGGTGAACGTGTGGCGGAAGAACCTGCAGGTAGGGCAGGACACCCTCCGAGGCCTGGTGCCCACGGCCCGGCCTGGCCCTGGCCCCGCTCCGTCCACGCGGGTGAAGCGCTGGCTCCGGCTCCCGAGCCCGCGTGGGCAGGACCGGAACCGGGAGCCGGCCAGGCCCTCACCGCCGGGCCCACCTGCGGGCGGCCGTCCGCTGCAGAGCCGGCCAGGGGAGGCACGCGCCCTGCTCCCAGCCTCCGCCTGGCCCCTCTGTCTCCAGAGCCGCCCGCTGGCACGCGTCCGTGGGAAGGCAGACTGAGGCAGGGTAAGACAGGGCCCGCGCGAGTCCAGGACGCATCCGCCGCCTCCCCGCCTCGGAGCCCTCCCTGCGCCCTGCTGCGTCCTGCGCTCCGGCCCCGGCTGCATCCGCCCGCCTGCGCCCAGGCTGGTCTGCGGAGGGGGCCCCTCGGGCGGCCACGGCCACGGAGCCGGGCTGGGGGGCCCGAGGCCGTCCGTCTGCTCCGTCTCTTCTCTTTCTCTGGTGCCGCCCAGAGCCTGTTTGGGGTGGGCTGTGAGCAGGCACGGGGCCGCTGGCAGCGCGGGCACCTCTCATCCGCCCCCTCTTGCCCCGGGACCTGGCTGCGGCCCTCACTGGAGGCGCAGGCCCCCCGGCGTCCGAGCAGAGCCAGGGCCCGGTGGCCTCCGCCGCCATCGCTCCAGCCCCTCGTCACCTCCCGCCCGCAGCCCCTCGGGCCCCCCGCATCTTGGCGAGTGCCTCTCGGGGGCCGTCTGGCTGGCGGGGACCCCGCCCCTGGATCACCGGTCCCGGGGGCCACCGGGAGTCAGCCAGCCAGACGAAGCTCCCAGGACGAGAGCCAGACAGGCCCAGGCCGGCCCCAGCACGAGTCAGCTCAGGCCTGCGCCCCGGGCAGGAGCCGACGTCCGCCCGGCCCTCCGTGCAGCGCAGGCAGGCAGGAGCGAGGGCCGAGTGGCGGCCAGGCCGGGCAGCGGCCCCCAAGGAGCAGCGAGGGCAGTGCGGCGGCCCTCCGTAGCCGTCTAATCACTTATACATATTCATTTTAGGATAGAAAGAGTGGTAGAGCAGAGCCCGACCCTAAAAAGAAAGCCACATTTAGGGCTATCACCTCCACGCTGGCTTCCAGCTTCAAGAGACGTAGGTCCTCCAAAGACACGGTAAGGGAGCCCAGCCCCGCGTCTGCGAGTCCGCGCCCTCCGTGTCCGTCTCCCGTCTCCCCCCGGCCGTCCGCCATCTCTACGCGCCCGCACACGAGGTCTTCGCCCTCGACTCCGCCCCCGGGCCGCGCCCCCATGTCTCTGCGTCCGTCTGCCCCTGCCGCGGCGCCGCGCCATCCCGGAGCTGTGTCATGTCGTGGGCCGCCGGGGCCGCGCTGCCCTAGGCCCGGCCCTCGCCGGGGGCCGCCCACCTGTCACCTCGTCCCTCAGCCTCTCCATCGGAGCCTGCCGCCCCCCGCCGCGGCGTCCGTGGGGGCGGCTGTAGTGTCCCATCCGTCCGTCTGTCTGGCCCAGCCCGCAGGCGCCGTGTCGCGTGTCTCGCAGCCTGTGCGTCCCTCGTGTGGTCTGTGTGGCCGGGGCCGGCGCCGGGCCTGGCTCCGTCTGGGTGGACGGCTGGGGCCCGCAGTTGGCACGGGCCCTGGCCACAGGGGGCCGCCAGATGGGGGTGGGGAGACCCCAGGGGGCGAGCGCCACCCCTGGCCAAGCCGGGGCCTCCGGGAAGCCTGAGAGCGGTGGGGCAGCCCATCAGCCAGGGCCTGCCGTGCTGCGGGCGACTCAGGCTCCCAGCCAGAGGCCCAGGGCAGCGAGGCCGCTCTAGGGGGACACACCCTCACCCCTGCCCCGCTAGAGGCCACCATCAGAGCCCCGCCTTCCACCTGGGCCCAGGGCTCCCCCGCCCGCCTGCCTCAGCCCCTTGTCACCGCGCAGCTGCGCACGGGGGACCGGAGCCCCACACGTGTCCAGCCCTGCTGGGGAACTGCCGGGGCGCCCGGGGGCCTCCCTGAAGTCCAGGGGTAGACCGGCCTCCAGCCCACGGGGCGCGCCCCCCTCATGGCAGCAGCACAGGAAGGGGGCAGGCAGCCGGGGCACAGAGCCGCCCTAGTCTGAGGAGGCTGGGGCTTCCCCGGAGGGGCCCGGAGGCCTGGAGGCCCCGCTTCTGAGTGGGGGGGTCAGTGCAGGAGGAAGCCGGAGCGCGGGGTCCACCGCGGGGCTGCAGCACAGCCGCCCCTGGGCGCCCCAGGCCCGGGAGGTGGGCGGAGCCTGAGCCGGGGGGGGGGGGGGGGGGCCGGCTGGCGGGGAGTTGGGGAGAGCGGCAGGAGTGCAGGTGGGGGGCAGGCTGGGAGGGGCCCCCTGCTGACAGAGCAGCGCTGGGAGCAGGCGTGGCGGCGGCCGGCCGGCCAGCAGGCAGGGGCAGCTCTCTCGCCCACCCCGAGCAGACACACGGCCCCTCGGCTGCTCAGGGGCAGCTCAGAGACCCTCCCGTGCCTTTGGGGGGACGCTCCCAGCGGACTCAGGCCCGGGGCTCCCTGGGCGCCAGGGACCGTCCCCCAGGCTAGCCCTGGCGCCACGTGGCATCTGGGAAGGCCCTGCCCTGCAGGATGACTGGGGGGCGCGGGGAGGGCCGCTCAGCCCCCAGGGGCGGTCGGGGTGGGGGCTCTGCTGGGAGGGTGGGGCTGGTCCGGCTGCTGAGATCCTCTGCCCCTGTCCTGTGGCCGGTCCAGGCCCGGGTGGCACTGGGCGCTCAGGGCTGGGGTCCCTGGCGGCCGGCGGGGCCAGCGGGTATTGATTGTTGGTTCTTATTTATAGAGCACCGGGGGTGGACGCGGCGCTTTGCAAAACCAAAAAGACACAGTGCTGCCGCGACGCGCTATTGAGAGGGAGGAGGGCCAGCTGCAGATGTGCGCCCGGCATAGGGAGAGCTGAGACGCCCTGCCCGCCCTCCTCTGCCCCCCTCCCCCGCAGACAGACAGACGGACGGACGGGACAGCGGCCCGGCCCACGCAGAGCCCCGGAGCACCGCGGGGCCCGGGAGGAGCCCCGGCCCGGCCGCGCCCCGCCTGGAGGGGCGGCCGCAGCAGTCCCGCCCCGCGCGCGCGCCCGGCGCCGGCTAACGGGCTGCCTTGTCTGTGATTCTATTTTGCAGCAGTGCCACCCCACTGATATCACGGGCCCGCTCAACCTCTCAGATCCCTCGGTCAGCACCGTGGTGTGAGGCCCCCGGAGGCGCCCGCCTGCCCAGTTAGCCCGGCCAAGGACACTGATGGGTCCTGCTGCTCGGGAAGGCCCGAGGGAAGCCCACCCGCCCCGAGACCGCCCAGCTGGGCCTCCCGCGCGCCCGCCTGGCTGCCTGGCGGGCGGCCCCTGCCGGACCGAGGCGCGGACCAGCGCGGCGGCGAAGGACCAGAGCTGAGCTGGCTGGGCAGGGCCGCGGGCGCTCCGGCAGAGGCAGGGCCCCGGGGTCTCCGGCGGGGGGAGAGGGAGCTGAGCTGGCCCGGGGAGGGGCTGCCCGAGGCCGAGGCCCGCCCTCCTCGGCCTCCCCCAGTCACCGGGCGCGCCCGCCTCGCGCCCGCCGCCTGCTCCCGCCCGCGCGGCCGCGCTCCGGCCCTGCCCTCCCCGCCGCCGAGCCCCCCCCGCCGCCTCCCGGCCGCGCTGGGCTCCCCGCCGCCCGCCGCCCGCCGCCGGCCGGCTGGGGAGGGCGGAGCGCGCAGCCCAGGACGGCGGCCCCACGCCCGCCCGCCCGCCCGCCCGGGACTGTCCGCCGCCCGCCCGCCCCCCGCCCCCTTGTACAGGCCCAGCCTCCCGCCCCCGGCCCGGCCGTGCCTTCCCCTCGCCCGCGCGCAGCCCGGCCCGGCCCCGGGCGCCCCCGCCCCGGTGTGTGCCCAGGTGATGCCTAAAGGAATGTCGCGAAACTGCGTCCGTGTCGTTGCTGCGCCTGCGGGGGGCGGGGGCGGGGGGGCGGGGGCGGGGCGGGGCGCGCAGCCCCGACGGCTCAGGCGGGGCCCGCGGCGGGGGGCCCGGGGCCCGGGGGTCTCCTCGGCGCGCGGCGGGCCTCGGGGCGGCGGCGGCGCGCGCGGCAGGCGGTGACCGCGGCGCCCAGCGCGAGGCAGGCGGCCAGGCTGGCGAGGAAGGAGCCGGGGCCGAGCGCGCAGGCCACGGCCAGGTCCCGCGCGGAGAGCGGCCGCCCGCAGTGCGCGAAGGCGGCGTCGGGGAGCGCGGCCAGGGCGGTGGGCGTCGGGAGCCCGGGCGCCGCGCACTGCGCGGTCTCGGCGTCTGCGGGACAGGGCGCGGCGTCAGGCGTCGGGCGGCCGCAGCGGCCGCGGCCCGCGTCCCCCCGCGCGCCCCCGGCCCCGAGGGCTCACCTGGCGCCGGGCGCGGGTGCCGGCGCAGCCAGGCGCAGAGGGGGCGCAGGCGGCAGCCGCAGACCCAGGGGTTCCCGCGCAGGCGCAGCGTGCGGAGCGCGGGCAGGCCGGCCAGCAGGCCCGGCGCGAGCGCCTCCAGCTCGTTGTCCTGCAGGCTGAGCGCGCGCAGCAGCGGGAGCGCGCCCAGCGCCGCGGGCTCCAGGCGCGCCAGCCGGTTGCCGGTCAGCGCGAGGGCGCGCAGCGAGCGCAGCGGCTGGAAGGTGCCGGGCGCCAGCACCGCCAGCTGGTTGGCGCTGAGGTCGAGCAGCTGCAGCGCGCCCAGGCCCCAGAAGGCCCGCGCGTGCAGCCGGCGCAGCCCGTTCTCGCGCAGGTCCAGGCGCTGCAGCGCGGCCGCGCCCTCGAAGGCGCGGGCAGGCAGCGCGCGCACGCGGTTGCGGTCCAGCAGCAGCGCGCGCACGTGCGGGGTCAGCCCCGCGGGCACGGCGGGCAGCGCGCGCCCCGAGCAGTTGGCCAGGCCGCCCGGCGCGCACGCGCACGCCTCGGGGCAGCGCGGGGTCCCCCGGGGCGGCCGCCGCGGGCGTCTGGTCCCAGGCCGGCCTCGACCACAGCAGCAGCAGCCACAGCGGCGGCGGCAGCCGCGAGAGAGCGGGGCGCCGCATGGGGGCAGCGGCCCGCAGCCCGCGTCTCCCGAGCCCGCCCGCGCCGAGTGTCCGCGCTCGGGCCAGAGAGCCGGCAGGTCCTGCCCCACGGCTGGTCCCGCGCCCGGGGCGGGGGCTGGGCACGCGGCCAGCGCTCTGCCCGGCCAGCCACCTGTCCCGGAGCTCCGGGATCCTGTCCGCCCTGTACCTGCCGCGGAGCTGGCAGCCCCCGCCCCTGCCCGCAGCGTCCACCGCCGCGCACGGAGGCGGGAACGGCACCCGCTGAGCTCAAAGCAGCACCCCAAAGCCACGCGGTGCCCTGCTCCTCACCCCAACCTGCCAGTCCCCCGGGCTCCGCAGTGAGCCTAGCACGCGCACACGCAGACCCCCACAGGATGACCGGGGGACGACCGGCAGGGCAGACACGGCCCAGGGACAAGCGGCGGGTGTCCCTGACGCAGGGGAAGCAGAGTCTCCCCAACTGCCCCCCCAGGACTCCCAGAACCTCCAGGAGCCAATGTGGGTGGGGCCGGGCGCTGGGAGTTGCCGGGGCGGGGCCGGACGCCCAGGGGCCCAGGACAAAGCAGCAGGAGGAGGCAGGAGGGGAGCTGGACTGAGGCCCCAGCCTGAGCGCCAACCCAGGGGCGGGGCTCCCTGTCCACCCCGTGCACAGTGGTGTCTGGCGTGGGGAGAAAGGGGGTGCCCACCTCCTCGCCACCCCCGGCGCAGCTGACGGGCCTCCGCAGGGGCCGGTGGAGAGGACAGCGCAGGGTCACTAGCTAGCGTTTAATCCCCCGCCCCGGCTGCCCCAGCCCTGCTCAGGAGGGGGCTGGCGAGGCGGACCGCTCCTCCATGGTCAGCGAGGCCGTCATGGAGTCCATGGCCACCAGGCCCCGGCTCTCCAGGGCTGGCATCACGCAGCCCTCCAGCCGGGGGTCCACGAGGTGGGACTGTACACGCACCGAGCGCAGGTCCATGCGATCTTCCTGGACCCCGAAGTGCCCCACCAACCTGCATGACACCACCGGGTCGTGCTGGCCAGCCGGGCCCGAGCCTGGCCTCCCAGAGCAGGGGCCCGGCCGGCCCTCCTCGGGAGCCACTCACCTGCTGTCCATCTCTCCGAGGCACTTCTCACTGGGGGGCACAAAGGTGGGCGTGAATCCCTCCAGGGGCCTGACTCTGCTCCTCGCCCTGCCCGGCTCTCCTGGACGTGGCCCCCGAGCCCTGCTGACAGCCCCCGCCCACAGAGGCCACGCTCCCCCGACCCCGGGGCCCATAGGGCCAGCGCAGGCAGCACAGCCCGGGCCCACCTGGGGCTCACCCACCCCTTGGAGCGCATGACGCCAACGACCACGATGACCAGGGCACAGAAGCAGCTGGCGCTGACGCCGGCCAGCACCACAATCAGGGCGATGAGGGCCTCGCGGCTGAGGCCCAGACCGCACTCGCAGTTGGCCGCAGCTGCAGAGACAGGCCGGGTGGCCGTCACCCCCGGCAGAGGGCCCCAGGCCCGCCCCCATCCCCCGCCCCGGCCGCCCCCAGACACAGGGGCGCCCGATGGGCCCAGGCAAGGGAGGCGTGCTGGCCGGAGGGGGGACTGGGGCAGGAGGCACCTGCTGCAGGGATGAGCGAAAGGGACAAGCCTATCAGACCAAGGGGGATGCCGAGCAGGCAAGAGTCAAGCTGGGGACGGGGGGCCATGTCCAGCCGGGCCCCACCGCACACCTCTGGCCACAACTCATTGGAAGGCGCTGACCTCACAGTAGGGCTGAAGCAGGGCAGGTGGGGGCAGGGCCCAGGTGGAGCCGCCCTCGGGCGCCCGGATCAAGCCGCCCCGGGGCAGCCGGGGTGGACAGGAGCCGGCCCGAGGCCCAGGCAGCAGTGGGCTGCATGATCTTGGGGAGCGGTCCTTGCAAGCAAAGCTGCACTTGGCCCTGGGGCGACGGTGGCCAGGAGCCACGGGAAGTCCCAAGGGCAGGCGGCCCAGCCACAGGGGCCTCTCGGGACAGGGGCTCCAGCTGGGCGCCACGAAGGCTGGGCACACACACAAGGCCCTTGTGCCGGCACGCTGCAGACTCCCAAGGCCTGCGGCGCCCCAAACAAGTGGAGGAGCCCGGGGCCACGTCGGACCCACCCGCCCTCCCAGCTGCTCAGGGACCCGGCTCGCGCTGCCCGGCCCAGCGTGAGGGAGCCTCGGCCTCCCCACCCCCCAGGCCCTACGCGGAGCTGCCAGCAGCAACAGGAAAGGCACACCCGGGTGACCTGCAGGGTGGGTGTGCCACCCACTGGGGCCCCAGGGACTTTCCTGCTCCCTGGCACAGGTGCCCTCCTGGGGGGACAGCGGGTAGCCCCGGGCACGCCTCTGTGAGGCAGCAACACTGTCGGGGCCCAGCGCAGCAGCCGGAGCAGGTGCGGGGCTGGCAGCACCACCCTGCCTGGCCGGTCCAGCAGGCTCCCGTCCTGTCAGGACAAGGTGTGCCCAACATGCTGCCAGGCAGGGCCCGCCAGGGGTGGGGGTGGGTAACCCTTTCCCTTCCAACCCGTGGCAGGCGGCAGCCTGGAGCAAGGCGGGTCCCGGGAGGAACAGGCACAGCGCAGGGGCCCTGCATGTGGATGCTGGGGGCTGGGAGGGCATCTGGGGCAGCAGGCAGTCCCTGGCCTGAGGCCGGCACACACAGCTCAGCTGCGCCCAGGCCCACCCGCCTGTGAGCTTCAGGAAGGTCCGGCTGTGGAAGCCCCACTCCAGGGGGCAGAGCTGTCCTGCATCCCGTGGCACCGCCCCACCCCCAGACGTGGACGCCTGGCTGCACGCCAGGCTCAGAGCAGGAAAGTCGGCACGGCACGCCCCGCGCAAAGGCAGGCCCTCGGGCGCCCCCACCCCCTTCCATGCCTAGAGGCCTGGCTGAAGCGCACCCAGGTGGGACCAGACAGGCCTGTGCCCTGGGGTTGGAGGCCCATGTGGCTACACGGCTACACTGCCCTGCCCTGCCCTGGGGGAGCCCGGCCCCGTCCCGCCGGTGTGCACGGGCTGATCTCAGCAGGGCCTGGGCCACGAGTGTCTGGGGGCGCGCGAAGCTGGCAAAGCACGGGAGACGGGGAACCACGGGCTTTACTCTGCGGGGTGGCGGGGCCGGTGGCAGGCGGGGCGCTGCCTCAGCCGCAGCTCTTGGGCAGGCGGTAGACGCCCGCGGCGTAGAGCAGCTGCTGGTCCCGCACCTTCTTCTGCAGGAAGCCCTGCAGCTCCTGCAGGTCGATCTCAGCCAGCGCGGGTCCGGTGACCACGAACATGCGCAGCATGCTGTAGATGCGCTCCAGGGACAGGCTCTCCAGGTTGGTCAGCATGGCCTGGATGTACGTCCAGAAGAGCTGGGGGACAGTGCAGCCAGGGCTCAGTGGGGCGCCTGGTCCCGCCGCCGGCCCCCGCCCCTGCCCTGGCGCCGCCCGCCCGCACCAGCAGCTCCTCCTCCTTCTGGTCGGCCTGGGAGGCCATGCCCGAGTCACTCTCATCGTCGCTGTCCAGCAGCACCATGCTGTCCCGGTCCTGGGGCCGCTCCTGCTCCACCACCGAGAAGGTGCCGGGGGGCTCCTCCCGCAGCACGCCCTGCTGCAGCCACACGGACATGCGGCGCCGCAGCAGCGCCGCGGGCATTTTCACGGCCTTGCTCAGCTCCTCCAGTGTCCAGCTGGCTGTGGGCGCAGGAAAGGGATGGGCAGGGCTGCTGCCAGCCACTCGGGGTGCCCGGCCTGCCCCCCGTGGCCAGAGCAGGGTGGTGCCCGCTCACCTTGGTCCTGGAAGTACAGCAGGACCACGGCCTGCACGGGGGTGACCGCCACGGAGAGCGTGCGGTCCGCCAGCTCCACATCCATGGTCACCAGCCCCAAGGTGTGCTTCCAGCTGAGGGTCCGCATGGCCTGCGGGGCGGGGTGGGGTCAGGGCAGCAGAGGCCTGGGGCCAGCGAGTGCGCCCGCAGGTTCCTGGGGGGCGGGCAGGGCCCGAGTGCCCGTCCCCGGAACAGACCAGCGAGGGGACGGGCAGGGTCTCAGGAGGCGCAGGGCTGCGGGAAGGAGGGCCGGCACAGGGCACGGGGCCACCCGCCTACCTTCAGCTTCTCGTACTTCTTGCAGTAGGCCTCCAGGGCCTCCTTGATGGCCTCCGGGACCTCCAGCTTCTCCTCCTTGAAAGGCGGCCAGAACTCGCTGGACAGGATGACGGCGTAGACCCCGAACGGCGGCTGCTCCTCCTCCGGCCGCTTCTCGTCCTCCTCCCGGATGTTGGCATTGATGCGGCGGGAGTCCGCCATGTCCTGGGGGGAGGGGCCGTCCAGGGCGGTGAGCTAGGAGGGATCTGCCTTGTCCTGCGGGGGCTGTCCAGGACCGGCGGGGTGGAGGGGGGCTGCACCCACCTTCAGCATGACCTCGCAGAAGTGCATGGGGGCCTCCCCGAAGCGCAGCTTCAGCAGCTCCACGTTGCGGATCTCCCTGCGAGAACACAGCTCTGAGGGGCGCGCGGAGGAGCAGGCTTCGGGGGCCAGCCAGTCGCCCAGAGCTGGGGCCAGCAGGGGGAGCCCCGGGGCCGCGCAGCCTCACCGCTCGGGGCTGAAGCTGAACTGGTGCAGCAGGCGGTCGGCCAGCAGCGAGCGGTACTCGTTGATGAAGAGGTCCTTGCTGCCGTAGATGCTGACCAGCAGGCTGATGATGTCGGAGGAGCGGCGCCTGGAGCTGGGCTGCCCTGCACGTGGCGGGGCACGCTGGCATAGGGGCGTCCTCGGGCTTCCGCCACAGAGCCCCCGGGGACCCGGCGGGGTGGGCCCGGCCCCTGCACCCCCCCCAAGCCCCAGGGCACACGTGCCCACCCCCGAGGCCAGGCCGCCAGCCCCACAGGAGCCCCCGCCAAGCCGGCCCCGCCGGCGCCGACCTGGGTCAGCGTCCACAGGGTCGGGGACCCAGTCCTCCGGCTCCCCGGAGTCGTCCTCGCTGTCCTGGCCGGTCTCCAGGCTGGCTGGGTCCGTCTTAGACAGCTCGACAGCCAGGTCCCCGGTCCCGTCCGAGTCCCCCGTCAGCCCGGCCACGATTTGCCGCACCGTGTCCTCGCGCGTCCTGCAGGGCAAAGGGGCGCTCACAGCCCCCGAGGCCATGCCCGTGCACAGGGCGGCCAGGGCCGGCCAGCAGGAGATGCGCCTCCCGGCGCCCGGCGCAGGCCTGGTCCCACCTCAGGTATCGGCGGACGGGCTCGCAGGCCACCTCCAGGATGACCATGGAGGGATCCAGCACGCGCAGCGCCTTGATGGCCGAGATGTAGAGAGTGATGATGTCACACGTGTTCACACCTGCGGGGGGGGGGGCACGGCTGACAGAGGCGCGCCAGGCCGCACACGGGGCTTGGGCCATCCCCGTGACCCCGGTCCCCAGGGGACAGTGCGAACTCCCCCTTCGCCCCACCTCACCTCCCTTTCTCCAGAACTCTCCAAGGCCCATGCTCCCCATCCCGAGGCGTTCTGCTCCGAGGGAGGACGTGCCACTCCGCCCCACTGACATGTGTCCCGCCGCGACCCCTCACCCGAGGGTGAAACACAGGCCGCGAGCCCCACACAGAGCCACTTCTGAACCCGCTGCCTCTCGAGCCCCGGGCATGGGGGCGGGGGGGCACCTGGGTGCAGGAGCCTCGTCTCCAGGGCAGCCTTGAGGGACAGGAGCAGCCGCTGCCGTTGGTCAGTCCTCTCCAGGCAGTACTTGAGGTCCTCGACGGCCGGCCGGGAGTCCGGGAAGTCTGCGGGGGGATGGCGCTCACCCCCCTGCCCCGCCGGGGTGACGAAGGACGCTGGCCGGGGGTCAGGTGCCCCCCCACGCCTGCGTGCACCCACAAGAGGCCACAACTGCCTCCCCACGCGCGCCCTGCCCCAGCCCAGCCCCGGAGAGCGCACGCGCTGAGACCGGAGGGGCCAGCCGACCTCGGATGATGCTGAACAGCTCCTCGATGCGCAGGCCGGCGTAGATGCGGTAGAAGAAGCGCTGCACATGGCAGCGCCAACGGCGCAAGGTAGCTCCGGCCTCGGGGGAGGCGGGCCTGGCGGGGCCGTCCTGCAGGAACACCTTGCCCAGCCAGCCGACCACCCTCTCGATCCACTGCGGGGCACAGGGGAAGGGCAGGCTGAGCCACAAGCTGCCGGGCACAGGGGCCAAGGTGGCTAGGGTGCGGGGGAGCCCGCACAAAGGGGCCTGAGGGAGTATCAAGGCCTACACAGGACACCGGCCTGCAGACCTCTGTCCGGCCACGGCGCTGGCGCAGAGCTGGGCAGGTGCTTGTCTCACCTGACGGACAAACATGTCAGGGCACGGGCCGAGCGCAGCCAGAGCGCTCCACCAGCACGGGGTTAGCCCGTGGAAGACACGGAGCCAAACACGGCCCGAGACCCGCCAACCCCCGAGAGCGCCCTGACAGGGTGCTTCCTACTTGTGGCCGCCCGTCAGGCTGCCGGCCCTGCCCAGACCCCGCATCTGGAAGGCAACACAAAGACATGCAGGCGTAGAAGTGGGAAGCGGCAGAACCAGGGAGTGCTAATGGCACGGCACCCAAGACCCCTCGCCAGGACACCATGCCCGGCACAAGACCGCTCTGCCAGGGCCGGCTCACCTTGTGGAACTCCCGCAGGAAGGAGCGCTCGAACTCGCCCCGACAGCGGTCCTCCATCCTCTCCCTGGTCACCCGGCGCAGGGTGGTGGTCACTGCCTCCGCACTGACCCTCTCCAGCAGGCTCAGCCTGTGTCTAGAGAGAGTGCTGCATGGAGCCCCACCTCATGCACGTTGCCCCGCACCTTGGCTGCGCTTCTGCCTGGCCAGGACATGGCCGCCCCCGCCGTGTAAGCACAGGCGCCGCCGCCATATCTCCTGACACAAAGCCCAGGAGACAACAGCAACGACACCCTCTGTTCCCCCGCCTCAGCCCAAGGTGAGAGCAAAGGTTTCTGTGGTAGGTTGGTGGGGATGTACCCAACAGAAACATTCAGGTCTCCTGCATCTGTTAGCCCCTGGGTCATGCCCCGCCCAGCCTGAGACTGGCCCAACCACTGCTGCTGCCAGACCAGGCTGCCGAGGCTGGCCGGAGTATCTGCACATCAGGGCCAGGCTCGACCACCACGCCCTTCTCCTTGAGAGAGCGAGGGAGCAGCTGCTCGACGCATCGGCCCAACTGCACCTTCTAGAGCTGCCACTCGTGCCCACGGGGCTTGAGGTCCATGGCACCCCGCCCCCACAAACCACAACACAGAGCTGGGCACAGCCCGGCACGTGCGGGGTCATGTAAATGTGTGGGGTGGATGAAGAGTGATATGCCCGGGTAACGTGAAAAACACATTCACGTCCAGCACAAAAGGGTCTGTAAAGGCGCAGCTGAGACCCGGGGGACCTGCCCTCCATGGCTCTGGGCACGGGACAGGAGGTCCCGGTCAGCTCGCTAGCTCTCTGCAGACCAGTGGGGCCCGGGGGAGCAAGGGGTTCTGGGCAGCAAGGGGTTCTGGCGAGCACGGCTACGCAGAGATGTACTCACAGGGCCTGGCTGAGCTGATTGAACTGCTCCAGCGCCTGGCGGCACCAGCACTGCTGCTTGTCGCTGCCACACCCGGCACACAGCGGGCTCTGCAGGAGGCGGTAGTAGCGGCGGCGTGCGTACCTGCTGTCCAATTCCCCCTCCAGCTCCGGGTCTGTGCCCCCTTCTCCTTTCCTCTTGCTCTGCATGTAGACTCTCAAAAAGCGCCCGTACAAACACTCGATCATCTCCTGGAAACTTCTAGGGGTGGAAAAGAACAAGACGCCTCGCAAGGTGGTGTGCACCTTTTCCCGCAGCCCCTGGGCGCCAGTGCCCATCAGCAGGCCCAAGCGAGTCCACTTCTCCAGGAGCTCCAGGCTACGCAGGTAGGGATCCAGGCGGCTCTCCAGCAGGCCGAAGGCGTCGAGGAGCAGCAGGAGGCACTGGGGCTCGTCAGCGCGGTTCTCGCGCTGGGACAGGGCGTTCCAGAACTCCGGGGAGATGTTGGCCTGCAGGTCGTTCTGCAGCACCTCCACGAACCACTCCTCCAGCACCGAGTGCAGGCCGCAGCCCCGCAGGACCTCCACCGCCGCCCGCAGCTCCTCCTCCTTGGGCGGGACCGCCCCGCTGGTCCGCGAGGACGCCTGGAGTGCAGAGCGCCGTGAGGCCCGAGCCCGCGGCGGGCGGGGAGGGGAGGCCGCGACGCGCGGGGCGGCCGGGAAGGGCTGAGGGGAGCGGGGCGGGCGAGGCTGTGGGGGGCAGGGCCCGGGCGGGCGGCCCCACCCGGCGCGCGGCCCCGGGCCTCACCAGCCCCAGCGCGGCCGGCGGCACCAGCCCGGTGCTCACGGTGCTCCAGGCCTCCAGCAGCTCCTGAGCGGGCCCGGGCTCGCCCGCTCCCGCTCCCGCCGCCGCCATCCGCGCCCACCTGCCCCGACTCCCCCGGCGCGGCGCGCGGCGATGACGCAGGCGGCGCGAGGCGATGACGCAGGCGGCGCGCGGCCGTGACGCCCCCACGAGAGGCGCAGCGGTGACGCGCGGGCGGGCGCGCCGGCGGGGAGCGGTGCGCAGGCGCGGCGGGCGATGCGGTAGCGGCGGTTGAGGCGGCGGGACCCCCGGGCGGCGACCATGACCCAGCAGGGCGCGGCGCTGCAGAACTACAACAACGAGCTGGTCAAGTGTGAGCGGCGGCGCGGCGCGGCGCGGAGGGGCGGCGGCGGGGCGGCGGGGGTCCCGGCCGGACGCCGGGGCGGGCGGCGGACCTGCCCAGCGCCGCGCCCGGGAGTGGAGGGCGCCGAACGGAGGGCCCGGGCACGCCCCCGGCCCCGGCCCACGCCCGCCCGCACCCGCAGGCATCGAGGAGCTGTGCCAGAAGCGGGAGGAGCTGTCCCGGCAGATCCAGCAGGAGGAGGACGAGAAGCAGCGGCTGCAGAACGAGGTGCGGCAGCTGACCGAGAAGCTGGCGCGCGTGAACGAGAACCTGGCGCGCAAGATCGCCTCTCGCAACGAGTTTGACCGGACCATCGCGGAGACGGAGGCCGCCTACCTCAAGGTGGGACTGGGGCCCGGGGAACCCCGGAGGCGGGCCCGCGCTGCTCGGGGAGGGGCGGGCCGGGGAACCTGGATGGCCTCGCGTCTGTTCCAGATCTTGGAGAGCTCGCAGACCCTGCTGAGCGTTCTGAAGAGAGAAGCCGGGAACCTGACCAAGGCCACGGCCTCCGACCAGAAGAGCAGCGGCGGCAAGGACAGCTGACGAGCCCCGAGAGGGGGCCAGCCCTCACCGCACTTGGGGCGCCTCGCCCCACCTGGTCTGTCTGTGTTCTCCGCAGCGGTCGTCATCTCGTCGCGTTGTCTTGGGTATGAAGAGCTCGCCGCCAACTCCCCGGCCCTGGCAGACAGGAGGCAGCCTGGGCAAGCCCCCTGAGGGTCCTGGCCCCACACTCCCCAAATCAGTCACACCCGCGGACTGCCAGGCCAGCCCTGTTATCAGCCTGAGCACTATGGGTGTTCTCTCGCCCTATTTTCAGACTAGCAGCAACCAGGCCAGGCTAGCAGGGGCAGGGCTGGGGTCCTCCACCTCAGCGCTGGTGCCTGTGGCCTGTGGGCATCAATAGAGATCACTTTCATACAGTTCCACCTGTGTGCCACTTGCCTTCTGTCAGGAGCGTGCGGCTACAGGGCACCCCCCGGGCCAGGGCTAGAGCCAGAGCTGCTGCAGCGGGGTGGGGGACACGGTGTGCGGCTTTTCTGAGGCTGGTCTCACTGGGCCACTTTGTCCTCGCCGGGATTGCTCTTCCTGAGCTCGGGTACCCCAGGAAGGGCTGTGCCTCTGGGATCGTCTGCCCTGTGGTGCTTCTGAAGCTACTGGCTGAGGAAGCACGTTGGTGTCCGGGACCCAGAGAACCTGAGTCAGCTCTTCCCATGATTGGCTGGGCAGCATTTCTTAGCTTTGCAGCTGCGTCCAATGCTTGGGTCACAGGTGGCCCTAGTACCAGACTACAGTTAAAGCCTGTTGAAAGGCAGCCGGTGGGCCTGCCAGCTGCTCGCCCCAGCCACAGGGGCGAGCACACCCTCACTGCACACAGGCCTGCACGCCCTCACTGAGCAATGCCCACCCTCCCCAGGCTTCTGCTTCTCCAGGGAAAGCCCCAGGCCAGCAGCCGCAGCCCACCCTCCCCTGCTACCCAGATTCCCCGGGTCCTGGCTGCTCGAGCACCCATTTTGCATGCATTCTGGGGAGGGCTGTGGCAGACAGGGTGCTCACAGGCCGGATGGGGTTCCTGTCCTAGGCCACGGGGTGCTGGGGGTGGAGCAGAGCTGCTAGGGCTGTGGGAGTCGAAAGTCTGGGCCTGCGAGGTAGAGGAACGTCTCTGTGTCCGCCACCTAACTTGAACACGACATCCAAGCTGGCCTCCACTTCACCCCACGCGGCTGCCTGTCCGCTTATACCTCGCGGGAGCCCTGAAGAGCCCACGCCTACGGCTTCTCGGGCGCAAGTCATGAGAAGCAGAAACCGCCTCGTCCAATGCTGTTTATTGAGTTGTCAGAGACAGGGTGGCCTCCACTTATTGCAGGGCGTGTGGGGGTGGGGGGCACTGGGTCCTGCTGAAGACGAAGCCAGGCCAGCCCATGCCCAGCAGCACTGGCCACACACCACCTGCTCCATAGGCAGCAGTCTTAGGCGAGGCCCTGGGAGGGAGCGCAGAATGCCCAGGGAGGGAAACAGGAGGGCGCAGCGAGGTGGGGGAAGTTCAGCCTTCCGGGCAGGTCAGGGGTCAGAAGTAGAGGGCTGGCTCACTGCGGAAGTCCGAGAGGTCATTCTGGCCAGCCGGGGTGAGCTGAGAGAGGGAGCACTAATGCAGCCCAGGGGCACAGCCAGGCTCCCCAGCCCCGCCCTGCCCGGCGCCCCTCTGGCTCACCATGACCTCCGCGGGTGGGGGCTCAGCCTCGATCAGTGGCAGTGCCCGCGTCTGCTCCTGCCACTGGCTGAAGGCCACGGCATGCTTGGGAGTGTAGCTGGACAGGCCTGCGGGCCAGGGGTACAGACAGGTGGATGTGTGGCCCGGACCGCATTCTAGGCACATCCCCCCCCGGCCCCCGCCACGGCGGGCACTCACATGAGCTGCTGTCTGGCTGCCGGGGGCTGTCGCTCACGAATGTGGCTCGGGGCAAGAAGAGCTCAAAGGGATTCTCCGCGGCCCCCTCAGAGCCAGAACCATCATCATCCTCCTCCAGATCCCCTGCTCCCTCCTCCTGCACCAGGGAGCGCTCAGAAGGGTACTCGAAGGTGGTCTGCAGGCTCTTGTCGTTGAAAGAGATCTTCATCTGGGGGCGGGGTGTCGGCAAGGCTAAGCTAGGGGCCAGCCAGACCTAGCCTGGCAGAGACCACTCCCACGGGCGGCCCTTTGGAGCTTGGGAGGCTGCCCCCCAGAACCCCCTCTGCCTAGACCCCGCAGGCCCGGCCACACAGACCCCGGCAGGGTTGAATCCCGCCCACGGCCAACCTAGGTCAGCACCCCAGGCACCCACCCCTTGAGGAACCGGAGCCCGAAGCTGAGGGGTTGCCCAGAGTGTCCATGGCCACTCCCAGGATCAGGGACGGCCACCTCGGGAGCACACCGCACCAGGTGAGTCTCCCGCTGCAGGGCAGGCCCAGGACGGGGCTTGTGTCCAGTTCCCTGGGCACCCCGCCATCCTGCCCACCCCTGCGAGCATGGGCCCCGAGGCTGCCAAGGCTGTTCCACCCAAGGCCACCGCATACGCTACAGCCCCCGGCCCCAGGAAGGTGGCCCCCCAGTGCCATCACCCCACTCTGCTGTACCACGCCGACTTGACGGGGCCTACCTAGGGCACCAGCCACCCCCGCCGCCCAGCACAACCTCACCCGCCTGCTCCTCGCCCCAGTCAGGGCCGCGGACGCCTGGCGGGAGGCAGGAGGCGCGCCTTCCGGAATGAGCTGCACAGCCCCGAAGCCCGTCCCAGGCCCGCAGAGCTCACCCTCCAGCGGGTAATGAATATGGCCCCACGCGCGGCAGGTGGGGCGCTGGCGCTGCCACCGCCACTGCTGCTGCTCGAAATATTAAACTCCGGGCACAGGACACCAGCAGGCGGCTCGGGTTCCTCCTCCGAGGCGGGAGCTGCCCCCCCCCCCCCACTAGATATGAGGCCTGGGATGGTGGGACAGGGCGGGGCAGGCAGCAGCGGGGTCTGGTGCTGGGGGGTGGGGTGGGGGGTGCCGGAGAGGCCTGCTGGGGACAGACCCACGTTCCAGTCCGCCAGCCCCCGGGCGCCCCGTCTGCAGGGCACGCACATCCGCACCAGCTGGGCAGCAGGCTGGTCCCAGCAGCAGGTGAGCGGCGGGGATCCGGCTGACTGCGACACGTCCAGGAGGGGCCCCGGGCAGGACGGGCTACCCCCAGGGGTCCGGTCCTGCCCCGGAGTCAGGCTCCCAGGGACACGGCACCGGCCCCCCCCCCTCCCCCCCCGGGACCTATCCCCCCGCGGCCGCAGACCCAGGACACTGGTTGCCAGTGGATTAGCTGCCCTCATTAGTCCACATGACCAGCCCCTGGCCTGGGGGGGCGGGGCGGCACTCACAGGCCTGTCTGCGCCCAGCTGGGGCCCCACTCCCTACGGGGCTGCCCCCCCCCAGCACCTCGTGACTCCTGCTGCTGGGGGACTGGCTCCCCACCCCGCAGACAGGAAGGGCGGGAGGGTGTGGCAGGAGCCAGCACAGGCCCCACCTGGCCATCCTGAGGACTTTGCCCGCCGCGCAGGACTCCCGGCTCGCTCAGCCCTCTGCCCGGCCGCACCACCCAGCCGCGCCGGGCCCGGCCAGTCCAGCCTGCCCCTGCTCCCCAGCACACACCTGCTGCGCCCATCCCCCACCTGCCCAGGTGCGGCCCCGCCCCCGCTCCAGATCAGCCGGAGACAGGCCTTCCCGGCAGAGCTGGGCGCCAAGGTCCAGGCCTGCTCCTGGGGCCTCAGCTCCAGAAGAACCAGTTGGGGGTTCCCTGTGGGGACCCCGGGAGCATCCTCCTAACTCCCAGGGCCCCGGGTCAGCACAGCTGAGGCTGAGGTGACTAGGCCAGCAAGGTTGGGGTGCTGGTGTGCACCGCAGGTGCGAGCAGAGGCACAGGGTGTGGGGAGGGTCGCCCCAGGGATGCTGGAACTGAGGCAAGGACCAGCAGGGAGGAGGGCGAGGGCAAAGGGGAGGGAGGAGGAGCCAGGCAGGTGGCACCTCACCGAGGGGGAAGGCCCCGGGGTGTGGAGAGCAGCTGGCCAGCCCACCCACGACAGCCTGGGGCCACCAGCCAGAGCGGGGTGCGGCCAGAACACCCACAGTAGTCCCGGGCCGGGAGGGGAGGCGGGAAGGGAACGCGTGCTGATTCTGAGAAGGGCTAAGTAGGGTCCTGTGCCTGCCGGGCAGGCCGGCTGGGCACCTGGCTGGCCAGGAGGGCCCTTATCCTCAAATCTGGCCCAGGCACAGCACGGCGCATCTGGCCAGCAGGCCCCCGGACGCCTCTCCGGCCAGCCGCCCATCCCGGGGAAGAGGCGCCAGTGCCGCCCCCCGCCGGCCAGCCAGGGTCAAGTGAGCACCGGGCCCCAGGGTCCCACTGGCCACCAGCCCACCTCAGCCCTGTGGGGCCGGGACGGCAGGACAGCCACCCAAAGCAGTGGCCGGGGTGAGGCCCGGAGGGTCAGGCAGGAGGGCTGCCCGGGGAGGGGCAGCAGACAGGGCCGGCCCCAACAAGCCATCCACGCTGAAGACCTGGGCAGCCCCACGCCTGCCCCCACGCGCATCCAGGCTCCATCAGGGCAGGGCAGCTGGCTGGCCTGCTGCCCTGGCGGTGCCCCGTCGACTGCTCGGCCAGGCCTGATCTCAGCCATCTGGACCCCCAACCCCTCGGCTGGCACGGAGACTGGCCAAGCGGGTCTAGCCCCCCACCACGCACGGCCGGCCAGCTTCTCCCACCACCACCACCTGTCCCACCGGCCCTGCCTTCCCACCCCGGCCGGCCACAGTGCCAGCCACAGCCCTGCCCTGCTGGGGCAGGAGACCGGGCTCGGAAGCGGACGTCCGGTCCCAGGAAAAGGCAGGCTGGCGGCAAAGGAAGCCAGGCCGGGGTGTGGCCGCGAGCCATTCCCTGTCTGTGATGGAGCTGCCACCACCCCTGCTTCTAGGACCGCCTCCCAGGGCGGCAGGGCCAAGGGTCAGGAAGCAAGACGGGGGGCCAGGGGAGGGGCCGGTGATGGCAGGGGCCGTGCGACCACACTCAGGCAAGACGGGCCCCGGCACCGAGGCAGGCGAGGCGAGGCGAGGCAGGGCCAGCTAGAGCAGAGCAGGGGGCTGGGCGTGAAGGCCTGACTGGGCAGGTGGGGCTGTTGGGAGCCTGAGGCCTCACCCAGGAGGAGAGGATGACACAGGGTGCGGCCAAGGCCATCCAGGCAGGAAGTGGGGGGGAGGCAGATCAAAAGCAGCCGTGGGGCAGCGACAGACGGGGTCCAGGTCCCCTGAGGAGGGGTGGGGCCTCAGGGATGAGCCAGACCCCAGCGGTCTGGGTTCCGGGTTCTGGGCAGGGCAGGTGGGGTGCTGCCAGCTGCCCTTGGAATCTGCCCCGGGGCTGGACCCCGCACTGGAGCAGCAGGAAGAATGTGAGGAACGTGTCTCTGGGTCAGAGGGTTCCAGGCCACTGGGCAAGGGGTTGGGGCTCCTGAGCCCTGGATCTGGGTGTCTCTGCCTGAGCGCCTCCTCCCCGACAAGGGGGTCGTCATCACCACCCCTGAGGCTCAGGCCAGAGCTGGCACGAACCCTGAGCCCCGTACACACACCACCGGGTCCTGTGGAGCCTGGGCCAACACGCCCCGGGGAGCCCCCAGAGGCTGCCAGGGCTGTGCCCAGGCCAGCAGGCAGCACAGACCCCAAAGCCTTAGCCCCGCTCTCTCCAGCGCAGGGCCTTTCGCCAGCCCGGCTGGAGGTCCAGGAGGCCAGGCCGGGCTGTCTCCTCCTGGGCCATCGAGGGACCCAGGGCTCTTCCCCCAGGACTGTCCACAGGGAACAGGCCCAGTGCTGGGCTGGGAGGATGGGCAGGCGCGGGGCAGAGCAGCAGGCCAGTGCTCCCGGGCCAGGGCAGGTACTCCTCCCACTCAGCACCCCCTCCAGGGCAGCAGTGGCCCCCGTGACCCCCACCACCACCATGCCTGGTCTCTGACCTTCTTCCGCGAGGCGCCAGCTTTGCTGAGGCAGGACCTCTGCGGGGCGAGGTAGCCGCCTATCACTTCGATCTCGTGCGCAGCGGGGTAGCGCTTCTTCAGTGGGGCGGCCGGGGGCTCCGGGAGGCTGCCCGCCTGCTCCGCCTCAGCACCCTCTGGCCTGGCCTCCCCATTCGCCTGCAGGGGCCCTGGCTTCCTCTTGGGCACCACCACGAAGGTGTGGCCGCCTCTGCGCAGGAGCTCCGCCGGGTGCCCAGGTCCAGTGGGGTGCGGGTGGTACTGGGGAGGGGCACTGATCCCCGAACAGGGCAGTTTGGCTTCTTGGGGGGCCTCATCCTCTGAGTCCACTTCATCAATGAAGGTGATGGGCAGTCCTGGCCTCCCAGGCTCCCCACCATTCTTTGTCAAGCCAGGAACCCCAGAGCCCTGGGCAGTTTCTGCTTCAGAAGCAGCCCTGGGGGATGGGGGTGGCGAGGATGGCCTCGGCCACCTAACAGCCTGGTCCAGGAGGGCAGCAGCGGGCCTGGGGCCGGCCCCCTCCTCAGCCCCCAAGACACTCCTCCGGGGGGCAGGCGAGCCGTCCGCTCCAGGCACCCGCCGGCCTTCTCCCTGCCGGTGCCGGGAGGCCCAGCCCGCCTGCTCCTCGGGCGGCCCCTCGGAAGGGCTCCGCTGGGGAGGGGGGGCCGGGGCAGTCTTGCTCTTGGGGACGAACAAGAAGGAGTTTCTGGAGTTCGCGCGGAGGCTGGCCAAGGCCCGGGCCTGCAGGTCCCCGGCGGGGATGGCGTCCGGGTCGGGCTTGGCGGCCGGCCGGATCTCGAAGGAGTCGTTGGCGCTGGTGGCCGCGGAGACGCCCCGGCGCTGGCCGGGAGTGGCACTGGCAGGGCCGGGCGCGGCTGGAGTGGCACCGGGGGTCCGGGGGCTGGGGGGCGGGCGGAGAGGGGGCGCCCCCGACTCCACCTTTGGCTTCCACTGGGCCGGGCCGGGCGCGGCGTCCGCGGGGCCGTTGGCAGCGCCGGCCGGGGCGGCGGGCCCGTCGCGGGGCAGGCCGCGGGGGTGGACGGTGAAGGAGTTGCTGCCCGTCTTCTGCAGGAAGGCGCCGCGCCGCGCGCCCGGCCCCGCACCGCGGCGCTCCGGGTCGGGGCCGGCCGCGCGCGCGCCGGCGGGGCCGGGGCCGGGGCCGGGGCCGGCGGGCGGCGGGGGGCGGCCGCGCTCCGGGCTCCCGCGGGGGCGCGGCGCGGCCGGCGGGTCGAACTTCTGCAGCAGGCGGCTGACGCGGCCGGGCGGCGGCGCCTCGAGCACCAGCACCTCGGCGGCGCGGACGCGGGCGGCGGGCGGCGGGCCGGGGCCGGGGCCGGGGCGGGGGCCGGGGCCGGGCGCGAAGCCGGGCGCCGACTCGATGATGAGGATGTTGTCGGCGCGGATGGTGCGCACGCCCGGCACGCGGCGGAACAGCTCCGGCGGCGGCGGCCCCGCCGCGCCCGCGCCCGCGCCCGCGCCCCGCCGCGCCCCGCGCCGCCGCGCCGCCTCCAGCCGCACGAACGGGTTCTCGCGCAGCGGGCCCGGGCTGTCCGCCAGCGCCCGCCGCTCCGGCGCCGCCGCCTCGCCGCCCGCGCCCAGGGCCGCCCGCTTGGCCCGCTTCCGCTCCAGCACCTCCCGCTGCCAGGCGGGCAGCGCGGGCCGCGGCCCCGGGCCCGGCCGCCCCAGGCCCGCCATGGTCCGAGCCGCCGCCGCCGGGGCCAGCGCGCGCCGGGAACTGCCGGGCCGCCGCCCGCCGCCCGCCTTCGCGCGGCCCCGCCCCGCCGCCCCCATTGGGGGAGGCCCTTCGGCCCCGCCCCGCCGCCCCCATTGGGGGAGGCCCCTCGGCCCCGCCCCGCCACCCCCATTGGGGGAGGCCCTTCGGCCACGCCCCCGCCACTGCCCATTGGGGGAGGCCTTTCCGGCCCCGCCCCGCCACCCCCATTGGGGGAGGCCCTTCGGCCCCGCCCCGCCGCCCCCATTGGGGGAGGCCCTTCGGCCCCGCCCCGCCGCCCCCATTGGGGGAGGCCCTTCGGCCCCGCCCCGCCGCCCCCATTGGGGGAGGCCCCTCGGCCCCGCCCCGCCGCCCCCATTGGGGGAGGCCCTTCGGCCCCGCCCCGCCGCCCCCATTGGGGGAGGCCCTTCGGCCCCGCCCCGCCGCCCCCATTGGGGGAGGCCCTTCGGCCACGCCCCCGCCACTGCCCATTGGGGGAGGCCTTTCCGGCCCCGCCCCGCCACCCCCATTGGGGGAGGCCCTTCCGGCCCCGCCCCGCCGCCCCCATTGGGGGAGGCCCTTCGGCCCCGCCCCGCCGCCCCCATTGGGGGAGGCCCTTCGGCCCCGCCCCGCCGCCCCCATTGGGGGAGGCCCTTCGGCCCCGCCCCGCCGCCCCCATTGGGGGAGGCCCTTCGGCCCCGCCCCTCCGCCCCCATTGGGGGAGGCCCTTCGGCCACGCCCCCGCCACTGCCCATTGGGGGAGGCCCTTCCGGCCCCGCCCCGCCGCCCCCATTGGGGGAGGCCCTTCGGCCCCGCCCCACCACCGCCTATTGGGGGGAGACCCTTAGGCCACGCCCCCTCCACTGCCCATTGGGGGGAGGCCCTTCGGCCACGCCCCTCCGCCCCCATGGGGGGGAGACCCTTTCGGCCCCGCCCCGCCACCGCCCTTGGCCGAGGCCGAGGCCCGCCCCGACGGGGGAGGCCCGTTAGGCCACGCCCACTCCGCGCCGTGGGGGCGGCCCGCCGAGGGCGGAAGCGGGGCCGCGGCGCGGCGGACGGCGCCCTTCCCGCGGGGCTCCAGGCCCAGCCGTCACGGGGGCGGCCCCGCCCCCACGCCTCGCGCGCTCATTGGCGGCCCCGCTTCCGCCCCTGCGCCCTGGGTCCGCGGCGCCCGGGCGGGGGGCAGCCCCCGCCTGACCCCGGGGCCCCGCAGCGCCGGTGACCTGGGCCGGGCCAGGGCCTTCCCCGTCGAGCCGGAGCCACAGGACCCGGAGGCTGAGCCTGCTGCCCCCTCCCGCCCGGCCCCTCGCTCCCGCCCGACCCCAGGCCGACCCTGCAGCCCCCCTCGACGCCGGGGGTCGCGGCCTGGCCGCTCCGGAACCGACTCGGCGCCGTGCTGTTCGGGGCTCACCGCACCCCGTGGTCCCCTTCCCCGCACACGAGTGGCCCCAGGGCTGCCAGCGGAGAGCAGGGCCGCGCCAGGGCGAAGCCCGGCCCCCGGTGTCTGTTCCATCCCCAGGCTGTTCGCGGCCGCCGCTGACTCCACTGGGCACACCTCCTGGCCCCCGTGCCACCAGGGCTGCGAGGGCCCGCCACTCCCTCGGGCACAGCGGCCCCCACCCACAGATGCCTCCTCCTCTCCTCCGCTGCCCCATGGTCAGAGGTGCCCAGTGGAGGCGCGACGCCCCCACCTGCTCGCCCCACGAGGGCCGGGCTCCCGCTGAGGCGGGGCAGGTGTCCTCCTGGGTGCCCCTCTGCCTCCAGGTCCCACAGCAGCCTGCAGCCGCCCCCACCTGCCACTGCCTCCCTCCTGCGCTTGCTCAAGCGCAAGCAGACAGACTCCAGCTCCCAGCAGGCTGATGTCCTGGTCCTCTGCACTCTCCTCCAATTACCCCCGCAGCAGCACACCAGCCCTTCTCAGTCTCAAGACTGCTTGACCACCGACAGCCAGAATTAAATGGGTAACAAAACACATAACCCAAGGAGGAACGCCGCCCCACAGATGAGCTGGTAGCCGGCTTTGACTCAGGTTAGGCCAGTCCTGGGAAGGGGGCAGTCCTGCCGCTGGGGGGCAGCCCTACCAGCCTGCGGTCCAAGCATGTATCCCAGGTGAGGGTCACAAAGCTGCTTCACTGGAGCAAGGGTCTGCAAACCTGCAATGGGCAGACAGTAAGTATTGTAGCCCACTGGTCCCCACGGGCAGCTTCTTCGCTCAGAAGGCTTGGCAAAGTCTAGAGCCGCTTTGGCTGTCAGGAGCGGCATGGCTCCTGGCAGCTGGTAGACACCCAGAATGCTCGGAACATCCCTCACACCCCCACCCAAGCACAACAGAGACCAAGCCAACCACAGGCCAGTGGTGCCAGGACAGACGGGTACACTGAAGGCACATGCACTCCCAGCTGATAGGCACATAAGAGCAGACTCAGGCCAGATGTGCTGACCCTGCCCTGGAAAATGAGCACAGCCCAGAGACCACATACTAGCGTGAGGGCCAGACACCCCCCGACTGTTCGGGGTCCTTGACACGCCCTGACAGGCCTCCCAGAGTGAGAGACAGTATCCTCCCAGGGAACATCTGTTCCCCTCAAATCTACCCAAGAAACTCTGGCTGGTTCCAGCCCCCTACAAACTTAGCATCACCAGCGACACATGACGGCGGGGGTTTGGACATTCATCTTATTCACAGCTCAGACAAACACCACATTTCAGCAAAACATTCTCTTATTTTATTTTCATCTCAGCAAATGTTCTTGTTTGGCACCTGACTAACATCCATTTGCGGACCACACTCAGGTCCACAGGTGTGGGCCCAGGCCATCCGCAGACTCCCACTGGCGGGTCTCGATGCCTGCGGACATCAGAGCGCCTGCTCCTCTCTACCTCCAGGGCCTCAACCTGTCCAAGGTGCGCAAACAGTGGCGGCAGCAGGGTGGGAGGGCAGTCGAGACACAGCAAGCCAAGCAAGTGCCTTGACAGCAAAGTTCCTTCCACGGGTGGCAGGTCTCTGGACAGGGTCCCAGTGGAGCTTATCCAACACACTGCTGTCTGCTGGGGTGGGTTGAAGAAAGGACCGCCGTCCCTAGTGGCTGGGGGGGGGGGGGTGCGCGACAAGCTGGTTTTCGCCAACTTTTTAGAGCTCAAGCATCTAAGGAAGTCTTGCTAGATGGATGGATGGGGCAAAGAGCTCGTAGGTCAGCTGCTGGCCAGAGAACATTCCCAAGTGCAGCTCTAAAGCCTTCTCACGAGAGTACTTTCCCAGTATCCACAAATACACCCTGGGCCCATGGGGCCACTTCTCTTCTCCACAGTTTTCAGTTGTCAAAGGAGTTCAGGGGCGTTGGCCTGGGGCCCTCCTCAAGCTCTGGGTTCAGGGTTAGCTGCTCCAAGCACAAGCACAGTCTGGGGGTCAGGCTGCTCTTGCAGCCCTGCTGAGGAAATCAGACATGCCTGGCTGGAGAAAACCCGGCGCTCCGCGGGGCACGGCTGGCGGGGCTTTCGGGCCCAGACGTCTCCTCCGGCGCGGTGGAAGCGAGACCGCGCGCGGGCGGGCCGTCAGCCTCCCCGACCCCCGCCTGCGGCCCGGCGCGGGGCTAGTTGACCCGGCAGGCGCGGATCATGAGCAGCTGCAGGAGGATGAAGACCGGGGACGTGATCAGCCCGAACCAGAGCTCCCGAGTCTGCTCCACCAGCTTCTGGCACAGCAGCATCTCGAAGACGAACTTGAGGCTGAGAACCGTGAGGACCCAGAAGAGGCGCAGCACCGCCAGCCGCTTCTCCCCGTCCTGGAAGAGGCGCACCGACACGATGGTGGTGAAGTAGGTGCTGAGCCCGTCAGCGGCGAAGAAGGGCACGAACACGTTCCACCAGGTGAGGCCGGGGGCCAGGCCGTCCACGCGCAGCGCCAGCAGCACGGAGAACACCAGCAGCGCCAGCAGGTGCACGAACACCTCGAAGGTGGCGAAGCCCAGCCACTGCACCAGCTCCCGCAGCGAGAAGAGCATCGCGCCGGCCGCGCGCGGGCCCCGCCCGCCGCCCCGGCCCCCGCCCCCGGCGCGCCGCCGCCCCGCCGGCCCCGGCCCGGCCCCCCGCACTGGCCGCCCGCGGACGCCCGCCGCGCTCGGCCGCCATGCCCCCGGGCGCGGCCCGAGGGCGTCACTTCCGGCCGGCGCCGGAAGCCGGAAGCGGGGCCGGAAGCGGCGCGCCGGGCGGCCGGGGTGGCCGGGCCGATGCCGCGCGCGCGGCTGCTGGTGCTCTTCGGCAGCCAGACGGGCACGGCGCAGGATGCGGCGGAGCGGCTGGGCCGCGGGGCCCGGCGCCGCCGCCTCGGCTGCCGGGTGCAGGCCCTGGACGCCTACCCGCTGGTGAGGCCTCCGGGGCTCGGGCGGGAGGCGGCGGGGCGGGGCGGTCGCTGCTGCCCGGGCCTGACTCCTGCGTCTCTCCCTTGAGGCGAATCTGGTTCACGAGCCCCTGGTGATATTCGTTTGTGCAACCACAGGCCAAGGAGACCCTCCTGACAACATGCAGGTAGGGCGGGCGGGCGCGCTGCCCCAGGCGCAGGGCCCCGGCCCCTCCCTGCTGCCGGCCGAGCCAGAAGCCCGCCGAGCCGCCCCGGGACCCTGGCTGCCCCCCTCAATAAACTTGCAGAGGCCACCAGAGAGCTTTGTTCCCCGCCTTGACCTGTGTTTCTCCGAGGTTGTGTGTGAATCTGGCCCGAGTGGCCATTTCAGTGTGGCTTGGCCCGCAGGGGCCAGCCCTCAGGCCATCCTGCAGCGCCCCTCTGTTCCAACCCAGTGTGAGCGCACACGCACACGCACACTTCTGTCCGCCCGCCCAGTGCCGCAGAAGCCACGAGCTGGAGAGGCAGTTGCAGTGCCAGAAGGAGGCGCTGCAAGGGGACAGCCCAGGTGCCACGGGAGCGTTGACAGGGCTGTCCAGCCCAACCTGGGCTTCCAAGGAGATCTTTCTGGAAGAACAGCGTGCAGGCTGAGTCCAGAAGGACAAGGAGGCTGACCAGGTGCCAGGAAAGGTGGGGGGGGGGTGTCTGTGCAGAACAGCAAGAAAAATGGCCTCACTTGCGGGAAGAGCTGGCCAGCTCAGGCTGGAACAGCTGGTGATCAGGTGGGGTGGGAAGAGCGGCAGGAAGGCAGGCCTGACCCCAAGGAACCCTCAGCGAGCAGCGTGAAGCTCTGGGTGTGTCCTAGCAGAGCTGCCATCCGCCGGGGGCAGGGGAGAAGAAAGCACATCTCCGAGATGTTAAGAAGGCGGGATTTATAGGACATGGGCTCAGACACCTCAAACATGAGAGAGACAGGGATTGGGGCTCAGGTGCTTCGATGGCCTGTGGGCCAGAGCTCCACGACGGCGCCGGGTGGAGGTCGAGGCCGGAGTGGCCAACACAGCTGCTCAGGAAGAAGCGCCTCTTCCCCCTCAACGGGCTGCCCTGGACAAGGGGCCCGGGAGGGCTGCGGGGAGAGGCCACCCAGTGGCCCCAGTGTGGGGGGAGGGAGGCGTCCTATGGCGAGGGGCGGTCACTGACTCCGGTCACAGGCATCCAGGGTGAGCAGAAGTGACAGCTTTGGAAAGGCTCTGGCTATGTGCGGACTGCGGGTGGGGCCTGGGCCCATTTAATGCTGGTGGGGGAGAGACTGAAGATGCGGGGCCAGGTGAGGCAAAGCAGAAGGCAGGAGGGGAGGGCTGGCCGGTGCGGTGCTTACTCCACTTTGAAAATGGCAGCTTGAGCTGTGGTGGAAGCAGGGTAGGAGGCAGGGAAGACCCCCGAGGAGGGGTCGGGGCCTCCCTAACCACAGTAGGCGCCTCGGCTGCAGACCAGGAACGTGGTGGGGGTGGGGGTGTGACTCCAGCTGCCGCTGGACTGGCCCCCTGAGCACACTGGTCGGCATGCACCCTGGCGGGGGCGGGGGGGGGCCTCTCTTTGGAAACCAAGGGCTGCTGGGAAAGATCCTGCCTTGTCCCCTACTGTGAGACCTGCTGGGTGACAGGTCGCAACTTGTTTTCCGCCACCTGAAACACAAAAGGCCACCAGGAGCCACCCCACGTGGAGGGAAAGACCCGATAGGTGGACCCGCGGGCTTGGGAGCTGCCCAGGCCGAGTTGGTGTCCACAGAGAAGGGCGGGCCTGGAGCCGGAGAGTGGGGTTCCCGCGCAGGGCCGGTGGTCAGCGCCCTCACGTCCAGCTCCAGGCCTGCTTCCTGCTGCCCAGCGAGGCCCCTCCGGTGTGTGCTTGAGAGATCCAGGGCTGGCTGGGCCTGAGGCCTCCCCCAGGGGCCCCCAGCGAAGTGGGCAGCCAAAGGCAGGGCATGAGGTCAGGATGGGGCGCACCAGAGTCCGCCGTGTTGGTCCTGACGTGTCCGTGGGGTTCTCGGGATCTCTGGGTCTGGACACGGCCCCCTCGAAGGGCCAGCCAGGAACGCTGTGGAGGCGAAGGAGCCCTGGAGGGGGACGGGGAGCTCCTGGCCAGCACGCTGGGCAGCAGAACGTGTGGGCGGGCATGAGTCCGGGGCCCCCAGAGCTGTTCCTGGCGGAGGAAGTTCCACCGAGTGGGTGGACAAGGACCAGAGGGGCAGCCGGACTGAGAAGGGAGCGGTGGGGGGTGGGGAATGCCCTGCAGGCCGGGCACTAATTGGGCTGCTCCTCCAGCGCTTTTGGAGGTTCATATTCCGGAAGAGCCTGCCGGCCACCGCCCTCTGCCAGCTGGACTTCGCCGTCCTGGGCCTCGGGGACTCCTCCTACCCCAAGTGAGCAGGCAGGCAGGCTGCCAGGATGGAGCTTGGCAGGGGGGCCTGACCAAGGGACCCGCGCGGGAGGCAGGCACGGGGGTGGCAGCCATGCCGGGGCTCCCCCGCTTTTATGGGAAGGGGGTCCAGGTGCTCTGGCTTCCGGGGAGCTCCAAGAACCCACAGCCTCGAGTCCTGGCACCCCGCATGGGTTGGGGGCACACAGGGCATGTGGTGGCCTCTGTGCAAGGACAGTGGGCAGCGCCTGGGCAGCAGGACACTCGGTTCTGCAGGACGTGGCTGCTTCCTGCACCGCGGGCGCCGGCCAGGCCCCAGGCGCGCCCCGGGAGGGCCGCAGTGAGGGGTGCTGCCCTCCCCCCAGCCACCCAGCTGCCTGCTCACTCTTCACAGGTTTAATTTTGTGGCCAAGAAGCTGCACCGCAGGCTGCTCCAGCTGGGGGGCAGCGCCCTGCTGCCTGTGGGCCTGGCCGACGACCAGCATGAGCTGGGGTGAGTGTGGGGGCCCGGGCGGGGGTGGGGGTGCGGGCCCGCCTGAGCTCCCTCTCTCCACAGCCCCGACGCCGCCATCGACCCCTGGCTGCAGGACCTGTGGGAGAAGGTGCTGGGGCTGCACCCCGTGCCCTCCGACCTTGGCGTGATCCCTCCCGGAGTCCCGTGAGTGTTGCGGCCGCGGGGCCCTCCCTCGGGCCACTCCCGGGCCTCGCGGCCTGACGCTGCCCCTGCCTTCCCGCAGCCTGCCCTCCACCTTCAGCCTGCAGCTCCTGCAGGGGGCCCCCAGGACCAGCCCCGAGGAGCAGGATGGGGCCGCGACAGGCCCGCCGGGTCCGCCGTCGGAGCTGAGGCCCTTCCCGGCGCCCATGGTGGCTAATCGGAGAGTGACCGGCCCCGCCCACTTCCAGGACGTCCGCATGATCGAGTTTGACGTTGCAGGCTCTGGGCTCAGGTGGGCCCCTCCCTCGGGCGGGCGGGCAGGGCGCCCCCTCCTCCCACCCGCGGCCCCTGCTCCGGGCAGAGGTGAGCCCGTCCCGCCCGTGGCTCCCCACAGTTTCGCACCTGGGGACGTGGTGCTGCTCCGGCCCGAGAACGCGGCCGGCCCCGTCCAGCAGTTCTGCCAGCTGCTGGGCCTGGACCCCGACCAGCTCTTCACCCTGCAGCCCCGGGAGCCAGGTGAGCCTGGGGGGCCCTGCCACGGCCCCGCCCGGAGGCCCTCGCCCGCCCCCGGCCTGCCGCTACGCCCCCCCCGCCGCAGGTGTGCCCCGCCCCGCCCGGCTGCCGCAGCCCTGCTCCGTGCGGCACCTCGTGTCCCGGTACCTGGACATCGCCAGCGTGCCCCGCCGCTCCTTCTTCGAGCTCCTGGCCTGCCTGTCCCCCCACCAGCTAGAGCGGGAGAAGCTGCTGGAGCTCAGCTCGGCCCAGGGCCAGGAGCAGCTGCTGAGCTACTGCACAAGGCCCCGCAGGACCACCCTGGAGGTGCGGCCCGGCCGGGCAGGGCAGGTGGGCCGGGCAGGGGCGGGGCTGGCAGCCCCCTGAGGCCGTCTTCCCCAGGTGCTCTGTGACTTCCCGCACTCGGCTGGCGCCGTCCCCCCAGACTACCTGCTGGACCTCATCCCCCCGATCCGACCCAGGGCCTTCTCCATCGCCTCCTCCGAGCTGGTGAGGGCCGGCGTCAGGGAGAGGGCAGGACCCTGACCGGCAGGCGATGGCCACCCCGCGCGGGGTCGCGCCTGGTGGGCTGGTGGGTCTGGCGGTGGGGGTGGGGCAGCCACCAGTGGGGCACCTACCGCCGTCTCTGCAGGTGCACCCCTCGAGGCTGCAGATCCTCGTGGCCGTGGTGCAGTACCGGACCCGCCTCCGGGAACCCCGCCGGGGCCTCTGCTCGTCCTGGCTGGCGTCTCTGGACCCTGAGCGAGGTGCGCGGCTCCGGGGGGAGGGTGTGGCCTGGGACCTGACCTGGACATGGCTAGGCCTGGGCGGGGTCCTGGCCCTCCAGGCTTCCTCACGCGCCTCCTTCCCGTGACAGGACCTGTTGAGGTGCCCCTGTGGGTGCGTCCCGGGAGCCTGGCCTTCCCTGAGACACCAGGCACGCCCGTGATCATGGTGGGGCCTGGCACCGGCGTGGCCCCCTTCCGAGCAGCCATCCAGGAGCGCGTGGCCCGGGGCCAGACCGGTGAGCGCACGGCCAGGCAGGGGAGCTGCACACTCAGGCGTGGGCCAGACTCAGGCCGCCCTGTGTCCCCCCAGGAAACTTCTTGTTTTTCGGGTGCCGCCGGCGGGACCAGGACTTCTACTGGGAGACCGAGTGGAAGGAGCTGGAGGAGAGGGGCTGCCTGAGCCTGTTCACCGCCTTTTCCCGCGAGCAGGTGGATGCTCCTGGAGAGGGGTGGGGTGGGGTAGGGGCACAGGGAGCACGGGGCTTGCCTTGGAGCGTGGGAAGGATGCTGGGGGGCGGGCGGGGGGCCAGAGAGGATTGGGGGCTGGGAGGACTGGCCGGGAATGCTGGGGTGCTGACCCCCGCCCCCCCGCAGGAGCAGAAGGTGTACGTGCAGCACCGGCTGCGGGAGCACGGGGCCCTGGTGTGGCGGCTGCTGGACGGCCAGGGCGCCTTCTTCTACCTGGCGGGGTGAGCACAGCCCTAGCGCGGGGGGAGGCAGCGGAAGTGCCGGCCACCCTGAGCCCTGAGCCCTCTTGCCTGTTCCCCCAGCAACGCCAAGGACATGCCCGTGGGCGTGTCGGAAGCCCTGACGTCCATCTTCCAGGAGGAGGGAGGGCTCTCCGGGCCCGAGGCGGCCGCCTACCTTGCTGGGCTCCAGCGGAAGCTGCGTTTCCAGGCCGAGACGTGGGCCTGAGGGGCCGTCCAGCCGGCGCTGGCCACTCTGACCGCTGCCCCCGCGGGCCCAGGCCCCCCCCCACCAGCAGCAGGGCAGCCAGCTCCCTGCACACCAGATGACCTGGACCCGCCCCATCCGGGTTCAGCTTCCTGTTGCCCTTTCCCCACCTGTGCCCTGGGCATCGCGGCCTGATGGGCAGCAGGTACCAGTCAGCCGTTTTGGGGTACTCTGTGCCCCAAAGCATGGGTGTGTGAAGTGGCAGGAACCCCAGCAATAAACATGGCTCTGCTGTCTGCCCTGGTGTGCTCCCCTCGTGGCGCTGGTGGGGGAGTACTGTGCCCAGGGTGGCCCCAGCTGCCTCTGCCCGCAGCCCTTGGGTGTCTCCCCTAATACAGTGGGCAGTGCCCGTCTGCCCCCTTGCATGGGCCCTGACCCGGCCGACAGCCTGGAGAGGGGCAGGAAAGCAAGGGCTGGAGGTGCCCGGGCAGGACCAGCTGACCCTGTCCAGCCCGGGAGCCGGCCTGGCAGGCGGGGTGGGGCGGGGGCCGGGCGGCACTCTCCCCGCCCCTGGGAGGTCCTTGAAATCCGGCTGGAGCAGTCTGGCGAGCTGTCCCAGCGCTGCCTCCACCTGGAATCTCCGGGTGCCTGACACCGGCCGGACCAGGCGCTGCCTGGCCGGGCTGGGTGGGGTGGGGTGGCCACGGGCCGGAGGCCCCCTGGAGCTGGGGCTCCACGACGTTGGCTCCAGTGGGGCGCAGAGCCAGAAGGAGGCAGCGCCGCTGTGAGGTCAGTGCCCGCTCCCGCACCGTCCTGGAGGACCACGCTGTTCCTCCTCAGGGCAACAGCCGCCGGGCGCCACTCTGGGGCCCCGACCTGCCCTCCCGGACTCCTGCCCCGGGGCCCCCGCCCCTGCACCAGGCCCCGGGGCCCATGCTCACAGCCTCGCTGCCCGCAGCCCTGGGCTGGCCCAGCTCCCCGCTGCCCCCGGGGCCCTGAGTGCTCGGACCCGCTGCGCCAAGAGCCAGCGGAAGGAGGAGCGGACGGCAGGGCCCCTCAGAGCCCCGGAGCAGCAGGCAGAGACCCCCTGCTGGGGGGCACAGCCCCTGCCTGCCCCTTGGCCGGGCGCCCAGGGCAGCAGCAAGTGGCTGCGGGCGAGGAGTGCCCCATCTGCACAGAGCCCTACGGGCCGGGCGCGCACCGCCTGGCCCTGCTGAACTGCGGCCACGGCCTGTGCGAGGGCTGCCTGCGGCGGCTGCTGGGCACAGCCCCCAGCGTGGACCTGGGCCGGGTGCGCTGCCCGCTGTGCCGCCAGAAGACGCCGGTGCTGGAGTGGGAGATCTGCCGGCTGCAGGAGGAGCTGCTGCGGGCCGACGGGCCCCCGCGCCCCCCGCGCCCCCCGCCCCCAGCCCCCCAGCGCCGCGGCCGCGGGCCCTGGGGCTACCTGGAGCACCGCTACCAGTTCCGCTTCCTGGTGGGGCCCATGGGGGGCCGGGGCTGCCTGCCCTTCCTGCCCTGCCCGCCCTGCCTGGGCACCCGGCTCTGGGCCCTGCGGGAGCGGGGCCCCTGGGCCCGGCGCCTGGCCCTGCTGGGGCTGCTGGGCCTGGAGCTGCTGGGGCTGCTTCTGGTCTTCACGCCGCTCATGCTGCTGGGGCTGCTCTTCATGCTGCTGGACCGTGTGGGCCACTGAGCAGGCCACCCACCACCCGGGCCTGCCTTGCCGGGGCCAGGACCTGGCGGAAACACCCAAGCCTGATAAGCTCGAGTCTCCGAGAGACCACGGCCAGCTGAGGGCCGCCCAGGAGCCTGCCAGAGACCAGCGCACCAGGCGCGGGGAGCTAGCCACAGCCAGCACAGCACCGCAGGAGGCCCGGGCCCACCCCGACCTCGCTAGGCCCGGCCCGTCTGCCGCGGGCACAGCGGGCCTTGGCAGCACCGAGTCCAGGGCGGGCGGGCTGGGCAGGGGCTGCGTACCCGGCAAGGGCCAGTACACATCCCCTGAAGGTCAGGGCAGCAGAGAGGAGGGTTCTCGCAGCGCATGTTCAGGGGTGGCCCAAGGGACTCCCACATGCCCCCAGGCTCAGGTCCCAGGCAGGGGCCATCACAGAAGGCTGGCATGACTGGGCCCCTCCGGCGGCTGTGCCTGGCCCAGGAAACGTCTGTCAATACACGGCTCCTGCCGCCAGTCCTCTGTCCCTGTTCTCCCGCTCCATCCTCGCCGCTGGCCTCCTCCCACCGCTGCGGAGGCCCCGTCTTGCGTCCAGGTGGCCCGAGTGCCAGGCAGGCCGCAGGGTCCCCACCCCCACCACCATCTCTGCCGGCCTCGCCCCAGCCCCACTCACACTGGCCCCCAGCTGTCCCCACGTGACCTCGAGGGTCAGGTGGCCCCAGGAGCCAGGCGGACGGATTTGCCCCCATGTAGCCACCCCCGCATCCAAGGGCCAGTCCCAAGGACACGTCCCTCCCGGCTCGCCTGGCCCGCTCTGCGGCCCCGCCCTCACAGGCAGCCGCTCTAGGCAGGTGCGTGGGTTCTGCGCGCGAGCAGGGCCCCGCCCCCCCCCACACGCAGGGCCAGCGGGGGCTCCCGCAGGCCAGGCCCTCCTCTGGCAGCTCCAGGCCCGAGCCGGCTAGGTGCAGGCCACGGGGGGCTTCAGTCCAGGGCACGAGGTGCGGACTTTGGCAAAGAGTTTTAATGGCAGAGTTGGCTGCAGCGGCAATGCCACGCGGGCGGGGGCCAGAAGCTGCGGTGGGTGGGGGGCGGCAGGGCAGGCGGCCCGGAAGGCGCGGCAGCCCCGGCAGCGGCGGCTACATGATGGAGCAGGCGGACAGCGGGTTGCGGGCCTGGCAGGTGCAGGCGGCCCCGCAGTACTGCCGGAAGGTCTGGTAGCAGCTGCCCTCGGGTTCGCCCCCCCACTGGCCGCCCGACGGGGCGGTCAGAGCCTCGGGGGGCAGGCGGCTCAGCAGGGATGTGTTGACGGCCAGCGCGGCCAGGCCGTAGTCGGTGAAGAGCACGGTCTCGCGGCGGCAGGTGGGGCAGGAGATGAACTTGTACTTGGGGCAGGACTCGTAGAGGATCTGCAGGCACTGCTCGCACACCGAGTGCAGGCAGGACAGCACGCGCGGCCGCCGCTGCGTGGCGTTGTACGTGTGCCCACAGGTGGGGCACTCCAGGGGCTCGCCCGCGGCTGGCGCCACCGGGGGAGCCCCCGCGGACGGCGGGCCTGGCCGCATCACGTACTGGTTCACGATGACCTCGTCCGCGGGCGCCACGCGGGGGAAGCCCAGCTCGGTGCTGCCCTTGCGGGGCCTGCGCGGCAGGGGCGGGGTGCGAGGCGCCCCCTCCGGGGCTGGCACGCCACCCCCACAGGCCTGGTTGGCGATGACCTCCGTGTCTGCGGGCCAGGCACGCTTGGGTGCCAAAGTAGGGGCGGGCCGGGGTGCGGCTGGGAAGCAGGGGGCGGCCGCCTGCAGCTCGGGGAACTTCTCAGGGTGGACGATCTTCACGGCCTCCATCTTGAGGATGACATGGGGGCCCTTCAGGCAGGACATGAGGAGGCCCGGCCAGCCGCTGCCCACCTCGGGCCCGGGGTCAGCCCGCATCGGGTGGTCTCCGGTCAGACTGGGCGTGGGAGCAGGTGGGGGTGTTGGGTGGGGCCGGGGGGGAGGCAAGGGGGCAGCATCCTGGTCCCGCCAGGCTTGGTGGGGACCTCGGCCGCCCCGTGGACTCCTGGAGGTGGCCGGCGAGAGCTGGGGGTGCAGTGGTCCCCCCAGTGGCCACAGTGGCTTCTCTGGTCCAGTCCGAGGAGGAGGGAGGGGCGGAGGTGGGGGCGGGAGGCGGGGACAGGGCGGGGTGGGAGGCTGCCCCGGGCTGCAGGTCTGGCCCAGGGGCTCACCCGGGGTCTCCGGCGGCCGCTGGCAAGGGGGCGTGGGGGGGGCTCCCCCTGCAGCCGAAGTCAGCAGGCCCCGGGCCGGGACATCCGGGCGGGCAGGGGCTAGGTGGGCCCCATGGCTCCAGGACAGGGCGCCCAGGGAAGGCAGCTAGCCCGGGCCCTGGCTGCGGGGGGCCCCGGGCCGCGGGCGCGGCGCGGGCGGAGAGGCCTGGCCCCGGCCCGAGCTGCAGGTGAGAGACCGCGTCAGGGCCGCGCCCCGGCCCAGCCCGCCCCGCACAAAGCCCGGGCGCGCGACCTCTGACCCCGACCCCCGCCCGCCCGCCCGCCCGCGCGAGGGGCGCCCCGCGACCCCGCGACCCCGCGCCCGGCCCCCGCGCCGCGCCGCGCTCACCTGCCCCAGCCTGGCGTCCGGGCCGCGCGCCGCGCCGCAGAGGTTGAATCAAAGGCAGGCCCGGGGCGCGCCCGGCCGGGCCCGGCGCGGCGGCGGCTCCGGCGGCGGCGGCGGCTGCGGGGGCGGCCGGCCAGGCAGGGCCGCGGGCAGCTCCGGGCGCGGGCGGCGCGGGGCCGGGCAGGGGCGCGGGCGCGGCGGCAGGTGCGTGCGGAGCGCGGCGCGCGCTGCGGCGGAGGCGCGGGGACCGCAGTGCGCGCGGCGCCCGCCCGCGCCCGCAGCGCCACCCCCCGTCTGGGGACCCGCGCGGGGTCCGCGGGGCGGGGCCAGGCGCTCGCCGCCCCTCGATCCGCCGCGGCCGGCCCGCTCCCGGGGTCGCCCCCGCCCCGCCCCGCCCCGCCCCGCCCCGCCCCGCCCGGCGCGGGGTCCGGGCCGCGCCCCGCCGGCTCCGGGAGGGGCCCCTGTTCCCCCGCCCAGGCCCAGCGCGGGGCGGCGCCGAGGGGGGCCAGGCCCCTCCCTGTGTCCGCCCGCCCCTGCGGGCGCCCCGGGGGCGCGCCCGGCACGTCCCTCCGTCCCCCGCCGGCCCGGCGACGGGCGCCTCGCGGGGCCGGGGCCTGAGGGCGGCGGGGACGGGCGGGGCGCCCCGGAGCACGCGCCCGCCGGCCGTCGGGTCAGCGCGAGGCGCGCCTCGGGGCCGCGTGCCGCCCGGCCGGCGCCGCTGCCCCCGGCACTGCCCGCCCGCCGGCCACCTCGCGACGCGCCGGGCCCGGCGGGCCCCTCGGAGCCGGGCAGCAGCGCCCGGAGGCCCGCGGGCCGGGGCAGCACGCGGACCCCGGCGACCCCGGCCCGGGGCGCTCCGGCCCGCCCGACGTCGGGCTCTGGGGGCCCGGCCGGTGCCGGCCCGTCCCCCGCCCCGCGGGCCGGCGGGGGCGAGGGGGCGCGGGGCCGCGGGCCGGCGGGGGTGGGGCCCCCTCGGCCCCTGCCGGCCCATCGCCCGGCCCCGCGGGGCGCGTGCCCGCGGGCGCGGCCCCGACCGCGCCTCGACCCGGGCCCGCAGCGCCCGCGCCGTCCGAGGCGGGAGGCCGAGCCGGGTCTTCGGAAAAACCCTCGGGCGCGAAGGCTTCTGGGAACCACGTTCCCACCGGCCGCCCCGCGCCCGCGTGCGCATGCGCCAGCCTCCGCCTCGCGGCCGGGCGGGGGGCGCGGCTCCGCGCGTGCGCGGTGGGGCTCCCTGGTGGCCTCCGGGTCCGGGCCGCGACCGGCTCCCCGGCATCCGCGGCCGCAGCGGCGGAGCTCGCGTCCGGGCCGTTCGCGCCGGCCCGCACGGGCACGTGGCCCCCCTGGGCGCGGGGCACGTCCGACGTGGTGCCGCGCTTCCGGGGCTTCCCTCCGGCGCGAGGCCTGGGGGCGCGGCCGCCGGGGCCGCCGCCGCTGTCCCCCGCGGCCCGGGCGCGCTGCTGCTGCCCGGGGAGAAGGCGGCGTCGCCCGGGCCAAGGATGGGGGCGCGGGGCGCCCCAAGGCGGGGCGCGGGGCCCCGAGCCGCCGGCCAGGGGCGAGCCGCAGCCTCGCGGACGAGCCGCAGGTCCTGCGCGCGGCCCGGCCGCCGGCGGGGTCGGTTCCGCTGGCCGCGGCGCGTCGCCGGAGCCCGCCTCCCGGCCGGACCCCGCGGGGCCCCGCACGGGTCCCGGGGCCAGCCCGCCTCTGTCCTCTGGCACGCGCTCGGCCTGCGGGGCGCGCCCAGGGCCCTCCCCCGAATCTTGGGAAACCCTCTCTGAGCCGCCCGCCCCGCGCCCCGCCCCTCCCCGGGAGGGAAAAGGCGGCCGCGGTGTCCCCGGCGCTGGGACCAGGAGCCCAGAGGACGGGAGGACGGACGCGCCATCGCCACTTCAGGTGGGTCCTTGTCCGAGGGCTCCCTACACCAGGCGCGCCCCAGGGACAGCCCCGGGCCCCCATTCTCACCCGCGCCCCTCCCCGGCCCCTCCCGGGGCACTGCCACGCAGGAAGGGAGCCCGGAGGGTGCGGGGGAGCTGCCCTCACCCACCCTTGCGGCCCACCCCTGGCGCACTCGGGGCACCACTCGGGGCACCTCCGTGCCCAGGGCCCCTGGGCTGTAGGGACCCTGAGCCCCGGTGAGGGGCCTCAGCCTGGCTTTCCCCGGCAGGCTTTCCCGGGGCTGTCGCTGGCTCCCCCCGCCCCCCGCCCCAATGTCGCCTCCTCTGTCCCCCGTGCCAGGCTAGGCCATGGACCCTCACGAGATGCTCGTCAAGAACCCGTATGCCCATGTCAGCATACCCCGGGCGCAGCTGCGGCCCGACCTGGGGCAGCAGCTGCAGACGTCCCCCTGCTCCCCAGAGTCGGGGCCTCTGCCAGAGGAGCCCTGCGCCCCCGAGCCCACCTGCCTCCCACAAGTGAGCGAGACTCCGGGCTGCGAGGGGGCCAAGGGGGCAGCGGCTGGCCAGGGTCAGCAGGCCTTGCAGCAGCCCAGCAACCCCTACGGCTGCGGCTGCGGGCAGCACCCAGCAGGACTGACCTACGCCGGCCTGCCACCCGTCGGGCGTGGAGACGACATCGCCCACCACTGCTGCTGCTGCCCCTGCTGCTCCTGCTGCCACTGCCCACGCTTCTGCCGCTGCCACAGCTGCTGCGTCGTCTCCTAGCCCCACCTGGGTGGCCGCACCGCGGCCTGGGCCGGCCACTTCTTGCCTGGACAGAGGCGCTGACCCACGGAGGCCATTGGCCCAGCTCGGGTCTAGAGAGGGAGCCCCGGGCACAGCACGGGCAGCCTGGGGTGCCCTGGCCACCTCCCCGGGGCCAGGCCGCGGCAATAAAGCAGAGGAAGCGTGTCTGGTGACTCCTCGTTCGCGGTGGTCCCTTGGGGAGGTCCCTGTCTGGAGGACGCCAGAGCCCCAGCCTGTCTGGGCCACCAGGGTGTGGGGAAGCTGCTATCACGTGGGCCGCAGGCATCTGGCCTGCCGGGGACGCGACAGGAGGGGCGGGAGTGTGTTCCCTGCGGGCCTGGGTCTGAATTCCTTGAGGCCCAGGCCCCGGCCGAGACGGGTCAGCCTGTGCATTGGACACAGGACGGCGCTGAGCCCGCACGAGGTGGAGCCCTTGATAAGGCGCAGGAGGAAAAGAAGGTTGGCGGCTGCTCAGGAGGGCGGCACCAGCAGGTTTCGGGGAGTGGGGCCTGGTGGCCGTGAGTCACGGCGCGTCCTCAGCTGGGCGTTTTCTGGTTTCTCACCAAACACCCGACTTCCTGATCACCTCCGTGGGCTGCTCTCCGCTGCCGCGGCCTGGGAGTCTGGAGGGGGCGGGGCCGCCCAGACGGGCCAGCACACAGGCTGCTGGGGTGTCCGGGGAGCTGAGCCACATGAAGCCGGGCTGCCGGGCCAGGAGTGAGCACCACGGCCAGGGCGGGGGCCTGGCAGTTCTGGGCTGGGCAGGGGTGGCCAGAGGAAGGCGCCTGGCAGGCCTCGCAGGCCAGACGGGTCCCGGGGCCAGCCCGCCCCTGACCCGTGGTGACCAGCCACCCGCAGGGCCGGTCTCTGGGCGTGGGCAACGTGTCACTGGCCTGATGCACGGGACTCGGGCGTGCCAGGCTGCCTCCAGGCCGGCCCCCACGGGAGCACGACCCCACCCGGGCAGCCACGGAAACCCGTCTGACCAGCCTGGAGACTGCCAGCGGAGAACGAGGAGCGGCCCCTGTGACCCTTGGCTTCCTCCCAGCCAGTCCTGAGGGTTCCGGGGTCCTGACCCCTCCCGCCGTGCCTCCACGCCCCCTGCTGTTGTGCCCGGGGCTGTGGCCAGGCAGATCCCCAGGAGTGAGATCTGCACGCGAGCGTCCGCCTTGCGGGGCTGGCTCCAGCCGGCCATGTGGTGTCGCAGCCCTGGCCCAGGCCCTGATGGAGGTGTCCCCTGCTGGCTGGGCAGCACCGTCCTGTCCTGCCGCTGGTGCCTTGCCCTGGCCCTCCAGCTGCGCCGGACACAAGCTGTGATGGAGCCAGAACAGCAGGCCCCTCACGGCTGACAGCAGGGCTCCTGGCAGGCTTCCTGGAGGAGGTGACGCTTGACCCAAGAGCTGGTGGATGGGCCAACGCCAAGAAGAGCCTGAGAGTGGGGCGGGGTGGGGGTGGTCTGGGCCTGGAGAGGATGGGGCGTGGGCTGGGGGGCACCTCATCTCCTGCCGCATTCCTAGTGCCGCTGGATCTAGTTGCAAGCGTGCCGTGGCTGAAAGGGGAGCCCACGCCCGCCCCACAGCCGCCACCTGCCTCCTCACAGGCTCGTCATACTCAGCCAGTAATTCGAGCCGCAGGGAAAAGGCCGCAGGGTGCCCTGGGTTCCCCCATCCTGGCCACCCTCGGGCTGGGCATAGCCGCCCAGGGGAGCAGATGCAGGTAAGAGCAGCCGGGCCGGTGGGCGTGGGCCAGGGCTGGGTAGGGCGGCGCTGCCCAGTCAGCCCCGGGCTCCACGGGGCTATGCCCCAGCCCCACGGGGCACCCCCACAGGCTTGCAGAGGCTCCCGTTCTCTGGACTGGGGTCCCGAGACGAGAGCCCTGACCACCCGGTCAGCTGGGTGGTGGACGACCGGTGGCAGCTTCCCTGCACGCTCCCCAGGATGCTGCGGCCCGAGGGGCCCCGGGCCTCCACGGAAGGGGCAGCCGCCGGCGCCCAGCGGGGCGACTGCATCGTCTGTTACTCTGCCTACGACCTGCAAGGGCGCCTGCCGCGCCGCCTCTACTGCGGCCACACCTTCTGCCAGGCCTGCGTGCGGCGGCTGGACATGGCGGCCCACCAGCAGCGCTGGATCCCCTGCCCGCAGTGCCGCCAGAGCACACCCACGCCCCGCGGAGGGGTGGCCATGCTGGACCTCGACCTGGCCGCCTTCCTGGCCGTCAGGGCTGAGCGGGAGGCTCCCTGCGTGGAGCCCCGGGCCCCCGCGCCCCTCGAGGGCAGCGCTGCCATCACTCAGCAGCCAGCCGGGCCCCTCCCCCCGCCCCACTGCCCCCAGCCCAAGCGCTGCCGTGGGGGCTGCTGCAGCCTGTGCTGGGAGCCCCCGGGCAGCCCTGAGGTCTGAGCCCGGCCCCGCCCACCCCCAGGGAGCTGCCTCCACGGGATGCCTGCCTGGGCCCCGGTCACTCCAGGCCAACCCAGGACCTCTTGGGAACTGAGTGGCCACCCCAGCCGGGACACCCTCGAGCCCCAGTCCGAAGTGGAGACCCTACTGGTGGCTGGTGACCCCATCCGTTCTGGGTGCAGGTCCCTGGGCCTGGACGCGGCCTGCCGGCACGGGGCGACACACTGCTGTCCACAGCCCCCACAGGCCCGGCCCAGGTCTGCACTTGGCCCAGAGGGTGACCCTGAAGGGACCCGGTGCCAGAGCCCAGGCCGGGGTGCAGGCTGCAGGGCAAGGCCTGGCGAGGCTACTCCTGCTCGCTGCCCGGGTGCCGCCCCTCCCCGTGGACCTGCGTCCAGAGGCCTGCAGGGAGCCGGCGCCCCATGACAAGGTGGCCCTGTGACGTCCACGCTCAGCAAAGTCCATCGAGCGCCACTGTGTGTCAGGCGCTGCCCTGGCAGGACGCCTGAGGCGGTCAGCGGGCCACACCGCAGCCAGTTCTAGGCCCAGAGGCCAGGCCCTCAACCAGCCTGAGGCCGCACCTCTCGGCACAGCCACTTCCCAGGGGGTCCTCCCCTGGCCCCAGCTTCCTTCTGCCTGCCAGGGGCCACTGCAGACCCTTCCGAGGGCGCAGAGCAGCCTCCAAGCTGTGACGAACCCCATCAGGCTGCTACGCCCGGGAGCCACCATCACTGGGAGCCCCAGGAGGGCCGCCGCTGGGCAGGGGTGGCAGGACTGGGAGGGCTGCAAGCACCTGCTGAGAGGACAACCAGACCCTCCTCCCTCCTGGGGCAAAGTCCCCGCACTCTGTGACCAGCGGGCAGCGGGCAGGCCCTGGACTGACCTGCCTGAGCGGGCAGCCCAGCAGGGGGCACTCTCCCTGGACGTGCCAGGCAGGAAGGCGCTGACCCCAGGCCCCAGGGGAGGGTTTCCTGCAAGTGCAGGCAGTGGGCTAGGCAGCAATGTGGCCTGGGGGGATTGCAGAGGAAAACATGTCTCCTGGGCTGGGGCCGGTCACCCCGGGCTTATCCGCCAAGCCTCTGGCGGGCCCGGCCCAGACAGTATCAGGATGTGAACGGGCCGGCCTCCGGGCTGGTGCCCTCCAAAGCCACCTGGACCTGCTGCCCACCACCACAGGGCCAGCAGAACCAGGGCTGGCGTCCCACAGGCCCCGGGCTGGTCCGGCAGATCGCCAGCGTCCTGCCCTGGGCAGGTGGTGGGCAGTGCCTGTCCGTGCCATGCTGCCATCTGCTGGTGGCGTCCAGGAGGTGGCAGTGATGCCCGGCCCGGCCCGGCCCTCGGCGCTTCCCGTCCGTCCCAGGGTGGCCCCAGGGAGGCTGCCCCCGGGCTACACAGGTACCCCTCAGGCCTCAGCTCCTGGGTAAACATTAATGGGGCCCAGCGGCCGCGGTCATGTGGGCGCCCGGCGGATCTTTGACCCGCGGCTGCTCCCGCCCTGTGTCTCCTCCCCGCAGGTGCCCCTCACCACCCTCACAGGTAGGAGCTTCTAGAAGCAGGTCGGGAGCCCAGGAACACTGTGCCCGGGGCGGGTGACCTCCAGGGCCAGGGCTCAGGCCCCACCCTGAGCCTCCAGGAGCTAAGGGCGAGACACCAGCCCGGGGGCAGGGGGGAGTGAAGGAGCTGGCGGGAAGCAGGGTCGCGCGCTGGACGGGGCTCCAGGCCCTGAGGAGGCAGAGGCCGTGGCGACGGGACCTGGAATCCGGGGGGCACCCAAGCCCCTCTCCCTGCCCCCATCACTGGGGGTGGGGCGCTTATCAAGCAGAGGCGTCGCCGTGTGGTATCAAATGCCAAAGTCTACGGCAGGACCATCTGCAGTGTCCCCGATGACACCTGATCGCAGAGACTGCCGTTTCCGGCCTGCACCCCAACACTCCGGGCCCCGTCACCTACCAGGCCAGACCAGCGAGGCGAGGGCGCCGGGAAGCCAGGGTCTCTCATCTCTGCCCCCGACCCGGACGGGGCTCTTCTGACAGCCGCCTGAGGTCACTGGAGCCACCCCCCGAGGATGGAGGACGGGGCTCGCTGGGCCCCAGCGGGAGGGCGGAGCGGCATGGGGGCCGGGCGGAGAGGGGAGGGTCTGACCTGTCCTCCCCCTGCAGATCCAGGCTGGGGCCTGGGTCTGTCCTTGCCCGAGACCCATGCCGGACCCCATGCCAGACTCCCTCACGGGCGGCCAGGCCCCGCAGCCCGCTCAGGACACGGTCGGGCTGGTGGACCAGAGTCTGAAAAATGCAGGTACCGGACACCCCAGGCCCAGGAGGCCGGCCCGGCCCTTCCCCTGGTGCCCGACTCTTGATTCTCGGGTAGGGGTGAGGGGCTCTGGTGTCCCCAGAGGAAGGTGGACGCCCTAGGGGTTTGCGACAGCGCTGCAGGCCCCCTCCTGCTCCCGCCCCACCACAAGCGCCTCAGCTACCTGCCTTGTGCCTGGCGGCCCCCAGGGCCATGCTGGGAGCGGCTGGGTCCCTGGCCCGATCTGACCTCAACCCCTGCAGGGGCCTCCGGTTCTGCCCCCGTCTTGGAAGAAGAGGGCACAGACCCCTGGGCCCTCCCACAGCTGAAGGGCACTGGCCAGTCCTGGAGAGGTAGGTCTGGAGGGTCTGGGTGGCCGGCCCTACCCTCAGGCTCCACGCGTGAAGAGGATCTTGGGGAGAGCAGATTGGGGTCTGTCCCAACGGGACGTGCAGAAAACCCCAGGACAGCCACACTGGGGACTCCTCTCAGCCCTGGCCCTCCTCTGCCCTCCTGCTGGGAGGCCTGGTCCTCAGCAAAGGAATGAGGGGGGCGTTCCCTGGGGAAAAAGAGCGGGGACACCGAGGCCCTGGCCTAGGGCGGAGGCGGCGAGGGCCGGGGAGGAGGCAGGGCCTGCCGGGCGGTGCGGTGCAGGGAACGGCCGGGGACGGTCTTCTCCTATGTCCTCAGAGCTCAGCGTGGCCGGCAGGGTGAGGCGGGTGGCCATCGGCTTCCTGAAGACTTGCGGGCTCCTGGGCTGCCTCTACCTCTTCATCTGCTCCCTAGACATCCTGAGCTCTGCCTTCCAGCTGGTGGGCAGTGAGTGACACCCACGGTGGGGGGGCCGGGGGGGCAGCAGCAGCCAGCCCCCGCAGCCTCAGAGCCCCTCTCTCCTGGCTCCAGGCAAGGTGGCCGGGGACCTCTTCAAGGATAACGTGGTGCTGTCCAACCCTGTGGCCGGCCTGGTCATCGGCGTGCTCGTCACGGTCCTCGTGCAGAGCTCCAGCACATCCTCCTCCATCGTGGTCAGCATGGTGGCCTCCAAGCGTGAGTGTTGGGGGGGGCGGGGCGGCAGGAGGTGGGGGGCGGGGCGGGCGGAAGCTGATGTGCGCCCCCCCCAGTGCTGACTGTGAAGGCGTCTGTCCCCATCATCATGGGCGTCAACGTCGGCACGTCCATCACCAGCACCCTGGTGTCCATGGCCCAGTCGGGGGACCGAGACGAGTTCCGGAGGTGAGCAGGGCGGGGCAGGGGCAGGGCCTGCAGCAGCGGAGGCCGCGCCAGGCCACTGACCAGCCCGCTCTGTGGCCCACAGGGCCTTTGGGGGCTCAGCTTTGCATGGCATCTTCAACTGGCTCACAGTGCTGGTCATGCTGCCCCTGGAGAGCGCCTCGGCCGCGCTGGAGAGGCTCAGCGAGCTGACCCTGGGCTCTACCAGCCTGCAGCCGGGGACGCAAACCCCCGACATCCTCAAGGTGCTGACACAGCCCCTCACACACCTCATCGTGCAGGTGAGGGGGCACAGACCCAGCCCCGGGCAGGCCGAGGATGGGCTGGGAGGCGCGGGACCCCGGCCGGCCGCCAGCTGGACCTGCCGCAGGAGCCCCTGGCGGGTGGCGAGGGCCCAGCCCACAACCGATCACCTTGTCCGGCAGCTGGACCCCGACGTGCTGGCGGCCAGCGCCAGCGGCAACGCCACCAACAGCAGCCTCATTAAACGGTGGTGCGGGAGCAAGGAACCGGTGAGGCCCCCTCAGCCCCACCCCGGCTTCCATCCCCCCAGCCCCCCACACCGCCCGGCCGCTCGAGCCCGCCCTGCCTTGCCTTGCAGGCTGCGGGGAACAGCAGCGACTGCGGAGACCTCTGCCCGGGGAACAGCAGCTCGGCCTCGCAGCTGATACACTGTGAGCCCCCGCAGCGCGCGCCCCCCGCCCCGCGCCCCCGCCCCGCCCCGCGCCCCCCGCGCTCACCCGCCCGCCCCGCACAGGCCACCACCTGTTTGCCAGCACGGAGCTCTCGGACCTGGCGGTGGGCTTCATCCTGCTGGCCGCCTCGCTGCTGGTGCTCTGCTCCTGCCTGGTGCTCATCGTCAAGCTGCTCAACTCCGTGCTGCAGGGCCGCGTGGCCGGGGTGGTGCGGGCGGTCATCAACGCGGGTGAGGGGCCGGGCGGGGCCTATGGGGCTGCTGGGCCGCGTGGCCGGGGTGGTGAGGGCGGTCATCCAGCGAGTGAAGGGCCTGGGGGTCCGGGAGTCCCTGGAGGGTCGGGGTGGGGGTGGGGGCACCTCGGGAGGGGGAGGGGAGGCAGCGCAGCGCTGACACCCTTCCGCCCCCAGACTTCCCCGTCCCCTTCTGCTGGCTCCCCGGGTACCTGGCCATCCTGGTGGGCGCCGGCCTCACCTTCGTGCTGCAGAGCAGCAGCGTCTTCACCGCCGCCATCGTGCCGCTCATGGGTGAGCAGACGGGCAGGGTGGGCTCCGGGGTGGGGGCGCAGGGCTCCCTGTGACTCTCAGCTTCTCCAGGGGTCGGGGTGATCAGCCTGGAGCGGGCATACCCCCTCTTCCTGGGGTCCAACATCGGCACCACCACCACGGCCCTGCTGGCCGCCTTGGCCAGCCCCTCGGACATGCTGCTCAGTGCTGTCCAGGTACTGTCCCCTGCTCCCCAAGTGTCCCTCTTGCAACACCAGCCCTGGGCGGCCCTCAGCCCAACCCCGTGGGCAGGAAGTGTGAGGCCTGCCCTGGAACCCCCCTACCTGGCTGCCGGCACCTGCACCCCCACCTCCTCAGACCCCAGTCTACTCGTTGCCAGCCCCAGGGTGGATTCTGGGACTGATGGCCCTGGGGCCACACTGCCCCACATGTCCCCTTTCTTCTGGCAGCCTGTCCCCAGCCCACCCCCGCCGCGCTCCAGGCTTCCAGGGCAGGGGCCTCTAGGATACCACTAAGCTCAGCAGGCCCCTGCATGGCCCCAACATCATCATCCCACCCCGTGTAGGGGTCCATGCCGCTGCCCCTTCACAATCCCACTTCCGGGACAGCTCCCGAGTCCCCAGCTCTGCACCCCCAGCTCCACTCAGCCTGCTTCTGCTCATCCTCTCAGACACCCCTCCGCGGCCACAAGCGGCCACAGCTCCCCCACCGCCTGCTCGGGCTGCAGACAGGCACAACCCGAAGGCCGGACCCCAAGGCCTCAGCCCCCAGCCCCCAGTGCAGGCCTTGAGCCACACCCTCCGGGAAGCCTGCCACCCGCCCCCCCAACACCAGCTGCTCCAGACGACTCCTCCAGGCCAGCAGCCGGGCAGGGCTGTGTCCCTCCCCCCACAATGGCCTGGAGCCCTCCCCACAGGGCCAGGCCAGAGCCCCTTGGACGAGCGGAGGCATGAGGCGAGGGCCACGCTAAGGCAGCCGGGGGCGGGGGGCCTGGGCAGACCCTGCACGGGGGCAGTGTGGAGGTGCACGCCCTCAGCTGGCTGGACCCTGCCTGTCCCGATGCCAGTCCTAGCCAGTGAGCGGATTCCCCGCTCGGCGTCCCTTTTGCCAGGGCAGGGCTGGGCCGGCCGCAGGGCTCCGGGGCCCCTGCCTCAGCCAGCTCCCGACCTCTGCTTGCCCTCTGCCCCCAGGTGGCCCTCATCCACTTCTACTTCAACCTGGCTGGCATTCTGCTGTGGTATGTGGTACCCGTGCTGCGGCTGCCCATCCCACTGGCCAAGAGCTTCGGGAACCTGACCGCGCGCTACCGCTGGGTGGCTGTCGCCTACCTGCTGCTTAGCTTCCTGCTGCTGCCGCTGGCTGCCTTCGGGCTCTCCCTGGCAGGGGGCGTGGTGCTGGCTGCCGTCGGGGGGCCCCTGCTGGGCGTGCTGTTCCTCGTCGTGGCTGTCAACCTCTTGCAGCGGCACCGGCCGGGCTGGCTGCCCCGCCGCCTGCGGTCCTGGGCCTGGCTCCCTCGCTGGCTCCGCTCCCTGGAGCCCTGGGACCGCCTGGTGACCCGCTGCTGCCCCTGCCGGGCCTGCAGCTCCCCACTGGCCACCAGCAAAGAGGCTTACTGCTACGACAACCCCGAGGTCCTGGCGTCCCAGCCGCTGTGAGGGCTGGGCCGCCACCCCGCCGGCCTCGGGGCGTCCTGCGGATCCCGGGAGCAGCAGGCTTCGGAGTCACCTGGCCCCTTCTTTGCAAATAAACGTGGCCGTGTCCCCACCAGCTGACCAGGTGCTGGCTTCCCCTGGGCAGGGGCTGCCTGGGCAGGGCCCCCTGGCTGGGGAGAGGAAAGGGTGGAACCTATGTGCCCCCTAGCGGCGATCGGGGGGAGCAGGCGGCGGGTCTGGGTGGGGAGGGAACAGCCGTGCCCGCTGTGGCCCTGGCTCTCTGGGCCTGCTGCGGTGGGGACAGAGGCGCCGAGTACCGGCAGGCGCAGAGCGAGGCAGCTTCCCGCGGCAGGCAGCTGTCCCTGGCGCCGGCCCCCACCCACCCCCCTTCCCAGCTGCCTGGCTCCCGGCCCCCTGTGGCACTCGGCCTGAGACCGATGAGAAGGGGACAGGCCAGGACCACAGCCCGGAGTCCCTGCTGTCCCGTGTCCCCCCCACCTGGCTGAGAGGTGCTCAGCCCCCCGGGGGTGCTCCCAGCCCTGCCCACGCCCGCAGAACACCAGCACACCCATGACCAGCTGGGCCTCCAAACCTAGCACATGTGGGGTCAACAGCGTCCACCCCTAGAACCTGCACAGAGCCAGGTGCGCGAGACAGACGCACAGACCTGGGGCCCGTCCCTCCCTGCCAGGGGGGCTGCCCTGCCGGGCCCAACTCCCACCCACCCAGACCCTGTTGGGGCCAGACGTGACCGGTCCAGAAGAGGTCCTGTCCCCCACACCCCTCCACCCAAGGGCTGCCCCCATGTGCCTCCTCAGGCCCCCTCAGTGCCCCCACGTCCCCCAGGCCCCTCAGTCCCCTTTCCCCCCTGGATCCCCTGGGGCCTAGCTCCCTTTCTTCCCCCAACAAACTTCTAGGCCTCCTAATTCTGCAGTTTGTCCTGCTCATTGAGAGTAGTGTGAGCTGTTTGGGGAGCCCTGAGGACCCCCATGGGAGCAAGACCCCTGTGGCAGGCTGGTGCACTCCAGTTCGACCCCCACTTCTGAGACCCCAGACCTCAGGGTACTCTCGAATGGAACCCCCTGAGGGGCCTGGTCCCACTCATTCCCTGGGGAGGCTTGGGGGGACTCCTCCTCCCCAGGGTGGGGGGCAGCGAGAGGGAAGAGTACCCAGCACCTCTCTTTCCGGGGCGGGTGAGGGCGCCCACAAAGGCTGACCGCAGGTCCTCTGAGGCCGTGCGGGGCTGTGTGCCTGCTGCCCCTGCCGGCGGTAAGGCAGCCTCCCCTTGGGACCGCGCTGCCGGGAAACAGAGCCGGCCTTGTGGCTGCTCCGACAGCTGCGGCCAGAGCGGGAGGGCTGGGCCCGCACCCCCAGAGCCCCCCGGCCGGCCCCAAGCAGGCTCGCCTCTGCACTGCTCAATGCGCCCTGGCTCGGGGTGCCCAGGGCCGCCCTCGACCCAGGCCAGCAGCAGGTCCACCCGGTGGGTGGGGGCGGGGCCAGGCGGTCCACCTGGTGCCGGGCTCTGGGGCTCACACCTGGCACGCGCCACCCGCATGTCGCCACTGAGGAAAGGGAGGCACCACATGGACACCCGAGCCCGCGGGCACAGACCACAGGAGCGGGGCGCTTTCCAGGGAGGAGCCTCAGGCCGCCGAGGCTCCGACCCGCCTCTCCGTCCGGCCACAACGGGGCTCTGCCCGGCCCGGGGAACCCGGGCTTCTCTCCCGGGCTTGTGACAACCCACGGCTGGGAGGCCCGGGCCAGGGCCTCGCCGGCGGCTCGGGCAGCTCCGCCGCCTGGCAGGGCACGGCGAGGGCGCGGGGCGCGCCCGCAGGGCCCGAGAAGGCGGGGCCGCGCCGGGAGGGTCTGCGAGGGCCGGGCGCCCCCTGGGCCCCGGGCCGGGCCGCACCTGCCGCCGCCCCCGCGCGGGCTCCGCGGACCTCCCGGGGCCGGCGCGGCGCCCCGCCCGCGCGCCCGCCCGTCTCCCCGGGGCTCGGCTCTGCGCCGCCGCGCGGCCGCGCGCTCCCCGGAGGGGCCGGGGCAGCGGGCAGGCTCACCCGAGGCCGCGGCGCCGTCCAGGGCAGGCGCCGGGCCCGGGCCCCGCCGGGAAGCGCCTGCCGCGGGCCGGGCGGGCCGCGCGCACCCCCGCGCCCCTGCGCGTCGGCTCAGCCCCGGCCCAGCCCGAGCCGGGCGGCGAGCGCGTGTCGGGGCAGGCCCGCGGCGGGGGGGCGGGGGGGGGCAGGCCCGCGGCGGGGGGCGGGGGGGCGGGGGGCCCCGGCGACCGGCGCGCGGCCAGGGCGTCTCCACAACAGCGGCCGGGCGGGGCCTCGAGCGCTCCCCGCGGCGGCGGCGCGGCCCGGGCGGGGAGCGGGCACAGCCCGCCAGACGCGCCGGCGGCGGGGGCACCCGGGCCGGGGCCGGGGGCTGCGGGCACGACGCCCCGCGCCGGCCGAGGGCGCCCCCCGCCCCCGCCCCGTACCCCGCCCCCGCGCCCCCGCCCCGCCCCCCGCGCCCCGCCCCGCGCCCCGCGCCCCGCGCCCCCGCCCCGCGCCCCGCCCCGCGCCCCCGCCCCGCGCCCCGCACTGCGGCGGTTGCCAGGACGCGGCCCCACGCAGCGCGCAGCGCCGGCGCCGGCGGCCGGGCGGCCAATGGGCGCACAAATCAATCATTTGAAACGCCCAATGGACGCAGCGCGCCGGCCCCGGGAGGGGGGACTTGAGAGGGCGAGCCGGGCTCTCGGCCGACCAATGGGGAGGCGGCGGCTTTAGGAAGGCGGGCCCTAGGGCCTTGAAGGACGGGGCTGGCGCCAATCAAATGCAGAAGGCGGCCGGCCTCGTTCTGGCTGCCCAATGCGGGGCGGGCGGGGCGGGCGCGGCGGGCATATAAGCGGCGGCCGAGCGTCGGTTGCAGCACTCCGCGCGCCCGCCCGCCCTCGGCCCCGCTGCTGCCGCCCCCCGCCGCCGCCGCCGCCATGAGGGAGATCGTGCACCTGCAGGCCGGCCAGTGCGGCAACCAGATCGGCGCCAAGGTGGGCGGGGGCCGCGGGCGCGGCGCGGCGCGGCGCGGCGGCCGGGCGGGAAGATGGCGGCGGCGGGCGGCGCCCCGCACTGCGGCCCCGGGCCCGGCGCGGGCGCGGGCGGGGGCGGCCCGGGCGCGGGCGGCGGCGGCGGGGCCCGGGGCCGCCGCGGGGGAGGCGGAGGGGGAGGGGAGGGGAGGGGAGGCCGCGCCCGTCCGGGGCGGGGCGCCGGCCGCCCCGGCCGCCGTGACTCAGCCCGCGGCGCCGCCCGCAGTTCTGGGAGGTGATCAGCGACGAGCACGGCATCGACCCCACCGGGACCTACCACGGCGACAGCGACCTGCAGCTGGAGCGCATCAACGTGTACTACAACGAGGCCACCGGTGAGCCCCGCGCCCCCCCGACGCCCCCCGCGCCCCCCGCTGGCGCCCCCCGCGCCCCCCGCTGACGCCCCCCGCCCCCTCCAGGTGGCAAGTATGTGCCCCGCGCCGTGCTCGTGGACCTGGAGCCCGGCACCATGGACTCCGTGCGCTCCGGGCCCTTCGGCCAGATCTTCAGGCCCGACAACTTTGTCTTCGGTGAGCGGCGGGGGCGGGGCGGCGCCGGGGCCCGGGAGGCGCAAAGGTCAGAGGCGGCCCCAAGGTCACCGTCCTCAGAAGCCAGCGCGGCTCCTGGCCGCTGTGTCCACGCAGGGCGCTGGGCTCCTGCCGCTCCCCGTGCCCCGCCCCGCGGTCACCCAATCTCGCCTCCCGGAGAGGCTTGGGAAGGAGGCCCAGCTGTCCGCCTGCCGGCAGGGGCCCGACGCCTCCCCGGGCGGGCTGAGCCCTGGCCGAGGGGGTCACCTGCCCTTGGGAATTGGCTGGGCCGCCGGGGAGGGGCCGCTTACTCTTAAGCCGTCTCGGCACACCCCCAACTTCTAAACTGGCCGGCTGCCGCCTCCCGGGCTGTCTTCTCCCGGCAGGTTAGCCCTGCCCGTCCCCAGGCACCTTCTCTTCAGGTGGCCACACCCCTGCCAGAGAGTGAGGGCTGCTCTCTTGCAGGTCAGAGTGGTGCCGGGAACAACTGGGCTAAGGGCCACTACACAGAGGGCGCCGAGCTGGTCGACTCTGTGCTGGACGTCGTGAGGAAGGAGGCCGAGAGCTGCGACTGCCTGCAGGGCTTCCAGCTGACGCACTCGCTGGGCGGGGGCACGGGCTCCGGCATGGGCACGCTGCTCATCAGCAAGATCCGGGAGGAGTACCCCGACCGCATCATGAACACCTTCAGCGTGGTGCCCTCGCCCAAGGTGTCGGACACGGTGGTGGAGCCCTACAACGCCACCCTGTCCGTGCACCAGCTGGTGGAGAACACGGACGAGACCTACTGCATCGACAACGAGGCTCTGTACGACATCTGCTTCCGCACCCTGAAACTCACCACCCCCACCTACGGGGACCTCAACCACCTGGTGTCGGCCACCATGAGCGGGGTCACCACCTGCCTGCGTTTCCCGGGCCAGCTCAACGCCGACCTGCGCAAGCTGGCCGTCAACATGGTGCCCTTCCCGCGCCTGCACTTCTTCATGCCCGGCTTCGCCCCGCTGACCAGCCGGGGGAGCCAGCAGTACCGCGCGCTGACGGTGCCCGAGCTCACCCAGCAGATGTTCGACGCCAAGAACATGATGGCCGCCTGCGACCCGCGCCACGGCCGCTACCTGACCGTGGCCGCCGTGTTCAGGGGCCGCATGTCCATGAAGGAGGTGGATGAGCAGATGCTCAATGTGCAGAACAAGAACAGCAGCTACTTCGTGGAGTGGATCCCCAACAACGTCAAGACGGCCGTGTGCGACATCCCGCCCCGGGGGCTGAAGATGTCGGCCACCTTCATCGGCAACAGCACGGCCATCCAGGAGCTGTTCAAGCGCATCTCGGAGCAGTTCACGGCCATGTTCCGGCGCAAGGCCTTCCTGCACTGGTACACGGGCGAGGGCATGGACGAGATGGAGTTCACCGAGGCCGAGAGCAACATGAACGACCTGGTGTCCGAGTACCAGCAGTACCAGGACGCCACGGCCGAGGAGGAGGGCGAGTTTGAGGAGGAGGCCGAGGAGGAGGTGGCCTAGAGCGGCCCGTGGCGGAGCGTGCGAACTCTTTATTCCCCCCCAGCCTGCTCCGGCCGCTCTGCCGCACCGCCACTCGCTCCTGCCCCGACGCCGCCGGCTGCACAGATACCATTAAAGGGTTTTCACAGCGCCTGCTGCCGCCTCTCCAGTTCTTTCTGATAGGCCTTGCGCGTGCTGTTGCCGAAGGTCAGGCCGTAGCTGTCCTGGGTGGCTGCGAGGGCACAGTGCTGCGCTGAGCCGGGGGGCCGCCCGGTCGGCTGTCTGCCCAGCACAGACGGCGCGTCTGCGGGAGGGTGGCCTCCGCCTGGGGCCCGAGCCTCCCGTTGCGGCCCTGGCCTTGAAGTGGGCGGGCGGCCGGGAGTCCCGCTTACTCACCTGGCACCAGCCCCATGTAGAAGGGGACCAGGCCCCGGCTGCTGTAGACGACCTTGTTGGGCCAGTGGGTCCGGGGCAGCCTCTCCCCCAGGGCGCAGACGGGGTTTCTGAAGAGGAACTGGGAGGAGGGGGGGAGCCTGTGAGCAGGAGGCTGGGGCTGCCCTTCCCCCGCCCGTCAGGGAGCTGAGGCCCCGGTATAGGAGGGCCCCCCCCCCCCCCCGTCTGCACCCCTGGGCCGGGGGGTCCCACCTGGTTCTTGTCAAACTCGTCCATGGCCTGTGTGACCCCGTCGCGGTAGTTGACCCCCATCACCCAGGCAAAGCGGGGGACGAAGCCAGCGTAGCCTGGGGGTGGGAGGAGGCCGGTCTTTCCTGTCCCACCGCCACCAGACCCCGCTCCCGCCCTTCAGCCTGCCGGGGGTGGCTGGCCCGGCGGTCCACCTGAGATGGCCTTGCGCTGGATCAGGTTGGGGTGGTCCAGCTGGGGCAGCCTCTGGAACCTGCCCACGTCCAGCGTCCCCTGCTGGCGGGCCGGGGGCGGGTACTCGTCCCTCCTGCAGTGGTACAGCTGAGGGGGGGGGGGTGGTCACCGCCCTGGTTCCCTGGGCCTGGCTGCAGCGAGGCTGGCCCCGCCCGCTGTGTCTCCCAGTCACCTGGTAGCGCCCGGGGGCCGTGTGGACGGGAGTGGTGCTCTTCCAGCCCTCCTCCCCGAGTGCCAGCCGCAGGCCTGGGTGCCCCAGGTCCCCCCTCCTGCCCGGCGGGCACGGGGGGTAGGGGGGGTAGGGCATGAAGCCGGCAGGCAGTGGGGCCTGCCTGGACACGCTCTCCCCGGCGGGTGGCCCCTGGCCATCCTCCTCCTGGGCTGGGAAGCGGCCCACGATCTCGAAGTTCTTGTGGGGCTTCAGACCTGTGCGGGGGGCAGCTGTGAGCACAGGCGGCGGCCAGGCAGGGTGGGCAGGCGGGCAGGCGGCTTACCCGTGTAGTGCGGGATGTAGGGCTCGAAGAGGTCGTGGCAGGGGATGGCCGGGGGCTTGGGCTCGCTGAAGTCCTCGATGAACTTGGGCTTGGCGATGGGCGAGAGCACGGAGCAGGGGCTCTTCTGGACGCTGGGGTCCGTCAGCAGCTGCGCGGTCGTGCGCCCATAGGTGTTGCCCACCTGGTAGCGCAGCTGCGGGTAGAAGCCGGCGTAGCTGCGGAGAGGGGGCAGCAGCGCTCCAGAGGGCGGGTCCCTGGGTGGGCAGCCCTCCCGGCACCGTCCGCTCCTGTGCTTCCCGCCCAGGCCGCCCCGCAGCCACTCCCACGCAGGCCCAGGGCAGGGAGGCCGCCTGCCCCCGAAGGCTTGGGGGATCCGGCCCCGCCAGCGGTGGCAGATGGCGGAGCAGGAGCAGGGTCTGGGGCGGGCGGAGGCTGCAGCAGCGGGACTGAGCTGAGGGCCATTTGGATGCAGCACGGGGACCTGTGGGTCCCCCAGGAGCGTAAGCTGTGTCGGAGCCGTCCAGCTTACCTCCCGGGCTCTTAGGCCCATGCTCTTACGTCACATGGGCTTTTTCGTGGCCTCGGGCAGACAGCCCCTCCTTCCCCAGGGAGAGGGAGAAGAGCAGCGCCCTCTGGGGCTACCCCAGTGATGGGCAGGCTCCCCAGGCCTGGCAGGGGTGGGGGCAGCCCAGGCCAGGTCCTGGAGCTGCGCCCCTGGGGGACTGGCTATAATGAGGCCCACTCTGGGGGGCCACCCAAGGGCCTGGGGGAGCCCGCCCAAGGGAAGGTGGCGGACTCAGGATGGCAGGAGCCGCCTGCATACGTTCCCCCTGGCCCCTGTACAGTCCCCCCAACAACCCCCTCAGGGCCCCCAACTCCCCCTACACGGCCCCTCCTGGCCTGCTGGGAGCTGGTGGCTGCCGGCCCTTCGCCTGCTTCCCAGGAGCTGCGTGTCCAGCGTCCACGCCAGGAGAGGCTTTCTGTACGGGGCGGGAGTGCAGGCTCATACCCTGCCCATCTCCCTGGGTGCTCATCTGCTCCCTAAGGTGAGCCCCACATGGTGAAGGTTGGCCCCAGCCTGGGCCACTGTCCGGCCACCTGCGCTCCCGCTGGCCACCTGGCCTGCTCTCCGCGGCAGCCGAGGCTGGCTCACCCGGGGATGTAGTGGGGCTCAGGCGTGAAGAGCTGGTGCTTCTGAGCAGCCGTCATGCCGCCTCCGCTGCGCCTGTGCTGGCCGAGCCCCAGCCCCGGCCCAGCTCCCTCCCAGGGAGGCCCCACTGCCTGGCAACCATTGTGAAGGGGCCACCGTGCTGGACAGCGCCCCCAGGCGGCTCCCCAGCCACTTCACAAATGGGGCTGAGGCCCAGGTGGGGAGGGAGGGCTCCCCAGCCAACCTGGAGCCCAGAGACCTGGCTGTTGGCCCTCCAGGAGGGCAGCAGGATTGGGCCTGCCGCCCCGACAGGCCAGGAGCCAGCTGGACAGCTGCCGCACCACCAGGGCGAGGCCGGGGCGCCCCAGCCCAGGCGCCCACAGGGCGTCACCATGGGAGCCTGGATGTGCGGGACTCTGACCACCCGGGGCCTTTCCCGGGAGCTGGCACGACTGCCCAGTTTATTTTTTTTTAAGACTTATTTATGCACACAAGAGCTGGGGTGCAGGCCAGAGGTGCGGGGGGTGAGAGGGCTCCCCAGAGACAGAGCGGGGACCGGAACCCGCAGGTCCACTGAGATCCACTGCTGAGGGGAGCAGCAGGGAGACAGGAGGGGTCTGCCGCACCCTGTGGGTCACTCCCTGGCCGGGGGTCGAGCTCAGGCGGCAGTGGCTGGACAGCCTCACTGTGCTGAGACTAAGCTCTGCGCCCCCAGGGCGGCCCCATGACTGCCCACTTCAAACAAACCTCAAACCTCGGCACACACACCTTTGCAGGCAGCACTTGCTCATCTTACAAAGGAAAGAAAACATAAAGAAAAGGCGAGCCAGCTCAAGTGTGTCAGAAAATAGCGCCTCTCACACTGGACGGCAGACCATGCCGTAGGCTCGGCTGTGACAGGCGCCGGCTCCTGCCCCGCCCCACAGGTGCCCAGCCCCAGCCCTGCGGTCAGCAAAGGGCCGGCAGCCGCAGAGCCTTCCTCAAATCAACGCCAAAGTGGCCGCTTGCGACGCCTGCACCGTGAGGGGGGGCTCCTGGGGGTGGCTGCCTGGATAAGCGCCACTTCTGCCCCTGGGGATGGCCAGCAGTCAGCTAAGGGCAGCCCAACGTCACCCTCAGGGCCACGAGATGGAGCCAGCCTCGGCCAGGTGTCCGGCTCGAGGCCTCCAGTGCGCAGCCACGCGTGGCCACTGGCGACTGTCTACCTGCCCGGAGCCCTGGCCGGACACACCCAAGACAGGCCGGCCGGAGCTGGTGGGCAGAGTCCGGAGAGGCAGAGACCCTCAGGCCGGGAGAGCTCCGGGCACGAGACAGACTTGACCTCACTGTTCCGGGTGGACTAGGCCAAGGCCTGGGTGGGCAGGCACTGCCGGGCCCTGGTGCTCAGTGGCTCTCACACACTCTGGCCCTTGATTCCTTTGCATTTTGTCCAGGGAAACCCCATCCCTCTGGGCACGCCTCTGGCTTCTGGTGGAGGAGCCTCGTGTTGGCCCCCTGAAGGCCAGGTCAGCCTCTGGGCCACTCCTTCCGCTGTGGCTTTGCTTTTGCAGGGCTTGAGCGTCCAGCGGGGCCGCCTCCTGCTCCAGGGAGACTCCCTGGGCCCTTCACACTGCCCCCGCCTTCCCCAGGCATCCTGTAGAACCTGCTCCCTTCCCTGCTGCTGTGGGGGCGTCCTGCAAGGTGCGGGCGCCCTGGCGCCGAGTCCAGAAAGGGGAGGGTCTGAAACACCGGGGAGAGGAAAGGTGGCTGGGCCAGGGGTCACCTTCTGGTCCTCCTGACCAATGCTGGCCCCGGGGTGACCTCTTGGGCAGGGCAGGGGACCTCTGGGGGACCCTCTGGGCCACGCCCCCAGGCTGGACAGGGCTCTGTTCCTAGGGTCCCTGGCAACAGCTCGTGAGGTCACAGAGCCCAGGGTGTCCAGGGAGCAGCCAGGGCCCTGGCAATGAATTTCGACCAGAAGGCGGTGAAGTTCCTGGCAAGCTTTCACGTCAATGGCGGCAGACACTGGGCCCACGGCCCGCTGAGGCAGGGGCCACTCACACGTGCCCTGAACCTGGGGTGGTGGGCGGGCTGGGGGCAGCTGGGGGTAGCGGCTGGAGGGACTGTGCCCCGGGATCTTCTGCAGGCCCAAGGTTGGTCTGGGACTGGGGCCCACCTGGGACACCATGCGGCCCCCAAGGGTGCAGAAGTTTCCAGCCAGCCTCAGGAAGAAAATGGGCACCCTGCAGGAGCCCTGCCCTGGCTGCACCCACAACCTGAGGGAGCTGGGTGAGCGAGGGCCGGGCGGTGGGGCAGGGTCGGGGGGATGGCGGGCACTCAGGGGTCCGTGGCTTCCCGCCAGTGCTGGAGCGACGGCCCCCCATCCTTATCGACCTGGACACCCCGGGCCCCACCACGTACCAGGTGCCCGACGCCTCCCTCCGTGAGTCCTCCCCGCACCCCCACTTCAGCATCGGCCGCAAGCATCCTGCCCGTGGTGCGTGCCATCCCACACCCTGGGGGGATGGGGCACCCACGTCTGTCCCCAACACGCCACCTCCTTGCAGAGGGTGGTGGCCGCAGGGCCTGGCATTCCGTGTGGCTGCAGAGCGAAAGCCCTTTCACGCAGAAAACCGACTTCAACCAAGAGCTAAAGGTCCGGAGGTCACCCCAGTGGCCCCGCAGGGGGCCTGCAGGCGGGGACATGCAGGTGCGGGGAGGGGTCCCGCAGGAGTCGCTTCTCCTCTGCAGTGGCCATCGCCCGCTGACTACCTGCCCCGGAGCCGGCCCGCCCACCCAGCCTTTAGCTTTGGAGGCCACTGCCCGGCCCCTAAGACACCTGAGGCCCACTACCGCCTGGGGCAGCTGCTGGCCAGGGGTGTGGGCCCCCAGACACCGCCCTCCTCCGAGGCCCAGGGGGACAAACGGCCGGGCCCCAACGCCTACAACATCGTCCCCGGGAGCCGGCTGCGCAGCCCACACCCGCCCGCCTTCTCCATGGGCCAGTCGCCCGCCTCTGCCTCCTGGATCCGCTCCCGTGAGGAGGCCTGGGCGGAGGGGCCGGGGGGCTGGCGTGGGGCCGGGGCTGGGGGTCCAGGGGCCACCCGCTCGAGACCCAGGCTCTGGTCTCCCCTGCAGCCCACACCCCAGGCCCCGCCGCCTACCATGTGGAGCACTGCTTTGACTCGCGCTTCCCCGCAGCGCCGGGGGTGCTCATCCAGGGCGTTCGGAGGCCCAAGCGCCACGACACGGGCCCCTTCTGTGCCATCTAGACCCGCGCGGCCGGGCCAGGCTTGGAGGCCGCCGCCCTGGAACCCGGGCCCTGCTGGCCTCCGGGCCTGGGAGGGGAGCCTCTGGCCACAGACCCACTGTGGGCCAGGACCAGCAGGGCCCGCTGGCAGCACCCACCCAGGTCTTTGCTACCCAGAAATACAGTCGCTGCCTCTGAGCATCCTGCGGCATGGCATGCAGCCCTGTCACCCTGGCCTCCTGGCAGCCCCTTGGGTGCTCTCTTCTCTCAGAGGGTGGCAGCTGGGGCTTCCTGGCCAGGGCCAGGGCAAGGCGGAGACCCTGTGGCCATCAGGACACCCCGACCTCACAGAGACCCCCCCCCCCAGGGCCAGTCCTGCAGCCAGTCCACCAGAGGGTCAGACGGCTGAGCTGAGGGACTGACAGCTGGGTGGAGTGGGGCCAGATTGCCTGAGCTGCCATCTTGGGGTGCGGTCAGCCTGCCCAGGCACCAGGGAGGGCCCAGTGGACCCCACTTGCCCCCAGGCCTGGCCCAAAGACCCAAGCGGGGCTTGGCTGCCTGAGTCCCCGAACTTGCCCAGAGTCCACCCTTGGGGCCTTCCTGCGGACAGCTGCTGCTCATCACCATCGGCCGGCCCTCCCGCCCAGGGCTGGCCCCAGCTGTGTCCGCCAGGGCCGCTGTCCTCGAGTTCCTCCCCCCGCCTCCCCCCTGCCCTGGGCGGGCCCGAGCCACGCCTCCCCAAGAGGCGCCTGGAGCTGCCCCCAGGGTGCGGCCGCGAGCCCCGCAGGAGCCCAGGCCCGGGGACTCGGGGCCGGAGCCGCAGCAGGGCGGCACTGGCCGCCGGCCCGCACTGACCAGCTCCGTCGCGGGGCCCCGACCCTGGCAGCAAGGGGACCCGGCTCCCGGCGGTGCCCAGAGCTCGAGCGCGCGCAGCCGGGTGGGCGCGGGGACGCCGGCCCGCGGCCTTCCCCCAGGAGGGCGCGAGGAAGGGGGGCCGCGCTGGAGCGCGAGGCGGACGCCAGGCCCCGAGGGGCGCGGCCCGGGGCGCGGCGGGCGGGGCGGGCTCGGGCGGGGCGGGCTGCGGGAGGGGAGCGGGGCCGCGGGCCGCCGGGCGGAGGCTCGTCGGGCGGTGCCCGCCCCGGCCCTGCGCGAGCGCGCCAAGGGGCGAGGGCGCTGCGGGCCCTGCGGGGCGCAGAGGAGGGCGGCGCCCGCACCCGCCGCCTGCGCCCGCCGGGGCGCGGTCCTGCGTGCGCCCCACGACCAGCGGCGCGGCGGGGGCTCCCTGGGGGCGGGGCCCGGGGCGGGCCTCTGGCGGGAGCTCGGCCTGGGGCGGGGCCTCGGCGGGCGGGGCGGGCCTCTGGCGGGAGCACGCACGGCCTGGGGCGGGGCCTCGGCGGGCGGGGCGGGGCCTCTGGCGGGAGCACGCACGGCCTGGGGCGGGGCCTCGCCTCCCTCTGGCGCCCGGAACCCCTGCGCGGCGGCGGCGCTGTTTCCCGGGGACGGCGGGCGGGCGGGCACCCGTGCGGGGCGGAAGTGCGCGCGGAAGTGGGCGGTGCGGGCCGAGCCGAGCCGAGCCGAGCCGGGCCGGGCCGCGCTGCGGGCGGGAGCTGGCCGAGCTGGAGGGCGCGGGGGAGCGGGCTCGGGCGGGGCCCGGGGCCCGGGCGAGCGGCCTGCCGGGGGCCCTGCGGCGGCCGGGGCGGCGCCGGCGGAGCGCGGCGGCGATGGGGCGCCCGGCCGGGCGGGGGCCGCGGCCTCGGCCGTCTTCGCGGGGCTGCAGGACCTGGGCGTGGCCAACGGCGAGGACCTGAAGGAGACGCTGACCAACTGCACGGAGCCGCTCAAGGCCATCGAGCAGTTCCAGGTGCGGCGGCGCGGGCGGGCCGGGCCTCCCCGCGGGCCTCCCGCGCGGCCCTCGCTGACCCTCTGCCCCCGCAGACGGAGAACGGCGTGCTGCTGCCCTCCCTGCAGTCGGCGCTGCCCTTCCTGGACCTGCACGGCACCCCGCGCCTGGAGTTCCACCAGTCCGTGTTCGACGAGCTGCGGGACAAGCTGCTGGAGCGCGTGTCCGCCATCGCCTCCGAGGGGAAGGCCGAGGAACGGTGGGTGGCGGCCGCGGCGCGCCCCGCCTGAGCCCGGGCGCCGTCCCGGGCTGCGCCCCCGCGGCGGCGGCGCCGCGGCTCAGCCTGTCTGCGGTCGTTGCAGGTATAAGAAGCTGGAGGACCTTCTGGAGAAGAGCTTTTCGCTGGTCAAGATGCCGTCCCTGCAGCCGGTGGTGATGTGCGTCATGAAACACCTGCCCAAGGTCAGCCGCCTGCCAGTCCAGGGCGCGCTCAGCTGCGGGGAGGGCTGCGCCTGCCCCAGCCCCAGTCCGGCTCCCGGGCCAGCACCCGCAGGCTGCGGCTGGGTGCGAGCAGCCCTGGGGCCCCTGGGACAGAGCGGGGGGCCGGCTGGCAGGCAGGCAGGCTGGGGCTGGGCTGGACGAGGCCTCCCGACCCCTCCCGAGGGAGCCCTGGGCACCAGTCCCGCTCACCGGCCTGTGGCCCCGGCAGGTGCCGGAGAAGAAGCTGAAGCTGGTGATGGCTGACAAGGAGCTGTACCGGGCCTGTGCCGTGGAGGTGAAGCGGCAGATCTGGCAGGACAATCAGGCGCTCTTCGGGGACGAGGTGTCCCCGCTGCTGAAGCAGTACATCCTGGAGAAGGAGCGCGCGCTGTTCAGTTCCGAGCTGTCCGTTCTGCACAACTTCTTCAGTCCGTCCCCCAAGGCCCGGCGCCAGGGCGAGGTGAGCCCATGCAACCCGAAGGCCTGCGTGTCGCACTGGCTTTGCTGCCGCGCTGGCCTTCAGCAGCCTGGGGTGAGCGAGGCGAGACCTACAGTTCTTTCGGGGAAAGAGACAGCCTCTTCACCCCTCCCAGGGGCAGGTCACTTGCTCTTTGACGTTGCCTCTGTAGAGCAGTGCCGTGTGTGTGTGTCTGTGTGTGTGTGTGTGTGTTTGGGGGGGCTCTTCCTTGTTGGTCTTGTCTTAGATTACGCTTGGGGGTAACCGAGGCTGTTTGCAAGGGTTTTTGCTTAGCCCAGCCCCCGGCACAAAGGGAGGACGGGGCACAGCCACGGTGGAGGCAGCGATGGTAGCTGTGATGCTTTTCCCGACCCGCTGTGCCCGCCGGGGCTACGGGCAGGGCGGGGCAGGGCCCCAGCAGCCTGGCCCCGAGCTGGCGCAGGGTTCCCTGGATACTTAACGCTGCGTGTCGCCCGCAGGTGGTGCAGAAGCTGACACGCATGGTGGGCAAGAACGTGAAGCTGTACGACATGGTGCTGCAGTTCCTGCGCACGCTCTTCCTGCGCACACGCAACGTGCACTACTGCACCCTGCGGGCCGAGCTGCTCATGTCCCTGCACGACCTGGATGTGGGCGACATCTGCTCCGTGGACCCCTGCCACAAGGTGCTGCCGCCCGGCCGCCCAGCCCCTCCCCTGCGTGTGTGTGTGTGTGTGTGTGTGTGTGGGCAGGGCGGGGACACGCCGGCTGTGCAGCGTCCTGGGAGAGACGCAGTACCCACCCGGGCTGGGCCCAGAGCCCTTTGGGACGTTTGCCTCCCCAACACTGCTGGCCGTGGGGCATGGGCCCTCCTGTGGGTTGACTTTCGACCTGGTGCGAGCACCAAGTAGGGGGCAGGGGCGGGGGCGAGGCGCTGAGCCCTTCCTCGAAGCCCTGTCTCCGCTGCTGCAGTTCACTTGGTGCCTGGACGCCTGCATCCGGGAGCGGTTCGTGGACAGCAAGAGGGCCCGGGAGCTGCAGGGCTTCCTGGATGGAGTGAAGAAAGGGCAGGAGCAAGTCCTGGGGTGAGGCTTGGCCGTGCACCGCACCCAGCCCCGCTTCCCCCACCAGCGCTGCCCCCTGGCCTGTGGCAAGCAGGTGTCCAGCCGTAGCGTGGGAGAGCTGCCCTGCCAGGCCTGCTGCCCTGGGAGAGCCAGGGCCAGTCTCGGGCCAGAGCCGGGGCCCTGTGCTGGGTAGTGGTGCCAGAGGGGGTGGGTGGAGGCCAACGCCGGCCCCACCGTAGCTCCCGCTGTCCAGGACGCTGGCTGGACCGATGGTCAGCCGGGCCGGGATACAATTTGTGTTTAAACCTTTTAACTCCTCGGGGTCTCTAGTTAAGTCGAGGGTGAATCCATGTGAGCCTTTTTTGTGGCAAAAAGTGGGTTGTCCTGGGGTGGAAGGATCTGGGGGGCTGGGAAACCCGCCTGCTCCATGCCAGGGTCTACCCTCCAGGGACCTGTCCATGATCCTGTGTGACCCCTTCGCCATCAACACCCTGTCGCTGAGCACGGTGAGGCACCTGCAGGAGCTGGTGGGCCAGGAGACGCTGCCCAGGGTGAGCGAGCTGCCCAGGGGCGGGGTGGGGGCGTGCTGCCCAGGATGAGCATGCTGCCCCAGGGGTGTGCAGGCCGGAGGTGAGCGTGCTGACCCCTCCCCCGCAGGACAGCCCGGACCTGCTGCTGCTGCTCAGGCTGCTGGCGCTGGGCCAGGGGGCATGGGACATGATTGACAGCCAGGTCTTCAAGGAGCCCAAGATGGTATGGACCGGCCAGCCGCCTCAGGTCCCCAGAGGGCAGTGCGGCCTGAGTGCCACCAGGGCCCTGAGCTGGGTACCTGGCTGCCTGCTGACCTTCCTGGGGTGGGGGGGGCCCTCATGGGGCACACCTTTGTGGGTGTATAGAGCATCAGTGTCTTAGATCAGGCACTGGCCGGGGTCACTGGAGGGAGCGGGGCAGGAGGACAGAGGGCTGAGAACTAGGAAGTGGCAGTCTGGGGAGCCTGGAAGGACAGACCCTTCCCCGCTGTTGGGAGAGGTGGGGACATTGCTGGGCCCAGCATTGGGGCTTCCCTGGCCAGGAGGTGGAGCTCATCACCAGGTTCCTGCCCATGCTCATGTCCTTTGTGGTGGACGACCACACCTTCAACGTGGACCAGAAGCTTCCCGCTGAGGAGAAAGCCCCGGTCCTGTACCCCAGTGCGCTGCCAGAGAGCTTCACTAAGTAGGCAGGGCGGGCCTGGCGCAGCGGGGTGCCTGGCGGGGCGGGCACGGGGCGGGCGTGCTCTGACCCCGGGCGCAGGTTCCTGCAGGGGCAGCGCCTGGCCTGCGAGGTGGGCCTCTACTACGTGCTGCATATCACCAAGCAGAGAAACAAGAACGCGCTGCTGCGCCTGCTGCCCGGGCTCGGTGAGTGGCCACCCGCCCTTGCTGGCTGTGCTGGCGTCCGTGCATCTCCAGAAGGCTCCTTGGGCGCCCTGGCAGGGTGCAGGGGCGCAGCACCGGGGAGCCCCCCTGGCTGGACCCGACTTGCGCGTGGCCTCCGGTCTGGTCTGCACGGGGAAGAGCGCCCTCCTGGGCCTCGTTGCAAGCTGGCTGGCCCCTCCCCCGAGCGCAGGGTCTAGACTGGGGCCTGCAGCAGCTCCCGGTGCAGAGGGACACGTGGGAGAGGGCGCTGGTGCAGTGGCCGTTCAGTCGCTGGGACTGGCCAGGCTGCCTCTGGGCCCCGCCCTGCCTCCGGGGCCGTCCAGCCGTCCTTCCTTGTACACATCGGGTGCGGCTGCTGCCTGCCGTCAGTGGGCGCCGCGAGTCTTCCACAGTCCCCTGGGTGTCTGCGAGTTTGACGGCCCTGTTTGGGGGTGGAGGGTGGCCTCGGCTTCCCTGCGGGGCAGGCCTGGCCAGCTCCCTGGATGGCTCTTCACCCTGTGCCCTAATCCTGGTGTTTTCTCCCGGAGCCAGTTCGCTCCAAAGCTGGGCCCGCCCCTAGGATGGCACCTGCCCCACCCCACGGCCCCTCCCTATGCCCGCCTCCCCCGCTGGTGCTGGCTCCGGGGGCACCACAGTCTGTGGGTCCCGGGCAGAGGGCCGGCTGTGGGCAGGGTGTGGGCGGCAGGTGGCTGGGCTGACCCTCGCGGTGCCGCCGCAGTGGAGACCTTCGGCGATCTGGCCTTTGGTGACATTTTCCTGCACCTGCTCACGGGGAACCTGGCGCTGCTGGCTGACGAGTTTGCCCTGGAGGACTTCTGCAGCAGCCTGTTTGACAGCTTCCTCCTCACCGCCTGCCCCAGGTACCTGTCCTCTGGGGCATCACGTGCGGGGCGGGGCGGCGGGGCCTGGCCTGGCTGCAGCTCTCGCTCTTGCAGGAAGGAGAGTGTCCAGCGCCACGCACTGAGGCTCCTCGTACACCTGCACCACCGGGTGGCCCCCGCCAAGCTGGAGGCCCTGCAGAAGGCGCTGGAGCCCACGGGTCAGGTGGGTGCCTGCGGCCGCATCCCAGCGTGACTGTCGCTGACCCGCGCGCCCGGCTGAGTCGCTCCCACTGTGCTTCCCCCACAGAGTGGCGAGGCCGTGAAGGAGCTGTACTCCCAGCTGGGCGAGAAGCTGGAGCAGCTGGACCCCCGCAAAGCCAGCCCCGCCCCGGCCACCGAGCCCCCAGCTCTGGAGCTGCCCCTCCCTGCGGTGCCCGCCCCGCCGGCCATCTGAGGCCCTGCCTGCTGGACCCGGCCACCTCCTGAAGACAGCCAGACCCCCGACCCCCGTCTGCGGGTGGCTGCACCAGCTTGTCTGCCTCCCCACCGTCTCAGCCCAAAGCAACGAGCAGGGAGAGCCCCGTGTCCCCGGGGAGCGGCGGGGCAGCCGGGGAGACGCAGACACAGGGACTCCGGTCGGCCCGCTGCCCCGGCAGGCTGCACTCAGCGAGCAGGGACCTCACCTCTGCCTCAATTTACCCTCAGGCTTCCTGCTCCTGTGCTCACTGGGCCGTGTGGATGAGCGAGGGATTCGCGTGTAAATAAAAGACATTTTGGTAATGGCGGGCGAGCTGTTCTGTGTGGTGCCCGCCCGGACGCCCCGGGCCTGCTGCTCCCGCTGCCTCGGCTCTCCTGCCCCACCTGGCGGAGGCAGGGGCCGTGGTGGCCAGCACGCCGCAGGCTCCAGCGCCAGCGGACCCTGCCTAGTGACGGGTGGCTGCCGGGCCACAGCAGGCAGCAGCTGGGACACTGAGGCCCCTGCGTCCAGCTCCCACAGGGCCCCTTTGTGCCTGGGGCGAGCAGGTCCCTGAGGCCCCCAGGTGCTCGCTGAGAGCAGGCCCTGTGTCTGCCGCTGGCCCCCGCGAGGCCTCGGCGGGCCTGGGGCGTGGCAGAGGGTGGGGCCTGGGCATGCTGGGGGCAGGTGGCGGCCTCTGAGAGGCAGAGGGGCCGTGGGGGTCACCTGTTCCGGAGCTGGCGGGACAAGCCCTAGCCGCATGGACAGCAGCGCCCGTATCACCCCGGCCCACAAACACCACCTTCTGGCACGAAGGGCCCCCAGGCCCACGAGCCACATGTCCAGCAGTGGGCCAGCGTGGGCGAGGGAGGCCGAGCTGGGCAGTGGCCTGGCCGAGGCGTCTGGCACGTCGGGCTGGCAGCAGGGAGCTGGGGCGGCTGCCTTGGGCACAGCAGTCCTGGGTGGGGCCGGCCTGGAGACAGTGGGTGCTGTCGGTGTCACGGCTGGTTTGGGGGTGGCACTGGCTGGCAAGCCCAGTCTTGGCTAAAGATGGGGGCCGGGAAGCGTCCAGCGCCCCGAAGCTCTCGTTCTTGACCATCCCTGCAGGGTGTGCAGCCTGGCCAGGGGGCTCCAGGCTGGGGAGGTGGGCAGGCAGAAGAGACTCCTCCGGAGGCACCGGGATCAGGGATGCAAGAGCCTGTGGTGGGAGGGGATGCCCGGCTGGGCAGAGGCCCTGGTTGGTCCCCAGGGCTCTGGCCTGACGCCCCCCCACCCCCACCCCGTCGCCAGCAGGCAGCCTGGGCCCTCTGCCCGCAGGGGCAGGCGCGGGCACCTTGCTGGTGGCCAGTGGGTGGCAGGCGGGGCTGCAGGGGCCTCGCGCCCCCCAGCCACCGGGGGCCTAGACCCAGCCAAGAGGACTGGAGGGGCGCAGGGCCGAGGTGGGGGGGCCGCCGGCCGGGCACCAGGGCCCACCAGCCAGGCGTCCCCCTGCGGGGCCTCTGGCCGTCCAGCCTAAGTCCCGCCCGCCCCAACGGGGCTCACTTCCTTTGCCCAGAAGCGGAAGCCTGCCCAGAGCTTCCTCTGCCCCGACGCGGGACGCAGGCTCGCCGCCCTCCAGGCCCAGGCCCAGCGGGGCCGCCTCCCCCGGAGCGGGCGCTTTCTGCTTCCCGGGCCGCGGGCCTCGAGTCCGGCCAGGGCGGGGGCGGCTGTCCCGGCTGGGGCCGGCGCGGCCCGCCTGACGCAGCTCGCAGGTAGGGGAGGCCGGGGCCGCGCCCCGCTCGCCGGCCGGCCCCGCCCAGGCCCTGCCTCCCGGCCGTCCCCTCCCCCAGGGTGTTCGCGGGGCGCGCGGTGGGCGGGCGCCCCCTCTTGTGGGGTGGGAGGCTGGGAGCGCCGGGCGCGGCGCGGGTGCAGGGTCGGGGCGAGTCTCAGAAGCGCGGGCTCGGGCCGTGCCCCCCCCCCCCCCCGCCAAGGGTTGGCAAGTGTGGGCGGCCGGGGCTTCCCGGCCCCCGGGGCGCCGGCGGCCGCCCCCCTCCCCGCTGCAGCAGCAGAGCCCGGCGCGGCCTCCCCAGGAAGCGGAGCCGAGCCCGGCAGCTGCGCCCTCTCCGCCGGCCACTTCCTCGGGCCGCCGCCGTGGGGGGACGCGAGGGATTTGCATGGGGCCCGGGCCGCTTCCTGCCCGCGCGCCCGCAGCTCCGCCCCGGCGCGGCTCCCGGGGGGAAGCCCTCGGAGGAGGGCGCCCTCGGAGGCGCTGCCGCCGGCCGGTCGGAGACCCCCGCCTTCCCGTTGCAGGACGGACGCGCTGCATGCCGAGGGCGGCCCCGGCGCGATGGACCTCGGCCCGCGCAGCCTGGAGCCCGCGGCCGCCCGCGCCCCCGGCCCCAGCCTGATGGCGCCCGTGCGCGCCGTGGTCCGCCTGCGCCGCCGCGTGTGCCACCTGCGCAAGCGGCGCCTGCTGCTGCCCGGCGCGGGCCCGGACTCCGGCCTCGGGGCGCCCCGGCCGTGCTGCGGCGCCCGGACGCCCCGCGCCGACGCGGAGCAGCCGCAGTTCTTCACCTTCGACGGCGCGGCCGAGCCGTGCCCCGGGCGCCGCGCAAGCGCCGGCGGCGCAGCCGGCTGGTGCTCTACCCCGAGACCGCGCGCAAGTGCCGGCCGCGCGCCGAGCGCCGCAGCCGGGCGCAGCGCTGCCTCCTGCTGCTGGTGGCCATCGTGGGCTTCCAGGTCCTCAACGCCATCGAGAACCTGGACGACAACGCGCAGCGCTACGACCTGGACGGGCTGGAGAAGGCGCTGCGGCGCGCGGTGTTCGGCCAGCCGGCGGCCGTGGCGCGCATCGCGGCGCTGCTGCGGGACTACCTGGCCACGCACGTGCACAGCCGCCCGCTGCTGCTGGCGCTGCACGGGCCCAGCGGGGTGGGCAAGAGCCACGTGGGCCGCCTGCTGGCCGGCCACTTCCGCGCGGTGCTGGCGGACGGCGCGCTGGTGCTGCAGTACCACGCGCGCCACCACTGCGCCCCGGGGCGCGCCGTGCGCTCCTGCCGCGAGGAGCTGGGGCGGCGCGTGGCCGCGGTGGTGGCGCGCGCCGAGGCGGAGGAGAAGACGCCGCTCGTGGTGCTGGACGAGGTGGAGCTGATGCCGCCGGAGCTGCTGGACGAGGTGCGGGGCTTCCTGCAGCCGCAGCGGCCGCACCCCTTCCGCAACGCCATCTACGTGCTGCTCAGCGGCGCGGGCGGCGGCGAGGTCACGCGCTTCGCGCTGCAGAACGCGGCGCGGGCCAAGCTGCCGCGCGGGGACGGGCCGCGGCCGGAGGAGGAGCTGCGCGCCAGCCTGCGCGGGCTGCTGGTCCGCGAGCACCCGCTGTGGCAGGCCGCGGCCATCGTGCCCCTCCTGCCGCTGGACAGGGGGCACGTGGTCAGCTGCTTCCGGGAGGAGATGGCCGCCGAGGGCTTCTTCCCCGAGCGGCGCCAGGCCGAGCTCCTGGCCGCGCAGCTCAGCTACTACAGGGTGGGCGGCCGCGAGTTCGCGGTCACCGGCTGCAAGCAGGTGGTGGCGCGGGTGAACCTCCTGTAGCCGGGCCCGCGGGGGCGGCGGCGGGAGGGGGCCCTGGGAGCCGGCCCCGCCCGTGAGGCCCCTAATAAACGTGTCTGTGGCAGTCGGGCTGGCTCGCGCTTCCAACTCCAGCCCCCTCGGGCCGGTGCCCCCCGTACCCCCTCCCACCCCCCCCCCGTGCCCAGCGCAGGCGCCCAGGAGGCGGGCAGCCGGGCCCACGGGGCGGCCGACAGGACCAACGCCTCCGCCCGCTCCCTGCCGCGGGAGCCCTGGACGCGCTCGGCGCTGCCGCGCTCGGGCCTCGGGGCTCCCCAGGGCCGTGGGGCGGGGCCTCCTCCCGCGACCTGGCCGGTGCGGCCCCGGGGCGCGTAGGGCGAGGGGGGCAGCCAGGCGCCAGGGGCCCGGGTCCCCCGCCCCGCCCGCTGCGCCCCCGGAGGAGGCCCTGGCCTCGGGCGGGCAGGAGCCCGGCCGCCCCGGCCGGCCCCCGCCCCTCGCGGCGTCGGCGTTTCCGGAGCGCGCGGCGGGCGGCGCCGTCTGCGCCCGCCTCGGGGCCGCCCCCTGGCGGCCGCGCGCCCCGGGCTCGCCCGGCCGGGCCCGAGCTCCTGCCCCGGGCGCCCCGAGGCTCCCGCCGGCGCGGGGCGGCCGCGCGCGGCGGGCGAGGGTGCCGGCCCGAGGCTGTGCCCGCGCGCCCCGGCCTGGCCCGGCTCCTGCCCTGGGGGGCGCTCCCTGCCCGGTGACGGGAAGGACCCCCGCGACCTGCCAGAAGGGGCTCGGGGCCGGCCCAGCGCCCGCAGAGGGCGCCCCCCGGGGCGAGGCGGCCCCGCGTGGGCCTGGGCGGGTCGCGACCTTCCCTCCGGCGCCGCTGTCCCGAGCCCCCGGCCCAGCGCGGCCTCCTGCCCTCCGGGGGCCGCGGTCTCAGGCGGCGCTGGCTCGCGCGAGGGCTGGGGGCCCCGCTTGGGGCGCGCGGCGGGGCGCGGCGTGGGGCCCTGACTGCCCGGCACGCGCCTTGGGGGGGTGGCCAGTGTCCCTCCGGGAGGCCAGACGCTGTGGTCTCCATCCAGGGCTCTTTCTTCTCTTGCCTAAGAGCGGGCGGTCCGGGTGCCCGCCTCCCTGGCCATTCCTTTCAGATCTGCCTGGACACTCTCTAGGGGTCGTAAAATCGACTTCTTTTTATTTTATTTTTTAAAGATTTATTTATTTATGCAGCCAAGAGCTGGGGTGCAGGCCACAGGTGCGGGGGCGAGGGGACTCCCCAGAGACAGAGCGGGAGCAGAACAGGCGGATCCACCGAGGCACACTGCTGGGGGGGCAGCGGGGAGACAGGAGGGTCTGCTGCGCCCCGGGGCCACTCCCTGGCTGGGGGTCGCACTCGTGCTGCAGAGGCTGCGGACAGCCTGACAGTGCTGTGCTTCACCCCTGAACCCCCAGGGAGGCCCCTTGTCAGTTACCTTTGAACTCCACTCTTGGGGCAGGTTCTTCCAAACCTTCTTTAGAAAAAACTGTTGTTTTCAGTCTTGAGAGTGGCAGTGCCAGGCTCCCTCTTGCAGGCACAGAGGTGTCTGCAGACAAGGGAGCGCGGCCGGCGCAGGGGGGTGGGAGGGTGGCTGCGGGGTGGGGGGTGGGCACTGCCTCGGCCCTGCAGGCGCGGCCGCCCCACCCTAGTGGCCAGCGGGTGAGCCTAGCTCCGCACAGCCAGATCCCTGACTTGAAGAGGAACCGTGACCGGCCCTGGGCCTCCCGGGGAGCTGTGGCGCCCAGCCTGGCGGCCAGGGCTGCCCCGCAGCCAGGGCAAGGGCCGAGGAGCACGGACAGCCCGGGCTGGGGCCCGCCCCTGTCGGAGCGTGGCCGTGAGGGTGCCGGTCTGCGCCGGCTGCTCCTGTGCTCTCAACGCCAGGCTTTGATTTGCTTTGGGTGGAAGGGAGGAGGCTGGTGCTGTGAGAAGCTGCCCGGCTGTTCCCAGCACCGCCCAGGGGAGGAGCAGCAGCCAGCAGAGCACTGCCCAGCAGCACCGCCCCCAAGTGTCTCCCTCCCGAGCACAGTCCTTCAGAAGCACTAACCTATGGGAGCACCACCCAAAGGAGCTCTGTCCAGCAGGAGCACCATCCCTCAGGAGCACAGTCCTTCAGAAACACTGTCCAGAGGCGCAACAACCTGCAGGAGCATCACCCAGAAGAGCACTGTCCAGAGGAGCCCCGCCCAGCAGGAGCATCATCTAGCAGGAGTGCTTCCCAGCAGGAGCACCGCCCAGCAGGAGCACCATCTAGCAGGAGGATCACCCAGCAGGAGCACCGCCCAGCAGGAGCACCGCCCAGCAGGAGCACCATCCCTCAGGAGCACAGTCCTTCAGAAACAGTGTCCAGAGGAGCAACAACCTGCTGGAGCATCACCCAGAAGAGCACTGTCCAGAGGAGCCCCGCCCAGCAGGAGGACCGCCCAGCAGGAGCCTCAACCTGCAGGCGCCCGGCCCTGTGCCCTCACCTGCAGGGCTCCTCCGCCTCCCGCCTCCCTCGGGACTCCTGGCGCGTCTGGCTGCAGCTGTGCCCGAGGCCCGGCTGGCCTGGTCTCCCCTTTTCTCCTGAGCGCGGGTATTCACGTCCGCGTGTTCTTTTGCCCTTTCCAAAAAGGCCCCTGCAGCCGCCCAGGGGGGTGTGTTCTGGCCGCAGACCCGCCGCGCTGCCGCCGGTTCCCGCGCGGGCCTGGGCTTCTGGACGGAGCGGGGCGCCCTCGGCGCGGGCTCGCAGCCCGTGCGCCCCGCTTTCACCGCGCGAGCTCCTGACCGGCCGGCGCCCCGAGTCCCGCCCGCGAACCGGCCGGCGCGGGCCTCGCTCTCCGGGGCCGGGGCCGCCGCGGGCGCCCCCTGGCGGGCACTGCGCCCCGGCGCGCGGGTCCGCGGGTCCAGCGGGTCCAGCGCGGCGCGGGCCATGGGCCGCCGGGCCTCTTCAGCCGCCACTAGGTGAGGCGGGGCCGGCACAGAGCGCCCCGAGCGGGCTGGGGGGCGTCTTGCGGCAAAGTAACCTTCAGAATTCCACCCGCGGGGCGGGGTGAGGGGCGTGGCCCCAGGAGAACCCCACGAACCATCCTGGAGTTGGGAGGAGCGCGCCGGCCTGTCCCCCGAGGGTCGCCCGCCGCTCGCGCCCCTGGCGCCCGGCCATGACCCGGCCAGCGCGAGAGGCGCGCTCGCGGCTGCGGCCGAGGGGTGCCCGGCTGCGGGAGGCTCCCCGAGTCGCCGCGCGCCCCTGCCGCGCCCCGCTGCAAACCCGCCAGGCCCGCGCCAGGGCAGCGGGGCTCGGGCTGCAGACCCGCGGCGGGCGGCTGGGGCGGTGCCGCCCGGACCCCCACCCCCGGCCGAGCGCAGTGTCCGCAGTGGCCGCAGGCGGCGGCACCGCCCGCGCGTCTCCGACGGCTCCCCCGCCCCCGCGCCCCCCGCGTCCAGCCCGGCCGGCTGCGGCCGCCCCCTGCCCCACCCACCGCGGCGCCGCCCGCCGCCCCTCGACCGAGGATTCCCGCCGGGCGGGCTCGCGAGGACCGCTGTCTCCCGCGCGGCGGCCTCGGGCCCAGGTGGGCCGCCGTCGGGGCCGCGCCCCCGTCGTGTCCGGCCGCTGACCGCTCCGCGCTCCCCCAGGCCTGCACCCGCAGCTCCGACCCCGCCTGCGCGGGGCGCGCTGCAGCGGGGGCGCCCCGGGGCCCGACGCGCTCGAGGCCGCGACCTCAGGAGGAGGTGACAGCTGGTCCCCACCCCACCCGGCGCGCTTCGGGGGCGCAGGCCCGACGGCCCCGCGACTGTCCACCGCCCAGGCCGGCCTTTGTGAGCCGCGGCCCCGGTCGCGCCCCGCCCCGCCCCCCGCGCGGGGCTCCCGCCCTCCCCCGCCGCCGCGGCCCCCCAGCCGGCCCGGCCGCCGCCCCCCGCCGCCCCCCGCCGCCGCCGCCCGCTCATTAGCATAGCAGCTGCTCGCCGAGGGCCGCGGGGGGAGAGGGCAGAGGCCTCGGCGGTGAATGGGGCCGCGCCTCTGCCGCGGGCGCGAGAAGAAAGACCGACAGACGGACGCGCAGGACGGAGGGGCCGCGCAGGCCGCGGGGAGCCCGCGCTTCCCAGACCGTCCGGGCGCCCGGGCCGGCCGCCTCTCACGCTGGCCTGGCGCAGGCTTTGTCCCCCAGCTGGCCCCGGGCAGGCCTCTTGCCGGGGCCCCAGGCCGTGGACGCCCACCCCTCCGCCGCGGCCTCCGGCGCGTCTGGCCCGTGCGCAGCCGGAGCTGTGCGGCCTCTGGGGGACAGTCCAGGGCGGCCCTTCCCCTGCCCTTCTCCCCCAGGTCTTCCTGGCAGGCAGAGGCCTCAGATCCTGTCCGCGTCGGCTCTGTGCCGGCTCCCACGCTGCTGGCTTTGACGCCGCTTTCTGGCTGGCCATTTCCCTCGCTTCCCGGTCTCTCTGGCATCCGCTCCAGCAGCCAGTGCTTCCTGCGTCTGTCCACGGCCAGGGTCAGATCAGACAGGCAGTTGGACAGGAGCCGGGCCTGCCTCTGCTGATGTGGTCTGCCTCCTTCACCCTGGAGGCCACCCTGGGGTCCCCAGGGGCCGGGGCCCTGCAGGACCGAGCCCCTGTCCTGCAGACGAGGGGCCCGGCAAGGGCTGAGCCTCCTTTCTCCCTGGCCACAGGGGCCTGAAAAGCTGTTTCCAGCAGGGGCCTCCCCTGGATGGTGATGAGGACTCCCGGGGACAACACTAGCCAGCCCATTGGCTGGGCAGCCGCCCCCTAAGCAGAGTTCCCAGCAGGGCACTGGCCCCTGCTTGGAGGGCTGTGGTTCCTTCTCTCTGCCCTCAGGGGTGTGCCCTGGCCGGCCAGGCAGGGTGGGGGCTCCCTGCACCACAGGACAGCCTCTGGGAGAAAACCGCCCCCGGGGCAGCTCCTCAGAGATGGCCAGAAGAGAGGACGCAGGGGCCCATGGGGCGCAGGCCTGAGGGCAGCTGTTGGGGGCTGCACTCCGCCCCGCAGGCCCATGCCAGGCTCCCTGCTTCTAGGGGGTGGCCCAGGCATGTCTTCTCCGGGGTCCCCTGGATTCAAGGTCCTGTAGCAAGGCTCCCTCTCCCGGCTGGGCACCCCTAGCACCCCAGCCTCCAGAGCACTGGTGGACACTGGCGCTGAGCCCCTGTGTGGGATAGTCCACTCACCTCTGCCGGTGTCGGAGGACAGAGCGGGCCCGCCTGCTGCCTGGTGCTGGGAGACAGGAGACATCTGTTGAGAACTACCCCAGAGATCCTCAAGGTGGGAGGAGCTGGACATGCGAAGGCCAGCACCTGGGGCCCAGCTGCGGAGAGCCCCCCTCTGTGCTTGCAGGTCAGGGTGCCTGTGCCCACCCTCCAACCCGCGGTCCACAGGCCCTTGGGCCAGTGTGGAGGGTCTGGACGCATCTGAGAACAAGCTGCTACCTGTAACTGGAAGTTATGCTTCGTTACACCTGCTGCTGTCCACTTCAGGCCACACGGCTGCCGGGCTGCCCCCTGCAGGGCCCCAGCCCTTCCAGGGAGAGTGGTCTTTCCTAGTCGCCCTGGCTGGGGTCTGCCGCTCTGGAAGCTCAGGACCCCTCGGCAAGTGTGGAGTCTGTGTCCTCTGGGCCTTGCCGGCCAGGGTGGAGAAGGGGCACGGTCCTCCTCAGGAGTGACTATAATGCCGGGCACTTAAAAGTGGCCCAGCCTGAAGCCCCAAGGGTGGGGGCGGCCAGAAGGGCCTGGAGGGCTGCTGCAGCCCCTGGGCCAGGAGCTCCCAGGGCTGGGCAGTGATGGGCTTCAGGGGAAGGGGCCGTGGCCCTGGGGTGGCCGGCTGCCGCACCTCCTGCCCTGGCCATGCCGCCGCAGCAGGCTGGGAGCCAGCGGCCGGGCTCTGTGGTCTTGGGGTGCAAGCAGCCCGCGGGCAGCGCGTCCAGCGGGCCTCCCCGGTGCCAAGCCCGAGAAGAACCAACACATGTTTTTCATATAAAAAGATCAATGAAAAATTTATTTATAAACTTTCCGCGCTACAAGTCTAGCTCGTACACTGGGAGGCGGCTGCGGATTTATCCAGTTAGGGCGGCCGTCGGGACCCACATGCAGCTCCCAGATAAGCCTAGAAAGTCTTACCATTAATTAACATAATTAAGCAGGTATTTGCATCTGGGAGAGCGCGAGGGGCGCCCCCCAGCCCGCGGGGCCCGCGCCGGCCGCCCCCCCACCCCGCGCCGCGCCCGGCCGCGCGCAAAGGGCCCCGCCCCCCTGCGTCCTCGAGTCTCCCCATTTCCGCGCGAGGGGTCAGCAGCACTTTACCCCGGGGGAGCCTCATTTAAATTTGAATAATTCTGCTCCTTTTATTCCCGGGATCAAAACAGCCCGGGCCGCGGGCTGCGCCGAGCAGGGGCGCCGCGGAGGCCGGGAAGGCGCCTCCCGGGCCGCAGGGGAGGCCGCGCGCCGCCGCCCGCGGCCCCCCCCGCCCCCCCGGCCGGACGCTGGGGCTCGCCGGGGCGCCCCGACGCGCCCGGGGCTGGCCTCGGCGCCGGAGATTCACAGTCTCATCGGTATTTTATAAAAATATAAATATGGGTTCACTGTTCCTTCACGACGCGGGACGCGCCCTCTACACTGGGTCTATAACCAAGACCCAAAAAACGCGCCTGGGCCGGGGCCGGGGCCGGAGGCCGACGGTTCCCAGTGTCATAAATGTTATGACACTGAATCGTGGCAAATCCATCTGCTTTTTAACAAAAGTGTGCAACCGGCGGCTAGCTCGGATAGAGTCCACTAGGAAGGGTGGACGCGCCCCGCCCCCCCAGCGCACAGCCCCCAACTCTGCGGGCCCCGCGGCGGGGGCGGGGCCGGGGCCGGGGCGGGCGGGCCGGGCGCCGCTTCAGGGCAGCCGAGGGACGGCGGCTCGAGTGGTCAGTGTCCGGGCGAGGCCGGCCTCCCTCCGCGGGCGCGGGGGCCGCCGCGGCGCTTCCCACGCCGCTCCAGGCGCACGGGCGCCCCCGAGGCGCGCGCGGCAGCCAGTCCCGGCGCCGACGGCGGCGTCTCCGGCCGGGGCGCGGGCGCGGGCGGCGGGGCCGGGCCGCCGCGGGCGCCCGGGGCGGGGGATCCGGTGTCCCGGGTTCCGACCGTCGGCGGCGAGACTCGGGTTTCAAAGCGCCGGGCCGCGCCCCGCCCCCACCCGCGAGGCGGCGGGCGGGGCCGTGGGAAGCGCCGCGGCCGGCCCGGGCGGCGGGCGCGGCGGGCGCGGGGGGCGCGGGGGGCGCGCGCCGAGGTAGTTGGCGGGAAGGGCAGCAGAGACGACGCTCGCGGGGTCCGGCCGCTCCGGCCCGGCGGGCATCACCGGCCGCTGCCCGCGTACTTGGCCTTGGTGATGAGATAGAGCACGATGTCCTGGTGGCCCCGAACGCGGCGATGTGCAGCGCGCTCCAGCCGTCGCGGTTGGCCAGGCGGATGTCCGCGCCGAACTTGACCAGCAGCTTCACGAGCTCCAGGTTGCCGTCGATGACCGACTGGTGCAGCGCGGTCTGGCCCTCGGGCCCGAAGGAGTTGACGTTGAACTCGCAGCTGCTCATGTTCTGCAGCAGCGACTGCAGCTCCTGCGTGTTGCCCCTGCGCACGGCCTCCTGGAAGATGCGCTGCGTCTGCGGCGCGGCGCAGGTGGACAGCTCGGCCTGGCTCATGCTGCCGCCGGGCGCGGGCCCCGGGCGCCGCCGGGGCTCAGCGCGGGCGGCGGCTGCGGCGCGGGCCCCGGGTCGCCGCGGGGCGCGCCTGGGCGCATGGAGGGCGCGGCGCCCCCGGGCCCCGCACGCCGCCCCTGGGCGCTCCGGGCGCTCGGGGCCGGGGGCCGCCGCCACGGGGCCCCCGCCGCATCCAGCCGCGCCGGGGCGGGCGGCGGGCGGGCGGGCGGGCGCTGCGCTGGCGTGGCCGGGCGGGGACGGCGGCGGCGCTCCCGGTGCTGCTGCGGCTGCGGCTCCACGCGCCTCCCCACGCGCCCTGCTCGGCCGGCCCGCCGCGCCGGCGGCTTTTAGCGCCTTTATATTTGCATGACAATGGCGGGGCCGTGACGCGCGCGCCCGCCGCCCGGCGATTGGGCGGCGCCCGCGTGGGGGCGGGGCGGGGCGGGGCCGGCGGCCGCGCGCTTCGCGGCGGGGGGCGCGGGGCGGGGCGGGGCGGGGCCGCGGGCACCCCGGCTCTGCGCGCCCCCGCGGACCCCGCGCCCTCCGCGTCCCCGCCGCCGCCCGGGCCTTGCGAGCTCCGCGCGCCCCCCGCCCCCGCGTCTCCCCCCGCGGCCCCCCGCGGCCCCGCCGCCGCCCCTCTGCGCCCCCGCGCGGCGAGACACCTGCCAGCCGGCCCGGGCAGCCGCGCGCGGGGACGCGCCGACACCCGACACTCGGGCCGGCCCTGTGCGCCCCGCCCGGCGGGAGGACCGCCCCGCTCTCCGCCCCGCGGGAGGGGCGTCGGCCCGGGAGCCGCCGGGACCCCAGGGCGGGCGGCGTCCTGGCCAGGTGAGGGCCGCGGGCGGCGCTGCCCGAGGGGGCGGGTGACTCACCGCCGGGCCGGGAGGCCGCCCGCTCCGGGTCAGGCTGTCACGCTGGCGGCCGGGCCGGGCCGGAGGCGGGGCTCGCGGGGCAGCGGGGCAGGCGGGGACCTGCCCCCTCGTGCTGGGAAGCCGGCGGGAGGCCCGGCGGCCCTGGCTGGCTGGGGGCCACCCCGGCGGCCGCCCTGGGCCGAGGGCGCAGCCCGCTGTCTGCACTGGCCCCGCAGGGCCCAGCCGCGGCCCCCTCGGGGCGCCCCACCCTGCTGCATGCCCCGCGGCCATCGGCCCTGAGCAGGAAGGCTGGGGAGGTCACGGGGGCTGCCTGCCACTGGCCCGCTGCCCTCCTGCTGCCCCGTGGCCGCGGGTGCCCCCTGGGGGCCGGGCTGGATGGCCTCTTCCAGCAGCGCCAGGCTCTGCTCTCCTTGCCGCGGGGTCTGGCTGCTGTCAGGCCTCCCGCCCCCTCGCCCCGGCACCGCAGGTGGGTGGCGCCGAGTCCAGGCCCTGAGTGCCGTGGGGACCTGGGGGGTGGCAGCCTCACAGAGGGGTGTCCCCCGGCCCTGTGGGGGTTGGGGCGGCTGCTGCTGGGCTGTGGTCACCTGAGGGTGGGGCTCCAGGCTCTGCTCACCTCAGCCCGGGGCCCTTCCAGCAGGCAGCATGTGGCCCCGAGCAGGCCACACGCTGCTGGGGCACCGGCTGCCGGCCACCGGGCCCTGGCCAGGGGCTGCGTGGAGAGGGCGCTCTGAGGATGGGGCTGATGCATCCCCCTCATCGCCTGTGTCTTCCTGCCCCTGCTGGGTGGGGGGACGGAGGGCCGGGTCCCCCTGGGCCAGCCCCAGCCCGGGGCCCAGGCCCCTGAACCGCGGGAGGCCATCTGGGGCCCCGCTGGGCCTGGAGCGGAGCCTGGGAGCGCAGTCCCATTGACACCGCAGCGGGCGGCCGGCTGGGGACAAAGGAGCCTGTGAGTCCAGTGTGGGAACGGCGGCCGCCACCACGGCCGTGAAATCGGCGCCCCGACAGGAGCAGAGTGGCCGCGGTGGCCGCAGGAGCGGGCCGAGGACGCCAGCACCGCCCGGGGCCAGGGTGCGGGTCAGACGGGGCCAGTGGCCGATCTGCCGTGCGGGCACTGTCCGGGCGCCCCGGCCCCTCCGCCGCGGCCAGGTGGTCGCTCTGCGCTGGCCGTGCTAGCGCGCACGGTGCCCCAGGCTGGCCACGGTGAGGGCCGCACGGGAGGGGTCAGCTCCCCGCGAGCACTTCCTAAACATTTGCTGAAGGACATGCCCAAAAGGTGGACATATGTTCCCAGGCTGCGGGGGGGAGGGGGGGCGGGCCTGCGGGGGGCCCTGTCTGCGGGGCCACAGCTGGCTCCCTGGGTGCTGCCTCCCGTTTGCTGGCTCTGAAGGAGAGGGCCCTCCTCAGGGGCAGGCTGGATCCCGAGTCCCAGGCGGGCCCTGTCCGTCTCCCTGACGCTGGGCGCTCGATGGCCCCCAGAAGGCTGCGGCCGAGGCCAGAGCGGGAGAGGGCCCTTGGGCCCTGCCTTTGGTCCCTGGGAGGCTCAGCAGTGCGGGGAGGCAGCTTGGGGGGCATCCCGGTACCGGTCGGCGCAGGCCTGGTGGGGTGGCCGGGGGCCACCAGCGTGCTGGCCGGAGCTGGGAGGCCCACGGCCACCTTAAAGGCTCCAGGCGGGGCGGGCGGGCAGCGGGCAGTGGGGGCGGGGCTTCCAGCTAATTCATTAAAATGTGTCGGGGAGCGTGGGAAAGAGGAGAGCGTTTCTTCCCAGCAGCCCAGACACCTGGTAGAGGGGCCGAGCGGATAGAGATCAAATAACAAACACTCAGCCGGGGCAGAGCGGAGGAAGGACGCCTCGGGCAGGAACTGCCACAGACGGTCCTGCCCACCAGCCCTGGCCCGCTGGGCCTGGCCCCGGGGCCACAGCCCCCGTGGCTGGCGTCTGACCCCGCAGGAGGGGCCGGTCCCCGGGGCAGAGCGTCCCCCGCAGGGTGGGGGCCTGGGTGGAGGTGCCTCGGAGCCAGGGTGGGCTAGCTGCATAGCCATGTGTGCCGGGGCCCCAGAGGGACACTGTGGGCAGCAGAGGGGAGGGGGGTGGGCTGTGAGGACCACACGGAGAGCAGGTCCCTCCGGCCGCCCCTATGCGGAGGCTGTGTGGGGCGGAAGAGCGGGGCAGCGTGGGCCGACCTGGCTGCAGGCACAGGAAGGACAAGTGGGCCCGGCCTCTCTTCTGGCCTCTACTCTCCAGGGCCAGTGGCCACACCAGGCCCGGCAGGCGCGGAGCCCAGGATGCAGCTGGGCTGGGCAGCGGGTCCTGCCTCTGACCGCTTCCTCTTGGCCCAACAGGTGAGGGGAGTGGCTTGGCCAGCCCTCCCCCCCTGGACAGGATGGGGCTTGCTCCCCGGCCGGCCCTGCACCTGACCAGCTGCACCTGAGGGCCTGAGGCAGACTCATCCTGGGTCACCATGTCTCTCCCCGTCTCTGCTTTGGAGAGGACTAGGCCAGCGCCGGCCCGTGGGGAAGGGAAAAGACGTGGGGGCTCAGGGACAGTGGTCAGCCCTGCTGGGGTTGGGAGCCCCGGGCCCGGCCGAGTCTCTCCAGGTGTGGCGGAGCCGTGCCCACCGGTGCCATCCACCTCGTCCTGCAGGCAGTAGCGCTGCCCCGCCCCCACCGCCCGCCCAGGCCCGCTGGGCTCCTCGGCCAGATCAGCCTGGTTTCCGCTCCCGGCAGGAAGCACAGGAAAGGGATGTGAGTGGGGGCGCATTCCTGGGGGGTGAGCCAGGAGGCAGGCGGGCGCGAGGTGCCGCCTGGGCCCAGGCCCACACTGGCAGGAGGCCTGGCCCGCGCCCCCCACCAGTGACCTCGTCTCTCCAGGCGTTTAGCAGTGGGCCGCTGAGCCTCAGTTTCCCCCCGGGCGGGCGAGCAGGGGCTGTTTCCTGCAGGTGTGATTCCCCGCGGGGCATGACCTCCTCCCCGCCTCCCTGCAGGTGCCCACCCTGCTTACAGCAGCCCTGGGCCATTCACACCCCCTGAAGGGGGCACCGCAGGGGGTCCCAAGGAGGTGTGGGTGGGACCCTGGGCAGCTGGAGGGGGTGGGGAGGGTCCACTGCTCCCTGCCACACCTCCCCTGCACTCCAGCTGCCTGCGGGAACCCCACCTCCCGTGGTGTGCAGCGACCCCCGAGGCAGGCGGAGAGCAAGCACAGACCAGGGCGGGATGGTCCATCCCCCAGGGGGCCATGCAGGTGGGGCCACCCCCAGGCAGGGTGGGGGCTGGGGCTCTTCCCCACAGTCCCCGCCCGCAGCCTGGGGCCTCCCCCTGGTCTCAGCCCCCTTGGGCTGTGCCCCTACGCCAGGCAGCACCCGCAGCTCTCCTGGGGCGGGGCCGGACTCGCTGCGCTCCTCGTGGGCGGTCAGGGCCCACCTGGCTTCCTGCAGCCGCTCCTGGGTGGCCCCGTGCTGCCAGCCAAGGGGGCAGGGCTCCCAGGGAGGGGGCGCCGCCTCCCCACGCGCAGGCCCAGCCGGGAGGGGAGCACCCCCGGAGTCTCAGGCCGGTTGGCCTCCCATGGGCGCTCACGACTGGGCACACTGGGGCCCTGGGACCTCGTTCTGGGCGGCAGCGGCCAGGGCACTCGGGCCTGAGAACCAGCGGGCGGGGGGTGGCCGGGCGCCCAGCTGGGCGATGGGCTGATAAGGCCGCTGCCAAGGAGCTTTCACAACCGCGCGGTGGGTGGGGCGGGCCTCGCGGGCCCTGCAGCACTGGGGCAGCCGCGGGCGGGTGGCCTCGTGGGCTGCGAGGTGGACATTTCTCTGCAGGTGGCTCCGGAGGAAGGGCTGCCGGGGCTGAGTGGAGGAGCCCCCCCACCGCCGCCACCTCGGGGCCGGGAGGCCGTGGCCTCCAGCTGGCCGCCTGCCTCACCCAGCTGTCCTGGAGTCCAGGGCGCTGCCCGCCCCAGGGGCTCCAGCGTCGAGGCCACACTGGGGGAGCTGGGAACTGCCCGGCTGGACACCTGCTGGGGCGCCTGCGGCCCCAAGCCCCGGAGGAGGCGGGAAGGACAGGAGCAGCTGGGTGGATGGTCCAGCCATGCAAATGGGGCCCAGGGGCACCTGGCTGGCCCCACAGGAGGGTCCCAGACAG